TGAGTGGTGCCGAGCAACGCCCCACCTCTGCGAACGGCGCTACCGCCGACCAGATCGCTATCTGGGGGCAGAAGGACGACCTCGCCGTCGGCTACATCCTCCGCTCGCTTCACGGTCGCCTCATCCCCTCCATTGCCGACAAGGACACCTCCGCAGCCATGTGGGCTACTCTCAAGCAGCAATACAGCCGCACCTCACACTCCTCCCTCACGATGTGGTTCAAGACTATCTACACCCCGCTCGCCTCCGTCCATGCGTTCGATGCGCACGTCCTCGCCTTCCAAGAGGCCATCAATCACCTCACCGCAGGCGAGGTCAAGCTGGACGACATCGGAGCCGCTGCCGGCATGTTCGTCGCCACTCTAGTCGACGTCCCTGGTGAAGGCACGGCCTGGAACGCCTGGTCCGCCTCCCTGATCGTGAACAAGGACACGAAGCTCGACAACGTGATCGCGAGCGCGCGCAACGAGCGCCGTCACGTCCTCGGACACCAGCCCACTTCCACCGGGTCCGGCGACTCCGCGATGTCTGTCGAGGCCGCCTTCGCGGTCATCAATCGCAACGCGAGCGCGCGCGGCCAGAGGCCCCTCTGCAGCTACTGCAACCACCTCGGGCACGTCTTTGACACGTGTTACAAGCGCATCAACGGGGAGTCACCCGCGTCGAGCAGCGGGAGTGGGAACAGGGAGCGGAAGCGGACGAAGAAGAAGGGGAAGGAAAAGGCAAACATTGCGGATGACGACTTGGGATCGGGGTCCGACAGGGAGAGCTCGAACGTTGTAAGCAAAGAAAACGCGCTTATTGCATTTGTTTCCAACTACGCCCCCCGTCCGACCACCTCTCCTGCCGCATGCGACTCCGCGTTCTCGACTCGAGCGCGTTCGACGTCCTCGGCACCATCCGTCATCATCGACTCCGGTACCTCCTCTCACATCCACGCTAGACGCTCCGATTTCATCGACGTCAGGCCTAGCTCGACCACAATCCGCGGTTTCGGGAACGGCAAGGCTACTATCGCAGGCCGCGGCGAAGCGCACATCATCGCGCGATTGCCTGACGGCCGCAACACACGCCTCCGACTTCTCGACTCCTGCTATGCCCCGAAGACTTCTCCGAGTCTTATTTCGATCTCGCGCCTCGACGATGCCAACTGCTACACGCTGTTCGGCCACGGACGTTGCGTCTCGTTCAAACGCGACGATCAGGGCGCACTTCTCCGCAACATCCTCGCGCAGGACGACGTTGTCCTCTCAGGCAGCAAGGGTCTCGACCGGCTCTATCACCTCGATCAGCCCTCCGAATCTGTGCTCGCCCTCACAACTGACGACGTCTCCCGCCTCAAAATCCTCATTCATGGTCGTCTGGGACACCTCTCCTTCTCGTCTATTCGAGAGTTGGCCCGCAACGGTCGGCTTGATGGCTTCAAGCTCAGCCCCGCTCAGCTCGCCTCGCCTGACCCGGTCTGCCCTTCGTGCATCAAGGGCAAGATGACTCGTGCCTCGTTTCCGCCCTCCACGCGAGAACGACCCAAACACCCCCTTTCCTTCGTTTCTTCGGATCTCTGGGGCCCTGCGCAGGTTCAGACGCCTAGCGGGAAGCGCTATGTCATGACCTTTACGGACCATTCAACACGTTGGGTCTGGATCGCGCTCCTCCGGCACAAGTCCGACGCGTTCTCCGCCTTCAAGGACTGGCTCGCTCAGGTCGAACGGGACAACGGCCGCAAGCTCACCACGTTCCGTGCGGACAACGGCGGTGAGTACCTCTCCAACGAGTTCACGTCGTACCTTCGGGAACGCGGAATCCGTCTCGAGACAACGTCACCTCGTACGCCCGAACAGAACGGTGTTGCAGAACGACAGAACCGCAGCCTCTTCGACCGTGTCCGGACCATCCTTGCTGACGCCAACGCCCCTCTGTTCCTCTGGGGCGAAGCGGTGAACTACGTTGCCTACACGAAGAACCGAAATCCCACCTCCTCCCTCGGCAGCCGCACCCCATACGAGCTCTACATCGGCCGCTCTGCTGATGCGACCTTCTTGCACCGTTTCGGATGTCGTGCTTACGTCTACAACGACAGTCCGTCACGCAAGAAGCTCGATCCTCGTGCGATTGAGGGTGTGTTCGTTGGCTACTCGGGCACACAGAAGGCATACCGGGTCTATGTCCCTAGCTCCCAGAAGGTGGTTACCTCGATTCACGTCAGGTTCAACGACGACATGAACGGTTACCCCAGCACCTCGGCTGAGGGGGAGCACTACTACGACTCACTCTTCGGTCCCTCGTCTCCTGCTTCTCAGGACGATTCTACCGATGACACCCTCTTGTCAAGTCCAGCCTCACGCCAGTGGCACCGTCCAAACCACCTCCTGCTCCGGCCTCTTCACCTCCTGTTCCTGCGCCAGAACCTGTCCCACGCAAACGAGGCCGTCCACGTGGGTCCAAGACCAAGCATGGAGGTAGCCCAACTCGTCGCTCCTCTCGTATCCGGCAGAACATCACTGCGACCACCACTCCTCCATCTGTCCCTCCTGCACCTCACGCTTCAGGCTCAGGGGGAGCTGATCCGTTCCCCGGCGATCTCTCACCCATCACGTCTAGTGATGACTCGTCCGACGATGCCCGCGAGATTGAGGACTCCATCCTCCTCGAGCTCACCTTCGCACTCTCAGGCGATGAACCACGGACGTACAAGGAGGCAATGGAATCACCGGACGCGAACGACTGGGAGGACGCGATGTTCCAGGAGATCAACTCGCTTGCTGAGCTAGACAGCTTCGAGCTCGTCGAGTTGCCTCCAGGTCGCAAGCCGATTGGTACGCGCTGGGTCTACGCAGTCAAACGCGACACGGACGGTCGCATTCTACGCTACAAGGCTCGTCTCGTCGCTCAAGGATATTCACAGGAGCCCAACGTCGACTACTTCACCAACCAGACGTATGCTGCTGTCGTCAAGCCTGAATCGCTCCGCGCAATCTGCGCTATCATGGCGATGCGCGGCGCATCCATCCACGTTGTCGACGTCAACTCCGCGTTCCTGAACAGCGAGATACCTGAAGGCCAAGATGCGTACGTCAAGCAGCCACCCGGCTTCGAGGAGCCAGGCAAGGAGCACTTCGTCTGGATCATCCGCAAGGCGCTCTACGGTCTGAAGCAGTCCGGCCATCTCTGGTACAAGAAGCTCTGCGCTATCCTCATCGAACTTGGCTTCAAGATCTGTCGATCTGACCCTTGCGTCTTCTACCGCATCCGGGCGACCACGACCTCACCATCATCACCTCGCATGTCGATGATCTCGCACTCTTCTGCCCGTCTGAACGCTTGATGAAGAAGCTGAAGGCCGAGATCGCATCGCATGTCCCGATCAAGGACAACGGACCCATCGCAGGATCGGTCCTTCTCGGTGTCAAGGTCGGACGCGATCTCAAGGCGAAGACAGTATCGTTCAACCACACGCACAAGATCGACGCAGCACTCAAAGAGTTTGGCTTCGTTGATGCCCGCACAGCTGACTCGCCCATGGAACTCGGTGTACGCCTCACTCCCCAGGTCGATTCGCTCTCGGACAAGGACGCAGCGTTCATGAAGAACTTCAAGTACGCTTCAGCTGTCGGTACACTCATGCACATCGCTGTTTGGACTCGACCCGATATTGCGAAGGCTGTCCAGAACGTCGCTCAGTTCATGGCGAACCCGAATCGCTCACACTACCTCGCTGTCAAGCGCGTCTTCCAGTACCTCAAGAAGACCCGCGATTTCGTCCTCACTGTGGGCGGCGAAGGTCCGATCGACCCTGTTGCCTGGTGCGATGCTGACTACGCAAACACGGCGAAGATGAAGTCCACGTCTGGCCACTGTGTCTTCGTCGGCCAGGGTGTCGTCTCTTGGTCCGCACGGAAGCAGACCGTTGTCGCTGCCTCTACAACTGAGGCCGAGTTTTACTCAGCCGCGAACTGTGGACGCGACGTCCTCTGGCTCCGCTCAGTCTACCAGGAGCTTGTCTCATGCCGACGAACCCTCGACCTCCACCGACCACGCAGAACATGGACAGCACAGGCGCGATCGGGTACATCAACCAGCCTGATGCTGTGTCGAACCGCACCAAGCACATCAACGTCGCGCTGCACTGGGTTCATGAAGCGGTCCAGCGCAAGCACTTCGTCGTGAAGCATGTGCGTGGTGAGGACAATGTCGCCGACATCTTCACGAAGGCGCTCCCTCCGGTTACACACCTCCGTTTCGCAGCGCAATTGGGACTCTCCTCACCTACGTCCGTCTCTTCTCGTTGAGGGGGAGTGTTAGAATGGTGTTTACAACTCGATTAGATGGACTCTTACTTACTCTTACTTACTATTCGTACTCCGCTCGGCCGCGCCCGCGCTCGTGTCTATCTCGCGCTGGCGCTTGCGCTTCTCTCCTCAGTCGTCTCTCCATTCCGACTGAGGTATGTCTCCTACGGTACTCTGTCTACGACACATGTACTTACGTCGCCCATAGCACTCGCTCACTCTGCGTGCTATTAGGTATGATATAATTAGTCGTCTCTCCATTCCGACTGAGCACTCGCTCACTCTGCGTGCTATTAACAGTGGCTGCCCCTTGTTGTATCATCTCTCCCATTAGCAGATGCAAAATCATATTAACTACCACTAGTGGGTACGGGCAACCTGCGTGGGTATGCAGGTCGGGTGCGGTACGGGGCGTGCTCGTCCATCCGCGTAGCTGCACAGTGGACCCTCGGGAACCTGCGAGACCCGTGAGCATACAGAATGTGTACAACAACCCTAGCACAGACACAATCATTCACGCTGAGTAGTTGGACGTGTGATCCAACCTCGCCAGCTCCCGATCGCCGCGCCACTTCAAGAGGAGCGGCAGTGAGAAGAAAGAGTAATCCAAGATTGGTATGTAGTAGGGCCCCCGTTTCCAACAAACCCCCGATTCGAGCCAACTGCGCTGAAGCAATCACCTCCTGCTACAATGTACACACATCACTGCTCTCAAATGACAAGTGCAACCTGTATACATGGTATGTGAGCCGCATGCTTCGCGCAGGATATTACAAGAGAAGTCACCTTTTCTGTCCCTTCGTCCACCTTACCAGGTAGCGTATCTTCCACCATTTGCAACGTAGAGATGAACTGTGCTCGAGTAGGCGGTGCGGAGATGTAGGTTATCCATTGAGGAAACGAGGCGTCCTGCAGCATCGCGGAGACTGTGAAGGATGACTTGATCTGCGCAGGGCCTACTGGAGAAACAGAGGATTTCAGCTTGGGAGGTAACCAGCCCAGGACAGCGTTGCAAAAGCTGTGGGCGTCGGTGGCGTAGATGCTTTTTGGGAAGAAGGAGTGAACCCCGTCTTTCCAGTTGGTTTCGATAGGTAGCAACGATCTCTGCACGGACTGAGCGACGTCGGAGTGGTAGCGCAGAAGATGATGGTAAGCACTCGCGGTGACATCCTCCATACTCTTGTCGTATGCATCGTCAATGTTTGACAAGGTCAGGGTCGCCCGCGCAGCTGCTCGGATGTCGGTGTCACTTAAACCGTGCTGGAGGGCGGCAAAGTAGGCGTGCAAAGGCGACGTTGCCGCTGCCTTCTTCCACATGGGAAACATGGTACGAGAGATCCGTTCCATGCCGTATTTACGTATTGTTGCCATGACTGGTAGAAGCCGGTCGAGATCCCAGGAGTCAATGTCCGCCTCTTGATATGCGATTCCAAGGACATCGAAAAATGAAGCAGAAGGGGCGTCGATGCGGTAAAGAGGAAGAAGCGGAGGTTCAACGCGAGGCTGGTCGTTCGGGGCAGGCTGCGCGGCAAGACGAGGCATGTGGAGGGCGATCATCAGTTTGTGGACGTCGAACCTGACGTCGTCCGAGCAGACCACGATCGCATCCGGGGCTGGGCATCGCGGGATAAATGCAGACGTCGCGGAGGGAAGCGGCTTGGGGGCATCGGGAACGGGAGAGGGAGCGGGTTTGATGATAAACTCGGTGTTGTCGCGGACGAAGCCGCGAAGGCGAGAATACATGCCTGCACTAACACCCTCGAGGACACCTAGCCCCCACTTCAGCATATCTTCGAGCATTGATACACCCTGGGCTCCCTCCCCCCGTCGTCTGATCTCCACTGCGGCCTCTCGCGCCAGTCCATCAAGTCCCGAGCGGCATGCGACAGCCCACACTTGGAGTGGAAAACTCGGAATGGCGGAAGTTATGGCAGTGGTAAGATGCGTGATCGGCCACTCCATGTCGTATTTCAAAGCGGCTTCGAGAACAGGGACGATTTCCGGAAGGGTCGACAGGACGGGTTTGTTCACAGGATAGCAGATCAGAAGGAGACGGCGCAAGGTTACGCTGTCTTCGGTGACATGAATAATAGGAAGATCCGCCGGAAGGGGCCATCGGCGGGACGTGGTTGCGGCAGAGAGAACATGTCGGTGAAGACGGGGGATGAGTGCAGGAGGATGCCGCGGTGTACGCGGAAGTCGACGAGATCGGCGCTGCGTAAGATGATGTCCGCGGACGGTTCGTTGAATGGACGGTCTGCTTGAGTAGGGCTTTTCATCTTTGGGGCATCGTCTACCATTGTGGAGGAGTAATGAAGGGATGGGTGGTGTCGATGAGGAGTGTGGGGTTGGACTAGATGGTGGGAGTACCCCAAGAAGGGTGGCTGCGGTAGAGGATGGATCGATGACGATTCGACTGAGGTGCAGGACACACACAGCGCGGTCACCCAGGGTCACCCGGTGACAAGCGTACACTGGAACCCGCACCGCGAACGCGGGCCGCAGGCTTGGCGCGCGGGAGGATGCACACCTTGTGCTCCAGTTGAACCGTAACGGCACAACGACCCCGCTGCTCTCGACGTGCGTACGCATGTCCAGGTGAGGACGATTGGCGCCATGCTCGGCCCGAGCAATCACAACAGGGCAGAGTTTTCGCAGTATGCAGACCAGCGTGCAGCTAACAGGATTAAGCGCCTAACTCACCACCGCTGGAAAGCCACAGTACTGATATATAGGTTATATGATACATGTGTATGAACTTGTACTAGCCTCCAAAATATGCTTCCCCGGATCCATTTCTATGATGGCCCATGGAAACACGCCACGAATCACGTTTCACGGAATAAATCCAACTCGATATTCAATCAATCTGCAGCTTCACCTGAGCAACATACAAGGCATGGGGGTCCGAAGACAAGGGCATGGGTGAACTCGATCTCATCATTAGGGTAAATGTGCGAGAGGACACTTCCAACTATCATCGGTCCGCCCGGTCCGCCAACGGGACGCTTTATTCCGTACCTTCTCCGTGGTTGGTCCCAGCCGCTACGAAAACGCCGTCTGTGGCAGGAGCCCGTGCTCAGCGCTCAGGTTCATCTATAGTGGCGAAATATACATGGCTGCGAAGCTCTCTTTGACTCGTGCGGGTCGTCGGTGCACAGGCTATGTTTGGGCGTCGCGCGAGCGTGCTCTCACACATGACCGAGAGGTTCGTAGGCGACGGAAGTGGGGATCATGTGGATGAGGACTATGAATGACTGAGGGGCTATCCAATCAAAGACAGTGATCCGCCAATTATGTTCTAAATCACGAAGACTGAACTCACCGAGGTATATATCAGCTCAGTGCTCGCGGAGGACCTTCAGCCGACCATGACCCCACGCTCTGCACTGTTCTCTCTGTGCGCACTGTCCGCCACCGCACACGGGTGCGTGTCCCGCAGCCCGCGGTCTTGGAGCAGAGGGCGTCGTGCTCGCTCACCGCGAGCGGCGGCGACGACGCGCCCGCATTCCTGAGCGCTATGGCGGGTTCGGCATGTCCGGAGGTGACCGTCCCGTCCGGAACGACGCTGTCGATCCAGTCGAAGATGAACATGACAGCACGTCAAACAAGCATCTTGTAAGTGCCCTTTTTGTACAGCGCGCGCACGAACGCTGACTTGCGCGTTATAGAGTCTGCAAGGGACGATCAAGTTCAAGGACAACCTCGACTATTGGACCGACAACGCGTTCACCTTCGACTTCCAGGACCAGACCGCGTTCTGGCTCCTTGGCGGCAAGAACATTGTCATCGATGGCGGAGGAACTCTTGACGGTTCTGGCCAGGCCTGGTATGACAAGTTGTGAGTAACGTGTCCACGAAGCCGCGACCGTAGGCTGATGACCCGTAAAGCGCAAAAGACAGTTCCATTGTCCGGCCCATCCTCTTGACGATCTACCAGGCCACCAACGTGACTGTGGAGAACATCAAGATGATCAACGGCCCCGAGTGGATCAACTTCGTCAACGAGGGCACGGACATCACCTTCAAGAACATCACGATTACCGCTCAGTCGACCAGCAGCAGCGCCGCGAAGAACACAGACGGGTGGGACATCTTCCGGAGCAACAACGTCGTGATCCAAGATTCGAACGTCGTCAACGGGGACGACTGCGTGAGCTTCAAGCCGAGTATGTTTCGCTTCTGCATCAGAGAGCGACTGCATAAACTGATGGGGTATAGACGCTACAAACATCCTCGTGTCCAACCTGTCCTGCGATGGTTCTCAGTAAGCTGCCGAGTTTGTGGTCGGGGAACGCTACTCACCTCGGACCTCGGCTACGCAGCGGCATCTCCGTCGGCTCCTTGGTCAGTACTCGGGCGAGTACGACATCGTCGAGAACGTAACAGCCACGTAAGTCGAGGACCTCCGCCCTCCACGTCTCCTCCGCGTCTTATGACATTGTCTACAGCAACATCCGCATGTCCAATGCCCAAAATGGTGCGCGCATTAAGGCATGGGCAGGTAAAGGTGTCGGCTCGGGTATCGTGAAGAACATCACGTTCGAGGGCTTCGTTGAATCCAACGTGGACAACCCGGTCATCATCGACCAGTGCTACATGACCGACGCGGACGAGTGTGCTGAGAACCCCTCCAACACGTACATCCAGGATGTCTGGTTCACGAGGTGCGTGAGGACCCGATGAAGTAGAGGATGCCTAGGGTTGACGGGTTGTCGTGGCCAGCATCTCGGGGACGTCGTCGGGGAAGGAGAAGGCCGTGGTGGCGAGTCTTGATTGCTCGCCGGGAGCTCGGTGCAGCGGCATCAACGTGGCTTCAATCACCGTGGCGTGAGTCGATCGGAATGTGTGTTAAATGCCGCGCTGACAATATGTGGATTTAGACCTCCGTCGAAATATGGCGACGCGACGTTTGATTGCCAGAACGTTGTGTTGAGCGGAGCCGACGCATCCAAATTTGGGACGTGCAAGGATACCAGTTGAACGCGATTACTTGAAGATCTGGCCGAATGTATCACACTTGTTTCCAACTCAGGGTGCACCCGATGGAGAGATTTGAGGGCTGGTGTACCATTCCAGCTGTACCTGTCCGGGTAGGCTACTTGAGAGATCGTGGTTATATCAAACATGAAGGAAAGCGTACCGCCTTTTCCGCATTCTCCATCTTCTCCACCAGACAGCGACTGAACGCGAGCAACGTGAACGTGCTTTGAACGGGGTCGCAGTTCATGCACCGTATTTGCCACTCCATCACCGACTTCAGCAGCACTTCATCCATCGCTGCTTCTGGCCGCGGCCAAGAGGGCTCCGCCAGGCGCGCAACGTACACGTCGAACCAGCATGGCATCTCTGGAAGCGAGTAGGGCCTCGGGCAACAGCTTTGCAGCTGTGCGCGCATGTCGGCCGGCAGCCAGTCGTGATTCTTGAGTATACGGTGCACCGCGGCGCGGCACCGGCGGTGATACTCAAGTAACCAGTAGAGCCGGACTCCCGAGACGCCTAGTGCGTCGAGCTCCGAGATGGGAGCCTTCATGAGGTCCGTGCGGAGCGTCCGTCGCGCAGCGGCGCTGGCGAGGTCGCGCATGGCGAACTGCGAAGCGACGGCGTACAGGACGACGGGGTCGGCGGAGGGGTCGTCTTTGCGCGCCGCAAGCGCGCCGCGGAGGGTGGCGGCGGGCCCGGCCATTTGGTACGTTTCGGCAGAGGTGAGAGCGGCGCCGATGTCGTAGAGGTCGGTAAGTGGCGGGTAGGCAGTGGGATAGCAGAGCTCCAGTAAGATCGTGAAGATGCGGCTCGGTTCCGAGACGATCAAGCGACCCGCGGACGACGAGGAGAGGCGTGATGAGAGGACGGGGGACGCCAACTGGAGGATGGTCTTGAAAACGCGGAATTGAACGCCGTCGGCGGTCTCCACAACGACATCCGCCTCTTGCATATCGAACGGATGGGAGGCGATCATTGGGCCTGAAATTTCCTCGGGTGGAAGGGGCACTTCTGTGAGGGCGGGGGTGCTGTACGCAGTGGACATGGGGTCGTTCCATCCGAGCGCGCGATGGAAGAAGGTGAACTTGAAGCGGGCCGGCACACGCCCGCGGCGGTCGCAGTAGACAAGGAGACGGTGGTATGCGCCGATGGGCACATCCTGCAATTCCTCGACGTACTTGTGCTGCACCTTCTGTTTATACACCTCCACGGCCGCCGCCGCCGCCTCATCCTCCAACCCGAAATGGCATGCGAGCATATACACTCGAAGGGGATCATTAACGGTGAATGAGCGCAAGCGATTCTTGGCGATGTTGGCTGCCTCCGCCATCTGATACTTCCTGGCTGCTTCGAGGGTCGAGCGGACAGCGTGTATTGTGTCGAGGGCCGGGTCGTCCACTGGGTAGCATAGTCGGAACAGACGGTCGAGAACATCGCTTGGCTCTTCGACACGCAGAAGTGGTAGCCCGTCAAGCTCCTCGTCCCCGCCTGACGCAGTATCATCCCGGCTTGAAGGTTGTGGGAGACTGAGCATGTCTCTGAAGAAGTCAGAGGCAAGCGAAAGGATGATCCGATGCAATCTGAAGAGGACATCGTCGGACGAGCAGAGAATGATGTCTGCGCTGGGCTCTGAGAAAGGAGGACCAGCTTCGGAGGGCATTCGTGGCGAGCAGAATGGGAGGAGGGAGGAAATCAGCTCCGAGGACCGAGTCAATGTTAAGGCTAACACGACAAGAAATGGCGGATATTCGGTGCCCGAATAGGACCTGGGACATGGTACTGCCATGGTACCTGTCACGGTCACGTTCTTTGTCTGGTCCGCGCCGGACCGGACAAAGAACGTGAATCCTGGTCGGGGCATGGTCTGCACCCGCGCAGGGTGGCATAAGGAATCGTGCTCTGCCCCCGAACATGCAAAGAACATGGTGGGCCCACGTAAGCTGTCTGAGTCATGGACCCGGCCTGATATGCACGCCACCAGGTATCATGACATCAGCCTGGTCTGCCGCAGACCAGGCCATGGGCAGGATTGATGGCCTCAGCCTGGTCGGCCACAGACCTGGTTTCAAGTCTGGCTCAGAAACTTCCTGTATAGTTAGCACGCGGAATGTATGATTGGCGATAAAAATATATTTATTTGGTACACTACTACATGGCGGCAAGAGTCCGAACATGAAATCAGATCTGTGGCCGACCAGGCTGAGGCCATCAATCCTGCCCATGGCCTGGTCTGCGGCAGACCAGGCTGATGTCATGATACCTGGTGGCGCGCATATCAGGCCGGGTCCATGACTCAGACAGCTTACGTGGGCCCACCATGTTCTTTGCATGTTCGGGGGCAGAGCACGATTCCTTATGCCACCCTGCGCGGGTGCAGACCATGCCCCGACCAGGATTCACGTTCTTTGTCCGGTCCGGCGCGGACCAGACAAAGAACGTGACCGTGACAGGTACCATGGCAGTACCATGTCCCAGGTCCTATTCGGGCACCGAATATCCGCCATTTCTTGTCGTGTAAGCGCTATTAAGGGGCAACGAGCGTCCTTGGATCTGTCCGAGTGCATTATGGGCCTGTAAGCCTGCTTACTTAGCGCTTAGCATCAACACGGTTGTTTTATGGCGTCAACACATTCGTCCAGCGCCACCACTACGTCCCCTCGCCCTCCATGCCCTCTGTTTTCAGCCGCCTCGTACGCAGGGTTCGACTGCGACATGCAAAGGTCACTCCGCGGCCTCTCACGCACTACGGTATTTCCATCGAGGGTGTGCAGCCTGTTTTCGACGCTGGAAGGATGCAGTGGTGGGCGCGGTGGACGTATCCCCTAGGGATTGGGACGGTAATCTCATCGTGAGCCTTTTTTTTACTTGCTCCCTCTCCGCCCCACTCAGCACCGAGGTGCTCGCAGAACGCTCGCCGCCGAGCTCATCTGGAGCCATTGGACCACTTGGGAGCCGCTCCCCGCCGACACGCCCGCCACAGACGCGCCCGCACGAAGACCGGACGCGTCGTCCGCGAGCAGCGAAACAACGCCGGACACTCTTGGACACTACGTCCTTCGGCCATGGTACCAGCGCGCACCCTTCGTGGCCTTGGACGTTTTCTGCTGTTGTGGTATCATCGCCGTATTGATCGGGGTACGCTCTCGCATGGTCCGCAAGATGTTCGTTCTGCCCCCGGCTCAAAAAGAGGGTGAGCGGCTCGTCGTCGTCCAGTCGCCCCTCCACTGGCGTCAATATGGCGACGTGTATCCGCTCTCGAAGACAAAGCTCGGCAACTCTCCAGACAAGACGGAAGTCACGATGACTGCGGAGGGGCTGCGTGGGCATTATTCGATAGGTCTTACGGGCGCACAGGTGGATGGGAAGCAGGGGTCGCTCTGGGACGCAAAAAAAGCGCTGTTCGCGACCTGGTACGGCACGGCGAGGGCATCGAGCATGATGGCAGATGGCGCCAGGGTGCCCAGATCTCATTAATACATTGCGATTTATCCTCTCCTTCCCACCGCAGCAGTGTGCCTATGCATGAGTCAATTCCGGTTCAAAGTCCCGTTTCCTGCGTATCACCATGACCTGGACATTCACCTCGGCTCGGCTCCCCATACGTGCAAGTATCCCTGGCATCCGGGCTGGATCACAGCGCGATTGTGACCTACGGAGCAAAGTGGTACTCAGCCAGACGCAGTATCGAGGCTGCAAACTGATACGTACCGCGTCAAGCTCTCTGGAGAGCCGATCGAAGTCGCTTGTGACTTTCAGCATGTCCTTGGCGAGCGGCTGGCACTTGTCGCACCACGTTGCTGCCCCGACCGACGCGTTGTCCTCTCGGAGCGAGCCTTCGAGTAGACTCTGCACGGTCGGCGGCGCGAATTCGGATCCCATCTGTGATGCTTGGTCGAAGGCGTCGGAGACGAAGCACCTCGCCCAAGTTGCTCTTGTGTCGTCTCTCGCAGGGTTGGGGCGGAGAGATACGAATATCGCAGGTACGGGTCCTATAGTCATGCGTACCCTGCGCGTTCGCGAGGCGCCTGAGGCGGACGATGGAAGTGGCGGAGTTGACTCTGTGGGGGGAGCTACAGCCGATGAGGTTGAAGGGGCCTCTACGTATGGAACCTCGGATAGAGGCAGATGCAGCGCATTTCGAGTTGTCTTCAGGCCTTTCAAGAGGAGATGGTGGCATTTCTCGTCGTACTCCAACAACTTCATGTAGGCAAATCCTCCGGAAAGTTCCATTTCTGGAACATACTGACCGGCGAGGGGCTTGTGTATAGCGAGTCGGGCGGCCTCCTGGGCGCATGCAGCATGGTTTGCGGTGGCCGCCTCGCAGAACGCCGCGAGAGGTGCATTGGCAGCGGTGAGTCTCCAATGGCGAAACAGCAGTGAGAGGGTGTCCATCATGCCGTATGCTTCTGCGGCTTTGATCACTTGGACGCAGTGGGTGGGAGAGGTGAGAAGGATGGGTGGACTGTTCAAGTGCTTATCGTAACAAGTGATGACGAGGGTCGCCAGCACCACGCCACAAATGTCCAGGGACACGCTGGGGAGAGCGATCGAAGTAGAAGAAGCGTCACTGGTGGACGCCAGCGAAGATGGGTCCATTTGTGCTGCGATTTCTGTTGCGAGCTTGTGTGAGGAAGTGGTGAGGACCGCTCGGTGTGCCTGGAATGTGATGTTGTCGGAGGAACGCAAAATCACATCTGGAGAAGGGACATCGGCGAGTATGGCTATGGTCGTAGCAATGTGACTTTCGTCCGACGGGGTGGGAGATGCAGTCGGATCCGTCGAGGAACCCGGTGGCGTGAGGAGTGGGAATGGAGGGCAGTCCAGCTCGTACTTGTCACGAGACCAGATGTAGTGCCGATCGAACTCGCATAGTCGGTAGAAGTCTCCGGCGGTGATCCCTTCGCAGCTGGCCTCGAGTTCTTCTGCACCATCCAGCCCATTCAGCCGAAGGATAGGGTGACGACGCGAACGCGCAGTTTGTGGGGTGCGGTTGAGATTTTGCGCGGCTCGTAATGCGAGGTTCTCCTGGTTGATGCGGCAGGCTATCGCCCAGACGGCCAGAGGGCGGGTCTGGACAGCCGCCTCGAGTGCGTCGGTCAGCACGGCGATGGGCAGCTCCATGTCAAACTTCAAGGCAGCGCGCATGCCGGCCTCCATTTCCTCCAAGGACCATTCGGTGGGTTTTATGATGGGATAGCATATCTTCAATACGGTGGCGATGCTCTTGCTATCTTCTGTGAGCGTGACGGTGGGCCGACCGATTCGGAGGGTCTGGTCGTCAGGAGGAGGTTGAGGGAACTCGAACATGCTCTCGAACACCGGAGAAGCGGCGATGAGGACTTGACTGAACACATAGAAGTCGACGGAATCCGAGGTGCGTAATATGATATCTGCCTTGGGATTGTCGAAAGGAGAGGGTGCAACGGATATCGGAGAGGAGTCCATGGTCCAGTTGTGGGCTTGTGGACGTCCGCTGCAAGGAGAGAACTTGCTTTGTTATCGAGAATGAACCATTATATACCCTACCGCAGCACTCCTGCGGTAATGAGGCGGGCCAATTCATTCGTCCAGTCTGTCACTTCATTGGGACGGATTCTGAGCCTGATGCAGACGGAAATTCTGTTAGACATTTATTATCTGCTTCGAATGTTAGACTGACCAAGAGTTGCAAACGCACAGAGCACGAATTGAAGGCGGAGCGTCCCATGGCCACCGGAAAAGCGCAAAACACGTACCTTTTCGACTCTGCCCCCGCACACGTGGTGGAGATAGAGATAGAGCGCTGAATGTATTACTGTCCGTCTGCCAACAGACTAGCTCCCGCTACTCATCTCCAGCAACGCCTCGATACTCTTCCCCAAATCGCCCTCGTTCGCCTCCAGAACCCAGTCCACGACCTCTATGTCTGTCGATGGGAAGATCTGCCGCAGGGTCTCACGCGCCGCCACGGCCGCCTTCTCATGCGCGCGGTCGATCTCGTCTTGCAAGCCCGCGATGTCTAGGTTCGGCGTTGGTGTTCGTGACACGTGGTTACTGCCCGGGTCCTGCCCCGCGAGCGCTGCGACGCGTGGGTCCTGCAGGTGCTGCGGGCGCGCTGGGACCGAGGGCCCAATAGCGAGTGGGCGGTTCGTCGGCGGGCCAACGCTCTGTGCGCGGAATCGTGTCGGCGTGTCCTCGACGTCTTGCCCAGGCGTTGGTGGTATGTACGGGAACTGCGCGGAGGATGCGGAGCGGATACTAGGTGCGGGTGAGCCACGACGCACGCGCGGCTTGTATGGGGTCTGCAGTGGAGGCTGGTATTCTCCTTGGCTTGTACCGTTGGGTGTCTGCGGAAGGTACGTCTGCGGGTACGCGGAATGTGAATCTTGCGTATACTGCAGTTGCTGCTGCTGTTCACGTCCGAGCTCGAGGGGAGCGAAAGGACCGGGGAGGTAGGATAATGCATCTTCGGCACCGTCAAGGACCTCGTTGAATATTCGACTGATTGCGCTCAATGGCTTTGACATTGTATCGCCTGTCTTCTGCAACAACCGTCGGGCGTCGTCACCAAGGGTCGAACCTGGTGTTGGAGCTGGCATTGAAAGAACTTGTGCGGATTCTTCTCCAGCATGCGAATTTGAAGACGACGATAAGGGAAGGGAAGTGACATGTTCCAACCCTGGAGTCATTGCGCGCTCCGGTGTTTGTGACTCCGTGCTTGGTAGCGATTGGATTGCTTCCTCCACGTTTCTGTCCCAGGTGTCAGATGAGAGGAAATGGCAAGTGAGATTGCGCACCTCTCAAATTCTTCTTGAGAGATATTAGACAGCGAGGTATGGTCCATGGTCTCTATGAATGATACAGCACCCATCTGTAGAATGTCAGAAGACGCAAAAGTGGCCGTAGGAAGAGGGCTGACTAGACTGGAGAGATAATATCCCGCCTCACTCGTTAGCTTCGTCGGATTTCTAAACGGTTGATGAACCTGCAGTATTGAATCGTGAGTTACAGGACCTGCCATAGCATATGAACACGTACTCGACATTCGAGAGGAGATGAGGAGGGTTCGCTTTGATGACGATATAGATGAGAATTGGCACGAAAGTGTCAGCGCCCTCATCCCTACGCAGATGTCGAATTAAACCTTGGGCTCTTGTTAATATTAACCGGAGGCTGGGTGGGGTAGACCAACCGAAGATGACCTTGCAACAGTTCAGAATACAGATCAGTTTGTCGCGTGGCGCTTTGTAGTGGTTGATCTTCAATAGCTCTGCACTGATGGTCAGCAAGGATTGCATCTGAGTCAGGCAAATATCGCACCTTGTTGCGCAAACATCAGGAAACCCTCGCTACCATCTCCTTCAGGAACATCTAAATGTGACGCCTCAAGCCATCCAAATAGAGCTATTCGTTGGGCCAAGACACGGTCACGTTCCAGATCGTCGGTTGTGATGGGGCGTGGGGGTACGGCACGAGCTACTTGAGGGGTGAAAGTGCTTCACAATGGTGAACAGAGGATACCAGAGATTACTCGAGCACTTACAAGTCGTAAAGCCTGTTCATCACTAGCTTCTCCATTCCCTCCATGGCGTTGTCAAACTCTACCTCAGATGTGTTCCTCCACAACTCGCATTCACGCATGCGGGTGGCAATGAACTGGTAATGAGGTCAGTAGAGCGCATATACCCAACATGAGATATGGGCATACGTTCAAGAAATCATTGATGAGCTTAACTTGATCGTTCACAGTGAATGTCGTTTGGCGAAGTTGCCCAAGAACCTGTTCGTCGTCAGCAAATGATAGAGCAGACGACAGCATACTGACATACGACCGCAAGTATTTAGCCACAGGCTCGGCCTGTTTCATCTTCATCTGGTCGAGAAACCTCTGGAAGTCGAATTGCGACGGATCATGGTCCTTGGCCTTCCGGATGGGTGCTTCGTCCACTCCCACTGGCCGTCGGAGGAGTGCTCGCCCCAGTGACCCCATTGGAAGAAGCGAGCGCTGGGGAGGTTTGCTGTTTGGCGAACGAGGACAATGTAGCCGGAGACGGTACTGCAGCCGCCGAATCCATGGAGCGAGGCTTTGTGCCCTTGAGATTGGCAGTGCAAAAGTTCGGGCTAATGCAGCGAGGGAGGGGAAAGAAGGCACGGGGGAGAGGAGCGGATCGGGGTCGATAGAGCACTCGCAGCGGCGGAAGGTTGGGGAGCAGAGGGATCCTTATCCGGGAGTGGTGGTGGTGGTGGGTGACTTTCAGAGCTTGCCCAAGCCCTCCGCGCTTCTTTCTCCTCCGCGTTGGCTAATGGATCGAACTCAGCAAGAACTTCCGGCTTCACGGGAGGAAGCGGTGCGACAATCAACTCTGGAGAGGCTGCCAGCCCTTGCGTGGCTTGCGGGTCGAGCTGCGAGAGATCTGGATCCTTTGGCCCATGGTTCACAGGAGTGTCCGCAGTGGTTTCTTGCCATGGGTTGGGTTCTGGACTCGAAGCCGGAAGGGAGGGAGGAACAGGTGAGGGGTTGTCTTGCAAAGTGACCTTGCCAAGAGCGGCACTCAGAGCTTGGTCTGCCGACATGGAGTGCGACAAGACGAGCAAAGTACTTCAAAGAGGCCTGAAGGCTCAGAAGGAGGTCAGGAGGTGGAGGCGGGAGGAGAGAGGAGAGAGGCGCAGTGCTACTGGGATTCCCAGTCAGAATTGGTCTGGCTGCGCGCAGCTAGCTGCTCCGGCGCGTACCTGCGGCCCGTGGATCCCGCTCCACTGAGGCTCCCGCTCTCCATCTGAATACGCAAAGTACATAAACCTACCACCACTTCTGTAAAGGTCCACCCTGTACACTACGAGGTGAAGCCAATTGGGCCGACTCTTTGGTACTACCTCCATCCTTTCTGTGCTCCACAGCAACGGCATCGCGTTAGTGGCATGGATGTTGAAGAACTCTGGGCATCATCCGGTGTGTTGCACCTTTCGTTTTCCTTTTTGTTCACTGACTTTAAGCTTCCTCATTAGATGAAGATGCGGAAGGCTCTGACGAGTATGAGGAGAGCTCGGAACCGGATAGCTCTCAGGACGACTATGACGATGGTCCAACTGCAGGCCCAAGCAGCCTCGGCATGCGCGACGAAACGCTTGAAGGAGATGCTGATCCCGAGGATGCACGCGTTGAAGCGGCTATCGAGGGAGATTTCGACAGGCTCCTTCAAAACATACGTAACGCGGGGGACGGGTCAAGTCAGGGGATGCTCAACAAGATGTGGGACATCGACCTGGAGGAGCGCGAGGCAGAGTTCAGAGACGACCTGAGGATGGCGTCTGGAGTCGGTGCGGCGAAGGCGAGGAGAAAGGTGCGTATTCGCCGTGCGTATGGGTGTGCGCGCGAGTCCTAACGTGTCACTATCTCTGTAGCGAGGAAGACGGCGCGGCGTCGTTCTCTCGCAACAAGTACGCGCTCTCATTGGCGAGGGAAATCAGGCGTACGTCGACGCGAACTACCCCGAGACAGTCCGAATCATGCAGGAGGTCATTCGCATTGAACCTCGTGCGGCTCCGGCATGGAGCGTGCTTGCACAATGCTACGACGAGATGGGCGAACCTGGGAAGGCGTTGCAGCTACGCATTATGGGTGCGCATCTGAACCACGACGCGGATGAGTGGGCGGACTTAGCTAGGTTATCAAGGTATGTGTTTATTGCATAGCGTGGGAGCGCACACATGTTGACGAAAGGAACACGCCAGGGAGAAGGGTTTCAACCAACAGGCGTTGTACTGTTATGGGAAGATTTACAATCTAGATCCGACGAATGTGAGCGCACTTTGGGACCGTGCTCAGCTAGCAAAAGAGATTGGAGAGTTGAAAATTGTGAGTTTTTCGTCCCGTAGCAGAAGATTCTCACTAAAACGGCGCGCATATAGGCACGGTCTACCCTCATTGCGATGCTGAACCGCTTACCCAACAACATCCCGTTCTCGACCAACTGCATCCCATCCTCATCGAACTTTCCGACCTCGCCAACTGTGCGAAGCTCTTTCAGTCGTCCTTTGAGTATTACATGGCGACCTTCCCACCAGGACGTGGTGTAGACCGAGATTCTGGCGCAGATGTGCCCGGAGGTGGCTTCGGTCTCATGCACGTCCTTATCCTTGCGGACCTATACAACACCCTCGGTGAGTATCCACGAGCAGCGGATGTCATCAGGCAAGGATGTAGGTGGTTGCAGGGACGTGCGTCACAAAAGTTTTGGGATTCATGCGAGGACGATCGAGAGTGGGATGTGCCAGAGGGTGGGGTCACAAGAGGCGGGGAAGGCGAGATGCCTCCAGGGATGTATCCTCTGGATGTGAACGCCCGACATCGACTCGCCATTGCGAGGATCAAAAACGGGGATATCGAGGAGGGCAAGGTGCGCACCCTCTGTTCAATATCTTCGCAGTCGTTCTAATCCCTTCATCGTAGATGCATGCAAAACTCGTGCTGGCGCAAGACGTGGCCGAGTACGCGCCCCTGTTTTCGGAAATCGCGGACGCGTACTTTGAGAAGGAGATGTACCCAGAAGCTGGGCATATCTATGAGATGCTCGGGGGCGACGCGGGAGTGAGTGAACTGAACGTGTATAGCTTCGTGAAGGACACTGAATGTCGCTTAACTTGACAGACAAGTAGCATGTACGTGCTGCTCCAAGCTGCTGCGTGTCGCCGGATGGTTGGTGACCTAAAGGAGGCGGCCGAGGTGTACGAGCACGGTTGGATTTTCTCAAATTGTTGCAACGCACCCTCGCATTGACTCGAACCCTAGTCATCCAAGCCGATCCAACGCACAACGATGCGAAGATGTCCCTGGCAGAGGTTTACGAGATCTTAAACGAGCCGAGGAAGGCCCTCGACCTCGTCATGCAAGGTAAATCTGACCTTCATCGATGTTCCATGCAGCTGACAGCATATAGTCATCGAATCCCGGCGAAAGCGCGGGGCCCAACGCACCGCGCCAGACGCAGGAGAGCCTGGTTCTACTTCGCTGTTCGAAGAAGGAAAAGCCCGTGGCACCCCCGGGAAGACAAAAACCAAGTCGAACGCTAACAAGCTTTCGGCGACGCAACTGCGAGAGCTTGAGGCGCAGAAAGAACGCGAAGCTGTTCAGCAATGGCGACGCGTGCAGGAGCTGTGGCCACGCGTGCTCGCTGACGACGATGAAGCACTCAGGGAATGGCTCATTGAGGCGGAGAAGCTGATCGAATCGTTCCGAGAGACGAGAGCGTTGTTCGTGACTAGCAGGGTGCGTCCCTTTGGTAATGGACTGTGGATTGTATGCTCATGTTTGGATAGCATCGCGGTTTTCGGGGAATGTTCCCCCGTAGTTCGAAGAAACAAACGGCGGAAGCTAATGAAGACAATATGGCGTCTCGGCTTCAACTTGAACTTGGTTAGCACTCACCCGGCCTTCGATTTGCTGTCACTCAACGATATGTGATATCAGGGAGGGAATCTCTTTCCCGGAAGTCATCCACAAAACTGAGAGTGTGGATAACTTCCGTACAATCCCCTTCGATGACTGGCTGCGTTTATTCTTGCATGTTGAGTTCGTTGTTCCTCGTGATGCATTCCCAAATCTCACACCCTGCGTTTAGTACGCGTTCCTTCTCACTCGTCGAGGGCAGTACGACCTTGGCAACGAGATCCTCAGCATCTGCTTTTCTCCAGCGCGTACCAGTCGCGCTCGTCGCAGGACACTATCCGGTTAGGCTAATAAGTAAGTCGCACCTAATCAGTCGGATCAACTTAGAGCTTATACCCCGATGCAGCAATAGCAATCCATGCAGACAAGTTCCACACAGTCGTCGAGCACGTCAGAAAGATCATCAACGGTCATCAGTTCAACAACGAGCCCATCCGGATCCTAGTCTCCTCCCTTGCGAGTGGATTGCGCGCAACGGACGCATTCCTGCTATCGACGCTATCCAAGCACCTCCTTCGAGAAACTCGGCTCGCCGATGCTGCCGTTCGCGATCCGGAAAGCCTCCGATTCAATAATGCTCAGCGCCGCTGGGGAATGACCACCGCCTCCGTCAAGGCCGACCCAGACGATGCCCCCGACGACGACGACGATGTCGAAGCGTCCGCCGTTATCGAGCTTGAGAAATCAGCACTCCCTACGAAGCCAAACCCCCTCAATGTCGCCGTCTACGGTCAAATTCTGATGTCGGCCAGGAGTTATCAAAGCGCACTATGTGAGCGCTACCGCCGTGCTATACGGCATTACGATACTCACGTCCCCCAGTTTATCTGTTGCAGGCTTATGACCACGCTCCGGACGACCCTATGATCTGCTTGTCCCTGGCAGTAGCCTCTGTTGGGCGTGCAATGCAGCGACAGTCCGACAACAGACATCATCTCATTACACAGGTGCGTGTATTCTGCGCTTTCTCAACAGTACCTGGCTAATGTTGCTTCTAGGGCATGGCATTCTTGACTCGCTATCGAGAACTACGAGGTGATTCTGCCGCTGGTATGGAAGAAGTTGAGTACAACTTCGGACGTGTTTTCCAGCAGCTTGGTAAGTCAGTTGCATCTCTGGGCGACATGCTTGCCGACGCGAGACGCAGGCCTTCATTCTCTCGCAGTCAAGCACTACGAGAGAGTTCTAGAGATGGCAGAGAACAGGTCGAAAACCAACCATGAGGTGCGTTCCATGCGTCTTACTAGGTTTATCTTCTTATTCTGATCTTTCGTAGGACGTCGGACTGGCCCTCGAAACGGCCTATAACTTATCTCTCATCTATGTCACAACTGGCGCCACATCGCTCGCGCAGGCTCTATATCGTCGATGGTTGTCGCTCTAGCCGCGAGTAACTGCATTCTTGTTGTCTTGTTGTATCCATACCATCTCGTAATTCTTTCACTCGCCATTCTTCCAAGAATCCCCTGTCTGGATCACTTTGTTCGCTGGCTGGTACGAATCCTATACGTTCTCTATGATCGCCTTGTTAACATATCTGCAGCATACCATCGCCGGCCGGCTCGAAAAAGCATCTTCTCGATTCCTCAGCGCAACCCCACGTACCCTGAATAGTTTGACATACTCTGCCCCCGCTGTTCAATGGCCCACGGCCCCTCCCTGCGCAGCAGCTGCCGCACCGCGACCAATGCCTCTCCCAACTCACGCTCGTCCACCGGCTCTCCACGGTTCGACAACTCCCTCAGCATCTCATTGAATGCCCACGTCACCGCTTCCTCCTCCTCCTCCTCCTCCCACGTCCGCGGCCTCGCGGCGGGCTGCTCGTCCGGCACCCGCGACGCCGCGCCCCGGTCCTGCTCCTGGTACTGCGGCCACCCGGCGAACCGTGGCCCCAGATGCACCACGTGCGCACTCCCATTCGCATGCGCGTGCGGCTGCGGCCGCGGCACCCAGTTGTAGTGCACCCGCGGCTCCGGCACGTGCGGGGGCAGCGGGGGCCACGGCGGCGCGAGCGCGGACGCGGGCCCGATCGCCGCGCGTGTCTGCAGGTACGCCATCCACTCCGCGCGGCGGCGCGACTTGTCGAGCACCGCGCGGAGCAGGGCCGAGCGCAGGGGGCCGACACGCTGCGTCGTGGGTCGTCAGCAGATTGCAAGCTACAGCCGGCGCAGACTCGCCTCGTCGACGTTAGGGTCGGGCCTGTTCCGGTCCTCGCTCGGGGCCGGGCTGCGGCGGGAAGGTGTGGGCGCGGGCGAGGGGTTGCTCTGCGTGGCGGTGAAGAAGTCGGTGCTCACGCTCGCGCTGGGGCTCGAGATGGGCTCGTAGTCGCAGTCGGGCTCGGGCTCGGGGCGGGGGTCTTTCATGCGGGGCTTGGGGGTGGCGGCGGGGTCGGAGTAGCTCATTGTAGGCGCTGTTGGGTGCGTATCAGGGTTCACGTGTGCGGTCTTGCGCTTATGGGCGTTCCTCGCAGTTGTTCTCGCAGTGGCGGTGGCCCGTTTTTGTGCGCGTCGGATGGAGGAGGTGAGCGAGTGCACTGTCTCTCTGCGCTTCCAAGTTCGCCAGTGCTTATATGCGTGCATCGTAGGCAGGTGTGGTATGAGGCGGAGGGGCTTGAGCGTTGCGACGCTGTGGTAGATGGACAAAGATGGTGTGTGCATGTACATAGACGCGTTACTCCCTCAGCGTGGCCGTGGAGGACCCTTTGTGTTGACACGTTCGGGACCACGACGCATACAAGGGTCCTGGTTGTGTTTTTGCCGACCACTAGTGGCGCCCAGCAACATGGCAGCCGTGACAAGAATGGACATCAGCCGGATGGCGCTTGTAGACCAAGCGCTTCTGAAGAACCTCCACAACGTTTACTGCCCACCGGGGATGGTTATGGTGTGTACAGTGCACAAGTTCTGTGTGGTATGTAGCTTGGTGACACAGTCCTGTTGGTGACTTGCCACGCACCAATCGGAACCGGGCTGCCACCCAACCCGGTCGGTGACGAAGTGGAAGGCAGCTGGGGAAACCTCGCCCAGACGTCCACCACCACCACCACCACCACCACCACTACAATACTTTCCCATCGTACTACAGCTGTCTCCATCTGGTCATTCATTTGTATCCGGCGATCGTCGAAGTGCACACCCTTTTGCAACCGTCTATAGTAGACGTATGTGAGCTAAAAGGAGAGACATCCATAGCGTTACAGGCCTTCGCTCTGGGTTCGATAGAGGATTCGATAGAGGAAATTAGCCTTCGCGAGCATGAGTGTCGGGACTGGTACATACCGTGGGGCTGCGAGCGCGATGTAGGGAAAAGAAGCCCTAACTCTGTACACTAGCACTGCAGAGATCCAATTTCCTCGGTTGCGCCCACCGATGTAAGTGCTAATCCCGCACAGTCGCAACAGCCCATAGCCCTGCTTCTGTTGTACGGAGATTTTATGGAGCGCGTCCAGCACCGTACACGATTCTTCGGGCTCGATGGTGCGTCTCACCGAAACCTCGTGCATGTCAGCCGTTAAATCAAACAGCGGTCGGGAGATGGTAGCCTCAGAGCTGGCGAAAGGCGCTATTTCCGATCTTTATGCTCAGCTCAGGGCATCGTCATGCACCTGCAGTTGAAATGAGCGTGGACTCTGGGTTTGCAAGGGATGAAATAAATGTTCTCGCCTAGGCGGGGGGAAGGGGGCTGACGCCGCGCTTTCCTGCACGCGATTCACCGCCGAGTCCATGGAGAGCCTGCGTGCGCACTACATATGCATATGACGCAATCAGGGCATTGCGAGAGATACCTGAGTCACTAAGTTCCACAGAGAGAGAGAGAGACTCGGGCAGTCCTATACCGTAAGCACGGCAGCACGCCGACTCCCGCGCTGTCCTGTAGGCGTCCCGTCGTCAGACGAGTGGCCGCACACTGCACAGAGCACGCCCAGACGCCGGCCGCAGGGGAGGCGCCGAAGAGGTTTCTCGAAACGGACGCAGCTGACAAAATGAGTGATCGATGTCCCCGTCCTCCTCCGTCTTCTCTCTGACAAAGCTCATCCTCCCATTCTTTGGCCAGCTTGCATCACACAGCGTGTATTGTCACCATGGCTGAGCTGACGCATATACCCCCATAACCGTGCGCCGAGGCCATCCCGGGTATGAAATCACCGCATGTCCTGTCCGACATATCGTCCCCCGCGGTGTATAAAATCGACGCAGGCCGGGGCAAAGCACTTCGTCTCATCAGCCTCTGTCTCCAGTTTCCCCCTCTCCCAAAACTTGCATCTTCACCTCCGCCATGTCCGCCACGCCCAAGCTTTTCCAACCGACGAAAGTCGGTGACATCACCCTCGCCCACCGCGTCGTCCTCGCCCCCATGACCCGCCTACGCAACACCGACGCGCACGTGCCGACCGTGCTCGGGCTCGAGTACTACAGACAGCGCGCCAGTGTGCCTGGGACGCTCCTCATCACCGAGGCCGCGTACATCGCTGCTCAGGCCGGCGGGCAGCCCAACGCGCCCGGTATCTACAACGCTGAGCAGATCGCTGCGTGGAAGACGGTGCGTCCTTCTCCTTCCTCTTTATCCTCTTCCCCCTTCTGCGTCCCGTGTCGGATATTCGAAGCCCGGGGTCCATGATGTCACGCTCGGGCTTTGGGTTCCAGGGCTGGAGCTCCGAAGCTACAGCTACTTTGCCCTTTTTCGACTGCTCTCTCTTGCGTTCGCCACGATCGAATGCTGACACCGAGGCTGTGGTCACAGATCGTCGATGCGGTGCACGCGAAGGGCTCGTTCATCTACCTCCAGTTGTGGGCACTCGGTCGTGCAGCCGCCCCGCGCTCTTCAACAAGGAGTTCCCCGACTACCCCTACGTCGCAGCGTCTCCCATCCCGCTCAGCGAGCACCCCGACGACATTCCCCGCGCGCTGACCATTGACGGTGAGCTTTCTTCCATCAGTCGCTATCGCCCTGGGGTCTCACACCCGCTCAGAGATCCGCGAGTACGTCAACTGGTTCGCGCAAGCCGCCAAGAACGCGGTCGACGGTGCGGGCTTCGACGGCGTCGAGGTCCACGGCGCAACGGCTACCTCCCCGACCAGTTCCTCCAGGACGTCTCGAACACGCGTACGGACGTCTACGGTGGCTCCGTCGAGAACCGCGCGCGCTTCATGCTCCAGGTCGTTGACGCCGTCACGCTCGCCGTCGGCCAGAAGAAGACCGCGCTCCGGATCAGCCCGTGGAGCGAGTACCAGGACATGCGCATGAAGGACCCCGTCCCGACGTTCACCTACCTCGTGCAGCAGCTCGCGAAGCGCTGGCCCGACCTCGCGTACCTCCACGTCGTCGACGCCGGTGGTCCGGGAAACAAGGGCCCGAGGACCCAAAGGTGCGTTTCTTCTCCTAGTTGACCTCTCGAGAGAGACACCGCGAGCTGACTGCGCGGGTGCAGCAACTCTCGTTCGTCCGCGACCTCTGGAGCCCGCGCCCGCTGGTCTCGACTGGGGGCTACGACCGCACGGGCGGCGTCAAGACCGCGGAGGAGACGGGCCAGCTCATCGGCTACGGCCGGCCGTTCGTCGCGAACCCGGACCTGCCGTTCCGGCTGCAGCACGACCTCGCGCTCGCCCAGACGGACTACACACGCTCTACGGCCCGAACAGCGCCGAGGGCTACACAACGTACCCGTTCTCGGAGGAGTTCGTGAAGGCCGAGCAGGCGAAGGCCGCCGTCCCCGCGACGAAGGAGAAGGGGTCGGCGGCTCACACGAAGGAGGTGAGCGAGAAGAGCGGGAGGAAGAGGCGGCCGATGTCGCAGCTGTGGGCAAGCTCAAGAAGATCGTGGCGTAGCGCGGTCGACGCGGCGGCTGGGTGTAACTTATTCGGTCGTGGACGTACTGTAATTCTAATATAATCTCGGGATTTGCCTCTTTGTCTGCGTCTGCGTGCGCGTGCGGCGTTGGATGCTACTCGTGAGTGCACACAGGGTCAGACGAGTGCCAAAAAAGCCCCAGCTGACGTCGGACGGCTTTCGAGCGCAGAGCTGCTGCCGATGAGCGCAGGTCGATCATGTCCTGACTCCCGAGGCCTTGGGAGGTTATGCGGTGCTCTCACTGAAATGCCGTCACAATCATGGCCTGGATGACCATGTTGTTATTACAGCAGTCGCTCGTAGCAATGAGCAATTTCATCATAGAAGTAGCGAAGGACACCGTGTATGAGGCTGTCGGGGCACGACAAAGGACGAACATTAATCCCACTGAGAGAAAGAGTGGTGATCGGGGTCCCGTGCTCGGTATCCTGAAGTTCGATCCACGGCCCTCCCAAATTTCTACGATACCCCTGAATGGATGCAGCGCCCAGTAGGTCGAGAGTACCACCGTGCAGCCCAAACGACGTGTACATCCTCATTGGCGTGCATAGGTAGGTGTACATCCCCAGTCTGGTGCCCTGAACCATCATCTCGCCCAGAAGTATCGTACAAACTACATCATCTCACAGACTACATACATGATAATCGTACATTTGCAAATATCACTGCTGCCCTAGTCGTACACACGAAAGCCGCGAGACGGCGGCAGACACCCCGGGATCCCAGCCTTTATCCAAGGAGATCCCGAGGCCGCGACCGGAAACCTCAGAATCCCAGCTTTTGTCCAAAGAGATCCCGAGACTGCAACCGCGACCGGCCGAGCGAGCGGCGCGCCCGCTCAGCCGGTCGCACCCCGCCTCCGGCGGAGCCCAAGCCCGGGCAGCGCGACGTGCCGCTTCGTCGTTGCGGCGGCAGCAGCGGCGGCGGTGCCCTTGGCCTCGGCCTCGGCCTCCATCTCCTCGAGCAGGAGGCTGAGCTCCTGGAAGCCGCGCTCGAGCTCCTCTTCGATCTCGTCGTCCAACGCGCCGCCCGCGAGCCTGAGCTTGAGCTCGAGCGCGTCGCCCCAGTCCGAGTCGGGCGCGAGCGCGAGCGCGGCCGCGCAGCCCGAGGGCGCCTCGAACTCGCCGCACGCGAAGCCCGGCTCTGCGTCCGCGTCCGCGTCCGAGGCGAGGCGGACGCCGATCGCGGCGTTGGGGTTGCGCTGGCCGACGATCCAGTCGAGCGCGTACCATCCGGGGCTCGGTGCGGCCGCGGCCGCTTCTTCGACGTCGTCGTCATCGGCGGTGATAAGGGGGGCCTTCTGCCCGCGCGCGGCCGCGGTCGCGGCGAGCGTGGGCTTGGGCGGGTATCCGTTCGCGATCCAGACGCCCTCGGAGGGCACCGCGCCCTGGTCGGCGTTCGGTTTCAAACGGGCGTGGGTGGGGGGCTTGGTGGTGGGAAGGGTGCGCGTGGCGGCGACGCCCTCGCGCTCGAGACGGGTGGCGCGCGCGGCGAACGCGCCCTGCGGGGTCACCGGCCGCGCGTAGCCGAGCCCTGGGGGGAATCGCGGGGGCGACGGGGTCGCGTAGATCACGCCCTCGTCCGCGTCGTCCGCCGCGGGCGCGGGCGTCGGGGTGCGGGGCGTGGGCCCGATGGGAGCGAGCGCGGGGACCGGGCCGAGCGGGGGACCAGCCTTGAAAGGGGGCCAGGGCGGGGCGATTGCCGCAGGGTCCGGGTTGAGCTTGTAGAGGGCCCAGCTGCGGCGCCAGGCGTTGTCGATGCGCGCGGCCTGCTTGCGGACGGGGCTCTCGACGATCTGTGCGGGGGGAGGCGCGGCGCGGGAGGGGGCGCGGGGCACGTCAGCGTGACGTAGGGCGGGAGGTCAGGGTGGGCAGCAGCACGCACCGGGTCGCGGTCGCTCAGATCGTTGTCGAAGGCGGCGACGGAGGGGTCGACGCTGAGGAGAACGGCCTTGTGCGTCGCCCAGGCCTTCTCGGGGCGGGGGTGGACGATCTGGACGAGCTTGCGGGACGCGCGATCGCGGTGGAGGGTGACGGAAGGGAGGGTCATGTCGTGAATGGGTCGTGGCAAGGAGAGGAATCTGTTGTCGATCGGGAGTATCTATCCACAGCGAAGCGGACGAGGACGTTGTGGTGGTATAGGATGGACGGAGAAGAGGACGGGGGAGAGAGGAGATGCGAGCGATGGATGGGGCGCAGATGGCTGCAGGACGCAACGCGGGAGCAGATAGGCGCGCCGGACAATCAAGACGCGTCCGGGCGTCTCTGATTCGGAAAGCGAGCCCGCAAGTCACATGTAGCGTGTCCGCCGTTCCCACCGCCCATCTGCGCCCGATCTCGTCCATCGCGTCGTTCTATCGATCCAGCCGTGGACAGCATCGAGCGATCTGGGCGGGCGTGCGAGGCTGGCGCGGGAGTGGGCTGTGGTTGGCGCGATGACAAGGGGGACCTCGGCCCTCACCCATATGGTGAACGTGAGGAAGAAGACGAACGTGATTCCCCTGGCACTGCTTCCGCGATGCCGGCGTTCCTCAATTCATTCTGCAGATCGTCTCGAAGGTGGGGACCACACCCTCAGCATCAGTTTCTGGTCTGCCTCGAAGCGAGCGCTCAAGCGCTCAGCACTCGGCCTTTGCCCTTGACAGGCCAGAGAACGCCTAGGCCTTCGCGAGCTCCACGATCCGTGCTGGAAACCCCAGACGCAAGTCGACATCACGGTTCACTTGCAGGACATCCGTCGACTTGCCCGCCGGGATGTCCCTAGACGTCGTTCGTTCGCGTTCAGTGAGCTGAAGCACTGAGATCTGAGACCTTGTCCAGACACTCAGAGTATGCAGCTCTTAATTCACGATGTGATCTCAGAACAACGTTATGTAATCACGACCCTCAAGGGCGTTGAATGGAATAAAAACGAACGTAGGCGCTACAACAGGCCGGATGCAACTACGATAAGTATGTACAGCAGAAGTGTCACAAGTCGAATGGGATACAAAAAACCGAGGGCGCTCCAGCAGTCCTGATACAGGCTATGAAGATCAACATATTAAATCACGAAATGTACAGCCGTGGTGTCACTGCGAGTCCATAGGAGTTGGACATTCGAGCTCGACAGACCGACTTCGATCAAGTACTTGGGAAGACGAACGCAAGGGGGAAAGAGTGGAATGGCTTCGGGAGCGCAAGATGTATGATTGAAGCTCTCTGCGAGGATTAAAAAACCGGCAATGTCAGCGCATCTGGCCTGCGAGGAGGGAACGAGGTACGCACGAGACGGGGTGTACTCATGCCCGCATCGAACGATGCGTGACCTTCTTAGAGGAACAGGCCGAGCCCGTTGGGGACCGCGGAGAGCGGCAGGTGCGGCGCGGCCGAACTGGCGGCCGCAGTAGCGGACGCGGCGGCAGCGGCGGCGCTGTTGGCGACCGGGGTCGGCTCCCCGATGATGGCGCCGGCGAGCTCCTGGATGACCTCCTCGAGGCCGCCGAGGTCGGGGGCCTGGCGGCGGCTATAGTGGCTGGGGAAAGGATCGGGGTAAGAGTACACGGAGGTGGGGGGGACGCCAGTCGGGAAGGCGCCGTGGCCAGTCAGGGGGGGTTCAGTGGGGAAAGGGTCGCTCGGGAAGGGGTCGCTCGGGAAGGGGTCGCTAGGGAAGGGGCGCTCGGGAAGGGTCGCTCGGAAGGGGCACTGGGGTAGGGAGCGTGGCTGGGGTAGGGAGCGTGGCTGGGGTAGGGAGCGCGGCTGGGGTACGGGTCGCTCGGGAAGGGTCGCTCGGGAAAGGCCGGCCGGGAAGGACACAAGAGTGGTGGGGATAGGGTCGGGGACGGGGTCGGTGGGGAAATGGTGGAGGCTAGAGTCGTCGCGTTGGACGAGGGGAAGGGCATAAGCGGCAGCAATGGCCGAAAGAGTGACAAGGATGGTGGAGAAACGCATGATTCCTATCGTAGTGGAACTAGATGAGTGACGGTGGCAAGGGCGGCGGGAAATAAGCGGACCTAGGCAACAGGGCAGAGTGCAGAGTGTACTGAGCTGGAGCACTACGCCTTCGCTGAGACCCTTATATACGCTCGAGAGTGGTGCGAGCATAAATCTTTGCCTGTCGGACGAGCACACCCCACTTTGCACCTCGCTTCCTGGGTGCAGTGAGAGAACGGTATGCGCTCAGTACGGGTCTAGCCATTCGCCTTGCTCTCGTCGATGGGATGGTATTTTCCCGAATGGCATGTTTCGATGGGCTGATATCTGCAAGCGAAGACAGAAATTCTTCAGTGTAGGGGCCGAAGAAAATACAACATGGATTGCCTTTCCTACCTAATAGAAGATGGCGCGACCACTTGCTTCGCTGCTCTCATGTGAGATGTGCGACCGCGCCCTCCTCATTCGGGGTTGTAGCAATGATCCAGTGATTAGAGAATGCCTAAGTAGAGAGGGACCGGGCGTCGCGAAGGCAAATCCCGCAGAAATCCAACTAGGCTCCGGGGTTTGAACGGAGTCAGCTCATGGTGAGGCTTTAGCTGCAACGCACGACACGGCTGCACGTACCGTTACATTAAAATCCCGGCCCCAAGCCTTTCTTGAACCATTGGGTCATCCACGAAGAACTTGGACCCACGTGGATGCGCGGAGTATACTTTAGAAGCGCAAGGCTTCATTCCCACACATGGATTGCCCCACATAGACTTCCGCTTGTAACAGGGAACCACCGCGTGAGGACCATTATGTAGCCGGCACCCAGAGATGCCGCTATCCTGTGAATCGACACAATACTGATCAGCATATTCGGCCAGAGCGCCGCCGAAGCGAGCATGGGTACGTACACGAAGCACGGAGGTTGGAACCGTCCGCTGCAGATATTCGCCGAGCCGCCGAAGTGTCATGGTGTGCATTTTGGCGTCTGCTTTCGGACTGCTTGGGCTAGTTAGAGCGATCCAGTGCGAGTGTTTCTGTTGGAAGACTTACTTGCATGCATGCTTATGGCTCGAGAACAGCAGATGGCGCACAGTGCCGCGAGACGGCGGCACAACTTGGAGGAGAGTGGTAAGCGTGTGACGAGAGCCCGCATGCAGTGCGATCAATTCTTCCCGTCTACTCAACACCGACTGCGCAAGGCACAGAGCCGAGACCCGTTCCTGTTCTCGGGCCTGCCTGTCCACGGTGGACGTACGACGCCGCGATGTGCCTCTGTTCCCCGCCAACTGCACAGGTGATACGACCTGGATGCAGTAAAACCCAGTCAGCACCGAGCTCGAGCGGAGGTCGCGCACGTACATAAGGCTCTCACCGAACGGGAGCAACCCCACAGCCCACCGAGCTCTCACCTCTCTGCGACTTCCTCACCCCCGAACCACCGAAGCCCAACGTGAGCCCGCACCGCCCTCGGCCTCGGCCTGCAGAGGATCCTGTCGCTCACCGCCCACTGTCCCACAGCGCAGACATGCAGTCCCGCCTCGCTCTCGCTCTCTCGTCCCTCGTCGCCGCCGTCGCCTTCGCGGCGTCGGCGACGGCGCTCCCGTCCGCCCCCGAGCCGACGATCACGGTCGGGGTGCCGCTGTGCGCGGCGCAGGGCTTCCCGTGCACGAACACCGGCGCGCTGCCCTGCTGCCCCGTCGCCGGGGTCAGCGTGTTCTGCAACCTCCAACTCGGCACGCCCGACGCCAGCATCGGGGTACGTCGGATCCCGTCCCCGTTCCCCGTGGTGGACCGTCACGCTGACGACTGTGGTGGTTTGTGGCCAGATCTGCGCGCAGCGGTGAGGATCGCGGTGCGTGGATGTGAAGGGGAACGAGGCACCGCCGGGGGGATGGGACGCGTTGGCCGGAGAGGGCACAAGGGAGGGCAGAGGGAGGGCGGGCCGGGGCGTAGCCACGGAAGCGGCTCCCACCCTCAACCTTCTTTCGCTTTGTCGGCCACGCGCGCGAATTTATGGTTTTGAACCCGTTCGAAGCACCGCTGCGTCCGCGATACGCTGCTGATCCGTCTCGCCCAGGGCCGCGCCCCCACGCCGGCCACGCCAGCCACGGCCGGTGCGCGCGGTATTAAGCTCCATTGTGCTCTCGTGCCGCCGTTGACGCTCGGTCTGTTGCCACTCCGACATGAGGCCTGAGGCTCGCCACGCGCTGCGGGCGAGGAGACGAGCGTCGGCCTGGGGGCGGCTACTGCAGGACGCGCAACGCGCGGGGGGGGCGCGACGTGTAGGTGCGCGCGAGCCTACAATATGTCCGATCGCGAGGCGGCATCGACGTCATGCATATGTTGCGCCGTGGCAGGGTGGATTGGAGGCAGAGACTTGCGATGGAGGGGACGGGCCAGTCCCGCAGACACGGAGTGCAAAGGACGGCTCGCCGACCCGCCGCGCCCACGGACGAGGGCCTGGAGCGGGGCAGGCAGGGGAGGCTTCCTCTGGTCGAGCTGCGCGACTGAAGTGGCAAGAGACGGGAACAGCACGTGACCGGTATGACCCGCGCGCATTGCCGCGCCCCACGCGTTAAAGCAGCGCGCGGGTCCTCTTCCCGACCACCCCTCCTCTGGTCTTCCACTCCCCCCTCCCGCGCACAGTCGCATCTATACCCCTCGCGCAGTACCGCACTCTCCGCCACGATCTTGCACATACACGAGTGAGTGGTACACACCGCGGTCGACAGCCTGGTGTGCACCAACTGACTCGGACGACATCCAGCCACCCACACACAGCGACCATGACCACCCTCTCCCCACTCGCGCTCCCCTATCTTATAAGCTGGGGACGAAATCGTTTGGGACAACATCCCCTTTGCCTCGACGCCGGCCGACGAGGCCAGCCCCAACACAGGAGCAATGCTCCGCCGCCGCCGGCCCCGCATGGGCGCATACTTGACTGTGAGTACTCACCTCCGCCGCCACCCGCTGTTGCGCCCGCTTCCCCCGCCCTCCGGCCTATCGCACACCCCTCGCCCCCTTCTGTCCCTCCCCACACGCGTTCCCGAGCTCTTCCAGATGGCGCACCCCGTCCTGATCCCCCTCCCTCGCAGCTCACCCCCATGGCGGGGGACTACTGCCCCTGCCCCGACGACCCGCGCGAGCTCGCCCCGCTGCCCGACAACTGCTTGGGCCTCGTGGGGGTCGACATCCCCCACCACACAGATGAAGACGTGCGGCCCGCCCCCAGCCCCACCTTCGACCGTGCCCCGGGGGGGTGGGTGCAGCCGCGGTCGAAGTGGCTGGCGCTTCTCGGAGAGCAGGTGCGCGCTTGCTGCTTGACTGCGTTCCGCGGAGCCGACCGACTGACGCCCGTGCTTGACTTGGTTTCCGCAGACGCGTGCTCGTGAGGAGGCGTCCGATGGCGAGGGCGTCGACGAGAGCGAGACGCAGGGGGCTCCGGTCCCCGCGTCGAGCGACACCGTGGAGGCCGCCGCGGCGCCGAACGAGGTGTCGGCCGTCGCCCGCGCGCTCGAGAACGTGGTGGTGGACGACGACGAATATGCGGAGGGCGAGGACGCGCCGGACCGGCACACGCACCGGTCGTACTCGAGCACGTCCGCGGTGACCGCGGCGACGGGCGCAAGCTTTTTCAGCGCCGTGGAGGGCCGCGCGGACACGCCGGCCACCGACGTGGACGACGCGGAGGTCCCGGCGTTCGTCAAGGATGTGTACGAGCCCACGCCGCGCGAGCGCAAGAAGAAGAACAAGCTGAGGAAGAAGGGGAAGGGGAAGAAGACCAGAGACGTCGTCGACTCGCCGGGGGCGCTTGGCAAAGGCGTCGTCGAGACCGGGGATGTTGTCGGAGGTGCGTCGTACTGCGTCGTGGACGCGTCGGAGCCGTGGGGGACGTCCAAGGAATTTACGGGCGTGCGTCGTGTCGCAAAGGGCAGGGTGGGGAAGAGTCGGGCGAAGTCGTCCCCCTTTGTGTAGAAGTGGAAGCAGGAGTAGGGATCGCGAGCAGTGCGTGTTGAGGAATGAGGAAGTTAACATAGGATATGTACCGCTAGATAGGACCTGAAGGCCTGAAGCTTGAAGTTTGAAGGCTGGTATGTTCATTGTTGGTTGATGTTTTGTGGCTTGGGAAAGTTGTGATTGGGATGTTCTCGGATGTATTAGGGATACGATATGTGGCTCCACGAAGGATAACACAATGGCATTTGACGGGTGCGCACAATAGACGAGATTTCAAGCATTCAGAGTGGTATGAAGGAAGAGGAAGGGAAGGAAGTGATCGAGGGAAGGCAATTGATGCCAGCGTGCAACGTATGACGCTACGTTTTTTTATGTCCGTGTATAACATTAGTAGGGTGGTATTTATGGCCGCCTGGCGTAATGGCAACGCGTCTGACTACGATTGAGTGATCAGGAGATTGCAGGTTCGACCCCTGCGGTGGTCAGGATTGAGGCTGGATAATTGCTTTTTATTATAGATCCCGCATCGGCGTTTAATGTATGAAATGCCCGATAGCTGCCCGATCGGCGATAGCCCGCCGCGTGTCCCGATGACGCTTCCCTTCCATCTACTGACGACCTCCACCTCTGCACTCGACCTCACAGGCCCAAGCCGTAGCACAAGCCTCTGGGGTCGGCGTGAGCGCGTGCACAACGTGCGTGCCGCCATTGCTATGCTCATGATGCTGCACAGGTGACGGTACTAGGGCGGGGAGGGCGCAGCGATGGGGAGCTGACGACCTTGGACGAGCGGTATGTTTGACAGGGAAGGGTCGGGCGTGCGTGGGAAGTACGCCAGAGAACGTTCAATGTGCGCAGGGAGAGAGGGCACACCGACTGCCCCAGAAGGAGACTGGCGTGCCTCTTCCTCCCCTCGGGCCTAAGCACGTCACGAGCGGACGGCTTCCCGCCCGAGGACCCTGCTCGCCCCGCACGATCGCTCGCCCCATGTCATCTGCGAATACATCCCGAGCGTGGCGCGCGTCGTCCGCTAGCTATGTCCAGCCAACGCCCACCACCTCCCGTCCCCGCGCCCCCCACAACTCCCTCCCCTCCGCCCCCTCCCTCCGAGCCCCGCCATGCCCATGCTCGTCGACACCGCTGAGCTCACCGGCCTCGCCGTCGAGGGCCCTCTCTATGGTGTGCATACACCCACCTCCTCGTCTACCCTCGTGCTCACTCCACCTCTCTGATTTCCAGGCGTCTTCCTCTGCATGTTCGTCGTCTGCGGCCATGATCTCTATCGCCGCGCCGCCCGGCGCGAGACCCGTCTCAGCTGGCCCATGGTCACCACCGGCCTCTCGCTCATTTTGCTTGCCACCGCCCGCTTCGTGCTCAACGTCGCCTACGTCTTCCTCGCCTTCATCCACCAAGAGACTCGGCCCGACCGTATCGCCTTTATCCGCGATCTCACCCAACCCATCTTCCTCGCCCGCCACTGGATCTTCCTCGTCGTCCAGCTCATCGGCGACTCCTTCGTGGTCAGTCCCTCGCCCCTCGCCCGTCTTGTCCCTCCATGTGCTCATCTTTTCATTTTGGCAGATATACCGCTGCTGGGTCGTCTGGGGCAGGAACACCTGGATTGTTATCCTCCCTATCATACTTACCATTGCCAGTAATGGTCAGTGCCTGCCATCTCCGCTTCCCCCGATCCGTTCCTCACGCTTCGAGAAGCCTGTGGATCATACAGCGTCTGGACCTTCAACCACCTTCCCAACCAGACAGAGCTCTCTCAAGAGCTATGGATCAAGCTCTGTTTCTGCCTCAGCCTGGTCGGAAATGCCCTCGCCACTTGTGAGTTCCCCCGGCTGGTCTCGCCTCAGAATTTTAATGATAACCACGCTGCTCAAAGCTCTTCTGGCATACCGCATCTGGTCCATCGACCGCGAAGTCCACAAAGTCTTCCCATGTAAATCTTCTTCTCTCACGCCCGCAGTCCGCATCATTCTCGAAAGCGGCTCGATCAACGTCGCGTATCTGTTCGCGTTCGTTATGGTCACCGCGTTCGGATCCGAGGCCTTCGAGCTCATGTGCGACATGGTGAGCACCCCCTCGCGCCAAATCCATCTCCCTCCCGCATGCGCTCACGCGGATCTGCCAGGGCGTATCGCTCACGGGCATCGTCTTCACCATCGTTATCCTCCGGGCTGCGCTCCGGCGGCACGACGACGCCATGTTCACCGCGAAGATGGTCACGTTCCCGTGGCACTTCACCACCAACCGGGCGACGACGGACGCCGACATCCCCGACTGCACCATGCAGCTCCCCCCTTGCGTCTCTGTGTCCCTCTCCGCCGCAGCTCTAGGCGAGTCGGACAGCACCACTGCGAGCGTATCGGGGAAGAGTGATGATATGGACGCGCGTCGCTGCGCGTTAGACCTCGACATTGCAGCCCTGGAGGATGAGAAGGTCGGGGAGGTATGAGGTTCACCGCCTCGTGCTTCCTGAATCACACTGTTACACCATGGACGGGGAAGGGGTGGCTGTGGGACTGTATACTTAGTAATGATGCTCAGAGCGGAAAATCCGACGGCGCTTATCTGTCGGGTAAGTTCATCGTTGCATGCGACGCTTCTTCATGATCTGATCATCTCTTCCCCAGCCCCTGTACGCATTCCAATCCATCATGTTACATAAATGGATCTCTGCGTGGAAGCGTGTTCTGACTGATTTCAAAGTCGACCACGCGATGTTGAGGTACTACCTTGAATGCAAGTTGCCGTGCCGCCCAGAAGACCAAACTCACGCAGCCTGACCTTGGTCACCAAGACCACGTTCTCAACTTCGTCAGACCATGCTGGTGAGGTAGCAAAGCCTTACTTCGCCGATGATGCCGCGTAGCTCCCAGGGCCTCGAGCCGGGGAAGGACGACGTCCCACATGTGTCCGCAGAACCTGATCGCCGTTCTCTCGCCATGCTGTGGGAGATGTCCCTGACATCATCTGGAGCTACCAACTTTGACAGTCTTCGGAACCATTGCGGCGTCGCAGCGGCTTATAATCTTCGCGCAAAGCGCACTCGCGGTTCCTCGGACCCTCGTCTCCCCACCCCTCCCACCTGTCGTCCACTCCTTCATACTCACGGAACGGAAGGTTGCAGAGCAGGATGCCAATCACCATCGACGTCGCGGAACTCCTCGGCATAGCTATCGCCGGGCCTCTATATGGTGCGTCTCCTCGAGGCTGCTCGCTGGGTTTCCGCGCGGCTGACTGGCGTCGACATGTTTCTCTCGACGGCATGGGTGTTCCGCATCCCACGTCGTATTGCTTCCGAAAATGCCATTCCGTAAACACATCACACCACCTTCGACTACGCCACCTCCATCGCCCATCTTTCATCTGCCATGGGCATACTCTGTTCCTACAGGTGCCTTCCTGTGCCTCTTCGTGGTGTGCACGTACGACCTCCTGTCGCGCCGTGCGCGTGGCGAGGGTCAGATCAACCCTATCATGGTCATTGCGGGCGTAGCGTTACTTATCCTCGCCACAACCCGATTTGTGCTCGACACCGTATACGTCTACAACGGGTTTATCAACCATGACGGCCGCGCTGCGCGGCTGGCCTTCATGAACAACGTCACGAACAAGAACTTCATCGCGAAGCACGCGTCGCTGCTCACGACGCTCTTTGTGGGGGACTCGTTCATGGTGCGTCGAGGCTGTCTCTCTACCAGGATCGGCTAGCATCTGAACGCTGACACGGGCGCGCGCACACAGAACTACCGGTGCTGGGTCGTGTGGGGGCGCAAGTGGTGGATCCCGGTCGTGCCGTTCATTCTCTCGCTGTCGAGCACGAGTGAGTCGTCCCTCGTGCGCCTCGCGCGGGCGCATCGCTGACGGCGCGCGACAGTCTCGGGCTGCTACACGCTGTACGCGTACACGCACTTGCACGACCAGACGATCTTCGAGCAGACGGAGCCTCTCAAGATCTGCTTCATCCTCAGTCTCATCTCGAACGTGCTCTCCACTTGTGCGTCCCCGTCCTCGCCCCCCTTTCCTCACGCACTGGCGCTGACGTCGCTCCTCTGGCAGCGCTGCTGGCGTCGCGGATCTGGTACGTGAACCGGAGCAGCGCGAACGTGCTCGCGGGGGGCGCCGACGGCGGGCTCTGGCCGGTGGTGCGCATCGTGCTCGAGTCCGGGTTCATCAACGCCGTCTTCCTCTTCGCGTTCGTCATGATCATCGCCGCGAACTCGTCCGCGCTCGAGCTCGTCTCCGAGATGGTGCGTGCCTGCTCTCCCCCACTCGCCTCCGCCCGCTCACGCGCGCGCGCGCTGACGGCTTTTTCCACCCATCTGACGCCGGTCCTCGTCGCAGGCGGTGCCGGTGACCGCGAACGTGTTCGCGATCGTCATCTTCCGCGTCGGCCTCCGCCGGCGCGCGTCGTCCGAAAAGTCGCCCAGCTCCGCGCGGACGACGACGATCGAGTGGGCGGGGCACCCCGCCGGCGCGACGACGACGATCGACTCGGTCCTCGGCGGGCCGTACCTGGGCAAGGCCGGCGGCGTGCGCGCGAGCCGCGTGGGCCGCGTGCCCGTGCCCGGCGCGCGCCTGACGGTGTCGTCGACGACGGGGCCGTACGGGTTCGGGGGCGGGTTGAAGGGCGCGCGCGGCAGCGAGGACGGGGAGATCGAGATGGCGGACCGGCCGGGGGAGTCGTTCGCGGCCTGAGGCCTGAGGCCCTGAGCGGACGGGGACGCTCGGGTTTTGGACGGGACGCTGTACGATTGGTTGTACAGGATGGGCTGGCCACGCGCCGCTGGTCCGCCGCTGTTGTGACACGTAGACGTTGTGTGTGTGTTAGGCTGGGCGCGAATATACCCTGGTGCACGTTCCCCTCGGCTCGCGCGGAAGAAGTGCGGATTGCTGCGGCGGCACCGGACAAGTACAGGTGCACACTCTACGGGAAGCATCCCGCGCCGTAGTCGTCTCCAGAGCACCTCCATCGTCGCGCACGCACCGCCGCGAACCACCAAGAAGAGAAGCACGCACGCGCAGGAAGGTAGCACGCGCGCCCGTTGCTGAGCTGCGCGGCCGCGAAGACCGGGAGGATGGTATGCGCCAGATGAGACGAAGGGCCCGACCGGGTTTCTAAGCCCCGCGCTTGGGAAGGCTGGCTGGCTGCGGTCGGGAAGAGGAGAGGAAGCAGGGGGACGGGCGATGGAAGCCGTCGGAACATGTTGGGGCTGGGACGTGCATCGGGCGTCGGGGCGGGGGGAGACGAGCGCGCGAGGGACAGAGAAGAAGAAGGTACAGGCAAAGGGGAGATACGTAGGCGCACCGGTACCGCAGCCACTGGGACGTCGACGCGTCATATATCATACTTCGAGGGGCGGGGAAGGGGACGACCTCGGACTCCTCGGAGCAGTCGGCGACTCGGAGCGGGCTGTCGCCGAGAGCTCTTAATTAGCTCGCTCAAGCGCTCACGCGTCGTGGGTCGACCCCCTCCGAGAACTCGGAAGTTGGTCGCCACGATCGAGAAGTTGGGGCTCGCAGTGTGTGCACTGGCATCAGCTAGGTTGAAAAAGAACAAGCTCGCGCGCACGCGCGCACTGGTGAACGTCTCCCACGAGTCGCGCGCGGTCGACGTTGCTGCCATCCGAACTCGCGCGCGCCCCCGAGCGGAGACGTGACCTCGCCGGCGTTGCCGGGGAAGAGCGTGCCCCGGAGGAGGGCGTCGACGAAGTCGAACTGGCTCGGGGTCGAGTCGAGCGCGGCGTGCCCGGGACCGTCGGGTTCGGCGAGAAGCCGGCGTCGCCCACGGTGCGCGCGTCGCGCGAAGATCGCGCCGTTCGAGTCTGACGGGTTCGAGTTGGGCGACGGCCCCTGCAGGTGGGTGGACCAGCGCCCGGCGAGGAGCTGGAGGCGCGAGGGGACGCCCGCGCAAGTTCGGGACGGCGACCGCACCGGCGGGATGGATGCCAGGGGGGAGGTATATAAGAGGGAGGGGATGCTCGAGGCGCTGAAGGAGACCTTGCGCTTGAGCGCAAAAACGGACTTTAAAGTGGACGCGGCTGCTGGAGGAGGTTTCCGAGAGCGATTGGTACCCAAGTCCACAGCAGCTGCTGGGATCCTCAGAGATGAGTGCAGTGCAAGGCAACCAAATATGCGTCGGTTAGGATCAAAAAGCGCCTTCGACCGTGGTCGCCCCTGTAGGTCACGTCCCTTAAGACCTCAAGTGTGGACCGAGATATAACCGCCTCCACGTCCAATGCGATGGGAGGCGAGTGGTTATCTCACAGAGAGTTCGACAGGCGACGCCTGGCCAAGGCCACGGAGTCGGAGCGTACGCTGACGAGAGTTTGCGGGATATTGGGGAGGGACCAAGCTATAGAACGCCCGCGAGTGAGCCTGCTCGCCACGAGTAGCAGAACTGGTATCAAACGCGTAAGACACCCGTGTTCTTGTTGCCAGGAAAGGGACTCGGAGCAGGAACCACTCACTGCACTGTACATCAGGGACAATGGAATGAGCGTTGGATAATATTTTCCCAACGGCGCTGAGTTTCGTCACGCAATGTCACGCACTTGGTGGATATGCCTGCGGGTGATAATCGATACGATGAGGAGGGTACGGTAAGGTGCAAGATAATTGACGAATGCAGGCGCCTGCTTGCTGTATTGTTAGCACAGGTTACGTAGCACATCTCAGTCGTAGTGATGGTTGCGTGGTGCTTTCTCTAGCAAACCGCCAGAGCACGACCCAGCAATGTCCCTCGGTGCCCATCAAGCACTCAGCTGCTCCCAGAAAGGCGTACGACGATTGTACATATTCGGTAAGGGCCTGGGAGGGAACGCGCAGGTCAGGGAAGCATCACTAGAGAAGCTAGCGCCATTGTCAAGCATTGATAATCTAAAATAATTAGCTAAACTGTGTTAAAAACCGAATTTTCCCACAGGACATGACCACCGCAGGGGTCGAACCTGCAATCTCCTGATTACTGTGTCGTAGTCAGACGCGTTGCCATTACGCCAGGCGGCCATAAGTGATACTAGCAACGTTAGTGCTATCATAAGAAATAAACGAGCATCACAGAACGTGGGCCTCAAGGACCAAGTGCTGAACACCATTAAATCAAGATTAACATTCACTTCTGCCTGGCCTCTCGATGCTTCGACGGCTTACCAGCACGCGACCACCGGCTAGGCTTGCTTTCTATTTTCCTCCACTCCTCGTGCGTGGTGTAGCTCACGCCCCCGTCAGCATCTCCCGAACGCCTCTCCTGCCCGCTTGTCGTGGTTTCCAGTGGACTTCAATTTCTCGCAGCGTTGGGCCGCCTCCACCACCAATTCGTCCTGAATGCCATGCATCGTCAAAACCACTCCCATCCCGCGAAAACATATATACCATTCCGAATCTCCTGACTGTGTCGCGCATTCTTGCTTGCCCGGTGCTGGGATTGGCCATCGTCAATGACAACTTCTACGCTGCCACCGGCCTCCTTGTCTATGCGGGCCTCACTGACTGGGTCCGTTCCTTCTTCTTCTCCCGCGCTCGAAGTGTGCTTTCAATTACACTGGGTGGTGCGTACTGACCGCGTTTACCAGGTCGATGGCTACCTCGCGCGGCGGTTCAAGATGCAGTCTGTCCTCGGCACCATCCTCGACCCCGCCGCGGACAAGATCCTCATGACGACCTTACCGTGACGCTTGCGATGCGGGACCTCATCCCAGGTGCGTTATGTCGTGGTTGGCTCCACAAACGTCTCGTTCATCCCCGTGCATCACCCCCTCCCACGTGCGACCACGTCCAGTCCTGTCGCCGTCATAATCCTCGGCCGCGACGTCCTCCTCAGCCTCGCCGCGTTCTACATCGCTACACGTCTCTGCCTGCTCCTGTACGTGTCTCTGTCGCTCCAGGATTTCGTCACGTGACCCCGTTCTTCCAGAAAACGTTCAAGCGATATTGGGACTTTTCCATCCCCTCTGCAGAAGTCCGCCCGACTATGATAAGCAAGGTCGGCTTTCTTGCGTGCGTGTGCTGCGCGGGTGCTTACCAGTTCACCAGGTGAACACCGCACTTCAGTTGTTCTTGATGGGCACCGCGACCGTCAGTCCCATCCTCCCGATGGACATCGGCGTGCCATTACAAGCGTTGCAGTACGTCTCCACCCTGTTCGAAGAGGGGACGCAGTGCTAACGAGTCTGCTAGGTGGTTGTGGCAGGCACGACAATCTGGAGCGGGGCATCGTACCTTTTCGCTAGAGACGGCTTCCGCATTGTCTCCGTGACCTCCAAAATCCGGCCCCCGCCTCCGCCTCCCTCATGACCGCCGTCACTTGGCCGGCTGCGTGGGCCGTCTAGATGCCGCTGAGTACAACTATAGATTGTTTGGGACACTAGTTCGCTCGTAATATAATCACACTATGCAAATGGTACAGATGTGGTGTCGCAGGCAGTCGAAAGCAAATGTACAACGCGAGGTGAACGAAAACAGGATAACAATAGATGTCCGAGGCACGAAGAATCTCAGGTCTTTGCCGTCGGTCGGCTAGAGGATTTTTTGGCTGTGGGTGCTTGCCCTGTGGCGCTCTCCGTTTGCGGGCTTCCTCAAGGCGGCGTTGATGGCTGGCTTGATCGCCCGCTGTTCAGCCCAATTGAGCTCGCAATCTGCGCCGGATCATGAGCTCGAGTGTACTAGACTAGAGAGCGACCTGCGTACCTTGTGCGTTGAACAAACAGTACCATGTATGCGACACTCCTCAGGGTGCGCCGCCTTGGGGAGGTCCGTGGCGTTGGGTAACCGATCTGTGCCACTGCAGCCAAAATCCTCTCCTCGCTGATTAAAGCCATGTCAGAACGTTGTCTCGCCAACATAAGCAGCTGATCACGTACTTTCTCTCCGACTGCCCCATCAAGGTGAGCAGCCACCTCTTCTGGAAGCCAAGCTCGGAGCGGAACGTCGACTCGCGCGAGAACTTGGCCTTCAGGTACTTGATCTGCACCACCAGGCCCTTGCACTCCAGCTTGTGCTTGAGCTTGAGCTGCATGAGCTGCTCGTCGTCAGCCGTCGCCGCCGCTGCCGTGGGTCCAGCGCACACATGCGCCGCCCACGCCTTCCGCTCCCTTGCGACCTCCTTCCCGAGCGCCTTCTGCCCGTCGAGCTCTTCGGTGAGGACCCTGATCTGCGCTGCGGCCTGCTTCTGCGCGCGCTCGGCGCGCTGGCGCTCCTCGTGGCGCTCGTCCTCGAGCCTATCTTTCTGCGCACGGAGAGCACGCAGGTCGCGCCCGAACGCCTCCGCGTCGCGCCGCACGCGCTGCAGGTCCGCCTCGAGCGCAGCGACGGTGCGCGCGACGTCACCCTTCTCCTGCGTGAGGCGCGCGCGCTCGGCCTCGGCGCGCTCAAGCTCGCCTGCCTGCGCGGAGAGCGCCCGGCGGAGGTCGTCGAGCTCGGACGCGCGCGCGTCGAGCTCGCCGCGGCGGGCGTCGTGCGCGCTCTGCGTCGCCGCGAACTCCGTGCGGAGCCGGGTCACTTCATCCGTCGCTTTGGCGTACTGGCGCTGGAGGTCCTTGTGGTCGGAGATGATGAGCGAACGCTCCTGCCTGAGTTGGTCGAGGTTCGCTGCGTTCTCGGCGACCCTTGCTTGGAGAATGCGGGCTTTCTGCTCGGCACTGGAGTTGGAGCGGAGCTCATGCTCGAGATCGTGGTTCTCTTGTTTGATGCGCTGGAGTTGTTCCCGGATGTCTGACATGTCCTGCGAGACAAAGGATTGAGCACCTCCTGTGTCAACGGAGGCCAGGGGGGCTCACCGTTTCCGCACGACGCAGCTCTCGCTCGACCTTGTCTTTCTCGCGCTGAGCTTTCGTCTGCTCAGACGTCAAGGCCCGCAGACGACTGCGTTCATCCTTCAGTTCGGCTTCGAGCTCTTCCATGACCTTCTTGGCGTGGTCGAGTTCCTGCGTCGGTCGTGTGAGCACAGTGAGGTCACAACCAGACGATATCTACTCACGTCTTGCGCACTCGCACGTGCACGGTCACTGGCGCGTTCCGCGGTGGCGTGCTTGCGAAGCTCGCTCTTCGCGTCACGTATCTCAGCGTTTAGCCGGGTCGCCGCATCCTGGAGGACCGCCTTCTCGCCCAAGAGGCGTTTCCGCTCCTCCTCCCAGGATCGCTTCATGGTGTCCAAGTGAGTGTTGACCTCCTTGAGCTCAGAACGAAGAGTCTCGCTGCTACGCGTGGGCTCTGCTGCAAAGCTCATCGTTGACGCTTCGAGGACTGAACTAAAGAACAACGCGTCAACTTATCTGCCTTCGAGTCGTTCAAGGAAGCTCATACCTTTCATCTGCGTTGCCAGTGCTGTCCAGTCCCTTCGTGTCGACTTTGGTCCGACACTTGGGACACTTCAAACGTTGCAGACGACGAATCCTGCGTTCTTCTCGGCGGGACAATCGGCCCTGGTCGTCCTCCAGGTCCATGATCCGGCTGTGCGCATCTTGAAGCTGCTGGGTGAGCTCGACAACTCCGAGGCCGGCATCTTCGAGGCGATCCAATTTCTCGTCGATGCTTGCGTTGGCACGGTCGAGCTCCTGATGGAGACGGGCGAGCTCTGATACTAGGGGCGCAACCGTAGGGTCGTTCATACTCTTGTGAAGCCAGGATAGCTGTCGAAGGGTTATCAGTAACAGGACCCCACAAAGACGGTCGACCAACGCACGTCTTTCAAAGGACCACCAGGTGTCTTGGGGCTCTTCAGTGACATGTTGAGGAGCTGCCGATGGAGAGGAGACATGCCACTTCCGCTGGCGACTCGAACAGGGCTGTTGAAGACAGCGCTTTGGTTCCTGGTCGCCCTCAGCCTCTCAAGTAGATCCTCTCTCTCTTTCTCCAAGAGTTCGATGCGAGCGTCCTTGGTCCTTTCGATAGCCCTCCGCGCTGGTGACTGGGCGATCATTGTCCGCAAACGGGCAATTTCCTTGTTGGCATCGTCGACCTCCGCTTCGAGAGCCGCAATCTCGGCCTCTTGGTCCCGAGCGATGGCGCTCTGTGAGGGACCCGCTTGGATCATGGAGCGTTCCTGAGCCTTCTCGACGGCACGCTCGAGGGACGTAATTTTCGCCTTGAGAGAGGCGACCTCCTGCTCGTCCTCGAGCATCTTCTTCTCCGCGGCCTCCAGGGCGTCTTCCATCTGGCGTGCAAGCTCAGCGCCTTTGTCAGCCTCGTCGGCGAGACGATCGTTCTCCACCCTCTCCTCCTCGAGCTCCGCTTCGAGCTGCTCAACGCCCTGACGGACGACATCGGCTTCTTTCTTGAGGTCCTCAAAGCGTGCGACGTCTTCGGCGGCGTCGTTCTCGTTTTGAACCAGTGCGTCTTCGGCCTGGCGAAGTTGGGTACGGGTGTTGCGGACCTCCTCTTCGAGCTGCTCGACGCACTGAACCTGCTCGGAAAGCTCGTCCATCTTCGACCGCAGCTCTTCCTCCAGAGCAGCAGTGCGCTTCCTCTCGGCGCTGAGGTTGCCTTCGACGTCATCGAGCCGCTCTTCCGAGCGCATGATGTGCGTCTCCAGCTCTTCGATCTGGCGTCGGGCGTTCTGAAGCTCCGCCTGTGCTTGCGCGACGCGCTGGTTGGCCGTGTTCACCTCCGCACCGAGGTCGCGCCCGTTCTCCAGCGCGGCCTCCGCGCTCTTCAGGCGCCCCACGATGACCTCCTTCTCGACCTGCACGACCGCCATCCGCCGCTCGACGTCTCGGATGCCTTCGTCCCGCTCCTCCTCCGCGCGTCTGGCGGCCTCCTCCGCCTCCGCCACGCGTTGCTCCAGCCCCGCGACGATCTCCTCCACGCCCTTCTCGACTTCGTTCATGCGCTCGCGCCACCGCTCCTTGTCCCGGGCACGGTCCGTGCGCTCGGCCTCAAGTGTCTCCTCCGCCTTCGTCTTCTCCGCCGTGCACGCCTCGAGCTCCTGGTGGAGTTCTTCGACCATTTCTTCCAGCGCAGCCTTCTCTTCAAGCAACCCCTCGGCGACGTGTTCGGCGACGGCCCCGAGCCCGAGGGCCGGCCCTGCGCTCACCCGTCTGCCCCCGCTTGCTCGCCTCGAACCATCAGAAGCTGGTGTGACCGCACCCGCACCCGAGCCCGACACCGAAGCCGATAACGAGCCCGCGCTCGACGCAGGGGCTGAACTCCCTGTGGCGCTCGACCCTGAGCCAGAACCCGACTCGTAGACGCGCAGCTTGGACACGAGCATCTCGTTCTCCTCCTGGAGGCGCCGGTTGAGTCCGTGGAGGTACGAGTTGAGCTTGCCGGCGTTGAAGCGGCCGACGCCGTGTCCGCGGTCGCCGAGGCCCATGACGGGGTCGAAGGACGCGTTCGCCCGCGCGTGCGTCGTGAGGTCGTGCGAGGATGCGGTCGACACGAACGACGCGCCCGCCGCCGCGTCGTGCTCGGACGCTGAGTCGGACAAGGCTTGGGGGAGCGGTTGCGACAGGCGACGGCGCATGGGGCGAGCGCGGGGCGTGGCCCCGGCAAAGGCGCCGCGGAGGTTGAGTGCAAGCCCTGGGGTCATGGATGGAACAGGGCCGGGGGTCATGGCGGGAGTCATGGTTACTCCTGGACCAGGTGTCATCTCCACCTGGAACTGCGATTCATCGACGTCGTTCCGAGGATGGTGGGGGGTCGGGAAGCGCATCCGGGGCCGAGCGGTTGAATTAATGACGGAGAGCAGGAAGGATCGCTTGTGCGCGTGCGGGGTAGTGGGGTCGTTCACGTCTGGATGTGCGGTGTAGTCTTGGTCGAAGTCCTCCTCCGAATCCTCTTCCACGATTCGGGGGCGGGGGGTTTCCGTATCCATATCGAAGCGGACCGTATGCTGTGCTGGTGTGGTTGTAGATTGCGGAGTCGTGGACTCAACGGGCGTGCCGAAGCGGGACCGAGGTCGTGGTTGGAAAGCGGGGGTAGGAGTGAATAGCGCAGATCCCGGAGACGAGAACGCGACGGAGAGTGGTGTTGGAGAGCGGATACCACGCGAACCTTTCTTTGCGCTCCCTCCGTTCTCAGAAGCACCTTCAGAGGAAAAGGTAGGTTCTTGACGCGAAGAACTGTCTTCTTGGCGGCCGCTGGACTGGCTCTCCCGAAGCGACTCGCGCTCGCGTTCTATCTCTGCTGCAACTTCAGGAAGGAGTTCGGTGTCGTCTGCAGGTCCCTCCAAGTCTGGACTGGGGAGTTCCGGGCTGAGGCGCATCTGACTAATGTACCGTTCTTCGACCCGAGAGGGGAATGCGGGAGAGGCCGTCGCTGAACGCGGAAGAGGGACTGTAAGAGCAGCCAATGGTGGGTCGGAGTCCTGCCGCTGATATCGTGCGGAGCGGGAACTGTGTGGGGTAGAGTTTGAGACGGACGAGGAAGGAGAGGAGAGCGTGCGCGTGAGGGATGGAGTGCGGGTGCGAGAAAGCGGTCGGCGAAACGAACCGTTCCGCAGCTTGTCGAAGGGAGAAGGCTGCACAGGCGTTGGCATTGGCACGCTAGGAGCTGGACGGAAGACTCACCTTGGGTTCTGACCGCAAGCTCACGGAGAGATCGTAATCCGACTTCTTTCGCGGTGTGTTATGATCTTGAGGCTCCGGCTCCGGGCTTGGTGAATTTGCGCGGCTCACAGACTGCAGTGCCTCCGATAGATCGAATTCGAGATCTGAGTTCTCGTCCATAGTTGGGGGAAGATACACCTCCGGAACCGAGCTTTCGGTGTCTTGATCGCTGCTCCGGATGTCCATCTCTGCGCTATCGTCATGTCGGACAGGAAGACTAGGGATCGAGCTGACATCGAAGCTGTCCTCAGCCGGTCGCCGGGACACAGATCCGCGCGAGCCTGTGAGCGAGGATTTGGAAGAACGGGAAGCCATAGAGCGTGCAAATCTTGCTGTGCTTGAAGTGCTCGAGGGGGCGCGTACCGTGGACGCGGCGCGGGAGAGGAAGATGGGGGTGGACTGGATGGGGGAGGCGATGTGCATGTCTTGCTCACTGTCTTCTTCTTCTATGCTCTCCTGGGGCGCGCCCGACTCTTCGAAGCCAGGGAGAGATGGAAGAGAGGGCATGTCCCTGTCTTGATCGGCTTGTATGCGCCTCCATACTCGAGAAGGGGTCTCTAGATACGCAGCCATGCAGTATGGGTGGCTCGGAGGTCTTTGTTTGTAGTGGTGAATGGCGAGCGGTCACAGACTCAAGCTGTTAGATCGGCCCCGTGAGTGAAAAAGTGACCGTAACAAGAAGGAAGTAGTCCTGCGGGCGGCCAGATGGAAGAGAAGTGAATGCGTGCGGGGTTGAGGTGAACTCCTGGCAATGGCCGCGTATGGAGTAATGACAAGCGCCCAAACGCGAGCTTCAACAAACCCACGTGATCGTCGCGTTTTATAGACGCCCACAGCATGCGCTCGTCCTTTGACTCTGAGGTCCTTTGGCGCTTTCGGTGTAGACCGTTCCCCCCTCGACACCTTTGTTGGCTCTGGACGAGTGAGTGCTGACGCCATGCCCGAATGCAACAATCGATCCTTCGTACCCATATATTTCGAGCAGAATACATTAATCTCAAACTGCGGGCCCTCTCACCGCACTCTCACGACGGCTGAAGATAAAAGCAATCCCGACCACATCTGGAATTTGGAGAGCTGTAAATGCGTAAACCGGTATGGGCGTCTGCCCCTCACATGACAGAGCTTCCCGCGGGGACGGATGCACTTCCCCGACGCTGCGACGAAGTGATGTATGCATAGCACCTCCTCCGGATACCGCTACTCGTTCTCACCGCTTCCGCCCCCATCGACCCCACACCGTGAGTTCCAATCATTTCGTGTGAGCAACACTAGTCTGATCGCGCTATTCGGCCCCCGCTCAGAATGTCGAAGACTGTGGTCGAATACACCGCCCGTCGGATCACTTATGAAACGACCCTTCCCATAGACGAAGTCACCACGCGCCTCGACCAGGAGACCAACCGCTCCGCAGGTGGTCCTGAAGTGTTCCGCATTCTGCGCGCCAGCAACTCTAAAGCCGAAATTGAAGAAGCGTTCACATCGCTGACCGCACGGAGCGGCTTCGTGTCTGTCTGATTTCCGCGATCCTCCCGCATCCCACCCCATCACTCATTCCGTACACCCAGGTACTTCATGGACATGGCCTACCACGGCTGGCTCTCCAGGTACAAGGGTGAAGCGGTACCGAAGGCCCACGTTTACGTGATCGGAAATCCGCTCTTCGCCGCGAACATAGTGCCGCACGACTTCGCGAGCGCAAACCATATTCCGCCCCGGATGGTCATCTACGAGATTGCACCAGGCTCAGGGACGCGCGTCGTATGGGATGACCTGGCGTCGATCGTCTCTGTGCCGCAGGCCCCGAATGCTGTGGTGAATCCGCAGCTGAGGGCGGCGGCTGAGGATGTAGCGGCCAAGCTTGAGGTGTTGGTCCAGAAGATCACTCGGGTGGATTGAAATCTGAAGCTTCGAAGCAACCTCATGTAGAATATTGGACGTCAGTAGAAGTTGGCATCACGCTGTATCGTCGGGAGAAACGCTGGTCGACCGAGATTTCGGGTTGCATAGTTTATGGACAAGCTGTTTACCACTAGGGACCAGCATCGCAGTCGCAAAATATGAAGTTCATGATGCCAACTCAAGTACTCAAGTTTGCCAAACAGATATAGACGCCCAACAGACCTCTGATTAGTAAGCAATGCTACTTGTCAGGAACACTTTCCTGTACAGACTGCACACCAACTTCCAGCATCGTCCAGCTCCTCCTTCAAGTTGTGGAGACGATGGTTCCAGCGAAATGCATGATGTAGAGGATAAGGAAGTCGGTGGAGTTTGGAAGGAAGGGTGCGTTGGGGATATCCCGCTGGTCGTGCGTCTTCCAATCTCTATCTGTACCGCCGCATTCCGTGACCAAGTTTGGCACTGTCAGCAGGGTTCTGGCCTCCAAGTGAGTCTGAATGTGGTACGCTCAGTGCGCATGGACGTCCTGGTGAGGCAGCTTGCCTCGTGCCATGCTCCCATGGGATGACAGAAGCGGTGTCTCCACGAAGCTCTCGAGCAACGGCAACATTGATGGCCCTCGAGTCAACGGAGACCCGACAACGCGCGCAAGCGAGCTGTGGAGGGATCAGGGTTCGAGGCAGCTGGCGGACCGAGGTCAGTTACATGAGGTCGTAGCTTGAGATCTCCCGGGGAGGGGATTATGGACATGGACATGTCAAAGGCACGGTTTGGTTCCCGGGGTCTGTAGCGGTACGTATAGCTCTGCATTCCCTCACAGGCATGTGCTCTGACTTCCCATTATTCCAGTTGAACGGCGGACAGTCGGGACTCGGGTCCGAAGCTGAGTCCGCTAACCCAACACCCTTCTGTATGCCATCACCTGTCAAGCAAGTACGTCGACAAGGCAACAGTTCGTACTGAGCCACTGACGCAGCTCACCTTGGTGTATTACGTTCTGTCGCCCGTGGAACTTCGACGACAGAAGGCTATAAGGTGCTTCGAGGGACGCTTGACCGTGTCGATTCTTCTCTGCCGTTTCTCCTGCTGCCTTCATCCACTCCACTTGGCCAGCATGCCCATCACATTCAAAGTTGCCAGGCACAGCGCCAATCCGGTACGGCCTGGCGCCGATTTGACTGGGGTTGATTCTTTCATAGCCAAAGTTTGCCCAAACGAATGGCCGAATTGCGGGAATATCTTGCAGTCCAGTCTGTCAAGCGAAAGCCTTAATAACATTATCCCTAAAGGGAACGGCTTCGTTTTAACGGCGTTTGAGGCATACGGCCAGCACCACCATCTTGTTCTCCGGTGCGCCCCTCACAAGCATATCATCTAACACTCCATCCTGATCATTATTCGTATGTAGTCCGGACGATGTGTGGATTGCCATTCTTGTGCAGCTCAGTTTCTAGTGCGTAAACCATCATTGTGTTTTGCTGTGACCTTATCCGCATTTCCCTTCCAGTGTCAATGCTCAGCCGAAGAGCTTCGCCGGTACTTCGTGGCTCAGGAAGGCAAGAAGGAACTCCACGTCGACCTGGCGGGGGTCGGATGTGATTTTGGGGCTATGGCCGTAAAGTTCTCAGAGCTACTCGACGAAAATGTGCGTCCGCTGCCAGGATTTTCTCCGACTTCGCAGTTGACTTATTAGCTGACGGTTCCGATATTCTTTCAGGTCGTGGACAAGACGCTTGTAGAATGGACACTCCCCGACTTCACGACTTCCACGCCACACGACAGGATCATATGCTCCGTGTTGCTCATGTCCACCTGACGAAGTACGTACATCTCCCTATGCCGCGTAGCACGTCCAGCGCCAACGCGCCGCCCCTCTCTAGGTACTTCGACTACAGGGGGAGCGCAACCTGCGGACTGCCCTCGGTCACTCTGCTGGGCGAGCGCCAGACTGGACGTCGCTCCTCGCTCGCCTCGACCGCCTCCCCGAGCTCGGCGACGAGCCCGCCCGGTGGCAGAGCTCCTCCGGCCCGTCCTCCGCCGGTTCGTCGCCGCGTTCGACGGCGCGGTCGACCTCGCGTTCTGGAGCTCCATCGTCCTGCACGACGCCTACCTGTGCGGCCGCGTCGACAGGATGGGCGGGTGGATCACCGCATTCTGCGTCTGGAACGCGGAGGGCAAGTGGCTGCCGCGGGCGACCGCGGCGGCGGCGGCCCAGACGGGGGAAGGCGTGTACGTCCTCGACGGAGCGGCGTATCCCAACATGAAGTTCGGAGACATCCCCGTCGGTTGCTCGACGGTCGACGTCCACGTCGAGGGTCGGCTCCCGTGCAAGATGCTCGCCGGCCACCTCGCGTCCGCGGTCTCTAACACGAAAGGGCCTCGCCAGGGAGTCGACGGGAACACGCTGAGCCCGGCGCCGCAGTGGATCTTGTACGAGGTGGAGCGGCACCTGGAGAACAAGAGGCGGGGGACAGAGGAGTGGCAGACGCTATGGGACATGTTGGTGACACTGGGGTAGTGATTGGAAAGATCTCTGGAACTTATAGACTCGGTCATATATCTGCCCCACGGTGTTTGCAGTGTGTTCGAACGCTCGGCGCTCTAGGCCGCACAACCCCCTTGTCAATCTGTTTTGTCGGAGCTTGATGCGAAGGGGTTTTTGTCCCGCACATTCGTGAGTCGTGACGGCACGAGCATCGACCCCACAGTCAACCGTGAATGAGAGAGACGGCGTCCACCGCGCCATGTTCCACAATTATGAGAGCCGACTACGTGGTCTACACGAGGCCAAAACCCGCGGAGATACCGTTGGTGTATGCTACATCGGAATTACACCTTCAAGGCTACAATGGTATGCGATAGTCAATGTCAGTGAATGCAGGGGGACGCGCGATGCGGTATGTTGGTGACATGTATGAGGTCCGAATGCGTTGGCTCGAGGCAGAGCTCATACAGAACGTAACGAAGAGAGGAATAAGTACACGTCCGAAGAGTCCAAAATGCAAGGGACAGTATAAAGTTAGTATGGTATGGGAGAGAGTAGGGAGGGATCGGACGCGCTCGCAGGGAGGGCTTCGTGAGAATGATACGTGCGAGGGTAGTGGTCCGCGAGAGTCGTTCGTGATGTGGTCCGAGACAGTTCAAGGCAGGCAGTCCATTACAAAAGGAAAAGTGTGAGTGCGAGTGCCGTGAGGGCGACGCAGGAGGAGCTGATCGAGCGCGGGGATGCTGCGCCTGTATGGGTGTCTTGCGGGCTGCCGGTGGTTCCCGGCGAGATCGACGACGTGGGGGTCGCCGCGCGGCATTGTAGAACGAGCGGATGATCGAAGCCGCGTTCTCCGCTACGCCGTACACGGGTGCTTGTAGCTATTCGAATAAGTTAGTCAGCGCTACTCGTGAGGGTCAATACAACGAGGCACCCACATGCGCTGAGAACGTGTTCGGGAACACTGACGCGTCCGCAACACGCACGTTTGCGAGGCCGTAGACCTTTAGATCACCATCGACAACACCACCTTGCTCGCGCGGGAGCATCGCGCACGAAGAGCTGGGGTGGTACTCGGTACCGAAGTTATTCGCTAGCCACGCGTCCCATTCGTCGTCCGTGTTCACGTTGGTCGTCCCGGGAGAGATTTCCTCTCCAAGGTTCTCCGACAGAGGAGCGGTGTTGCCAATGGTACGTGCGAGCTTGAGGCCCTCACGGAAGATGACGGTGTCCGCGGCGTGGGAGAGGTACTGGGGGTCGATCGTGGGAGACGTGAACGGATTGCTCGTTGTGATGTAGAGCCGGCCCTGAGAGAATGGGTGCTGAAGTGCGGTCTGGACGCCAACGGAGCCGGCGGCGTTGAGCCCGAGGAGGATCTCTACCTGAGCGACGTTCGAAGTGAGCATCGCGAGGGTCTGGTTGTAGATCGCCTCGAAGCCGAGCACGACGCCGGAATCGGAGGACGGCACAAGCGCGGCCTGGGCCGAGTAGTTGGCGGCGATCTGGGACGCGAGAGTCGCCGCGGAGTCGCCGAGCAAAGTGGAGGCGGTCACGTAAGCAACGGCCGTGTTGACGTATGAGTTGAAAGCGGCATCTGTGCGCTCCTTGTTGTTGTACATGTCACGGGGGGTCTCGATGTTGGACTTGAAGGACACCTGGGTGCTGATGTGGTCCTGCAAGTGCTGGCCCACTCCCGGGAGGTCGAGCAGAACATTGACGCCAGCGGCTTTCAGCACATCGGAAGGTCCGACGCCGCTCAGCTGGAGCACCTGGGGGCTGCCGATCGTACCGCCGGCGAGGATGACTTCCTTTGTGACGCCGACGATCTGGCGCGGTGCGCTCGCTGACGCGGCCCACTCGACTGCAGTGGCGGTGAGATTGCTTGAGTTGGAGGTGTTGAAGACGATGCGCGTGACAGTCGCGCCAGGGAGGATGGCGAGGTTAGAACGGGGCGGCAAGGGATCGATGTAACCGGAGCGGGAGTATGAGCGCGTCCAGTTGGCCGGGTTGATGGACAAAACAGAGATGTACGAGCCCCAGTTAGAACCGCTGTACGCGTCTGAGGTTGCTGAGATGCCGACGGTGGCCAGAGTGGAAGACCAGTTGCTCACAATAGGCGGGATGCTATAGGATGGGCGACCTTGAGCACGCGCACCTCGGGTGGAGGAACGTGAATGAAGATGACTCACTATCCGACGTAACCCGCTTGGATGGGGCCACTGGTTCCATGGCTTGACGCGACGTACTGGATGTTACCTGTAGTCTGGAGGTCGGACGACGGGGGATCGAAAGTCTCGCTGGCATCCATTGCGCTAAGGAGCGAATCCCAGTTCCAGCGTGAGTCGCCTCCGATGAGCGTCGACCACGCGTCGACTTCGATCTTGGATGGGCGGATGTGATACATGCCGTTCATGGCGCCGAGCCGCCGAGCAGCTTCCCGCGCGGCCAAGAGATGCTGCGGGAGCCGGCATAGGGCTGCTGGACGGTGGTGTAGTTCCAGTCGTAGGACGAGTGGGTGATGCCGTTGTAGTACGCGCAGTTGGGGGTGTCTCGAGCCAACTCAGCATGACGTCATCACGTGCCGAGACGAAAAGACACTCACTGACTTGGTCGGCAACCGCGTCACCCGACTCGCCCGCCTCGAGGACAAGGACGGTGTGGTTCGAGTCCTCGGAGAGGCGAGCAGCAAGCGCAAGGCCTGCGGTGCCACCACCGACGATGACAAAGTCATAGGACTCCGAGAGCGAGCTGCCGTCGGAGACAAGGTTGCGCTTTCGGAAGTCGCGGCCGAACTGATCATGGTGGATGTCTCGGTGGCCCCCTGTGTATGCGTGAACGAAGGCGTCGGAAAGCGAAAGGGTCGCAAGGAGGAATCCGAGAGACCGCATTGCCGGAGGGAGAGGAGAGAGGAGGACGGAAGAAGAGGGAGTGCAAAGCAAAGTCTCGGAGCTGGACGCGTTGGAGATAAGTATGGAAGGGAGGGACTTTTATGGTTTGATGGATGATCCGAGTTTGGGCGGGGAGGCGAGCCCGACGGCCCGCGGGAGCGTGCCGCGGACTGGTCGCAGAACGTTCTCGCCGACCTCGAACGGTTTCCGCCCGGAACGAGAACAGCCCAGTCCCCCTCCTCGGCCTCCCCTTCTCCGTCCCCGTCCGGGGCGCGGTCGTCGGAGAACAGTCCAGCGGCACGGAACACACTCGTCGCGCTTGGCGCGCTGAGCGAAGGCAGTGGTGTCCTTGGCGCTGGCCGCGCTTGAACAGATGAGTGCCCTGCACACCGTTGCTGCATGTCCTCTCACCCGCACCTTATTTTGTGCACCACTCAGCCACTTTACATTCATGGATGTGACCATCGTGGTGTAGGACTCATTCTCATGACGCCAATTCATTCATCGCCCCCAGCTCATGTCAGAGTTACGACGTGACTAAAACTGGACTTTGCGATCACAGGCATTGAAATCCGAGCATTGGTGTGGGTACTGGCGAGGCTGGCGTCTCTGCATCGTTGTCATTCTCGATCGTTTCTAAGCATGCGCTGATAAAAGTAGTGTCTGCGTGGGCGGTATGGGCCAGCTACGCTACATCGCAGGAATCTGAATTGCCGATCTTGTGGAGTAGGCTTTCTCGCTGGGTTGTTTTCAGTGAAGCTCACATGTATATACTGATATAATATCCAAGCGTATGCCCCTCTTGGTCGTGATAGTCTTGACCCCGGGCCATGGCAGACTGGTATCATCGACTTCTGCTCCAGGTCGAGAATATACGCCAAGTGCTTCTTCTTTCGGCCGTTCCTATGACCAGCACCAGACGGAAGAGTGACCCCCTGGGTAGACGGACATCGGGCAGTCAATTAGATGCACCTCCTCAGTTTCGCCGTCTCGATTCCAGGCCAGCATCTTCTGTGTATTGCAATCATCAAGGTCGCACACCGCCATGTTATATTATTCCCCTTGCATCACTCACATGCGGCTTCCCTGGCAGGTCTCGGGGTCTCCGGATCGCCTTTGCATCCAACGCGATCGGGGTTCGGAGTGGCGTTGCCTCAAGCTCGTACGAGTGCCGGGTGGACTCAATCACCGGGAGTCGTGCGGCGGCTGACCCGGGACCGGGCGGCTTGCGGAAATAGTCGAGGTGAGCGGACACACGCGTACGGCATTGACATATCGAAGCTCGAAAACGCGCATGAGGAGGCATGAGGACACTCGACCCGGGGGGGTAGACAGGAGCTCGCGAGGTGCCATTTATATACGTCAGGAGTTTTCTCCGTGCGCAACCGTCCACCACGCTTTCATGCGTTCAGGCAGTTCAGGATTTGGTTGCCTTCGTTGAAACTCCTTCAGGTCCCAGGCGTCACGCTAGACAAACCAGTGCGTGGTGCGCCCCGAAGATGTCTTCTTCCTTGCGCCATTTTTCAACTCGATGTACACCCTCTCGTTCTATTTGTACTTGATTGAGTCGACAATATCATCCGAAAGACTGTGGAGAGATCTTGCCGCAGGTGACGCGGCCTGACGAGCTTTTATTTCCCCTAATGAAGATCTGATACGCATCAAATTTCTTGGCCGGCCGATATAGCGAAGTCGTCGACGGTCGTATGCTTCGAATAATGTTTCTGCCACTGAGGGGGAACCGGCGCTAATAAGTCTGCATCATGTCACAAATGAGCGATCACGTGCGCTGGACGCGTCTCCCAACGCGCGGTGTGACGCGCCTCACTTGGCAAGCGTGCAGCGGCATCTCCTCATCTTCCATACCTGTGCAGCTTTTATTTACCCCAAACAATCTCCTGAAGCTATGCGCGACTTGGTTTCTTGCGGCGTATGTCTGGATCACTACAAACTGGGCCAAATGAGGGTTCTGTTGTGTGGTGATTATCATCCTCCCTCTTTACCGCTACACGCGCTGAAAGCCCACCCTTCCAGGACACACATTCTGTGAAGGTTGCACCAAACGACTTATATCCACTCAGCCTGACTCCGTCAGTGTGCACAACCCGCACAAGAGACAGTGCCCCAAGTGTCGCAAACCCTTCCTCCCTGACCAGGCCCGGGGGATCTTTCTGGACTAGTAGATCCCTCCGCATCACAGGAAGTCCCTGCAGAATCACAGTATGAAGTACGCTCCGGAAACGCGTCAAATCGGCCGTACAGAAGACCCGACGGCTCGAAGATCGGCTCACTGCCCAGACAGTCGCGAATGCGGTGGAGGAATAGAGAAGGTGGCGACGTGGATGGACGAGCAACACGGCATACAGGTGCTTCTTCTTTGCTCTGCGGTATATTCCCGATTTCTGGAACCTCTCCCCCTCGTCCAGGCACTCCTTATGGCAGTCACCGCGCGTCTCAAAGAGATGATGTCTCTGTTCGTGACTATTGACCGGCAGCAGTCGGATCTAGCCACGACAAGAGCGGCGCTTGGGGAGAAGCACAGCCTCGCAGAGAGAGCATTGGAACAGTCCGCAGCAACAGTATCCTGCTTCAGAAGCGGGATATCGAGCTGCAAGAAAGCAAGAAGAGTTGTGACGCTCTTCGAGAACGACAAGATAAGCTGAAGTCTGAGCTCGATCAAAGACTGAGGAGAACAAGACACTGCGAGGCTACCTCACCAACATGAAGACGCGGGTATGATTGAGGTCTTGTCATACGCTGCGAAAGGGACTTACATGACCAACCATCACGCAGGAAACACGGCAGGACAAAGAGATCAAGGAATGCAAGGACACGATCAAGAGACTAGAAACCAGAGTCGAAGCGTCGCAGGTCGAGATGGCTTCAAGAGAGAGTCAAGATGATCTTGACATCATACTAGAAGCAGGCTCTTCATCCTTTCGAGTACGCGGTTTTGCGCCTCGTGTCATACGATCTCTCACCAAGCGCTCGAATAGGGCTCAAATAACACTTGGTAGTCGGTGCATCGATGACTGTCTCGTCACACCGCATCTCTGTGTCTTCGCTGAAGCGAAAGCGTACCACAGCTCTTCCCGACGAGCCAGACCTGCTTCGTGAGGCTGTAGTTCACGATCCGACGACCGACCGGATACGAAGCACAGTTCTTCAAGCACCCAAATTCAGCTCGGATTGGAGTCTTCCCCCCAAGGAGATGGACCGGCGCCGTGGCGACCGTGTCGCGCGGCCACTGTCTAAATCAACCACCTTGCCCTTGGACCTCGACTCCAAAGGACGTCCACAGAAGTTATTGCATTATGGTTCCCGGCAGAGCATGAGATATAGATCAGTACCACGCATGGATTCTGGGCCCGAAATGTACTTCATCATTACGGCGCTTTCTCGAACGCAGGAAGCCCGAGATCAGCGGAAACGATGTGCTCCCGCGGTAGAGCAGAAGACGAACGTGGACCCATAGCTTGGAAGATGGTGCGCTTGGTAGCCGATGTGGGGCCCACCACATTCGCCTCCCTCGGCTGAGGTCTTCGAATGTTTCGAACATTCGCCTGCCTAGAGCTCAGCGAGACTCTTTTAGAACTAGTTAATGGGTTTCTAGTCCTTACATCACATATTCGTGGGAATTTATGTGGTACTGCCCACCGGCGCTGGCGAGCTCACGTCGGTAAACATGTCATTCTGATACTCTCCCCGTCGCCGAACACACCTCCTTCATCGTCAAGTCGCAGCAGGCGGAGTCTGACCGACCGCCATCACACTCACTTCCTCCTGTCTTGTTTCTCTTTGAACTCTTCCCTTCCCTGGGCGTAGTCACCCGTATGTCTAACGGATACCTTACCTCCCCGCTCTCTCCGCCACGCCCAGCGTCCCGGCCCTCCTCAAGAGGCTCTCACAGGTCACAAAGCCCGAGCGTAACATTGGGAGATGATTCTGGTATGTCACTTTCCACACGCATGCGCATACATCCACCACCGCCCCATACCGTCACCTCCGTCCTTCCTCCGGTTTGCCCGCCATGACCGCCAATGGGTTCTGAGATCTGAGCTCCTCTTCGTGTAGTGGCCATTCGAAACCAAATGAGTACGCTTAAGCACAACATCCGGCACCAGCAAGCACAACTACAACAGCTCGAAAACAACATCCTCGCCTCCCGCCGCCCATTGCCGCCCGGCTTCCTCTCGGACCCGCCCATGTCGCCCTCGGAACTGGAGCAATCGATACGCGTGGGTCGCCGGAGCAGCTTCGAAACGCTGGCGGGGCTTGCAGGCCGGGAGTCAGGACTGCCGTTGCCGCGCCGCAAGCCGTCGCTGGGGGATATCGGGATCCGGGAAGGTATTCCGACCGGCTCGGGGTCATATAGGACGGGCAGTCCAACGCGTACACTGAGTCGTGAGTCCCCGCTCTGTCCTTCACGCCTACCATGGATGCCGACGACCCCAGCGCAGGCATCCCCGTGTCATCGGTCGGTGAGTGTCTCTTGATTCTCCGACCCGCGCTGCGAACACGAACACGCGATTTTGTCGACGGAGATGGTGCATCATGGATGGTGTTGGATGCGGTGGGGTACGGTATGAATTAGGTATCGTTTCTCCCTCTGGAGCGTGCTATCTGCCCGTCTTTCTGGCGTTCCCCGCGCACCTGCCTTGTGTCCCGCGCATACACTCGTGTTATGACGCGCCGGCTGTCTTCATTGGTTCTGCCACTGTGGCACCGCCTGTGTGACTGCTTTTTTCGGCGGTCCTCGCTGGAAAAGAGCGTCCCTTGCCACACAAGGGGCGCGCGCTGTCCGCCTTGCATTTGCAGGAGCCTCTGTGCGCGCCGGCGAGGATGTTGCCTGTGGCGCAACAAGACATGGCTCGATGAGGAGGCGCCTGTGATGACGGTCGTCGGCTTAGCCGCGCAAGGATCTCACGCTGACCTCCGCATCCGCTCCTTGCAGGCAACGCTCGTGCTCTCGCTGGGGACGACTCCGGGAACACCTCCCAGTTCAGCATGAGCCTCAATGTTTCTACCTCATCTTCCGGAGGCGGGGTCTCACCTCGGCGCGCCTCCTTTGCCCCCGGGAACACGACCAAGGTGCTTGCGGACCTTCAAGCGGGCGTGCTCAACGCAAAGAACGCGCTCGAGAACACGAAGGCGCAGCTCCGGGTGAGTCAGCGGCAAGTGAGCCAGCTGACGAGGCAAACGGAAGATTTGAAGGAGGTCCGCGAGCGGCTGCGGCTAGAGAACGAGGGCCTGAACAACGTCGTGGCGCGCAAGGAGCGGCTGCTGCAGGAGGTGAGTCGTCCTTGGTCTTATCTGAGCAGGGGAACCGATCGGCAACGGGATCAGGTGCTCGAGCGCGCGCGGAAAGCGGAAGCAGAAGTGATCACGCTCAAGTCGTCGCTCAAGAACGAGTCATCGACGTCGAAGAAGACCATCCGGGACATGGAGACGTCGTTGACCGAATATACGGGTCGGACACAGAAGGCGGAGCGGGAGTACACCGTCCTCCGGGACTCGATCAAGGACCTTGTCGAGTCGTTCCAAAAGGATGCGTTGACTTTGCGGGAGGAGGTCAAGCAACGGGAGGACAAGCTCAAGGCGGACGCGGAGGAGATGGGCCGCAAGTACAAGCTGCTGCTCGAGCAGGTGCGGAAGGAGCGCGAGTCGGGCGGGTTGGGAGAGATTCGGTGGCTGTTGCACGAGAACAAGCGGATATCGGAGCTCATGGAGGTCACGCTCAAGGAGGAGATGCAGGGACTGCGGGGAGAGGTCGACCGGCATGCCCAGGAGAGCGACGAGGCGATACAGACCGCAAAGTGCGTACCCTTGTTTTTTGTTCGTGCGTGCGCCCGCTTAATGGGTGGTTCTGCCTGGCAGAGTGCTCGCCACCGAGCTCAGCCGACTACGGCGTCTCATGCGACAAGCAGGAGCCGTTGCTGCGCAGGAAGCACGCCATGGCCCATAATCATCCTGCTTGCTTTTGACTTTCTATTCCTCCATCGGACTCCATTACGACCGATACGCCCTACCTGCATCCATCCGCCATTCATCCTCTGCACTCTTTTTGCATCCTTTCGTGTGTTCTTCGCTACGTCGCTGTGCTGTAAATCACCCTACCTACTTATTCCCGGGGACCCGCCACATCCATGTCCCCTCAGCCATATCACCCCTCGTACGCTCATTTTCCGCACCCTGCACCCGCACCCCGCCCTCCGCACTCCGCACTCAGTCTCGTCATTCTCTATTCTCGTCGTCATATTCTCTGCCACTATTGTATATATTGCATGGGTAGCATCTCTATTCTCGTTTCAGCATCCATCTGTGAAGTGCGTCTAGACCGACCCTAAGCCAGGGCTGACGAATACCGGTAAGTCGTGCGGTTAGAACCTTGCGCAATGTGAGGTCATGTGTCCTTTCCCAACACTAGTTAGGACTTGGCAGGTGGGTAGTGGCGGCGATGTGGCTGAGACAGGTTTAAATTGCCTCGAGGAATTCGAGATGGCTGGCGGACGAATTCTCTTCAGGAACTTCATCTTACTGGAAATAAGTTATGCATGTGCCGCGAGCGCTGCTCATGCTACGATTGGTGTGCAACCGAGAAAGGTCATCAAAGATGGGCGGCGGGCCAACGTCAAGGACTCAAGTTACGCGAAGGCCGAGGACCAAAAGTGCGGGGCAGGGCGACACGTGAAACGCGCCTTCCCCGCGGACGATGAATCTGCGTTGCAGCCTCCGGGGCGCAGGTCGCCGGCCCCGGCTTTGGACAGCTTTATGTACCCGCGCCCGCCGTCTTGCTCTCCCTCTCTCCTCCTCCCCTCATCCTTCCCTATCCACCCCCCTTCCGCACCATGGCCACCATCTCCACCGGCATCACCGAGCTCTTTGGCATTAAGCACCCCATCCTGCTCGCAGGTATGCTTGTCGACGTGTTCGTACGACCGCTCAGCCCGCTGAAAATGCTGCCCGTCCGTCTCAGGCATGAACGTGGCTGCTGGCCCGGAGCTCGCTGCTGCCGTGACCAACGCCGGCGGCATGGGTGTTCTTGGTGGCATCGGATATACCCCTAAGATTCTCAGGCAGCAGGTGCGTCGTGCACCGTGCACACGACGGTCCGGCTTTAGTGCATGAGCTCACACGCCCGTCGTGCTACTAGATTAAGGCCATTAAGGAAGATATGCACGACAAAAACGGTCCGTTCGGCGTCGACTTGCTCCTGCCCCAGGTTGGTGGCAACGCGCGCAAAACCAACGTGAGTACCGCGCTCGTAATACTCTCGTCTGTAGCGTGCCCGCTCACTATCTCGCAGTACGATTACACGAAGGGTCAACTCCCGGAGCTCATCGATGTTATTATTGAGGAGAAGGCGAGGCTCTTTGTCTGCGCCGTCGGTGTCCCGCCTAAGTGGGCCATCGACAAGCTCCACGCCGCAGGCATCCCCGTCATGAACGTACGTCCCCCTCCTCTTTCTCTTGCTCCCGCCATCTAGCCGAGCAGAAGATGACCCCTACTTCACAGATGGTTGGCCACCCGAAGCACGTCACTAAGGCGCTCGACCTCGGCGTCGACATCATCTGCGCCCAGGCCGGCGAGGGCGGCGGGCACACGGGCGACGTGCCCGCGTCGATCCTGATCCCGGCCTGCGTCGACATCTGCCGCAAGCGCATCTCGTCCTTCACCAAGAAGCCGGTCATGGTCGTCGGTGCGGGCGCGGTCTACGACGGGCGCGGGCTCGCCGCGAACCTCGCCTGGGGCGCGGAGGGCGTCTGGGTCGGCACGCGCTTCGTCGCGAGCACGGAGGCGGGTGCGCCCAAGGCGCACAAGGAGGCCGTGCTCAGCGCGGGCATCGAGGACGCGGTGACGACGCTCATCTACACCGGCCGCCCGCTGCGGGTGCGGAGGACGCCGTACGTCGATGACTGGTGAGTGATGAGGTTTCTGTAGGCTCGGGTGAGCGGCGGGAGGCTGACGGGCGGTGTGCAGGAACAACAACCGCCAGGCGGAGATCAAGGAGATCACGTCGAAGGGCCTCTTGCCCTACGAGGAGGACTTGAAGAAGCACCCCGAGATGTCGATGCAGGCTCGCGCGTGGCTCATCGGCCGCGTCGCTGCGCTCATTCACGAGGTCGTCCCTGCAAAGCAAATTGTTGACACCATGATTGCCGACGCGGCACAGATTATGCAGGAGAACGCGGCACGGGTGTCGGTCAAGGCAAAGCTCTGAGCTCGCTGAGGGCCTTGTCTTCGGATGGACGGGGTAGTGTTGTATTTTGCTTTTCCCTACTTAATGCATGGGACCAGACATGTCTTACTTCTTGTGTGGCGTCCTGTGTTTATCTGGAAGGTACACTACCTGTAAACTGGTGTTCATACCCTACTGTCTGCGACGCTGTAATATCTCGCCCCAGTTTTGTGACGAAAAGCAGCACTCATGAAGAGACGTTTTTGTCAATATAAGAATGTATGCTTCGACGCCGACGGTCACGTTACCGCGTGCGATCACGATAGTGGCTGCTCTGGTGAGTCTTCCTCCTTCCCCCAACCACTGGCACCACTCCCCTTCTCGACACTTTTGTATACCCGACCATCACACGCACGCTCGAGCGCGACTCGACGTAGCTCGATTACCTATCAAACAGTGTGTACGCTTTCGACCCTGCCCCTGGAATCTTGTCCCGAGACACCACCCTCCAGTGAGCGCGTCGATGTCAAGCTCCATGGATGACATATCGTCCGCCACCCCAGCCTCCTCCACGACGCTTCCGCTCCCTTCAACAAGGCGACCGTGGCGGAGATCGTGCTCCGGACCGCGGACAACGTCGACTTCTACGTCCGCACGGGCATCCTCGCCGAGGCGTCCCCCGTCTTCGATGGCCTCTGCACCATCCCGCTCCCCCCGTCCCGCGTCGCCACCGCGCACGACGCCGCGCAGCAGTATGTGCCCTCCGGTCAGCCCGTCGTCCCCCTCGCCGAGCCCACCGCGACGCTCGACGCGCTCCTCCGCCTCTGCTACCCCCTCCCCGCGCCCCCGCCGCTGCCGCTCCCCGAGCTCAAGCGCGTGATCGTGGCGGCGCGCAAGTATCTGATGGACAGCGTGGTGGAGCGGCTGGAGGAGCAGCTCATCGCGCATGCGCGGACGGTCGAGGCGCACGCCTGTGCGCCGCTGAGCGCGTACGCGGTCGCGGTGAGCAACGGGCTGCGCAAGGCGGCGGTCCTGGCGGCGAGGGAGTACCTCGGCGTGGTAGAGTCGTCCCGTACGTGGGGGAGCTGCAAGACATCTCGGGGGCGGCGCATTTCCGTCTTCTTCATACGCAGGGATCAGCGGAGAGGGCAGAGGCGTTGGTCAACGGGACCTCTGTGCGTGGTACGACAAAGGTTGGAAATATACGAGGGAGTGCAAGTGCTCAAGGTCGACTCCTCATGCGTTGGACCTCGCCAAAGGGCGACATTCACCATGCTGGATTCCGAAGTGGATGGCAGGTGTCTTTGGGATGCTGACGGAGGTTTTGCGCAAACGTCCATGTCGGGTTGCTGTGGAAGAGAATGCAACCCGCATATTGGCCAAGGTCAAGGATACTATAGGAGACTGCCCGAGCTGTAGCGAGCATGGCTACGCAAAAATCGACGCCTTGCTGAAGGCGCTCGGGAGAAAGTTGGATAGCAAGTCATTCGAGGTCAGTAAATGCCTGCAAAGCTTGAAAGCTTGACGACCCAACGTGCTGACAAATTCTCGTAACAGATGAGATTGACGGACGTTATGCCTGACTGAACGATGATGTTGGATTCATACATATAATTTCTATCAGAGTTGAGTACGTCCATTGCTGCCTTTAGTCGGGCCCTGTGACGCCGTCGACGCGCTGCCACAGCATATTGGTCACGAATCTAAGCTTGCAATCACCAGCACCGGGTGGGAAGTCGTCCATGTTGAGTACTCGGTCCGGTCCTGCCCTTCGGGCTGGCAAGCAGGAAGGTGTGTCCTTGAGGTATCTGATTGTTGAACTAAACCTGCTTTGTTCCGCACAGTTCCTGTGCCTCGACCGGCTCTACGTGTTTGAGAAGCTCCCCGGGGGTCGATTTCGACCTCACAATATGACTGTCATCGCGGTCTGGGCGATCGGGTCTCTTATCAGTTCCACAGGTCCGGGATGTTGGCACCTCGAAGGACGCAGCTACGGTAGTCATTTCGCTCGCTTGCCACACATGCTGATGTATGCTCAGTTCCATTGCAGACACACTTTCTCAATGGACTTGGTTTAGTTGCATTAATTCCGACCATGGAACTGCCCGTCTCGTTCCCATTATGGGATTCCAACCGGACGCCCGAGACGAGTAGCCCATCGGGGCGAGCGCTATGATCAAGGTTCTTACCCTGATATCGTAGGTCATTCTCACCTCCACTGTCAGCGAATACCGGACAGGCGCGCCGCGGTGGATTAGGGTTTTCATACTACCGCAGCACACCCGGTCGCATACGTTGGGTTCTCAACCTTTCTGCTCTTCCTCCCATGCAGCTGGGTGACGATGTCGACGCGGCACATCGTCACTTCACATCCTTCACAGAATACGACGACTGGGATAAAGCGGAGCAAACATCAAACTACCTTGTCGTCTACTTCCAACAGTACATTCCCAATAACCCACGTTATCTCGCATCGTACTGATCCTTCTTACGATCTTGCGTAGAGTCTAATCAGCGCAAGAAGGGAAATGCGAAGCTACAGAAGGACGCAGTCAATGCCCAATTCGGGTCCAATGCAGTCCCCGATCAACACGCGATGGACCTCGCGTTGCTTGTCCGGTGCGCATATGTTTTTGCACCACGCTGACTGACTGTGACGGTCCTCGTAGGTACATGAGAGAAATAGAGCAAGCAGGTTTCCACTGTTCTGCCAACCGGAACATCGACGTTCGTATCTCCGTTCCAGTCATTGCGCTAGCCAGCCGCGTACCGGAGCCGGCGCTGAACGCTTGGGACCGACGACTTCTGGAAGACAACTCGTTCCTTTCTCTCGCGGTCGTCAATCCTCAGGGACCCTGCGCGCGGACTTCGGCCGGCCTCCACGACAATGGCCCTGCGTTCAAGGTCGGGGTAACCAGGATGTACAGATCGCCACGCGGAACACTGGAAGACATCTCGCCTGACAGGAGCCTGAGAGAGTTCGACGCCACTCTTGTTCTGGAGCGCGCTATGAACGAGCTGTTTCTTCCCGTACACTGGCTTCGCCGCCGTCACCGACTGTCGTGGGCCGCTGCTGAGGCGCTCTACTTCAGGCTAGCGGCGACTGATGCAGGCATAGAGGAAGATGTAGTGAAAGAGATACGGCAGGTAGGTTGTTTTTCCGACCCGAACAATTAACAAAGCTCACACCTAAAAGCTGTTCAAGGCGGACGAGGAAGGAGGTCACAAGGAGGACTATGAGATTATGCTACACGGGGACAACACATTTCTTGTCGCGTTCAAATACTTCATTCGTCGGTTTCTGGTGTGTTGTCCATCTATCCAATCCGCTTTCTGTGCGCTCACGTACTAGCACAGTTATGTGCGGAGTTCTGTCCAACGTGTCACAAACCTCATAAAAAAACCGGAAGCTTGGCATCGAAACCTCATCCTTGCAATGCAGTCGCGTGCATCGAACGGCATTGCTATGGGAAAGGTGGTGCTCTTGAAGTATGTTCCATCTACCATCGATACAGTGAACTCCAGACATTGACTTTCTAGCAGTACATGATATTCACGGAACCTAATACGGTTGATTTGCTCGTATCTTTGGTGTATATTGCGGCGGCGTATGGTCTGTTGGACCCGCTGCCCATCGGCCCCGGTCTCCCAGGCACCGAAGGTGACGGCCTTCACCAGGTAATTACTTGAACGTTTTACCACCCACGGCTGAATGCGAGCGGCTCCTTTTGCAGGTCTGTGATGCTGTTCTCGCGTTGCTGAAAACCATACCCCCGGTGCGCGTGCAGGTCTGGGTAGTACCGTCATCCATTTCGCTCACGAAGTAGGCATAGATATTGACGATCAAAGAGCACCTTGGCCGCTCGCAAGCCGCTAGGAACTTGAACATGTATGCGGAGCGAGTGTGTGTCGACGATCTAGGACTACAGGTGGAAGACGACGCATGGACTCTACTGCGCTGGTGCGTTGGGTCGTGCCCGATGCAAATCCGGGAAGTTCGCGATCCAGGAGAGGGGCTACAAAACATCGGTGCGCAGCGAGTGTGGTGTTTGTGCATGCAACCGTGCCCACGATTAAACATTCGTTCGTTCCATAGGTCACGGGTGGCGCCAATTCTGCCTCGTGTCCGCACCTCCTACGGCTGAGCGCGATTTCAATCGAGCGGTCGCCGATGCGCAAGCGGTATACCCTCATGCGCGTTACTTTCCATCACTTCCTGTAAGGATTAGTCGTTATTGGGACCACGACGGGGCTAATATTCTGCAGGGATTTCACGGGTCCCCGGTGTTTAATTGGCAATCAGTGAGGGACTCTTCACCATGGTCATACCATATGCTGACGGGCTAGCAGATTCTATTCCATGGACTATGGCTTAAAGGCATTCATCATGCACGCAAATTCGGTCATGGTACGTATGTAACCATACCTTCCATAGGTTTGCATAACTGATTATGCCCATCGCAGGAGTTTACTTCGCGAAAGAGTTCAAAATATCTCTACGGTTTGCCGAATTCGCCCTTCAGACGGCTCAATGGCCGAACAGGGCATTCAACGTCGACCAATGCACCGCACTGGCCGACATCGTGAACCTTCCCCGGGCATTCATATACCATTACCCCACCCACTACGACCCTCTCAAACTCACCCCGCCAACTGAGATGCAAATGAATACGTTCGTCGTCAACCAGACGAAGTGGATTGCCTGGTATGGTCACCCTTCGCCTTGATGCCGAACATCAGTTGACTTGATTGCGCCCTACAGTCGTTTTCTCTTGGTTAGGGGCGCGCCTTCCAGCAGCACGAACCCGATCGTCGTCTCTCCGCAGGAGTACACCAACACCAGAGGAACCTTTACATATCACGACCCCACGCACGTCCTCACCGCTTCGCACACTCAAGTTGGAATCCCTCATGCCATCGAGAATCTACGAAGCCGGATGCAGAAGCTGTGGGCTTCGTACAAATAGGCTCGACGGGGCTGGTTTCTCGCAGTGCTATCACATGTTGTAGCTATATCTCTGCGTCCAGCTGGAATGCATGGTCGTCGAAGCGCCTCATCCTCACGTGTTACCGCAGCTCTTGGAGGTGCGAGAGGTAGTACTAGTAGCTGCGGCAGAGCGGGGCCCTACAAGTATCGCACAGAATCAGTATCATCGTTGCCCACCTCCGTCCAACCGCCCTCACACTCACCTCATAGCCATGACAATCCGCGACGCCGTCGACTTCCTCCCGGTGCGTGCCATCCACCGGGAGATGACGTTGGAAGTTTTAGTGAATCCCTCCACCCGGTTCAAGTCGCTGGGTGACCACACGACCGTCATCGCACCCCTCGGTGGCCGTCGGGCCGTCGAAAGATCTACCAACGACCGTATGGGGGTCATTGGGAGCAAGATGCTGGAAGCCGTCTTCCTCGCCGCCCTCGTGCAGCGGCACCCGTGCATCAGCAAGGACGAGATGGAGGTGCGCACCTGAACCCCCTTTTGCGAGGCATACATGATGTCCTGGCTGCTTCCCAGTTCAAGTTCCATCACCTCGGCGAGCTCGTCGAGTGGTGGGTCGAAATGTACCAGCTGCGTGGGGCGCAGGCGGAGAAGGGTGTACATGACCCTGCGGTGGGCGTGTTCCCCGTAATGCCGTCTTCGCAGGCTTACTGTCCAACAGGAATGTCGAAGTCTGATGGACCAATTGGTCGGGAGACTATACGTCGAACGAGGGTATGCTGACCTCTTGGAGTGGATGACCGCGCTTGTCGAATGGTCAAGGCAGAAACGCGTGGGCGTTGCATGCGGGGAGATATACGACCGGGGGTTGGTAGAGTTTGTGTGATGTTGTATGGCAGGGGCGCAGGGGTATGAAGCAGGGTCGAATCTGTTGAAGACGCGGATAAAGCAAGCGGGCGGGGGGGCCATACCACTCACTTTAGTCGAGTAACGAGGGCAGGCACTGCACGACAGGGCCACGTGATCGCGACGCGGTTTGCCAGCAACGGATGGCTAGGCGAGGTTGGGGGTCGTCGCGTATTCTCCTTTCCCTCCGACCTCCACCACTGAGAGACCCACATTCCTTTCGTCCGCGACGGTCTGGTCACCTCGGACGCTCCAATGGACGCGCTCACCTGCGGCATCTGCCTCGATAGGCTCAAAGTGCCCGTCTGCACGCCTTGCGGTCCGTTGCCATCCGCCCGCTCCCCTTACTCGTTCTCACGCGTCTTCTGCCCCTCCAGGCCATCTCTGCTGCGAGGGATGCCTGACGGCGTACATCGAGGCCAGCGATAACGCAATGAGCGCGTCCTGTCCCACCTGTCGCGCCAACTTCACCATAGGTAAGCACCTCCCCCGCGTTTGCCCGTCTCCCGTCCCCTCCCCCTCCCTGGTCGCGTGCAGCACGCGTGGAGTAGCACCGGCTCACCCCGTTCGTCTTGCAGCGATCCCCGACCTTCATTTTGTTCCCAAAAAGTATCACTCCTTTATGATACCCAGCGTCCGACGCATTTTCATCCCCATCGACGTCGAGGAGGAGCCCTCCGCGACCGTCGTCGACACCGAGGCCCGTCACAGCCTCCGCGCGCAGGTCGTCGGCCTGTCTGAAAAGGTCGACGGGCTCGAGCGCGACCGCGCGCTGCTCGTGGACCGCTGCGAGTCCGCCCAGCGCGCTGCCCAGGCGCACGCCCAGGGCGAGCGCGAGATGCGCCTCGAGAAGGAGCGGCTGGAGCGCGAGATGCGCGAGCTCCGCATGAAGTACGAGGGCCTCAAGGGCAAGTACAAGATGCTCAAAGCTCCGTGCGTCCCCATTTCACCCACTCTTCCTCCCGTCCTCGTCCTTATGTCCGATCCCCCAGCATCAGCCAAGACAAGGCGCCCGCCCGCGCCCCGCCCCTGCAGCCCGCGCCCGGGGCGCGCCCCACGCACAAGCGCACGAGCACCCAAGCCTCGCTCGACGGCGCTCGCTCCGCACACCCCCTCGCCGCCCTCGCGCACGCCACCGTCTCGTCCGGGCCCGACTCGCAGGATGACTCCGACTCGGCGCACCTCGCCCGCGTCGTCCGCCCGCAGTCGCGCATCAGCAAGCGTCCGCGGCTGCTCGGCTCGCCGTTCGACCTCCAGAAGCGGATGGAGGCCCGCCGCCGCGCGCGCGCGCACCGCGGCGTGTCCGACGACGAGCTCGACGCGGACGCGGACGTCAGCTTCGGCTCGTCGAGCGTCCTCTCGAGCGTCGGCCCCCAGCGCTCCGGCTTGCCTACGGGCGACATCTTCTCCCCGAGCCACCGCGGCGGACGCGGTGGTGGACGGGCGAGCATGAGCTGCCCGTGGCTGATGACGCCCGAGGACGACTAAATGGCTCGTGCTGATAGTCTGGGCACCGAACAGTCGGTGCTGGGCTTGACGCGAGTCCACCCTCCTCGAACACGATGTGGGGATTCTGGTTTTCGTTCTTCTTGATTACCTCCGCCTCGTTCCTTCGTCCCGATTCTGTTATGTATCGTAGTAATGTATGTAATGTGGTACATGCTTCTTGGCTTCGATTCTTGGACATTACTCCCGAGCCGGCAATATGATGCACATGTATCTGCTTTATTCGTTGCGTGGGCCCCACAAGACCAGCCGATGCACTTTCCGTATTGGCATGTACTCCAGCTTAATCAGTATTCGTGCGTCCAGGAAAATGGCTACACCCCCATGAAATCAACCCAACGTCTATTACAGATGGAGTAGATATACCATGAATAAAACAACAGAAAAGCACAACATTTAGCACAACACTCAAGATACACAACGCAACACGCGACCACGCTCAGTCCTCGTCGTCCCCGAGGATGTGATGGTTGTCTTCGCGGTCGACGGCGGTGAGTGGCGTCGCTGGCACGCGCGAATACCACTTGTTGTTAGTCGGCGCGCGAAGCTCGATGGCGCCGCCGTCGCGGACGGCCGCGGACGCGGCGTTGCGGCCGCTGATGGCGTAGAGGTTGATCAAGGAGACGATGAGCGCATACAGGATGAATGCGAGGCTGTGATTGGAAAGTGGGGTCAGCGCGGGGGCGACGAAAAGTAATGGAGTAACCACGGCGCACCTGAACATGATGAGGATGTAGGTAACGTGGTCCATGCCCTCTTCGTGCACGAAATTAATCTCCTCGTCCGTCCCAGACATGAAGAGCAAGCTATATGTGCGACATCAGATTTGAAATGCACTGCAGTCGCTCAATGACTCACCCAGAAGCAACAAGGAGCTGTGCGGTGAGGAGTGATCAGAGGGGCACATGCCAACAGAGTCGAGGATGCACTCACGAAGGGGGGTAGATGCCTGAACGCGCGCATGGGGTTCTGTGTGCTGCTCGCGGGAGTTGAATCATAGTGGGTACCGTCAAGGGTGTGCTCGCTGTGACCGTCGCCCTCTGACAAGTCTTGAGTGTATTTGGGGGCGACAAAGCAGACCTCGATAATGCGCGTGACGCCGGCAGACATCAAAGTGTACCCAAAGATCGAGTGTACCTGCAAGACACATACAAATCAGATTTAGATAGATACTAAGGAGCAATGGTGTACCTTTGTCGACAGCATCAGTGCTTGTGCATGGTCGGACATTGCCCATCCTGTGAGGATAATACTACATGAAGGTTGAGCTGAGGACGCAGCAAAATGGAGAATTCCGCATACATGATAGCAGGGACAACGGATCGCTGGAGGATGGTTTAGAACAAAGCTACTTCATCCATGATGCAAGGTAGCTGCCCACCTGGTTGTTACGGGACAGGAAGATTCCCAAGAGACCGCCAGCCCACCCTACCCACTGTCAGATAACGGAGGTTGGGAGCAATTTACAGGCTCACAGAGAACCCCCAGGATCCTATACACAAATCAGTGGAATCTCATATTCGCGAGACGCGTCAACGCACGTGTGTTGCATGTCTTTGACTGACCAAGCGCCGCCGTGATGCTCGGTGAACGTATTGACTGATGGGCAGATGGTAAGCACGCGAAAGGGAGCGTAACATGAGATGACACATACCGATTCCCTGACAATGCGGAACACGTTGACGGTGTTTGTCGGCGAAGCAACGCGAGCACAGCGAACGTAATACTCACCCACAGCATGATCACCCAGGAATCCCACCAATCTGGACTGCGACCACTGCGGCGTACCCACGCCTCGCCGACGAGAAGGAGAATGGCCATGATCGTGCCATATGCGATGAAACCGCCCCCCTGTATGCGCGCGAATACAGCACTGGTGAGAAAGGAGATAGTGTGCGACGAGAAGGAGGAAACGGACCATGATGTAGTGCGCGAGACACTGCCCGAGGTTCCCTCCACGGCAGTACCCCCTGAACGCGATCGCGCCAAAGAGCATCTGAACCCAGCCAAAGATGGGGTAAAGCTTGCCCACAACACCGTGGGCACGGACGGCCCAAGGGCGCAGAGATTCTTCGTGTATGTGGAGCTTGAGGTAGACTCCGAGAAGCAGTTGAAGGGCGAGCGGGATAAGAAGGATATTCGCCATCTCGCCGTGGGCCGAGGCGGGGAAGGCGCGGCCGCCATGCGCGTGTCCGAGCACATATCCAGCGGCAGTGAGAGCAAGACCTGCGCTCTGTGCGCGTGCGAGACATCAGCGGGGGCGAGGGCTGCGGGGTTGAGAGACACACCTGAAGCGGGACGTGCCATCTACTCCGCGAAAGGCCCAGGACCATGCCGGTGGGGAAGAGAACACCCCAGACGGCGATCTGGAGGAAGATATGGAGCCATAGGATGGTGTCCACTGGCGCGTTCTTCTCCTCCTCGGTCAGCTCATCGTGGTGGTCGTGCGCGAGCGCAGAGGCGGCGAAGGAGAGCAGAGCAATCGAGAGGGCCGCGGCACGCGCCGAGTTCATGGCGGAACGAGTGCGGGGGGCCAGTCAGAATCGGAGAGACTGACGCGAAGTGCCGAGAGCGGGGACTGTTGGCGCGGGGGATGTGGACGGAGGTAAGTTAACGGGCAGGGGGAGCCCGCGTGCGCCCGGCCAGGAGAAGCCAGTCCGGAGAGTGTCTGGCTGTAGCGCCCGGATTACGCACCTGCGCGTTTAATTTAGTCGCAGGCCCTCTATGCTCATCTTCCCGAGCTTCCTCGAGGTCCTTGGCCATCTGGATCCAACCACATTCCTGCTTCCCCTCCGCATACTTCCACCTCGGGTTCCAACGGAAAAGCAGATGCATGGCCATGCATACAACCCATTTGGTAGGTGGACAAACGAAATGACCCTGTACTGGGTGCCACTGATGGAATGTCGCCTCGATGCCTGCACGGTATGACTCCACAACGTCCGCAATACCGAGTACTGTTCTCTGCATCATTTAGCGAGTATACCCGAGTGGCATCCCGCGCCCAACGGCGACCTCTCAGTGCGCCTACTCAAAGCAACCCTTTGCCACCACACGACCACAAAGGGCTCCGAAACCCCAATGACGGCTTGCGTCGAGGCCAACGAGTCGGGAAGGTCTCCCGCACGCCGACAGCGTTCCTTTCGCCGCGTCGTATGCCACTCGCCCATTCCAAATAGCCTCCTAGTAGCCACGCATTATGCCACCCGTCTAATCTCAAGTAGCCACCAAGCCCCCTCTCGCCCTCTGGAAAGGAAGGAACGCTTGCCACCACCTTCTCCAGTACCCGCATATAAGAAGGAGTACGTGCACACTGGACCGTCCTCATCCGGACTGCAAACACTCACTTGCACTCACTCTCCTCTACTCGCAATTACCGTCTAACCACTCGGCGCTCAAAATGAACCCGCAGCAATCTTCGCATTCCGCCACCCAAGGCAACGCCGCTGCCGGGAGCACTGGTATGCCCGCCGCACCGAGTTCTTTACCACATCTCACTCCGTGCCTTTCGGGCATCCAGCAGGGCACCAAGGGCAGCCGGCCTACAACGCTTATCAGCAGCAGCTCAACTACGCGTCTCATCCGAACCACGCGGCGCAGCTCAACCAGGGGGCATGGCCCATCCAGCAGGCTCCTCTCGCCCAACCCTACCCGTACGCGTTTTCAACCCCATCACCTCGCCGCTTCCATCCTAATCGCAGCTTTTCATTCTCATCTCGCAGGATTCCCGCGCAGACCCTCGCCCCCGCCCACGCTGCTGCCATGGACGGGCGGTCGTGCGCGGTCTGCGGCAAGGTGTTCGGACGCTGGCAGGACCGAGTGCGGCACGAGAAGAACTGCCTCGGGTCCGGCCAGAGGTCGAGACAACTCTACGGCTGCTATGGGATCACGGCCGCGGAGGCGGCGCGGCGCGGCGTACCGCAGGCGGCGATCGCCCATACGCAGCTCGAGCTGCAGGTCGGTTCCGGGAGCAAGGCGAGCGTCGTCAGGCTCTTCGGGGGGTGCGGCACCTCGTTCACGCGCAAGGACGCGTACAAACGTCACTTGACGGTGCGGGCGGGGACGTGCTGGGGGGACGAGGATGCGTACTGGCAGCCGGGGAACCAGTAGGAGGTTGCGCTGCTCATCTATTCCACCAAAGACGAAGGAACGGAGCTTCTCTGGACACTGGGTCTCTTGCTTTCTGATCTGTATCGTTGTGTTATCTTACTGTCGAATCACGATGTAATCCTAAGCTTCCCCAACCTCTCCACCGACGGCTTCCCCCACCGACGGCGCCGGTGGCGCGTACCACAGCACCGTCACGCTCCCGTCGACATGCCCGACCGCGACGAGCCCCTCCGCCTCGCACATCGCGACGCGGCTCCACCGCTCGTGCTCCTCCTGCGCCATCAACACGCCCGCGCCCTGCTGCCCGCCTGACGCCCCGAACATGCGCTCCACGTCGCCCGCCGGGTGCCCCGGGCTCACCAGGTCGTCCCCCGCGTCCTCCCCCAGCTCGGTCAACCCCCGCAGCTCGTCCCCAGCGGGGACCGCGACGGCGCCGCGCGCGAGGACCTGGCAGACGACGCGCTGGCCGCGGTCGCCCGCCTGCCCGGGCCCGGACGAGTCCGCGCTGGCGTCGAGCCAGAGCGCGGAGCCGTGCGTGCCGAGCGCCATGTCCGACGGCGTGAAGAGCCGGAGCGGGGACGGGATCGAGTGCAGCATGTGCGGCGCGCCCGCGACGCCGAGGGCGAGGGGGCGCGGTACGGGGGCGCGGCGGCGAGGTACGGGAACGTCGCGCGGTCGGCGGGGGCGTACGTCGCGCGGGTGTAGGACGGGTTCGGGGAGAGGGCGAAGTGGTGGAGGATGTTGACCGGCCAGGGGTACCAGGTGTCGAAGCGGATGAGCAGGTCGAGCGTGGGCGGCGCGCCGGGTGGGCGGGAGGTGCGGCGCGGGGAGACGGCGATGGTGTCGATGCGCCAGCGCCATTTGTACTCGGCGATGGGCAGGAGCTTCGGGGGGTCGGAAGCGGGGTCTTGGGCTGGGATGTGGTAGAGGCAGATCCATTGTTTGCGGAACGTGAGGACGAAGTCCTCGAAGATTTCGAAGTTGATGCATTGGTGTTCCTGCCGCAGAATGTCAGCAGAGGATTGCTGACAGGACCGTCTTACTGACAGGTAGTCGGATAGTGGGATCGTTGTGGACGAGTGGGACCTGCATTTCGGCTCGCAGGCGGCCCGTCTCGACGTCGATCATGTACACGGCTTGACCGGGATTGGTGGCGAAGTAGTATTTGCCGTGGATACCTAGGGTGTTCCGATAGCTGTTGAACTGGTTCATCCGTCTGAACCAAGGGTTCTCCCCGGGCCTCGAGAAATCAAGCGTATACGTGGTCGTCATTACCCTGTGGGGACCGTCTCAGAATGAAGTAGTTTCAAAGTAGATGTCTATCCCACCTATCATCTTCCCTACGCAACACGGCAAGCACGTGCGGGTACCCAGGCTCCGTGTTCACCGCGTACCCGAGGATGCTCGCAACGAGGAACTCGGCGAGGAGCACGGGCCGTTCCGGCGCGGCGAGGTCCCAGCACTCGAACGAGAACCTGCGGTTGTTCGACTCGGTCGACGAGTCGAAGAGTGTGAGCGTGAGGAGGTACCGTCCTCCGTGGCCCGCAAGGAATTCCGCGGCCAGATTGCGGGCGCCGATGGCCGGCCACGCACGATGCGTTGGATGGATATCGGCGCGCCGGGTCGCCTGCGGCCTGGGAGAGGTCCAGTTTGAGTGCAGCCGGTGTGCGCAGACGACGAGATGTTCGAGCGCGGCGGAAGGCAGCGATGTAAGATCGGTCTCGTGGAGACCCGGAGTGGGAAGACCCGAGCGAACGAAGCGGGAGATCAGGGCTTGGTGCCATACGCAGCGCTCGCGGGTGACGGTGCAGAGGGATTTGCAGGTCTGCAAGACACGAGCGAGTTCGGAATCAGTGGCTTCAAAGCCAGAAATCGAGAGAAGTGCCAGACCTGCCGTAAAGAGAGGATATCGTTCACATCGAGCGCAGCGCAGAGCTGGAAGAGTATGTCGATTGGTAACAAGCTAACGTTCATGGCCGTAGTACTACACGTTGTGAGACTGCAGATAAGGAAGTCAGAGCTTTCGGACCAAGATTGTAGTCGACGGTCGGCGAGGTGGGCTCGGTTCGATGGTGACGTGGGTCGCTGTTAGGAACATGCGAGCCGGAGAGCTGAGAGGATCTGTCGGAGTCAGTCCGAATAAGATAAGTTGTCCAAGGGAGCTGGGAACGCACGACCATTACGTCATGTCAAGACAGCCAGTGTTCGAATCCCATTTGTGGCATTCATTTAGAGGCGTATATTCACTTCAGGGCCGGCTTCGACGCGTTTCAGAGCGCTATGCAGCCTCACGTAGTTTCCCGACGCTGTCTACTTTTCCTCTCTCTTCTGGACCATCTTTCTAACGCTGTACATCCACCTCTACTCGATAATGTCTGCCACAGCTTCCACCAAGATCACGCCCGTCGACGGACCACTTGAGACTATTACCCCGCATCTCATGCCGTTCCATATCGCGCATACGGGACCCGCGCCGATCTCCACCTACTTTCGCGTCACGCCCCTCGCCCCACCCACATACGGCCGCGACGCAACCTCGACCCCTCCCGACGCGAGCGACTTACAGCAAACAGCCGCAGTCACGGACGCGGACTCGCAAACCACCCTCGCCGCCTCGTCCTCGTCCTCGCTCGCGCCTGGCTCGGACTCCACTCTCGCCGCGACGCCAGCGGACGAGGACGTCTCCATGCGCGAAAGCGGGGGCGCGTCGCATGACCCCACCGACCCGTCGGTCTCCTCCCCGCGGCACTTTGGCGCGGCGTTCCGCGGGCGCGGGATGCACGGCACGGTCGTCGACCTCCCCGACGGATACGCGGGCCTCGTCCTGCGCGTCGTGGGCGACACAGGCGCGACGAACGTGAAGAGCAGGGCGGCCGCGGATTCGACGACTGGGAAGAGGGCCGCCACTCGGTCGGCGTCGAAAGGCAAGGAGAAGAGCAAGGGGGAGAAGGCCCCGGTGAAGGCGAAGGGGCGCGCGGCACGAAAGTCAGCGCGGGCGGAGGCGGCGAAGATGGAAGAGGCGGTCGACGTCGACGCGCTCCCCGAAAGCGGGGTCGTGGAGGACGCCGGGGCTGCGGAAGGGGATGGGGCAGGGGAAGAGAGGGTGCTCCGGCCGGAGGGGACGTTTGGCTCGTTCGTGCTCTGGAACCCGGACGTTCCTGTGGACGAGGCGCGGGACGAGTACGTGCGGGCGTTGACAGAGTGGACACGGATGGCAGCGGAGGTACGTGTTAGGCTTAGGTCTTTGTGGGCAATGCTGAGCGAGGCGCTGTGGGTGCAGATCCATCGTGTGGAGGACTGAGGCGTCGAGGCATGGTCGGATTACATGTCTCCGCCCTCTCTGGAGGGTGAAACAGCTGTGCTGGCGTCGCCGGTCCCAGGTGGCCAGAGGCTCTGCGCCGCCCAGGCTGCATGTCCAGCCGTTATCGGAATCGTGGAACTCAAACCTACCCTTCAACGACTTCTGCCAACCCCGTCCTCCGATGGTCTACAGAGCAAACTCCAGCTTCCGTCGCCCTTTATCGGAACGGTAGTGAATGCGTCGTATGAGTTCGCATTACCTGGTGATTAACCTAGATGTAGGTTCTCCCGCCCGGAACACCACGCGTACTACGTAGTGTTTCCGTCTTCAAGCCTCAAGAATGCCACGCATCAATGCAGTGTAGAGAGCATCTCGCCCCAGGCTCTTCGGAGCTGTCCTTCTCTTGGCGACTTTAAACCTACACACCTTTTCCGATGTCTCGGGGGTGCTTGTAGAAGAGTGCTGTCGAGCTCCCTTCAACCTGAGACACCCAAACTTGCGGCGAGAAATGGCAACAGCGACCACAGATCGGCGGACTGCAAGCACAATTATTGTTGGCTCGTAGATAACATCAATCCGCGCATCGACGGATCCGTCTTCCGCACCTCTCGGAGTGGGAAGCGGATGCAGTAGTATCCGGCTCAGAAGGATGATCACCAGGATAAAGCGGCAGTGGGCGAGGACGAAGGCATGATATAAACACAGGCATGCACATAGCGTCGCAAATATGTTGTAGGTCCTAAGATTCGCAATCGAGGTGGTAAGGACCGCGGTCACTCTCGGACATGGGTGGCTGTGACGGAAATATGCTGTCGGCGGGTACGCGCGGCTTCTATCCATCCCTCGTCCTGCCACCATCAAACTGCTCTCATCCCCCCCTGGGGTCCACATGATCACTTTCTCGCGCATCCTGCTCGTCGCCAGCAAGATCGTACTTGCGCCATGCTCGGGGCAGGCCAGCTGAATGGAGTCTCGCCATCACCACGGTTGCTTGCGTTACGGTCAGCAGCGGTCAGCCTCCCATTCGCGCCGCCGATCACGCAGCAGCCTTCGACAGGCCAAAGGGCGGTGAGGCGGTGAACAGCGATCACAGCCATGGCGCCCCCTGCCCGTGCGTCTTGTGCAGGTGGTGGCCCGGAAGGACTGCCTGGGATCGCATTCGATGCCGATCAAGAGTCGGCGATGCAGACTTGAAAAGGGCCTGGTGCCACCATCCCGTTCGCCTGTCTGTTCTCCCTCTTCTCATCCCATTCCCGCCCTCTCCTTGCGGTTCTGCTTTTGCCCCGCCCCCGAGTCCCTGCGACACGACTTTGACTTTGCTTTTTGACTTCGACTGTGAGTGGCATCTATCCCCAAATTTGATGGCTTGGCAGGCGACCCCTCGCCGCATGAGGCAAGCGATGCTGACGCTCCGACACAACCACAGACCCCTCCATCCATATTCATTTTCACGATGCGCGGCGTTAACAAGATGCTTCTGGGCGCCCTCACCGGCACCGGCCTGCGCGCTGCTATCCAGAGCGACGTCACTCCTGGCGTCGTTCCTCTCGCCCCCGGCCCCGGCGACGTCTTCAAGCAGGGCGGCACATGCACCTTCTCCTACACCCCCGATCCCTCCGGCCTCTGGAAGCAGACTGACGTCGAGCTCATGACCGGCGACAACTTCCACATGATATACCTCGACAGTGAGTACTCATCCCTTTCCCGCGTCCGCCCTCCCCCGCATCCAAGCACTGCATCTCATGCGTCCGTTACCCCTCCCCCGCCCGTAGCGATCGCGTCCTTTGACGGCACCGACGCGTCCAAAACCTCGGGCTCGTTCCCCTGCCCGGCCGTGACGCCGAACTCGGCGATCTACTTCCTCCAGTTCAGCACACCCGCCGCGCCGACGAACCTCACCTGGACGACGCGCTGGACGATCGCCGGCGCGGACGGGAGCTCGACCGCGCCAGAGTTCACGAACACGCCGACGACGACCGACGGCGTCAAGTGGGGCGTCGGCGCGCTCGCGGACCCGTCCGCCGCGAAGGCCCCGCCGTCGTACCTCCAGAACGTGATCGTCTCGAACGCGACGTCGTCCACCTCGGGGTCCACCTCGGGGCTGACGACCTCGTCCGGCTCCGTGTCGAGCTCGGCGAGCACGACCTCGTCCAAGTCCAGCGCGTCGGTCGCCCAGAGCGCGGGCACCACGAACTCGGGCCCGGGGAGCACGACGACGAGGAGCTCCAGCGCGTCGACGCCCACCGGCAACAGTACCGGGAACGGCTCGAGCGCTGCGGTGGGTCTGGAGGCGCCGCGCGTGGCCCTCGCGGTCGGCGCGCTCACGGCGGTCGCGGCGGCGTTGCTGGTCTGCTGATCGCGCGTGCGCGTCGGGCACGAGGAAAGGAGGGAGGGGAGATGACGGCTTGACAGTTCCGAGAGCGGTCGGAGGTGTGCGCTTTCGCTTTGCTTTGATGTGCGCCGGGCGACCTGCTCGACTTTGGACTTCCGTGACTAGGGATGTATGGTATACTAAGCTGTTGTAATGCCCACGCTCGATTGGCCATTGTTGCTGCCCACTGTTCGTTCTGGTGGCCCTGTGGGGAGTCTGCGGAGGGTGTAACTGGTTTTGGCTGCCTATTGCACTACACGCCGACCGATCGATGCGCGCACGTGCGGTTCCGGGTGTAGAGTCGCGTTCGCTCGCCCGCTGCACGCCAAGGTGCGTCTTGTAGTCGCTCATTTGAACGTAAATCGGCTACGCTCCTGTGGAGACGCTGTTTATGTCGTGTGGGCTCGACATGATTGACGGCGCCACGGCGAACCGTCGGCTGAGGCAGAAAGAGGAGGACGGCTGGTACCTGACCGTAGACGCCGGTCCACAACCGAGCGTCTCCCGCGCCTTTTCTTGCTCCCGCTCTCGCTTTCCTCCCCACCGCCGTCGACGTCCCCTGCCTCTCGGTCTCGCACCCTCCTCTCTCCCTCCGCACCCTCAGGCTCTGGACGCTCGGTTCTCAAACCGTCCTTTCTTTACTCAAGTCGCTCTTTTCGCCTCACAGCGTCCCCGTACGTCCTTCGTCCAGCCCTCCCTCACACGACGTTACTAGCGCTGACCTCCAGCTCGTCACCAGCCCCCCAGCCCCCCTCCTCCTAGGCTTCCATCTATCACCCTAATATCATTCACGATGCTCGCTTTTGTTGTCGCCGCCGCACTCCTCGCCGGCTCCCAGCTCGTCCGCGCCGAACCCGTCCCCACCGCGCCCGGTCCCGGCGACGTCTTCACCCAGGGCGGCAAGTGCTCGTTCAGCTGGACACCTGACACGACCGGCACGTGGAAGACGATGAACGTCGAGCTCATGACCGGCGGGAACCTTGGTATGGTCCACCTCACAAGTGCGTCCCTCTCCTTGGGTTTCGACTGTATGCGTGCGAACGTGTTGTGCTGAGACTTTTGCACGCCCAGCTGTCGCTACGCTTGATGGCACTGACCCTGCTACGACGTCGTACGAATATGACTGCCCCGAGGTGAGCCGTGTTTGCTTTGTTGGGTTTGGCGGGCCGTGCGTCCGCACCGTCTCGCCACCCGTTCACATCCCCTCCAGTCTGCGGGAAGGCTCCCTTTCTCTCCTGGAGGACCCATGTTGCATCACAGTACACTGACCTCCGCCCCTCTGCCCATCGCAGGTGTCGCCCAACTCCGCGATCTACTTCTACCAGTTCAGCACGCCCGCCGCGCCAAAGAACCTGACCTGGACGACCCGCTTCACGATCGCCGCAGCGGACGGCACCACCGCCACCCCGACCGAGTCCGACACCTCCCAGGTCACGACGACGATCCTCTTCGGCACCGGCTCGCTCGTCGACGCCGCCGCCGCGACCGCCGCGCCGGGCTACCTCAACGGCGCCACGGCGGCGACGACGACGACGACGACCCCGGGCAGCACGGCGGCGACGACGACGGCGACGTCGGCGGGCTCAAAGATCACCACGTCGCACTCGTCCGCGCCCGCGGCGCCGACGAGCGCGAAGCCGAGCACGACCTCGAACACCACAAGCTCGGCGGACAACAGCGGCGCGATCGGCGCGGGGGCGGACGGCCTCCTCGCGAGCGCGGGTGCCGCGCTCGTCGTCGCTGCTCTCGCGTTCTCGGCCTCCTCTGATCGCCGCGTGCGACGGCGGGGTGATGACCGTCATGTGTCTGCCGTGGTCACTGGAAATCTCTGCTACTTACTTTTGTCTGGTGTCGTCGGTGTTGTTTCGGGACGTTGGGTTTGAGTATACCATACAGTCGGATCTATATCACAGTCCATCTCTGACTTCTACTGCTGAAGTGTTTTCTGCTCGAGTCCGCGTGGGTCGTGAAACGTTTGAACCTGCGACCAAAGTGCCATGAATCAGTGCACTGGGTTCGCAACTCAAGTGCTCATGGACGATGGCGAACGCTTGAACTGTATTCACCGCGGCCTTACGTGACAGAACTTGGTCGTTCATGCCCATTGAGCAACCTCTTGTCTGAAGACGGTAGGCGACCCCGCCCGTCCGTCGCAAGCGCCCATATTCGTCTCGGTTCTCCCGCCTCGAGAATCATCCCCTGTACGAGGGCTTCCGACCGTGTTGCGCCAAGCATTAAGGATGCATCGCGATTCGTGCCCCGCCGTTCGTGGGCGGGTCGAGGCTCTCGAAGGCGTCACGATCGAGTCGGAAGTCGCAACAAGCAGTCGCAAGGGAGAGGCGCGGGCCGCGCGTGCCCGGCCGGTCGTCCAACGGACTGACAAAGGATGGAGTGTGCCAACGGGCGACGGGCAGATCACGAAGACCCTGAGCTACGCGTGCGGGGTCAAGTACGCGACGCGCACGCGGTGGGTTACTTTCTAACCACCGCCAGTCCGGGGGTGGGGAGTGTGGGGAAAAACATGTGTTTCGCGAAACCGGAAAAATGACAAATGGGGACGGGTGCGGGGAACGAAGGACCGAACCGTTGCTTTTAGACACCACCGCACGTAGACTGCTCGAACCACCCGCCTCGCACCACCCAAACTTCGGAGGGGAAGTCGCGCGCGCCCTCCCACCCACTCCCCGCAGGCGCACCTACTCGCCCACCCCGGCCGCCGCCCGCGCCTTCCCCCGCGCGCCGACCATCCACGCGCCCCGCACGTCCCCGACGCACCGCCCGCGCTTGAGGTGGCGCGCGTACGCGTCCGCGCGCGAGTGCTCGCGCCCGCACCCGCCCGCGACGGCGACGCCGGCGTAGTCGTACGCGCGCTCGCCCGGCGCGGGCGCGCGAAGGGCGAGGGGCAGGCCGCAGCACGCCCAGTCGAGGCGCGCGCGGCGGTGGACGGAGCGGACGTGGCGCGCGGCCTCCTGCGCGCGGGAGAAGCGGGCGGGGCAGGCGGGGGAGTGCGGGCAGGGGAGCTTGGCGTCCGGCGGAGGGGACGAGGGCGAGGACGAGGGGGTGGAGGATGGGGAGGGCGCGTGCGAGGACGGGGAAGACGGCAGCGACGAAAATGGGGACCACGGCGAGGTGGAAGACGGGGAGGACGAGGACGAGAGGCGCGAAGGGCGAGCTTGCTGATTGTAGGGGTGCGCGCGGTCCCGAGCCTCGGCGGAAGAGCGCTTGCGATCCCTTGCGTTGATGCGGTTGTGCGCAAAGGTGGGCAACGGAGGCAGGCCTGTGGGGGTGTTGTAGACCCTCTTTTGTTTCGGCTGCGTCTGCGGCGGTTGTTGTTGCTCCTGCGCGCGGGGTGCGCTCACAGGAGGAGCCGGGGGCCGCGCAGGTATGTCCATCGGCGGAGCCGCGCAGTTGAGGGATAGCGCTGCCATCGAGTAGAGCGTGTGGGTCGCTGAGGGGGAAACGGGCGCGGGTGTCTCAAGGAGAGTGTTGGAATACGAGGGCTGGAGCACCCCATCCCACGCGCTACACTGCTGGTACTGAGGCGGGCTCTGGAGGAAGAACGTTGGGTTCTGCTTAGAAGGAGCCTGCGGGTAAGGGATGTAGGGGGCTGGGAGATGCCGCACGGGAAGGGGGCCAGGACCGGGAGGTTGAAAAGGTCCCGCATAGCACTGATTGTACTGGTGGTCTGGGGGATAGCGTTGAGTGGGAAGCTGATCATTCGCAAGACTGTCGAGTGATGAGCAATGAGGAGGGCACATTCAGGGCATGATCGCGCTCACAAGCGGTTTTGAAGGTCGAGATTGTCCTCCGAGTACACGGTCAGCCCGCTGTACACTTGGTGGGCGTGGTAGATCGGGGAGTACATGCTTGATGGGACGGGGAGGGCAGCTGGGTGAAAATTCGCAACGCCCGACACTAACGCGGAGGGCATGAACGCCCGACATTATATGGGGGCTGAAAACAAAGGGCTTTTGGATGCCACTCAAATATTTGGCTGCAGTGCAAGCAGGAGGTCGTCTGTGGGCGGAGGGGGGGTCGCCCTGGGGCGGCGGACGGATGGTGCCCAACGCTTGCATTGTCTGGCAGATTTAGTGCGGGCACGCCCTGCGCCCAGGCCCTGGCGGAGTACTAGGGCTGAAGTTTCTGGGCGCGTTCGCGGAGCCTGAAATGTGTCCGACCGACTCGAGGAGCAGCATGCCGGAGGACTCCGAGACGAAAGCCCAGGATTGCAAAGAGACGGTGCACTGCCAAGCTGTTATATTATGGTCATCGACGCTACTAATGGGCTCACCTTGGCGACTATGATGAGAGAACCATTACTCGCTGAGTCTACTACGGACGGCCGAAAGCGAGTCGGAGTTCGCTGGCACCGTTGTACCTGATGATGAGTTGTGTGTCTGGCTAGACATGGAATGTAGCCCTCAAAGCACTATAGGGCACAGAGTCGTGGCGCTTTCCGCGGAGTGGCAAGGCACACTAGGTCTGAGGACAAATACGTGGTCGTGGAATGAGAGAGGCAAGCTGAGGACTCCCCGGGCCCCGGCAGTATCGGAAAATTGATGACGAAACTACTCCGCCACGTGACACTGCCAGGTGACGTCGAGTATCTGGCCACTCCTTGCTGACGGCCCCGTCCCATCTCCATGTTATACCAGTGTTCTAGAGGGCATGGTCATATAACCCGTAGGGTGGACTGTAGACGACCAGATTGCCGCGGACACCAGAGTCGGCGCATAGTACCAACCTTCTCGCTCCTTGCATCCACCTGGTGCGGTGCGGATGCAACGTGGCGACAAAGGACGGATCTATAGAGCTACGGCTTAATTGCTCATGCAAGACCGCAGACCCCCCTGGACAAAGGGGGGTGATTTCTCACCCAGCGGTTTGCAACTTGCTCGTCCCCCCTCTTCCGGATCTTCCGGAAACAATCTACGGTTCCCAGTCTTGAGAAGTTGTGGCCAATCGGGGCATGCCACTTCGTTCCTTCGGAGGAACACGGCCCTGATCTCCTCCCTCCAGAGAGCCTCCAGTCAGGCCGCCGAGACCAATCGTACACACCGCCCTGTGTCTCGCCAGTATATGTCCGTACAGCCTCGGGAACACTCTGGGATCGCTTTGTCCGTCTGTCCATTCCCCAGCTTTCGCCTTCGTCGCTAGGCTGTGCCTCGACAATTCTCTGTTTCCGCCATTCATGTCCACGTTGGGAGACTCGGGCAAGCCCGACTCGAGCGCGTCCCAAGTGTCGGGGGGTTTCCGCGCACATGCTCGAGCCGAGTCGCCCAGCAGTGTCCGATGCGTCGGCGGGCGCAGATGCAGCCCTCTCGTGGCCGTGTGGCACAGGATCCGTGGTTATGGAGCCTTCTTACGCCAAGGATCTGGGCCATCGCGCCCGATGCCCATCATGCATCTCGGCTCTCAAGCTTCAAGCTCCAAGCTCAAGGATGTGGCACTAGACGCCTGCGGGTCGGTCGTCCAACGCACTGACAAAGGATGTTTGGCGCCGATTCCCCGCCACTTAATGTGCACTATTAGGGGGGCCTTGAGCGCCGATCATAAGCGCGCAGTAGCTGGCAGGCGATGTACACACGGTGGGTTATGTTCTAACCACGCCGGTAGGTGGGAGTGGGGGGACACGGCTACATTCACGAATCTGGAGAGATTACAACAGGAATACATACTGGGCAGCACTTTGCACCTACTTCAGAGCACGGGACTGAGAACAATGGATCCAATACTACAATGAGGCACACCGCCCGCGGCCTCCACTCACTGCCGGCGCCGCCCCGCGCCCCGCCGCTCCTTCTTCGCCTCGCGCACGTGCCCCGCCGCGCGCGCCCGCACCATGTACGCCCGCCGCGCCTCCGCGAGCTCCGGCCTGCGCTGGACCCCGACCATCCACCGCCCCGCGGGGTCGCCCACGCACCGGCCGCGGTTCTCGTCGAGGTGGCGTCGGAGCGCGTCGACGCGCGAGTGCTCCGCGCCGCAGCCGCCGGCGACGGCCAGACCGTTGTACTCGGCCGCGGGCTCGCCGGGCGCGCACGCGCGGAGCGCGACGGGCAGGCCGCAGCAGAGCCAGTCCTCGGGCGTGCGAAGGTGGACGGACTCGACGTGCCGCCACGCGTCTTGCGGGCGGGAGAAGCGGGCGGGGCAGGCGGGGTCGTGTGGGCAGGGGACGCGCGCGCCTGGGCGCGCGGAGGTCGACGGGGATGGGGGTGGGGGTGAGGAGGCAAAGTGTGCCGAGAGAGAGGATGGAGTGGAGGGTGGCTGGGACGATGCGTACGAGGACGGGGACGATGGGAAGGACGATGACGACGACGAGGGAGACGGGGAGTGCGGTGGCATGGAGGACGAGCCGTGCGAGGAGAGCTGTCCACGGTGCAGGTTCCGAAAGCGGTAGTGCGCATTTGTGCGTATCCTTGGCAGGCCGGTGACGGTAGTCACATCCTGGTGACCGGCCTGCTCGTGAACGACAGATGTAGGCGCGGAGGGGGAAGGGGCCGGGGGTGTGGTGGTGGTGGTGGCCGTGTGCATAGCCGCGGCTTCGAGAGACAGCGCCGCCATCGCAGAGAGCGCGTCGACCTCCGAATGGGGAGCCGATGCTAGTTGTGCCTCGAGGGGATAGAATGGGTACGGGAAGTGGCCCATCCCGTACATCGATCCCGTATAGCCCGCCACATCGGGATAGTGGGTGTACTGAAGCGGAGGAAGTGGGAGGGGCGCTGGGTTCTGCAGGTGAAGAGTCTGTGGGGAAGGGATGAAGGGTACTTGGAACTGCCGAACGGGGACAGGAACGAGGGCCGGGACCTGGACGGGTTCCGCGTGGTATTCGTTGTACTGGCCGTTTGGGGCATACTGTTGGATGGGAGATTGACCGTTCGCCAAGCTGCGGAGTGATGAGCGATCAGTGGATGCGCGTGCTGATGGTACAATCGGGCTCACAAGCAGTCCTGAAGCTCGAGATAGTTTTCAGAGTAGAAGGGCAGCCCTTCGTGCATCTGATCGGTGGTGTGGAACGAGGGGTTCATGTCTGTTGGAACGAGGAGGGTGGTGGGGAGTGTTCGTAGTGCAAGACGCTAGAGCAGAGCTCACGAACTCCCGACATTATAAGGCCTGGCCAGGATCCGCATAGACAAAGCAGCTTTTCAATCATGTTCGCGCCACTGGAAGATGGAAGAGCACGCCAGCCTCTACGATGTAGTCCGATTCGGGGTAACTTGACACCATGAGGCAGGTTTCTGGGCGAGGAAGGGGGGCCGGCGGCGACGCAATGAACGCGTGCGCTGCCTGGGGTCCTGCCAGATCCACGCGCACGCCCCGAGACCAAGCGGAGCACGAGGGCTGAAAAGCGCGTTCGCGGAATCTGAAATGTGCCCGGTCGATGGACACAGGGCGGGAGCCCTCGACCGCTGACGGACGGTGGGACTTGAGCCAGTTGAACAGGGGATTTAGAGACGAGTTCACTCACAATGACGGCTACAGTAAGAGGGTCGGTTGAGCTGCTGTGGGCAACCGAAGGTTTCTCGGAGTGTGCAGACACTGTTCAGCCGGCTCTGGCGGCTTCCGAGTATGACAACGATTTATCGGAGCCCTCAAAGCATAAGTTACGCTGTTGGAGCATGACGGAATACGAGTGGTATGGTCGGCGATATTTGGGACGAGGGACGTGGTCGTCGGGGAGCTCGAGAGAGACGTGCCAGCGGAGTTGGCCGGAATTGAAAATTGCCAGGTGATGACGAAACCACTGTAGACGCCGTGCTGGGCGCCCAGGCGCCAGCGCTTGCACCTGCAGCGTGTTCGTCGCGCGATTCCTTTGTGCTCAACCAGGTATCGGGGCTGTCTGACGATCGGAGCATCTTCTCAAAGCCGATGTCAAGATCACGGGCACGGCGTATACCAACCTCCCCCCCCGGCCACGTTTCGTCTGGAAGCTGTATGGCGCGTGATCAATTCCGCCGATCGCTGAGGAACGGCATGCTGTAGCATCTCCGGACAAGGGAGGATGGTGGCCGCTCACAACACGGCGGTCTTGCGCGCCCTACGTACTTTTCAGATCCCGGATTCGTCACGAAAAGTTCATGGCTTACCCGTTTGTCGTACCGGAGAAAATCTCAGCGTTCTTGCTCTTGCGCGCTGATGATCCCTCAGCCTGCTTCCGGCCGGTCTCGATTCCGCGGCGCCCGAGCCCGAGGACCTTCGTACGCCCCGCCACAAAGAAACGTATATGCCCGCAGCCCTGTTCGTACAGCCTTGGAAACTCCCCAGGACAGGCGCGTTGTGTCCGACGCCATGTCTCATCCTCCAGGTACCTTTGTCACCCAGTGCCCGAATTTCTCGCCACACATGGTGCCTCCTGTCTGGCCTCCGTGTTCGGTACACGTTGCGGAGCGGGTCCCCACTGCCCAGCCTGTCCAAAACTCCAGGACACGACGCTTCTGCAGGCCACTCGCTTGCGGCGCTCGCATGACTCTTTCTTCTCTGCAGAGCTGCAATTAATTGAACGACGAGCGCGCTAGGGATACTTCGAATCCGAAGGACTGTCATTCTCCGATCGCGCACACAACGCCGGACCACGGTTATTGACCCCCTGGGGTACCTGAAGCAGTGGCACAAGCCATAACAGGACGATACCTCGAGGCCGCTCCATCTGGTGCGCTCCGATGGTGCGCTCGGAGAGCGCCAATCTTCCGGAGAACAGTGATCTTTGAAGAAGCCTGCCATGTGCGTAGAATCCAGACGCGCGTGGCCGGATCCGCCGCGAGCTGCAGCTGGGCCCTAGCAGTCTGGTGGTGGCTCGCATCGCATGCTCTCTGGAAAGAGCAAAGCATAGTGTGCCACTGCGCAGGCGGGAATGCGTTGTTACTGAGATTTGTGTTCGCGGGACTACGACGTGACATGCACGACCGAGCGCTCGCGCCCCAAGAACAAGCCCCACGACCTCCGACGCTCGCGCCCTGGACCCGTGCACGCAGAGACACCCGTTCCCGCCCCCTCCTCGCCCTCACCGCGCCCCGACCTGGTTCCCAATGAGCCACCACCCCCGCACGTCCCCCACGCACCCCGCGCTGCGCTGCAGGTGCCGCGCGAGCGCGGCCTTGCGCGAGCAGTCCAGCCCGCACCCGCCTGCCACCTCCACGCCGTTGTACGTGCGCGAGTGCGTCCGGGCCGCGAAGTCGACGGGGAGCCCGCAGCACGCCCAGGCGCCCGGGATGCGGTTGTGCACCTCCCTGACGTGCCGCGCGACGTCTTGGCCGCGGTTGAACTCCTTCGCGCACTCGGGGCAGCGATGGGCGGGCCCGGGGCGGCTGGTCCTGCGCGGGGCGGTCGTGGACAGTGGGGAGGAGGAGGTGGTGACGGTGGGCCGCGGTGGGCCGCGGCGCGTAAGACGGGATCGGACGCTCGGGTGGTAGCGAAGCGCGAGCGGGGGTGGTTGGCGGCGAGGGGTCGATTTAGGTGGGGGTGGTTGCTGTGTGGGAGCGATCTGTGCGGAGAAAGTCCCGACCGCGGCCGCCCCCGCGTGCATCGCATTGTGAGGGAATGAGACATGATTGGGGAGATGGTTCGGGATAGTTGAATACTGAGGGATGGATGCGGACGGGAAGATGGGCGTAGGAACATCACGGAGAGAGAATGAGGCAGGATGCCACAGGAATGGGTCGCTGAACAGAGGGCTGAGTGCAGGTGCTGAAAACGAGCGTTCTTCCGACTGACTGTTCAGTTGACGAGTGAGCGCGGGCCCAGACAAGGCAAAGGAAACCATACTGACCTCGATACCATCGGTCCTAGCACAGGGACGAAGAATTGTGTGGAGGCATCGGGAATGGGTGCGTATGGGTATGGTTGATGGGTCGCTACCCTCTGAAGATGGGGCGCATGCGGTTGGATGTGATGCTCAGAGTACATCGTAGCCAGCGATGCGGGGCACAACGCGTACATTCCAAGTTTGATCCTCCAAGCTATAAGACCAGGCGAGCGGGGAGACCTGGACAAAGGGACTTGCAAGCCATGCAGGAAAGTAACTGCACTGTGAGAGCAGTTTATCCTAGGCAATCCAGGAGGCCTGAGAATTCCAGGCTGTGGCCGGAGGGTCACGGCGCCCCCACTGGAGGCGCCGTGAGTAGTGAATTGAGCGGTGGGTGGCACCGGGGACAAGGCAAGAAAAGCAACATGGGATCTCACCTCTGATGCTGATTGATTGAGTGTGCCGCGAGGCAGCGCCGACCATCGACGCGGACCACGGCTTTGGCACTAGTGGCGGCGCAAAATGCTACGTCCCAGGTGTACTCGCCATGAGGTTCTGATTCGCCGAGTATACAAATGGAAAGACATGTCCTTTGTGTGAAGATTCGTACTACGCCCAGACTGGACCCGGCCCTAGCTTGCCGCGAGTTCACAGAGCCCACTCAAGCGGCCGAGAGCCCCAAAGGGCACTAGCGGGTGGATTTCGGCGACGAGCGAAGCGCATTGAAGCTGAGGGAGAGCGCAGAGGACGTGAATCAGGCTCCAAACTACGGAGTTCCGGAAGAAAGGACGGAGGAGAAGTACAAATCCCTTGATTGACGCGTGGACCCCGGAATCGAAGACCGCGTGGAAGCTTGTCTTGCCGGCAACAAGGGATTCGTCTATTCAACACTTGGGCTCATGGAGCGCCGCCTGCGGGAGAGTGACCCTGCGAGATCGCGGACATGAGTAGTGCCAGCGCGAGAAGTGCGCTGTGTGGGAGAGGTGACACTGGGCCTTGGGAGTGCACCGCAAAACAGAGTCAAACGTTGTGACTTGCGGCCACTGAGCTGAGTGGTGTGTCCGGGCGGGGTCGATATGCAATGACTGCGGATGTGTATGGGAGAGGATTTGCAGTCGAGGCGGACGGAAAACCGTTCCGTTGGAGTCCGAGCAGGGCGGGCCTCGGCCGCGCGCGGCCAGAAGTCCGGCTCGGAGGCGGTGTATCCGGAAGGCGCCCGGTCGCCGTCCGTCGGGCCCAGACTTCCTCCGCGCGCTTACTCATTCTTACTCACTCCGCCGCCAGAACGCAGGCTCGGATCTTCTGCGGGCGGGATTGCCATGTCATCTTCAAGCAGGATGACCTGGAAAACATATGGCGGGCCTTACTCACCGCCCCAGTGCAGAGTCACAACGCTCACCGGGGCGGCGGTAGGCGGACACGGTGGGCGCGCGTGGCTGGTGAGTCCAGGCGAGTCTACTCATACGTCCGCTGTCATCAGCCCACTGAGTCCACGCCTGCGCAGGCGCCATGATACTCCCGTCGTCCGGTCTGGATGGCCTCCGTTACGACTCCCGCCAGAACTCGGAGCCCTGTCCATCGTCTCAGTCCGCGGCGTATAAATCGACGCCGCGCCGCCCGCTTAAGCTCTTCCACACACATCCTGTCTATTCCGCTCAGCGCCCCACACCCACACCTCGCACCCGTCCTTTAGGGATCCCGCACCTTCTACATGCCGACGTGCATCATCTGCCTCAGCGCTCTCAAGAACCCGGCCGCCCTCCCTTGCGGTACGCGTCACCTGCTTGTCCACCTTCCACCCATCGCTCATGTAATCATCTCTCTCAGGGCATGTCTTCTGTCACGAATGCATAACCCGGCTCATTCGCTCCACCACGCCTTACACCAGCAGCCATCTCTGTCCAACATGCAAGCAAACATACTCGATTGGTAAGCCGGAACATCCCTCCCCTCTCGCCCGCCCGCTCGCTCATCCCGACCCCGCCTTCCCCGCTCTGCCCGATCGCCGACCACGTACGCGTCCTCCCTCTGCCACCCATATAACAGAGAACGTCGACGCTGCCCTAGTTCCCCACCACCTTCGTCAGCACGTCACTCCTTCCGTCCGCCTCCTGCATCTCGAGTACACCCTCCCCGCCCCCGGCACGAAACCAGCACTGAGCGCACACGCTCTCACCGCCGAGTGCGACCGCCTGCTCGCGGAGAACGCGTCGCTCCGAACCGCGTCCTACGTTTGGCGCAAGCGCGCTGCCGTGCACGCGTCAGCGACCCTCGGGCTCTCCGGACTCGCACGTCTCGCACGCGACTACGGGCTCGCGATGAAGAAGGAGCGCGACGAGATGGAGGGCAAGCTGAAGGAGCTCCAGGAGAAGCTCGAGAAGCTGTGAGTCGCCTTGCGGTCGCTAGGTCGCATGGAGCTGCGATGGCTGACTCGCGTGGGCACACAGGTCGGCGCCGCAGACACCCCCGGACACGCCATCCGAGGGCAGCAACAGCAGCAGCGGCTCTCCAAAGTTCCCTCTTCACCTCCCGTCGTTCTCCGAGCTCGTCGCCTCGGCGTCGACCAATGCCGTTCCACTCACAGTTCCCAAGGACCTCGACATTCCCCCCAGCCTGTCACGCTCGCGTTCCCCCCGCGGAGTCGAGCCGCGCGTCCTGTCGCCGTCGCTATACCGTCTTCCCTCCCCGGCGCTCTCCACATCGAGCTACTGCTCGGACTGCTCGGACTGCTCGCGCGCGCTCGAGCAGCGCAAGCGCAAACGGTCGGCGGAGGTGACAGAAGAAGACTCTCAAGAACGGGCGGTCAAGCGTTCGCACTCGTCATCCCCCGCGGACTTGGGCATGGAGATCGATCACGAAACCAAGCAAGACGTCGAGGTTCCCGTTGCCCCGGTCCCGCTACGCAGTCCCGAGCGGACGATCGCGAGCTATCTGGAAGGCACGCTCTCGCTCTGACGACCCGACATCCGACGTTACAAGTGCAGGCATACGCGACGTCACATACCAGTCCCGACTGGAACACAACTGGGCAAGACGCGGTCTACTTTCTCCTTCCGCTCTCCTCTCTTTCCGCGCCCCACGACCTCGGCATCTCTTCCGGGCCCAGGGCCCTCTCCAACGCCTATGTGCCCCTGCGTGCTCATATACACCCATATGCGCCAGAGCTGGGCTTCCTATTCTTTTTTCCTTTACCCTCGCCGCCGCCGCCGCCGCCACCTGGCGCGCCTCGACGCGCTCCAGGCGCGGCGACAAACCGCTTCGTCGCATACGTCCTGCCCTCCTCGCGTCTCCGTCTCCTCCCTCCCTCCGCTCAGTTATTTACTCGATTTATTAATCTTATCACCCTGTACTCTACAGCCGATGTACATCAGAGCAGCCCAAGTGTATCATACCCCCACACATACAAAGACAACAGAAGGAGCATTCTACCATCGATATGTCCGTCATACAAGGTGTACAAGACGCTAGACAACCGGACCCCGTGTAATCTAGAATCTAATCGGGAACCATCTAGACCTGCAGTCGTTACCGAACCCCGAGGAGCAACGACACCATGTCCGAAGTACCCGTGGATGGGCCCGTACGCCGCACCGGTGCGTGCCGTACGATCCACTCGAGCGTGGCCAGGCGGCCCGCGCGCCGCCTCGACTGTGTCTCAACGGCGATCGTCGTCGTCCCCGGTCCCCGCGATCGGCCACAGTTCGGATATCGCGGCGACCCAGCGGGTCCACACTATCCCGATACAGAGCCCCACGGCCTCGCGTTACGCACAACGGCATCGTACAACACCCAGTACATGTACATGCACGGAACTACCACTCCCACTAACACCGTCCGTGCCAACCAGAACACCTCAACGCCCCGGCGCGCCCTGGAGAAAGCGGACGCCCTCCCCGTCGGCGGCGGCGATCGTCTGCGCGCGGCCGGCGCGCGCGAGCACGGCGATCGCGCGGTGGAGGAGCGGGAGCGGGAGCCCGGCGAGCGCGGAGGGCACCTCGGGCTCGACGATCTCGAAGAGGGTCATGATCGTGTTCAGGTGGCCGGTCGCGGTCGCCTGTGCGGTGCGCGGGCGTGGGCGTCAGATTCGTCCGGGGCTGGGGCGGGGCCAGGGGCGGAAAGGCGGCCAGGAAGGGGGAAGGGGAGGGGGAAGAGGAAGGGGAGGAGGGGAGACTTTGGACGCACCCAGTCGTGGAGGATCTGGGCCCACTCCTCGGGCGTGCGCCAGCAGAGGAGCGCGGCGTGCGTCTGCCCGGGCGGGTCGTAGATCGCCTGGCCGGCGGCGACCATGTCGGCGAGGATCGCGGCGAGGTGGGCGGGGCGCATCCGGCCTGGTCCGCGCGCGACGCGGGTGCGGGGAGAGAATGCCTGTGCGTCAGAGACGTGCGAGAGAGGAGGATGGGGAGGTGGGGGCGCACGGTTGATGCGCGGGTTGCGGAGGATCTCGTCCCAGGGCGAGCCCTCGGGCGCGTCCGCGTCCTCGACGCGAAGGACGAAGAGGTTCCGGTGGCGGGCGTAGGTGAGGATGAGGCGCTCCCAGTCTTGTGTGGCCGTCTTTTGTGTCGCTGGGTTCGGCTGGCGTCTGTGGGAGAGGAGTGGTGAGCGGTGAAGTAGGAAGGGTGGGCAGCCGTACGTGAAAAACGGCGGGGCTGAGTGGATGGATGGGAGCAAGAACCCTGAGAGAAAGCATGAATTTCGCCCTTGAGAGACGGTGACGCTTGAGACACATACCTGAAGCCGTCGTGTGGGCCGTTGCATGAGACATAGTCAAACTTGCAGGGGTTGGTGCGGCTATGGAGTCCGTGGTGGCTGTCTCAAGGTACTTTGAGCAACACGATTTCTGACACAGTATGTTCACAAGTCACTAATACCTAAAAGATCCGAGGTGGTGGGTGCCAGAACCGCTGAGGATTCGGCGGTAGAACGCGTCTGGTGGAGTGGCTATAGACGCCCAGGGGTCGATTACCCATACAGCCAATCTTATGTAATACTCTACAAGTGTTCTGACGGGCAAGCGCCGGCTAGGATGTGCCCGTCCGCCCCCTCCACCGAAAATCTTCAAATTTGACTAACCTGGTTGAATTGTTTCTCTCCGCACATCTGCAAGGGCTGGGGGCGATCGAAGGACATGTGCGTGTATAGTTGTTGAAAGAGTGAAGCGTTCGGACAATTTTCCCCGCGCGCACTGCCTCACCGTCCTCAGTGAGATGAGTACATCCTCGAGCTCAGACGCAGCTTGCGTCTGGGGCACGTGGAACTTCATGCATGGGTGTGAGAAGCTATAGATCCTGGCTGCATCTGAAATCTCATAATTTTCATGAGAGGGACTGGATTCGCGTTTGTCCGAACCCCTATAAACAGTGTCAAACGAGGGCCACGCGCGTGCGTGAAGCGTGGTAAGCCGGTTTAAATACAGATGGTATTTGTCGCTAACTGGATGTTCATAAGACCCGACGTCATCGTGGGCCCGAGCCGGGGCAACACTCGCCCGGGCTTGTTCTCCCCCCACGAGTACCTGCGATACAAATTCAGTCTCGTCTCAGTCTCCCCGCACCATCTCGTCGTCCCGAGGTCGCCTACTTGCAAGGGACCGATTACCAAAGGAGTAGTGCCGGGTGAACAGAGTGCCCAAAATTCGCTGACATCGCACGGACCCCGACTCGAGCCTCGCGACGCCGGTTGGCCGACGTCCAGCAAACGAACTCGTTCCTGTTGTCTTTACCGCAGTAACGTCTTCATTGCAGTCGGCGACGCCGAGCGAGACGACACGCGCGAGACGGTGTCTCGGACAACGCGTCACACACTAATGAGTGGCCGTATGAGACCACAGCAGACAGCAACAAGACTCGATGACTCACTCATGCATTTTCAGGGGACAGTGGGGTGCGTCTTCCCACTCGAAACTAATTCATGTCAATCAGTTGCCTTCGCTCATCCGTCGCTCGTCGCCGCTGTTGCTGGCAACGTGAACACATGCGCGTCCGACCACTACATACTAATGCACTGTGGTGGAAGACACTGGTGGAGGTACGTGTCATATCGATTTTCCCTAAATGTTTATTCGATACCTCCGATCTCCCCATGTCTGGTGATACGTCACTGGAAGGGAATGGGCAGAGAAGTAGAGCGCGATGGTTTGAATGTGCGAACTACTTAGCTGACGTGTCGTCTCTGTCGAATACCTCCAATCGTTCCGCGACGAGTTCTTCCCTTCGAAAGCACAGAGCACACCGAAAGAAAAAACGAACGATGACCCAAAGTTCAATGCCAGGTGTGTCGAATTACAGCCGTTGTAGAATGCAGCGAGGCGCATCGATGACATTGTCGCGGCTCGCCGTCGAGAAGAGGAGGACGCAGAGCGGGGCCGTTGACACGCACCGCTCCTTTGGTTTGACAGACGACCCCGCATACAGCTCCCTCGGTCAACGGATGGTGATCCTTTGGAGATCGAAGTATAGGTGGATTATTACCTTCCGGTCCAGAGTCCCCATGTCGAAATTTCGAGCTGAGCAGCGCACCTTTTTTCCGTCATCTAGAATTACGGTAAGTCGCGCACTCGCGGTGATACGGCTGGCTCCTCTCGGGTACGGCTGGCTCCTCTTGGGGCTCCTCTCGGGTACGACTGGCTCCTCTTGAGGGTATCTGACAGTGAAAACTTGTGAAGGAATGGTGGCTCGACACGGGACGGCAGCTCGACGAGGATGGGGTCTGTCATCTGAAGCGAGAGGCGTCCCAGTCACCTTGCCTGCTCGCTGCAGCCGCTCCGGTTTCCCTCACTCTCCGATTATGGTAACTCCGGGCCCCCTCTCCAGAGCTGCTCCCCCCATCCTGAATCCTGGTACTACTGCAACATCACCCGACTTCCATCGTGGCTCCGGAAGGTCCGTTCAAGTTGTCTGCCCACATACTCAACGTTCTCCCTGCAGCCACGCCCTATCCCCACCATCGATCGGAGCCAGTTCGTCTTCTATGCTCTCCGCCTGCATGCCTCGCGCGCACCGCGCAACTTGCGTTGACGTTATGCGGAGCGCGACGTGCGGCCCGTGCGAGGGAGCCCAGGGCAGCAATGCGCGAGTCAAGCCAGGAAGTCCTACGCACCCGGCGTCCATGTCAATGACCTCGTATGGGCGACGGTGATTTAGGATCGGAACGCCGTGTCGAGAGAAGAGGAGGTTCACGGTCTTTTTTTGCGCGTACGTACTTCGATCGCTCTTCCTGCCCTGCACGCTGGCGCACGCACGAAGGCTTGCCACTGGGGCCCCCAGGCGACCTTCGAGCTCTGATTCACGGCTGCGCGCGGGCGTAGCGGGCGAAGAGACGGCGAAAGGCTCGCTTCTGGGCCTAGAGGTCTCGGCAGTCCGCTCGCTATTGGCCGTGGTCCGTTCTGGAGCACGTACATACCTCATGCCATGCCAAGTGCGCCCGGCCGCTCTGGTGAGCTCCCCTCAAACTCTCCTCTGCCAGACCCTGGCCGTCGGGTGACCGTCCAAGCAGCGTTTCACCACACAGGTCCATGCCATTGCCTCTTAAAAGCGCCTCATGTCTCGTTCTATCCGCTTTCTCGACGACGATGCATGCGAAATGTCGACATCATGCCCGACATTGGAGAAGCGGTCGTCCCGGAGTCCGCGCGAAGCTGTCGGAGATCAAGGGGTCGAACGCCTCAACTGGGGAGACAGTGACGTTTGACCACGCAATGGGGCAAACCCCGGGGTCATGCGATCTGCGCGCGGAGGTTTCATTGACGAGGACAAGACGGATGGTTCTTGCCGCTGAGACCGGCACCCTAGCAGATAGTTACTAGTAACACTGTAACGGTCACGCCTGCGAACGTTCGAATATGACCCAAAAGCTTGCCGAAAGCACCGAGCCAAGCTGCTTCGAGGGAAGAGCACTGCGAAGAAGCCGCAGCGTTGACCAGACGAGAAGTGTGCAGGCCACAAAGGTCACAGGTACTCTGAAGGGAGGGGAAGACGGCACATATGCAGCTAGCTAATCAATTATTGCGGCATTTCGGTTTGAACTTGCAAAAATACAATAATTCTCCTCCAGCCCAAGCGACTGTCATGCGACATCCACGTGAAGATGGCACGCTATGCGGCCGTGGAGGAATTAATGCCTGCGAATGCGCACAATGATGGTTGGCGAGGAGACTGGGGGTGTGCAGTGACTTGAATGGCAGCGAGTAATCACTGGGTGCACTTTACGCACAGCTAGTCGCCTTCTTCCACGTCGCCGAGGAATGCATTGATACTTTGCGTTATGGCCAGCCGAGGCTGACGCTTCACGTCCACATCTGACCATAGGTTGTCATCATCTTCCTCGTCTGCCTTCACATCCTCTGCAGCGACTGTCAGCATTACAGTCTTCGAGCAATCAAAGAGGGACGCACTAAGCTCTTGCTGGAATTCCCTCTTCTGTCGGATGGCCTTCGCCTGCTCCAGACTCATCCGGCCTTTCATGCCCAGGTCCATGAGCATCTTGCGGAGATGACGGATCTGCTCCGACGGCTTGTCGAGGCCCTTGAGCTCCTTCGACCAGACCTTACGCACACCACACGCAACGACGAACAACTATACACACCGTCAGCGCGAGTCCCAGCCACAAGAGACCACTTGATCGTCTCCTCGTCCTTCGATAACCCCGACTTCGCAGGCTCTTTCCGTTTCGTGTCCTTTGTTGCCTTCTTGGCCTGCGCACCGCACCAGCCAGCCTCGGCGTTCCTGGTCATAGCCGAGCGTATGCACGACCCTTCGCCGCCTTCGAACGACGCTGTCCGGAAGCAATAAGGGACCCATATGCGCCCGAACGCACCTCGCCGTCGCTCTTCTTCTTGTGCTTGCGGACAGGCTCTGGCTCGTCCTCCAGCACCGACATCTCCGAATCGCTGGCCCGCATGTCCGCGTCTCCGATGAGCGTGCGCGCACAAGCAGAAGAGAACGCTACGAAGCACGCACCAAGTCGTCCTTGTCTTTGCGCGCCGGTGCCCGTGCCGACTTAGCGTCTCAGGAGGTTCAACGTTCAGCGCTCAGCCGTGGCTACATCTTCATTTCCTGTTGCGAGGATGGGCTCCGGTGATGCGGTCTTCTGTCGCTTCGCGGGGGTGGTTCAGAAGGTCCTACCAAAACGTGAGCACGGCGACCGGATCCTGCGGGTCCTGACGCGGCGCACCTCCGATCTGCTCACGACACGCCGCTTTAGCCTCGAGCTCGCCTTCGCTTTGCCCTTGGGAGACGCTTTGGATTTGGATTTGGACTTGCTGTCCTCCGCGGCATCTTCTTCATCCTCGGAGTTGATGACGGACTACCCGATATCCACAGCAACGCCGTCTGAGAGAGGCGGGACACGCAAGGAGTGAAGGACAGACTCACCACTGACCGCTTCTTGCCCTTCGTGCCCCCGTTGCCAGTGGCAGAGACATAGTTAAACTTGCAGGGGATGGAGCGACTATGGAGTCCGTGGTGGCAGTCTGAAGGTATTTTGAGCAACACGCTCCCTGAAAGGCTATCCTACTCACAAATTGATAATGCCCAGGTGATCCGAGATGGTGGGTGATAGAATAGCTGCAGATCCGGCAGGAGGACGGCGGAATGCGTCGTCGCCTGCTTGTGGAGTGGCGATTGACGCCCAGTGTTCGATTCCCTCGACAACCATTTTGCTCACGTACTAGCACTCCCGGATGGTTCGACGCGTTCGCGTCGGCCACCTCAACGGAGAATTTCCAAACTCGACAGACACGTTTTGATTGTTTCTCTCCGCACTTCCGCAATTTTTGGGGGAGCGGAGGACATAGATGACGGTCCATAAGCCAGATCGCTCTTACTAGACCCGTAAATGCAATTCCGGAGCTTTAACCGAGGCTAAGCGACGAAAGGGATCTCTGGCGTCGAGCCGGCGTCAACGGAATGCCTCCACCGCGCGGAGACCTCAGCCAGACCCCATGGATGTCCGTTGAGGCCCAGTCGTCGATTTTCCAGCGCCAGTAATGGTCCACATCACGACCCCCCGTCCGTAATAGGCCTTGAGGAGGCCTATACAACTTTTCGGGACGCTTGTTTGCTCTGCGAGGGAGGAGGCGGGTGATTATGTCGCTTAGCCGCCCCCCAAACCAGCATAGTTTACATGTCACGCGGCAAGCAACTACACTAGTACAGGGTGCCGACCCCTCCACAGACTTTTGGGCGCTTGTTGTTCCAGCAGCCACAGTGAGATCCTCGGGTATCACTTTCTCGTTGACATCTCGGCGGAACTGCCCTTTCGAGCGGTCTAGAGAACTACGGAGCGTCCGTAGCTCCGCATTTCCTTACGGAACGTCATCCACTGACTCAAGTGTTCGTCACAGATGCGGTCACCCGGCGCTGCATACTCAAGATCGGACGCAGCTTGCGCTGGGGGAGCACGACACTTCACACATAGGTTTGTGAGGAGCCATCCTAGCTAAATCTATTATTTCACGATTTTCGGTGGAGGGATGGAGCGCAATTCGCGTTTGTCCTCCGAACGCTGGGCCACGCGCGGGAAGCGTGGTAAGCCGGTTTAAATACAAGTGTGGTATTTGTCGTTAAGTAAATCTTAATCCCCTGCGCTTTATCGGAAGACCCGACGCCGAGGCGCTCCGCCCCGCCCTGGAGGACAGCGATTGCGGACGGAGATGACGGGACGGCGGGGGACGGAGTGCTCAGCGGAGAGCCTGAAAGAGGGGCGTTCCCCCTGCTCGAACTACTCCTGCGCGCGAGTCGCTGCAGGTCGCTCCTGGTCCGGGGAGCATCGCCTGGACAGAAACAGAAACCAAGGGGGAAGAACTCAGCTCTCTCAGGCCTGCGAGTGTACGGAGGGGAGGTCTGAGATCGTAGGGCTGGCGGCGGGTGGAAGAGGAGGGTTGGGTGTTCATGAGACCCGAAGTCAACCGACGTCATCGTGGGCCCGAGCAGGGTACGGTGACCAAGGCGGGGTGCGCCAGTGACGCCTCTCTCATCATCTTGTAGACCCCCACCCTCGTCGAGCAGCCGTTCCTTGTCGAGCGGCCATTCCCTCTCAAGCTTACTCTGCACGGTACCCACAAAAGGAATCAGACGTACCAACGCGAGCGCGCGACTTTACCGCAGTTCTGTAGGACGGAAAAAAGGTGCGCTGCTCAGCTCGAAATTACGATATGGGGACCTGGACTGGAGGGTTACGATTCACCTATGTTTCGATATCCAAAGCATCACTATTCTTTCAACGAGGGAGCTGTGCGCGGGGTTGTCTGTCAAACCAAAGAAGCAACGGTGCGTGTCAACGGCCCCGCTCTCAGTCCTCCTTCTCTCGACGATGACAGTGTCATCGACACATCTCGGCGCATCCTCCGACAGCTGTAATTCGACCCACCTGACATTAAAATTGGGATCGTCGTCTGGGTTTCCTCTCGGCATGCTCTGTAGTTCTGAAGGGAAGAACGCGGGAAGGTTGGAGGTATTCGACAGCTAAGTGGTTCGCACTTTCAAACCATGACGCCCTTCTTCTCTGCCCATCTCCTTCCAGAGACGTAACACCAGACATGGGGACGTCGGAGGTATCCAAGGAAACGTTTAGGGAGAATCGATATGACACGTACCTCCGCTGCCTTCCGCCGCAGTGCAAATATCGCTGCATAAAATCGTCGCGGAATGGTTGGGGGTACTCGGAAGAGACAAGACGTGAGCTAAGTCGTTCTCACTTTCAAACCATGACGCCCTTCTTCTCCGCCCATCCCCTTCCAGGGATGTGTCGCCAGACATGGGGACATCGGAGGTATCCGAATAAACATTTAGGGAAACTCGATATGACACGTACCTCTACCAGTGTCTTCCACCACAGTGCAGATATCACTGCATAAAGCTTTGGCGTCGCGTTTATATATTGGTCGGACGCGCATGTGTTCACATTGCAAGTAGCAGCAGCAACGAGCAGCAACGAATGAACGAGAAGATAATGCACGAGCAAAGTCAACTGATTAACATGAATTGGTTTCGAGTGGGAAGACGCACCCCGCTGTCCCTCGAGCAGATAAAAATGCATGAGTAAGTTATCGAGTCTTGTTGCTGTCTGCCATGGTCTCATACGGCCATTCATCAGTGTGTGACGCGTCGTCGACACCGTCTCGCGCGTGTCGTCTTGCTTGGAGTCGCCGACCGCCGTGGAGACGTTATTGCGGTAAAGGCGATAGGAGCGAGTCCGTTTGCTGGGCGTGGCCGACCGGCGTCGGCGGGGTCACTTCGAGTCAGGGTCCATACAATGTCAGCAAATCTTGAGCACTCTGTTCACCCGGCATCGGTCTTTGATACATTTGCAGCAGGCGACATTGGGACGAGGAAATCGCGCTGGGAGATCAAGACGAAACTGAGGTTGTACTGAGGGGAGGAGAACAAGCCGGCGAGCGTCGTCCTTGCTCGTTGCAGCCGCTCCATTTTCCGACCCTCCGGTTATGGTAACTCCTCCCGCCGTCCGGAGCTGCTCTCTCCCCCCACCCCGAGTCCTGGTACTACTGCAACATCACCCGACTCCCATCGTGTCTCTGGATGGTCCGGATTCCTCGACGTTCTCCCCGCGGCGACGCCCTATCCATACCATCGATCGGAGCAAATCCTTCTCCATTGTCGTCTTCTCTGCCCTCAGCCTGCATGCCTCGCGCCCACCGCGCAACCATGTGGAGCGCGACGTGTGGGCCGTGCGAGGGGGCCTAGGGCAGCAATGTGCACAGAAGAAGCCGCAGGTCAAGCCAAGAATTCCTCCGCACCCGTGTCCATGTCGACTGTGACTTGGATCTGCATGCCGAGTCGAGGGAAGAGGAGGAGGGGATTGACGGTCTCTTTTGCGCGTACGTACTTCGACCGCTCTTCCGCCCTACACGCTGGCGCACGCACGAAGGCTTCCCGGGCGACATTGGAGCTCACATTCACGGCTGCACCTGACGTACCGGGCGAAGAGACGGCGAGGGGCTAGCTTCCGAAGGTCTCGACACTCCGCTCGCCATTGGCCGTGGTCCGTTCCAGAGCACGTACCTCATGTGCAAGGTGCGCCAGGCCGCCGAGCTATGAGCTCCCCTCGAACTTTCCTCTGCCCGGGAAGACGGACCCTCGCCGTCGGGTGATCGTCCAAGCAGCGCCCCACCATACACATCCATCCAGTTTCCTTGTAAAAGCACCTCATGTCTCGTTCTATCCGCTTTTTCGACGACGATGCATGCAAAATATCTACGTTATGCCCGACAAAGAAGCGGCCGTCCCAGATTCCGCGCGAAGCTGGAGATCGAGGTTTTGGACGCCTGTGCGGGGACGTTGGGCCATACAACGGCGCGAAACACCGGGGGTGTGCGATCTGCGGAGATTTCATTGACGAGGACGAGACGGACAGCTATGGTTCTTGCCGCTCAGAGGCCACTTCCATAGCTTACTAGTCGCTAGTCACACTGTAACGGTCACATCTGCAAACGGAATATGACCCAAAAGCACCGAACCATGCTGCTCCGAAAGGCGAGCACTGCGAAGAAGCCGCAGCGTTGACTAGATGGGCAATGTGCAGGCCACAAAAATCACAGGCCTTCGCAAGGTAGTAGAGGAAGACGGGACGCGAGGGAATTGCCGCATGTAACTAGCCGAATAATTTCGGTTTGAATTTGCAAGAATTATCCTCCACCTGTCATGCGACATCCACACGAAGACGGCGAGGCATGCGGCCGTGGAAGAAGTAGCACCTACGAACATGCACAACGATGGATAGCAAAGACACCACGGATATACAGTAACTTAGAGGACAGCAAATAATCCCCGGATATAGTTTTACACGCAGCTAGTCGCTCTCGTCGCCGAGGAATGCATTGATACTCTGCGTTGTGGTCAGCCGAGGCTTCCGCTTCACGTCCGCATCTGACCAAAGGTCATCATCATCCTCGTCTGCCTTGGACCGGCGGCGTTCGGTTGCCTTCATCTTGGTGCGAACTCGGTCACATCCTCTGCGGCGCTGTCAGTATTGCGGCCTTGGAGCAATCAAGGAGGACGACCAAGCTCTTGCTGGAATTCCCTCTTCTCCCGGATGCCTTGGCCTGCTCCAGACTCATCCGCCTTTCATGCCCAGGTCCATGAGCATCTTGCGGAGATGACGGATCTGCTCGGACGGCTTGTCGAGGCCCTTGAGCTCCTTCGACCAGACTTTGCGCACCCGCACGCCACGACAAACGACTATACGCGCCGTCAGCGCGAGTCCAGCCACAAGAGACCACAAGGCGAAGCACACCTTGAGCCGCTTGATCGCCTCCTCGTCCTTCGATAACTCCTTCGCAGGCTCTTTCCGTTTCCTGCCCTTCGTTGCCTTCTCAGCCTGCGCACCGCACCAATTAGTCTGGCGCTCCCGACCGTAGCCGAGCGCATGTACGGACCTTCGTCCTCGAAGGACCCTGTCCGGAAGCAATAAGGATGAGCTTCCGACGCATATACGGACCCAGAGCCCGAACACACCTCGCCTCGCTCTTCCTAGACTTGTGCTTGCGGACAGGCTCTGGCTCGTCCTCCAGCACCGACATCTCCGAATCGCTCGCCTACACGTTCGCGTCCCCGATGAACGTGCGCACAGAAGCAGAAGTGAACGCTACGAAGCACGCACGTCTTTGCGCGCCGACTTAGCGTCCTCGGCAGGTTCAGCCATGGCTACATCTCATTTCCTTTTGCGAGGATGGGCTCCGGTGATGCGGTCTTCTGTCGCTTCGCGGGTGGTTCAGAAGGTTCATCTGCGCCAGAGTCCTACCAAAACATGAGCACGGCGGCCGGAGCCTGCGGGTCCTAGCAGCGTACCTCCGATTCGCTCACGACGCGCCGCTTTGCTTCGAGCTCGCCTTCGGTGCCGCCTTCGCTTTGCCTTGGGAGACGCTTTGGATTTGGATTTGGATTTGGATTTGTTGTCCTCCACGGCATCGTCTTCGTCCTCGGAATTGATAACGGACTACCCGATGTCCACGGCAATACCGACTGAGGGTGGCGGGACACGCAGGAGTGAAGGACAGACTCACCGCAGACCGCTTCTTGCCTTCGTGCCCCATTCTCCTTCTCCTTCTCCTTAGCTTTGGCCTTCGCGGCCGCCTTGACTCTGGCAGGCTTCTCAGCATTTGGCTTGGTCTGCTTCGCCTTCGCCTTGTTCTTGTCCTTTGCCTTCGGCTCTTCCTCTTCGTCTCCTGCTCCACATGCTTCTGCTGCGTAGAACAGCACCTCAGCACCGGTACACACGAGAGCACAGACCGCGCCGCTCACGATGCCCTCCGTGATGAGCGCGGAGACGGCCGCCTTGTGCTCCGGCACGTCGAGCGCGCCCTCGTCGAAGCCCATCTTCTCCTCGACGAGCCGCCGCATGTCTTCTTCGTGTGCTGTCTACCGGGCGCGTCAGCTCTGGCTGCACAGACTCCTCCGTATACATCCCGCCGCCACGGGCGCGTACGCGCCGCAGCTGGGCTGACGCGCACGTATGTGGATTTCAGATGGGGCACGCACTCGAGCTCCCCAGCCGCGAATATCTGGGCGATCAGGCCGAGGGTGGTCTCCTTGACCGCGTCCATGTCGACGGCCATGATGGACGGGTGGTCTTGCGCCTGTCGGATGCGAGGGAGCCGGGGTGGCGGGGGGAGCGAACTTGGAAGGGTGGTGTGAGACGCGTGCAGAGACGCGTCGCACGAGACCCGCACGTTGGCCATGTTTGGGCGCCGGCTGCGCGGCCCGCGCTTTCCGTGTATGTCGGAGTCCTGGTTCGTGGATTGTTCAGGTCGTGTGGAGGCACATGGGCAAATGAAAGGATAAGCCGCAGGGGATGCGGAGTATATTATAGTGCTACAAGGCCCAACGTGTGGTAAGTTACAGAGAATACAGCCGGATTAACCGCATGGATACAGATGGGAGTGCAGTCGAGAGGACGATGATGTGCAAGAAGAGAAAAGCGAAGAACATAGAACGTGAATGTGAACGTGAGAATGAAGCTTGTACGTGAGAAGTCGTGGGAGTGCTTCTATGCAGAGCGGAGGCAATATCCAGTATACCTCGCGAGGGGCACCGAGGGTCAAGTCAGCCTGCGGCGTCTCGCGGCTCTAAATCGTGGGGCGCAAGAGCAAGACCGGCTCAGAGGTCGCCTTTCTTGCCACCCATGGCGCGGAAGAGCCCGCGCATGCCAATCTTGCCAGACGTTTTCTTCGAGCTAGCCTCGCGTGGCGACGGGGAACGACCGCCATCGGCTCCGGCGCCCTGCGCATCGACGTCGGTGCAGGTGCGGGCGCAGCCGAGGGCGCGGGTGCGGGGCGGAAGGACGACGCGATGAAGTCCCCGCGGACCTTAAGCGGGTCGAGCGGGTTCGTCGGGCACTTGAACGCGGGCTTGGGGGCGCGAGGGTGAGCGGGGCGGGACGGTGGCGGTGCCTCGCCTGCTTCTCCCTCTCGTCCACGGGGACGGGGAACGCGTCGAGGAGGAACTCGGGCTTGCGGAGGTGCGGGGCGGTGCGGCGCGTGCGCGCGGGGATCGCGAGCACGGACATGCCCGGGCGGCGCGCGCACGCGGGCGCGAGCGCGCTCCCGAACGCGGCGAGGTCGTCCCGGCCTTCGTCTTCCGCCTGCATCGCGTAGCGCGGATCGAGGTCCGAGTCCGCGCTGGACACGGATCCACGGCGGTCGTCCGAGTCCGCGCTTGCGGCGGAGTGCTTGCGCGGCGGGAGCGCGAGGAGGGCGTTGCGCGCGGCTTCACGGGGACGAGCCGAAGCGGACCCACGACGCCTCAGACTCGCACCACTCCTCGTCGCCGCCGAGGAGGTGCGCGTACTCCCACTCCTCGTCCTGGTCGCGCCACACGCCGCCCGCGCCGTCGCGGTAGACGTCCGCGACGCCGACGAGGCGGCCGTCCGGCCCGCGTGTGCGCCGCCGCCTTGGCCTGCGCCTCGGCGAAGCGCCGGATGTGATCCTCGATGGACCGCCGTCGGCGAGCTGCGCGAGCGCGAGCTCCGTCGCGAGCGGCGGCGGGCGGAACTTGGCGTACTTCGACTTCTTCGACGCGCTCACGGCTTCGCGCGCCTGTGCGCGGCTGGCGGCCCTGCTGGCGTGGTGCGTGGGGGACTTGAGCGGGGAAGACGGCGGGCGCTGCATAGTGCCGGACTTGGAGCGGGCGCGGCGGGCGGTCTTCAAGGCAGTGAGGGAGCGGAAGTGCTTGAGGCCGCGGGCGGGCTGCTGCTTCGTCGGGCTCGGGGGCGCGCGGTGAAGGTGGGCGGCGGGCGGACCTTGCCCGGGGCGAACGCGAGCGGGATGGTCGCGGAGAGCGGGGTGTCCGGGCAGTGGACGAAGACGGAGGTATAGCCGCAGGCGTGAGGTCCGGCTTGAAGTCCGACGCGGTGTTGGGGGTGATCACCTGGCGCGTGGGCGAGCCGGCCGCGCTCAGGGCGAGGAAGGTGGCCGAGCGCGGGGTGCTGGACACGGACGGGCGGCGGGAAAGGCTGGAGCCGTACGAGGAGCGGCGGGGACTTGAGATGGACGAGCGGCGGCGCGGGGAGCAGGGGGCGGGGGAGCCCGGTTGGACTGCGCTAACCCAGGTGGAGATGGCGGAAGAGGACGCGGAGCGACGACGGGGGTAAGGCTGAGAGCAGGGCACGCGCTTGGGGGCCGGGGGCGAAGGCAGAGGCTGAGTGGGACGCTTCTTCTGCGGGGGCGGGTATGCGAGGAAGGCGTAGGCGGGACGCTGGGCTGGCTGTACTTGAGCGAGTTGGGTGTTGGGGTAAGTGGTCGTGTAGAGGGTAGACATGAAGTTATGTGCGAGCGTTAAGTGTGGCTTGGAGGCGTCTGCACACATCGGGCCTCGTGTCAGCGCGTGTCCACATGGGAGGCGATATGCGGTGGATGCTCACCAAAAACGAAACAAGACGTGACACGGGTCTGATATATGCCGGTTCGTGCGGTTGCGCGGAAATGAGGCGAGCGTAGAAGACGAAGGCGAGTTGCTGGGTAGGGCTACAGAAGGACGCTGGGCGCGGGTCCTGGGGGTAAAGGCGAGCGAGCTGAGGGTTGCGAGGCGAGGCTGATGGGGGGAACACTAGACTAGCTGGTGATGCTGTCCAGTGCAGGCAGAGAGGCCCTTATGACGGAGGAGCGGACAAAAGTCGTCCGCGTAGCCCTCGCGAGGGACAATTGCTGTCGCTTGCCGAGGTCAACATCCGGCTATAAACACGGCCGGCGTCTATCTCGCCCACAGCCAAACAAACCGGACGCGGACAATGCCGGGACCCCGGAAGTGGTGCCGTCACGCAATAGACGCCTCTATTGTCTTGCGCGCCTCCTCTGCCGCCGCGTGTATATAGCAGTGTCTGGGGTCAGGGCTCCAAAGTACAACGCCTGCCGTTTTGGCCACAGCAGGCGTGCACACCACAGGCTGCAAACACAATAAGGGCCTGTGCGCTGCGAACCACCCGTGACTGGTCCCGCTTCCATTCACCTACCCCAGAGAGGGCGCGCGGCGAAGTCGCGCCCGCGTGCGCTCCCACCTAATTGTCTCGCGCCTCGCACCAGGCCCGTTCGAAGTATTCGCGCGGACCAGTGCAATGTCGCCCGCCCCAAGACGAACATCGCGAAGAGTCTAGTGTATGTATTGCGCGAATGCTAATTGTGTGTTGCGGCGAGAGGTCGGGGTCGCGCGCCGGTTTCGTCCCTAGGGTGCCATTGCCCGCGGGGAACATCTGGAGGGAAAGATCAATACGGAGAGCCACGGTGTGTCAGCGCTTTAGCCCCGCGCGGCAGCAACGCGGGCGATGTCAATGCATGCTCGGGCAGACGCCGGGTGAATGCGGCACAAGGACTGGCGGAGCTTCTGTGATAGTTGGGCAGTTTTTAACGCCGGGTCACATACAGGAAGAGTACATTGCTAAATAATTTACGGTCGGGTGCCGCTGCGGCTGGCGCAGTGCGGTGTCGTGACAGGTCATTGTGGACGTAACGTAAGTAAGAAGCACGAAACGGCGACCGTGAAGGGATGCGGCCCTTCTCTACATATCTCCGAGCAGCACGGCAAGGGCGGCTCCCAGTCCAAAGGCCGAAGAGTCTCAGTCGGTTCGGCTCAGGCGGCCGAAGGAGACTGCTCCAGCGTCCGCGAGTTCTCGATGATTGCCTGCGCAAAGTCGGCGAAGTCGTTGCGGGATGCCTTGCCTCTCTGGTCAAAATAGGAAAGTCAGCCTCTCGCGTAACAAGGGCAGACTTCATCGTCACATACCCTAAGAACATAGATCACAAACTGTTCCTCCTGAGTGCCCTCGATAGGCTCCTTCAGGGCCACGCGCAGCGCACCCTGCACCTCCTCGAACGAGCAACGCACAGCCGGGCGCAGCCGCACGGACATGGTGACCTTCCACACGGGCTCTCGGCGGAATACTATGACATCGGGTTGGTCAAGGTCAGAGACAGCTTTAAGAGGGATATAACGCACGTATCCTCTGTTGACCGGAAACCTTGTGTTTAAGGAGCTTAGCATTCCCGAGGATGCCCTCGCAGAAATCGCGGTTTCCCCGCTTGATGAAGACCTTCACACCCTTCAGCTCCGTCTCCAATTCCTCATCTTCTTCTCCCGTCACGATGGGGAGAGTGCTGGCGACGGGCGCAGCTGGCTCCTCACCGGGGGAGCCGAAAGCGAGGGCCGTCCCTGCGGCCGGCGCGAACACGGAGTTAGAGTCACGAGTTGCGGACCAGGCAGGAGCCTTGGCCGAAGCGAAGGACGAGACTGCGAAAGCCGAAGACTGTCCAGAGAACGCAGAGAACGCCTTGGAGGGCTTGGCCTGCAGAAGGGAGTAAGTTCTACACCCGGGCAGTCTCCGAGTGAGCCCGACGTACAGCGACAAGGGGCGTGGAGGTAGCGTGCCACAAAGTGGACGGGGTATGGGTGTAGAGAGGTGACTTCACGACCTGCGTGGACTGGGGCTGAGGGGTTGATGGTGGACTGGGCAGAGCGAGGACTTCAGACTTCGTCTCCTCAACAGTTGACTAGCGCAATTGTCTCAGCCACGAGGAGCAAGAGTATTATGAGCGTGCTTCGCATACCTTGACGATGACAGTGTCCAGCGCTACTGCCTTGTCCTCCACCTTGACAGCGTCCGGGGCAGCAGGAGCTTCCGAGATAGCACTCCGGGCCGGCTGGCTAGACAACTGCGGCTGGGGCATGGTCTCTTCGATCTTCCCATCACCCTCTGCACACTCATCCATCCTCTGGCCCGCGGACGGAGTCCTGCGCCGCTTCATGGGCGGGTTGTCCGAGTTCAAATTCTGTAGACGGACGGATCATGAGCCACCGCTATAGATAACAGCATGCTGAAACCGTGCTCGCTACTCACCGCGACGGGCGGGGCCGAACCTCGTTTGCGCTTCAGCGACCCATCCTCGACTTCGTCGGAAACCTGCACCAGACACAGCTGGGATTAACATATGGCCTTGACGGATCGTGCCGTTGAAGCGACGAGCGGGCGGGCGAGAGGGTCGGGAGGCGAACGGACGCTGCGGACGGACCTCGGGCGCTCGGACCGATCCCCGCAACCGCTGCAGAGGGGCTCGAGTCGGGCGCGGAGGGGGCGGCGAGCGCGTTGCGTGTCGAAAGATAACGCGGGGGGCGGCGGGCACGCGGGTGCAGGTCAGAGGCGGAAGATGCTCACGCTTTCGGCTTCCGGGGCTTCGAACGCACGCGCGTCGCGCTGCTCGGGCGTGCATTGCGCGGGCGGGCCCGCGCTCGCGCTCGCACCGTCGTCGGTGGAGTCGCTCGGGGAGTCGCTCTGGACGCTCTGGGTCTCCGAGGCGGCGGAGCGCGCGCTGCCGGTGCTGTTGCGGCGGTGGAACTTGAAGAATGGGATGCGGCTTGAACGTGAGGCCGCGCTGGAGTTGCTATATGCGCGGGCGAACGCGGCGGAGGCGCATATAGTGAGGCGCGACGGCGGAGCTTGGGCTCAGCTGATGGGTTGGGGCGGAGGGATTTGGGGAAGGACTTGCCTGTTGGTAGTGCTCCGTCCGCGTCTGCGCGAGACGTTGTATCCGACCGCGGCGGACACTGTGGCCACGGCGGCAGCGAAGAAGGGGATCATTGTAGTGGGTGATTGCTTGCTAGTGCTGTGTGCGGTACGCGTGGATGAGATGGGGAGAGGACTTGCGCTGAGAGCGGCGAGCGGTGGAGGCGATAATGGAGAGCGGAAACGTGCTCAGACATCCTCGGCTGGCTTATATGCGAGGGCGTGATGTGGACCTCGCGCGCGACATGAGGCCGACATGGCAGAACACGTGCGGGGAATGGAGAGATATCTGGATGTTCAAGGGGCGCCGGGGCGCTAGGTGGATTGGCGATGACTTGGGCGCATATATATATTGCTGGGAGGACGCAAGAGGGAGCTGAGAGCGGAAGCAGGGAGGTGGGAAGACGGAGTGCGTGGAGTGGCCGGGGCACATGGCAGAGGGCGAGAGGGGGAGGAGCGCAAGAGGACATGGACGCGACCAGGCGCGGTGCGTGAGAGCGCGAAGGCCACGGCCGTCGGGAGCGTGAGGACCTCGTCGCGGGTTGGCAGCAGGCTGGCGCCGCGATGCTGTCCTCCGCCCTCTCTCAGTAGCATGCACAGTGTTTCGTGAGTACGCCCATCGTGTTGGACACTGGTCGGCGGGTCGGCAGCGCTGTCTCCTCCGGGTCCGTGGTGGGAACTCGCCCGCTGTCGTTCCGCCACGTCACCCCCCGAACTCTTCCCCACGCACCCCGCCCCGGTCGTATAAGGGCGCGACGCGTTCTGCTCGCTCAGCAACCCGGCCTTCTAGCTTCTCCCCCGCTTTCCCCACTACCCCGCTGCCCGCTTCCGACGCTTCGCGTTCCATCCGCCCGGCATAGACCCGCACCAACATGCAGCTGCACCTCTGGATCGCCGCTGCGGCGCTGATCCCTTCATTGGCATCGGCCGCAATTTTCCCCAAAGACACGCTCGTCAAGATGCTCGACGCGAAGAGCTTCAAAGCTGCCATGAAGGCAAACGTGCGTGTTCACTTTGCGGCCTTCTCTCCCCTCCGCGAGGCTCCGACGTCATGGCGGTCCTTGCATGTGCACCCACACCTCATTTCATGCGCCTGGAATTGCGTCATTGCGTTTATGAGGTCTTGTGGCGGCATCAGCGCACACACGCGCCTTCGTGAATCGGTCTGCGTTCAGGAACATGCTCGCTCATATATGCCCGCTTTCATTAGGAAACCTCAATCGTCGCTTTTGTGGCGCCCTGGTGTGGCGTGCGTCGCACGGTTCACTATATGCGTGTTTTCCGTCCATAACGTGCTCATCTCACAGCACTGCCAACGCATGGCGCCTGAATACAGCAAGGCTGCGCTCGGAGTGTACCCCATGATCCCCTTTTACGCCGTCGACTGTGACAAGCAGAGCAACAAACAGCTATGTGCGACTCAAGGCGTGCAAGGTTTCCCCACCGTCAAGGCATGTTCTGAAACACCCTCCGCGTCTGCCGACATTGCTTACCCCGCTGCGCTCGCTGCTTCCCCGCCGGTTCTGTAACAGTTGTTCCCCCGGGGCGGAAAGTCCAAGCCTATCGACTTCGACGGGCCTTCGCGGACCGCAAGCGCCTTCTACTACTTCGCTAGCCGTAACATCCCGCATAATGTGAAGAAGATCTATCAACTCGAGGACGTCCCTGCCTGGATCGAAGAGGTATGTACGTCCGTAGTGCTGGCTCTTCTCCCGTAACCTCCCGCCTTCCTCGCCCGATCTCACCCGATCTCGCTGCGCAGAACAAGGCCGAGCCCCGCGCGCTCTTGCTCAACCAGGCGAAGCATATACCTCTTCTGTGGCAGACCCTCGGGAACAAGTACAAGGGTCAGATCAAGTTTTCCGTTCACCGAGATCGCCGTGGGAAGAGCTCTGTGAAGATGGGCCTGGAGAAGGGCGAGCCGAAGTCGTCGAAGGTGCTTGTCTATCCTCCCGGCTCGAGCGACTTCGTCCTCTATGAAGGTGAGCGCCGCAGTCGCTTTGCTCCCCGACTCGTCCGTTGACCCGTCGCGCGTCTGCCCTCCGCCCACAGGCATCCAGAAGCACGACTCGCTCTCCAAATTCTTCGACTCCGTCCTCGATGGCACCGCGGATCTCAAGCTCGTGAACGCCGCTGCCGCGGAGGAAGAGTTCGTGCCGGACGAGAAGGACCTGGAGATCGAGCGCTTGCAGGAGGCGCAACGCATCGCGCTCGCCCACGGTGGCTTCACTGACCTCATCGACTTCGAGGAGGCCATCAAGAACGGCGCGGGTGCGGACTACCACGAGAAGAACGGCTACCCGGGCATGATGGGCGGCGGTATGCCAAAGAAGAAGACGGAGGGGAAGGAGGGCGACGCCGAAGCTCACGCGGAGGGCAACGAGGACATGATTCGCAAGATTATGAAGCACTCACAAGAGGCTGAGGAGGCTGAGCGCAAGAAGGCGAAGATGGCGAAGACGGACGACGCCCAGGTCGCCTTCAAGGCCGAGCCCACCGGCCATCCGAAGACGCCCGCTGCGGGTGAAGAGGCTGCCGCCGAGACGTCGGCACCCGACGCTGAGAAGAGGGAAGTGGAGGAAGACGAAGTGCCCGTTCCCGCACCTGTCGGCGACGCGGAGGCCCCTGCACCGGCGGAAGGAACGCACTCGAAGCACGCGACGGATGAGCTTTAGCAGGGCGGGCGCGTGGCATTTGGGTTTGTGATTAGCTCCTTCTGTGGGTGCAGTTTCGTGTCGGTGTGTATGTTATAATCTATCGGACATTCCAGGACTACCGGTGATTGTGCCCCCGAGCTCGCTTCTCGTCGGGGCGTGTGCAGTTCCCCGACAGACGTCGACTGCCCATACGCAACGGTGACGAGGCCGATGAATGCGACCCTGCTCGCGCGTTCAGTTCCGTGTTTACGTGTTGGGCGATCTGCCTCACGCTTCTCAGTCGAATAGGCTCACCGGATGAATGGGGCCGACAGCCGCCTGCGGACACGAATGGGCTCAATCACCGAGCACTTTCTCCGGGTGAACAAGCTGCTCTCCCCGTCGGATGCTCATATGCCTCTCACCGTGCCCACAGCTGGCGATAGTACCTGTCCGACATCAGATGGAAAGCGTCCGAGATCCACCTCGCAGGTACGCGGGAGAACGGCTCAAGCTCAAGCCTCACGCCGACCCGCTGATCTTTGCGGAGCTTGAACCGTGCGTGTCGAGAGCATGCAGCACAACCACGGCGCCCCTCTCGTCCGCCGGCAGGACAAGGCGGTGCGGGCCATATTGAGATCGGGCCCTCGTGCTGCACAGCGGGACAGCGGTGCGTCGGGCTCAGTACTATGTCATCATCCCATACCGTCCCAACCCTGATTGCTCTCTTAGAGGGGCTGCTCGACGGCGGTCGTTCTCGCCCGCTCCACCTGCCCACCACCCGCCACCCTCGCCGGCGATGAACGTGGCTCAGGCTCACGGCTCTGCAGCCCTGGCAGCCCGGACCACGGCCGGTGCGGGAGGACGTGCCGGCAGCCCCGAGCCGTTCGCGGATAGAATGGGCTCGCAGTGCGGTGCGAGGAGGATCAACATGTGCAAATTTCGAGACAGCTCGAGGTCATCTCCACGGCGTGGCCCGTGGCCGCCCTCGCATCCGATCCCAATCTCGGACGGCTCTGGGGACGGTATCAAGGAAGCAAGCAATGGCCCTCTCCGCCGCTTATCAGATGCTGGTCGGCGCAGAGCCCACGAGCGTGTTTGCCCTGGATGAACCTAAACGGCTACCAGGTCCACTGTGCCCTGGATGAACCTAAACGGCTACCGGATCCACTGCGTCGCGCCTCTCCGCGCGCTCGTTCGGGCATGCGTGCAGGCCACAGCCAGGGCTCCCCCACGACTTGGCGCCGCGAGCCAATGGCGCCCCCTCGCGCGCGACGGCCTTGTCCCCGCCGAAGGCAGCTGCAGCCTGCAGCGCGAGGGGCACGCGCGCTCCGCCGCCCGGGATCTCTCCGCCTGCGTGTGCCTGCGCGAGCGGGGACCGCGGGTGACCTCACGCCACTCGCGTTCCCGCGCGCGGAGGACGGCGGGCGCGTGCGCGCGCGAAACAGGCAGACGGACTGCTGCCCGGCCCCTGCCCGATCCACACGACGACGGCCCCTCGGGGCGCACACGCCCACGGCCGCGCGCAAACTTTCTGTCGTCCGACCCCGCGAAGGGGGACGTGTCTCGCAGTGATCAGCTTCGGCTGTGGCCTCCCTCCGCCTCGCGAGGGCCACGGGGGGTGGACGCGCCCGGCCAGCTCCAGAGGCTGGAACACAACCGTGCGCGGGCGTATAAGAGTTCGCGTCCGCTGCTCGAGAGACCGCCACAGCCGCCCTCAGCATCTCGCACCCGCACCCGCATCCCGCTCCGGGCTCCGCCACCACTCTCTGTTTTTTCTCTCATCCCCGTCGTCGTAGCAGCAAGCTCGTCCGCAGCCCGCCTCTCCCGCCTCTCCTCCCGCCTCCCCAGCCCACCATGCAAAGCTCGATGCACAAGTTCCCGGTCAACCCCCGCCAGTCGTATTCGGAGCGCATGATCGCTGCCCGTGCGCAGCTGCGCCAGCTCGTCAAGACGAAGCTATGTGAGTACCACCGCTCCGCCGCCGCCATCGCCGCCGCCATCGCGCGCCCCGCGCCACCGCCGCTGACCCTTCCCCGCGCGCTCCCTCCCACAGGCGAGATCACGGGCGACATCCACGCGCAGATGCGCTGGACGCGCCGCGCGTACATGAAGGACATCGTCGGCCGCTACCGCGTCCGCATCGAGGGCTGGCCGCTCGCCGAGGTCCCGTTCAAGAACCTGAGCGACGTGACGAACCTGCCCAAGCTCGAGACGCTCTCCCGCGGCTGGCTCGCGGGCACGATCTACTTCCGGCAGATCACCGACGCCGAGTTCCGCCAGATGCTCGAGGACCCCACACCCTGGGTCGGGCCCGAGGACGGCGCGACGGAGCACGAGCACGACGCGGAGGAGGGCGCCGCCTGAACGCGCGCGCTCGCGCGTCGCCCCCTGCGCTCGTCCACTCCAGGTGAGCGGCCCCCGCACACGCGTCGATCTCCGTCCGTGCAGTCACTCACGCGCCTGTGCCACCTTCGCGGCAGAACCGTGCCGCCTGCGTCGTCTGCTCGCCGTGCCCCGTCTCCCCGTCGCCTCGTGTCGCTGTTCGCACTCTACTGCCCCGCACTCGCCATACGCGTCCCCGCACGCGCTTCCGCCCCACGCTTTCGCCGCCTCATTGTATCCCGTATCCACTCGCCCCGGACACCGCGGCCCGCCGCGCCTCCCCTGTAGCCTCATCCGAATCTGAATGAACGCCCTCTATCTATTCGATCGTGCAGCCCCCACCGCGCGTGCGTGTGCAGGTGCCGGGTTCGCCGTGGGAGCGACGCCGGGGAGCTCGACCGTGCGCGCCGGGGTCCGAAGTCGAAGTCGCTTCGCTAGTACCGTCCGCACGCCGACTGGCCGGGGATCAAATGGGCCCGCGCTGGCCTCGGGCGAGCATTCACGGCGATTGTGGCAGTGGCTGTAACCCATTGGGCCTTGCGCGCGCGAGATAAAGTTAAAGGTGATTTAGCCTAAGTACCGCACGGGGCGGCGCAGGCTCTGCCCGGAACGGCGCGAGCAAAGTCGGTGGGGGGCAGACGTACGGTAGGTGTGTACGTGGTGCGGTGCGTCCCCCGTGCGCTGCGACGTTCACAACGTGCGCGTGCTGCACGTACGGCTCCGTGCGGCTGCATCGACGTCACCCGTCGCGGCGCGCGGGCCGGCGACGAGCGCAGGCAGGCAGGCGACACCGCCAGAACGCGCGCCTCCCTCCGTGCGGACCCCACAAAGCGCACACAACGATCGGATGCGTGCGCACCGCAAGCTCAGAAGCTTCCCTCAATGGCAAAACGGCACGCCGCGGCGATCGCGCATGGTTTGGGGCGCGCACGTCGCTGCGGCGAGTATGTGGCTGAGCTGTCTGCACGCGTCGCGCGGGGGTCGCGGCAAGTACGGAACGCAAGCTGCAGCCACGAGCGCCGTAGGCCGACTGACTACCTGCTGGCCTGCACACGCTCAGTGGGTGAGACACACGATCGTGTTCGGCGGTGCGTCGCTGGGCGGGTCGCTTGCCCGGGTCGGATGTGCGCGCGGGGCGATCGAACGTCGAGCGCCGTGAGTGCCCGCACGGGGACGTCCCCATCGATGGACGCGCTCCTGCACGGCGCGATGGCTCCGACCTGCAGGCAACGCAGCGACCCAGCTGAGGCAGCCCGAAATTTTGCTGGGCATGTCTCAGCGCCGCTGACTTCGAATTGGACGAGAGGCCCTATTCATTGCGTGCACGCCTTGACGCATCCACGCGTTCTGGTGTCGGCTCCCCATACATCATGTCCACTTGCTGCTAGAGAAAATACATGCCTGTCGAGGATCTCTGATCGAGTGTTTCAGGTGCGCGATGCCAATCATCCGGGTGCGAGAGCGATATTATGAGAGCACGTATCACAGACAGAGTGGCAGTCTAGACCACCGCTTTTCTCCGAACCATGGGCTTGGACTTCTTCCGCTTCTTGCCTGCCTCGAACGCGTTGGCGCTCTTCAGGTCACGCCCAAGTGGGTCCTCCTTCTTCACCTGGTAGATCCGGACCTGCACGCATCCCAGATACAACATCCGACCAAAGTGCGTGGGTACGGGACGTGTTCATGGGGCGCGGACGAAGAAGAGCAATCGTTAGGTGCACGGGACTCATCAGAAGTCAGGAAAGTGACTTACGATCCAGTTTTCGGACGTAAATGCCTCATCTGCGAAAGCGGCACGGGTCCGCGGCGCGGCGGGGGACATCGATAAGCGTCACATGGTGTCCAATCGGAAATAGCGACGCACCAAGGTAATCGAGCGTGGGACCCGTCTTAGGCATCTGCTGACTACGCACGCGGTCGACAGCATTGGCGCCACCGAACAGTTCCGCGAAGCTACACGATCGAAGTTCAGCACGCCTAATCCACGCCAGGAACACGTCAGGGAAGGGACGACCGGACACGCACCGATAGTAGGACATCTTGTACATGAGGCTGTTTTTCATCGCAGGTGACGCTTGTTCATCGACCCGATATTCACCCTTGGGGGTGAAGTAGTTCGGTTCCTGGATCTCGTCTGGCCACACGCCCTGGGCGATGCGGACCATCCAAAGGAATTTGTTGATGTCATCACCGGAGTACCCAAGAAGGCCGCCGAAAATAACAAGGACGTAGTCCACGTCGTGCTTGCGAAGGATCGGATAGGCGACCTCCTCAGGGCTAGACATGGCCTTTCCGACGGTCGCAATGTGCGCTGTTTGTGAAAGGCGTGTCAGCTTGGATTACGTATGGAATGACCCTTATAATGAAACTCACTGTTGTTCCACGTGTTGTTATCAACCAGCGTCGGCCGGTCCGCCATCCCAGCGATCTGGTACCCGTAATCCCACCAACTCATAACAACCGCATCTTCGGGCGTATTCTGTCGGAGCCAGTAGTACGCCTCGCGAAAGTCGTCGATGATGTGTTGACTCCCATCGGGGTTCGTAGACGCCAGGACCACGGAGGGTGATGAATACGCAGACGACGTAACGTACGTGCAATGCATGACAAAGAAGAACAGCATGCCGAGGGCGTTGAAGACAACGACCAGGCGAGTGTCGAGGCCGAAGATACCGCGAGCCTTGGTGCTCTTAGGGTCGATGGCCGCGGCAAAGCTCGAAGCAAGCCCGGATTCCGAGACAGCGGCAGTCTTCTTCTTCTCCTTGTCCTTCTTGGAGGCGGGTTCGGCGTCGACTTCGGTTACAGGCGCCCCCGCTACGGCTTCCGGCTCAGTGGGGTCGATGTACGTGTCCAGCAGGGACGAGAATGCGACTGCAGCGGCGACGCACACCACAGGGGTTAGTGTGAGCATCAGACGGACCATAACACCCGCAAAGTAGCTGCCGACGACAGCGTAGATGATGACGAACACATGTTCGTCGCGCAGCTCGCGGAAACAGAGGATGACGCCAGCGGGAAAGAGGAAGATGAGGAATTGCAGATCCATGAAGAATGATGGCCATGCGGTAGGCTGGTGCTCGGAGACTGAGGCGATAATGGGGATATACCTAGAACAGAAATGAGCTACCGACTGGACGGAGAGGTGGAAGGGACTAACTTCTTGGCGTAGCCTGTGTCCCAGAGGGAATAAAATCGACCGGTCCAAGGCGCGATCCATCCTTTGTAGGTGAGGCCGGCAAACGCCAACACGCCGAGAGGCCAATCACAATGACCGACCCAAACAGAATGCTCTGGAACTGCTTGGACGACACGTGTGTTCGGACCAACTCAGCGAACGCGACAATTTGCAGGAGGCCGAAAACGCCTGGAGAGCGGAGTTAGAATATATCTGCGCCGCAAAAAGCCTGACACGGACCAAGTGCAGCCATATGCTCGCTCGTTCGCACCGGCTGAAAGCCGACGAACGGAACCTGCATACTGGCCAGAGTACCAATAGCGTACCAGGAGGAGTAGGCGGTGTAGAGGCGATTGGTGAAACGACCCATGAGAATCAATGAGAGTGCATGCAACGGGATCATGTTCGTAATGAACGCGTATCCACCTGATAACAAGGAATTGCGTCAGCCTATCGTAACCGTGACACAGGGCAATGTATGACGCAGTGGAGCGCGGTCCGTAACATCGCAGGAGACCGCGCTGCACATGAGATAGAGGCGCCGCGCACATCTTCCATGTACGGGGATCGCGACGGGCCGAGACCACACAAATTTGAGTACGTACCCCATGCGGCTACCATGTAGAAGTAGAACAGGGCGCAAAGCGTCCCGAACAACACGCTTCCGGTCTTCAGGGCTTTTATCCAACAAAAGAAGGTGAACATGAGCAGGAAGATTGCGATCGCCTCGTTGTCGTAGGAGCCGGCGACGGAACGCGAAATGTAGCCCGGTGCAATGCCAATAAAGGCAGCCGCAAGCAAACCGGCGCTCTCGTCCTTCATCTCCTTGGTAAACCTACGGGACGTGTCAGACGACCATTCTGCACTTTCTTTCGCGCGCATATAATGAAGGACATGACGCACATGTAGGTAGACCATGCAGTGAGTGCACTGAAGCCAGGCGCGAGCAGCACGCAGATGTTCCGAATATCGACAGGGAGGTTGAGCGCATGAAGGACGTTGTAGATGACGCCGCTGGTGGCCATAAGGCCGGGGTAAATGGTACCACCGACCACTCGCCCGAGAGGGTACCACGCGGTATGGTCGAACCAGTTCCAGAATGCCTGAACAAATCATATCGGTAAGAACTCGCAAGCGCAGCTAGCGCAAACACTCACATAAAACCCCTTCTCAGCCAGAACCCGGGTAGCACGGCTAAGGACCCCGTTGTCAACTCGCACTCGACTGCCAATTGGGCATATACTCACTAATTGAACCATGGATCGCTGTAAATTGCCTTGAGTCACATACTGTGCGACCCAATTTAGCATAGTTTGACTCACAACTCATGGATAATACTCTCGAAGTTTACGACAGCAAACAACCGCGAAGCAATGGCTGCCCCAGAAATGAGAGCAAGGGCGACGATGCGCAGTAGCGACGAGGTGTTCGTCACCGTCGCTGGCGACAAATTGGTAGGAAGAGAGTAGGCCTGAGGCATGGCCAATGTCGGGAACCCCGTCCGCGATGGACTGGGCGAATGTGGGGTAAAAAGGAAGAGGGGGAGTTGGGGAGGAAGAGGAGATGTGGGGACTTCTGCGCTCGACGCGTTGGACACGTCGCGCTGCTATTCTGGGCCCCCACGTGATCACACCGTATTATGGGCGCTTGTTCCACCTTTCCGCCCTCCTCAAGCTCCATTCGCATACACTCTCGCTTTCCTCTCGTGTGCCAGCATCACCGCCGGTTCTTATACTCGAAACTCCGCCAAGCGATTTCTAGAAGCGACTGACATGGCCTCTTCAAGAGATGCACGAGTCGAGGACACCTACGAACTTCAAAACGATCAGAGATTGGAGGACCTGCACTCGAAATTGCGAACTTTACGAGGCGTACGTGACCCCTTTTCTGCTCCTCTTCATTGTCTTATACACGTTACTTCAGGTGACCACCGACATCTACGATGATGCAGAGCGACAAAACTCGTCGCTAGATGATACAGTGAGTAACTAATCTCGTTCTCCTCCTTCCTCTTTTTTGACGGTCTCTTCACCTCCGCCTGCGATGCGTCCCTCTTTCTGCGTCAATACATAGCGTAACGCCTTCTCCTCCTTCGGCTCATCTCTCGCTGCGTCATCTCGTCGCGCCGGCCAAGCATTCGGTATCACTCCAGGAGGAGTGAAGCAATGGCGAACAATAGGTTACTGCGTAGCTGCGATTGTTGGGCTATGGTTTTTGTGGCACATCATGAGTTGGTTCTGGCCGTCACCATCCCCCGAAGTTGCGTACCCGTAGTTGTGCGGTTCTCCCGGACCCCGTTGCTGTTGTGCTTCTCGCAGGGCGCTGTTTGTTTGGCTGTACTGTAGCTCTCGTCATTGTACTTACGTTATACCCTGGGTTAAGACTGGAATTATACTGAGGTTACCCTCTCATTTTTACTGACATTGTCGTCCAACTCCGACGTCGACTCTCAAGCTCTCAAGTTCGGCGGGCCGCCGCCTTCAATAGCAAGGGTTAGGGTTCCTCTTCCGAGTCAATGGCATAGTTGCGAGCGACCCATCGTGCTTCCCCCCTCGTCCCAAACGCAGCCAGGTCGCTGCAGCACCTACAAACCGTACACTTACCTCGCCCATACACCTCCGTCATGTCTGACAAAGATGTTCTGCTCTCTATGGGATTCGACGCCGCGCGCGTAGATTGTGGGTTCCCTAGAATTCGCTGAAGCCACTCGTATTCAATCCACTCTCTGCAGGGGCCTTGAAGGCCACTGGCAATCGCGGATTGCAACCCGCGATGGACCATTTGGTCGAAAATGAGTCCAAGTCTGTCCCCGATCTGTCATCCGTGACTTCGTCCTCCGCCCCTGCTCCCAGTGGTGGCGGACCGATGGATGTCGACGAAGACGATGAAGATCTCGCTGCCCTTCGTGCGGTGTACGGCAAGGGTGGAGCGAGCGGATCCAGTGGCGGGGGTGGTGTTGAAGTGGAAGGTGCAGAAGCGAAGAGCATCAAGTGCTCGGTGTGCGGCAAGACGTTCAAGAACGTCGACTTGGCCAACTACCATGCCGAGAAGAGTGGGCATGACCAGTTCGAGGAATCTACAGAAGAGGTATGTCACTTTAGCCTCCTGTATGCGCTCGCTAGCGTCGTTGCGAGTTATAGGGGTGAATGTATGCGTATGTCCTTAGTGTGCTGAGCCCGCTGCTACCGCTATCTACAGATTAAGCCCCTAACCGAGGAGGAAAAGAAGCAGAAACTGGCCGAGCTCAAGGAGAGGATGGCAGCGAAGAAATCAGTGAAGGTGAAAGAAGAGGTCAAAGAGGCACAGGCGAATGAGGCGATCCGGCGGAAAGCGGGCAAAGTGCGTACTCCAACCCCCATAACGTTTGACATGTTCTTCTCATCTATCATGCCCCAGGATATGAATTCCATCCGAGAGGATATGAAACAAAAAGAGCTGATCAAAGAAGCTGAGAATAAGCGTCGAGGTGCGGCTCGTCCATCTTTCGCGATATTGTCTCCAGGGTTAACGGAACAACGTACGACACACCTCCAGAGAAAGCCGAGGATGCGAAGGCGCGTGCGGCAGTCAAGGCGCAAATAGAAGCGGACAAGAGGGAGCGCGCAGAGAAAGCGGCGCGCGAGAAGGCTTTGCGCGAGGGTAGGCCACCTCCTGGAACGGAGCAAGGGGCGAGCAGCAGCGCTCCCGCCGCGCCGGTATCCACGGCGCCGAAAACCGCGGGGAGGGACTACCCGGAAACCCGACTACAGATCCGAATGGCGAGCGGAGGGCAACCATACACGACCACGTTGCCCAGTGATTCAAGTAAGCGACCCTACTGGGTCCCTTGATTGTCCGCGTGGCTACCCTGGAGGAGCTGACCGCTTCTATCATCCTGCGAACATAGCTCTCCGTGAGGTCGCCGAATTCCTCGCGGGACAAACCCTCGCCGTTGACGTCGAGAGCGTCACATTCGCAATGACGTTCCCCAGGTGCGTGCTATGCTGGTTGCGTGGGGGACATGTTTGTTAACAGGGCGACATGCCGACACACAACATGTAGGAAGACGTTCTCCCGGGCGGACTTCTCGCGGACGTTGCGTGATCTAGGACTAACGCCATCTGCGGTGCGTCTATCTGACAAATTCTGCTTGCAACGAGCGTTGTTCGCTGAATCCCGGACAACAGGTGCTGATTGCTTCATGAAGAGATGATGCTGGACGCTGATGAAGAATTCTCGCATCGCGTCACGAGCTGGGAGAAGTAGAGTCTCTGGAAGGTGATATGGAATATCCTTTCATCGTCGAGTGTATGCCTGTACTTGTATGTATAATGGTTATGGACCCCTGCGATTTACTTGTAGTTGGCCGGTTGTATGCTCGTCAACGCGCTCAGCACTGATGCCTGATGCCTGAGGCCCAAGAGCGCGCGTCAAGGAAGACCGGCGATAATCAAGCGTGCAGGCTTCCCAGGAAGCCATCACTGCCGGACATCACTCCATTCACCTGCCCTCTCTTTTCTCCGTCCTCCCATGTCCCTCTGACGGTACCCCCGCTGCATGCACCCCTAGTTCGCCATGGACATCGCCCGCGCTCGTTCCCCACCCTCCACGTTATCGCGTCGGCCCATCGGCCCTCGCAACCCAGGCAGGCCGGGCACGGGACCCGTCAAGAGCATCATCCCCCTCGACCTCACCGCTCGTCTCCACGACTCACCGGAGATCCCGCAAACATGGTCCCCGGAGGCCATCTCGGCGCCACCAGAGTTCGCAAGCCGAGGTGCATCAGACTCGCGCCCGTCTTCCGCAAAGGAATCGGATTTTCGGAGGGCCAGCTCGCCAAGGGATGCGTCAGTGAGTGCCGGGCTATGCGACGGCGCGGCGACACAGTATCAACACCAGAGCCAGCGTTGAAGGAGGGCGAGGACATCTCAAACGAAGACGGAGGAACATCGAGTGAACTGCTCGAAACACCTACGTCCTCGTCGGACCTGCCTCCTCGCCAGAGGATCAGGATGGAGGGTCAATACCCGAGCACGAAGCCGCTCTGGCACCTCCAGAACCCCCGCGCGTAGTCGAAGAGGAGCACATTCCCTACCCCGACGCCCTCGCGGCCGTGTCCTTGGAGGTGCGCGGGGTGATCGGGGCAGCCACCCCCCAGCCAGCTATCCCGGGCTCGCCCACCCTCGTCTCCCCGCCTTATCGCCCGACCCGACCACACAGCCGACGGCCATGTTCGCCAGTGCGCCCCCTCCCCACGTCCTGGTTCCCCACACCCAGCCCGCGAATCCCGACTCTCCGACGCTTGCACTCTCACCCTCAACGGGACCCCCTCCTTCATTCGCGGCGGAACCTCCACCTGCCCAAGGACCTTCTCCACCGGCACAGCCTACGCACTCGTATCCTCCTGATATCAAGGCCCCTATCCCGCAGGAACCTCCCGCGCCCGCGCCAAGCCCACTAGCAGATGCGACTAACGGTACGAACGGGACTATGCATGCGCTCAACGGGTCAAATGGGTCGACATATGCGCTCAACGGGTCGAACGGTTCAGCGTATACGCTCAGCGGCGCGGCATCTGCACCCAATAGGGTGTCGCAGGGGAGCATGGTGTACTCGGAAAGGTCGGGCACTCCCGTTTCCACTCGTGCGTCCACGCCAGGGGTGAACAGGGCAGCGTCAAAACGCTCCCCGCTCCCAGCCCCTCCCGCGTTGAACTTCGAGTCGGAGCCCATCCAGTGGAAGTCGATGACTCTCGAGGCCGCGCAGTGGACGTTCACGTCGGAACAGCTGCAGGAGATCGTGTCGCGTGCGATCCGGCAGTCGGCTGCCGAGTCCTTCATCCACGTCATCTCGACCCAGACATCCGACGTGGAGCTTCCGCAGGAGTTGGAGCGGCTAGAACAGGTGCGCATGCAATAAAAACCAACGAATGAGCGCCTATGGCTGACATATACCCGGACGTGTAGCTCAAACTTACGACCCAGGCGCAATATAGGTTCAGCATGCACCGACGAACGAATCTCCTTCAGTCGCTTGTCGCACTGTCGCAATCGCAGTGGATGGCGATGGCGAAGCACTGTACAGCCTTACGATCCAGATCGCGGACCTCACCACTGCATGCGACAGGCTGTCCGAGACTCTCGTGCGTATTGCTGACCAGAAGGCACAAATTCAACACATCGTGGATGTACACGTCTCGTCGGCACTGGCGATGGCGCTCCGAAAACTGAACGCCTCGTACGCCAAACGGAGCGGGGAGCTGCAAGAGCTGCGTCTCCGTAATGAAGAGCTTCAAGCAGAGCTGGAGGAGGCGTGGAACATGGCGCAGGACATGGCACAAGAGATGGATGACCTCGACAACTTTGACCTGGCGTTCGACGAAGACGAGTTCGATGAGGAGGGCGCTACACCCGACATGGAACTCGACGACGACGACGGGCCCAACAACTCGGCGCTCGAGGCGGACATTTACAGCGACCTCGACCGTATGTCTGGCAGCGGCTCTGTGCACTCGGCGCGTGTCGTGGGCATCGTCGGGACCGCGGTCGCGACGAAAGCAACGCTGACGAGTGTGGCGAACGGCGACCTCAAATCGGGCGACCGCACGAGCCGTGTTTCGGCCGCGAAGAAACGGAGCAGCAGGACATCGAAGGCTAGCCTCCGCGTCCCGAAGACGCCAGCGCAGGGGAACGGCGAGCAACGCCAGCGCCCGGATCGTTCCTCCGTCTACTCAATTCACGCACGCCGACGGAGCCGCAGCAAGAGTCTGCGCCGAGCCGAGCGCGGCGAGGGCAGCTCCAAGGACGTTCCCGACGTACCAATCATCCGCCTCCCCGAGCCGTCCCGGAGCAGAGAGGGGTCGATCTTGGACAGCAACGCGCGCGCCTCATCGCCATCTGGCGTGAGTCACGGCCATTCCCGGAACGACAGCGAGGCGCCCCCACCACCGCCGCCCAAGAGCGATCTGGATGCTGGGATGTCCCTGAACAGCGCCGCCTGTGAGTGTCCGCCGCGCCCACGTCCTATTTTGGTTTTCTGACAATCACCCGGGGCAACACACAGCCCGGTCAGAAGAGATGCTTGGTCCGCCCGAGAAATCGCCCACAGGGACTACAGGCACGTTCGGCAGCATCCCCATGATCAACATCCCCGAAGGAAGCGACTACAGTTTGGAACTCCATCCGCAGCCCCAGCAGCCTGCACAGAAGGGCACCCGGATGAAGCCTTCAGCATGGCGGGGCCGCAACTTCTTCGCAAGACGGGTACAGTCAATGCAGCCGCCGCCACTGCACAACGGGGAGGAAATTCAGGAACCGGGCGACTTGAAGCGGTCCGCTTCGGAGTCGAAGCAGTTCGACGGATGGCCGTTTGGGGGAAGCGGCAGCGGCGGAGGCAGCACGACGAAGCAGCGCTTCTCTGTTCCTGGACTTAACGCGATGCAGCCGTTGCGAGGTCGCATGTCGAGTGACAGCGCGCCAGCAACCTAGGATTCCCTTTTTGTGATCGCGCTCTCGCCGCTATCCCGTCCCACCCTCATACTCTTACATTCTCGTATTCTTAGTTAAATTATCCTGTCGGATCGGTTCTTGTATCTGAGGTGAGTCGCTTTTCTATTGGTGTTATGCAGAAACGCTGACACGATTTGTCTACAGTTAGAATTCTTGCTTGCAGCCCGTCGCTCTTTTTATCACCGGATCGCCCACTTCATCGCTGTCTATCGCTCCACCGCTCCCTATTTCCACCAACCTTGTCTCTTCCACACACCCGCCGCCCCTCACGCGTACATGCCGGTCCCTGGCCGTTACCCCACGTCATCACATTCTGCACATGCATATACATACACATACACATACACCACTTTCCATATTTCCATCTACCTCACGTTGTCTGTTTGTGTGACATCCCCATACTCTCTCGCACCCGCACAGTGTAACATAGCCCTTGATACCAGGCTGCTAATGCTGTCGTCACATCTCTCTCGCTTGTATTGCTACGCCATCCGTTCTATTTCACTCGTATTCCGCTGCCTTTGCGTCTGAATTGGGTGGTCGGTGACAGCATCCGTGTTTGCAAGCGGGAGTTCCGGCGAGTTAATGACGATGGCAGGTGGCGGATACCGAACTTCATAAACTGCGTCAACGGCGGTTGGGCCATTTTTCTATACAAACCTGAGTCATTCGTGCGTTTCGCTGACCAGATTACCGGATATTCATCGAGAGATGTATATACTATGAGTACATTGCCCTTCCAATATACGGGTGAGCTCCAATATGACGGATATCAATATGCGGGGGATCTGAAATAATATGACCGATATCTACGAACGACAGTGCGAGTCGACGCGTAGACGCATCTATGCTGGCGGAGTAACTCGTGGCCGAGGGGCCTACCCAAGTGTATAAATAGTGTCCCAGAGAACCGAATCACGTTCTTGCATGCGGGAGGACCGCGTGGTATACAGAAGAGATGATACTGGCCAGCCGGCCGCTCAACGAGGCTGCCGGGGAAGGGGGACCGTGGTGACCGTGGACTCCGACCGCGCGCGGCCGACTGGCCTGGCCGTGGCCGTGGACGCAGACCGTGCGCGTCCCTGGACGGGCGTCGTGTCCCCGGACCGCGCCGTTCGCGTCACCGAGGCGCGGCGCAGCAGGCCCGCTGACCGCGTCAGTTCACTGCCGCTCCCAATGTCGAGGGTATGCCGATGGAGGGGGAGGCCGTCCAGACGCTCCGGGTCTCGGTCGCTGTCGGAGACGACGTCGTGCGGGGCGACGTCGTCCGTGTCCCCATCGACGCACGTCATGCTCGACTCGGACGGCATGTGCCGCATGCCAGCCGTCGCTGACGACGCCGGCATTGGGGGCAGCGACGGAGGCCACGACGGCCCACGCTCCGTGGATGAGGAGCAGACGATCGGTGATGGCGGCGCGGAGACCGCGCAGCGCCTCGCGAGGGGCAAAAACTGCGCCTGCGCAGGTGTGTAGCCGCGACAAGAGTGAGAGGAGGACTGTGGGCGCTCCCTTTTGTAGGTAGAGAAGAGCGCGCCAGAGGTAGGAGGGTGTGCGGGGGAGTGGAAAGAGGCCCGCGAGTGCAACGCTGCGTCCATAGTTTTGACATGACTAGAGGAGGGGTTTGTAAGACTGAAGAAAGAGAGCGATGCTGAAGAAGGCACAAACTCGACAGTCAATGTGTTGTCGCGCTGAGTTGTCACCGGGATGGTGGTCACATCGATAGACCCCGCCCACAGGGTGCGCAGGCGTTGGCGAGTGTTTAGGTTCGCTATAAACGAGCAAGTGTATACTGCATTGTGGGGCGCAGATAAGAAGATAGGGACCTTCTGAGGAAAGCAGACGCCTACGGATGCCAATGATATGGAAGAGCGCGAGACAAATGATGGATGTGGAGTCGACGGTCACCTACGGGCAGAGTTAGAGCTGGATCTCAGAGAATGGCAGAGTGCATACCGCAATTACTGAAGCCACGGCGAACACGCTTGGAGAAAGATGGTGTCAGGAGCTGTGCTACATTCGGTTGAGTGAGTTAATCCTACCACACGAGAAGGTCAGTTGTCATAGCAAAAACGCTCTGTAATGACCGTTAATGACGAGGGATTCCTTGGTAGACGGGACATGCTTACCAAGGATCGGATGACTTCGTGAGCGCCGCGACTGAAAAACGACGCATGGTCAGTGTCACCTTGAAGTCCCGGCCCACGGGAGATATTACCGGCGTCGCAAACCACTGTCTTGGGTTCTGAACAGCTGTATTACAAAAGCACCTGACAGTGCGATATCGGTAACGACGATGAGTACGCTCAATATGATCATCGTATCCTACCGTCACATGAATTCATATACGTAAAACATAAATAAACCACATACCTTGGAGCTTATCCAGTATGCTAGCTTGTTCGTGGCGATGCTGGAACACTGTTGATGATTATTTCAGTCTCAAAAGACAGGTATTAACTCACATCTGAAATACTAAAACTACGCGATGGCAACAAGTTCAGTCAACAAGGATTGTAAGGCAATGGGACACGTACAAATCCACATCGCTGTGCATAAAGTCACCTTATTAGCCTGAGGAAGATGCAAAGAAGTATGAACGCACCGAAGGTAGCAACGACGAAGATCGACTGTATGATCAACTTAAGAACATTCAAGGCGACGGGGAAGTTGATATCACTAACGAGGACACCAATGAGCCACGGTTGTTTGCTGACTGGAAGAGATTATGCTTATTAACTTTGGTATCCCTCTTGAGCTCAGTTTCGAACGTACACGACCATATGCGCATCAGGTAAAACCTAATGACGGGCTCAGAGCTCAGGGCTTGTCTTATGCACGAGGTAACAGAGAACGTACAAGTGAACAATCAAGATGCAAACTGCCTGTGCGCTAGTATAGGTAAACAAGGCATGCATTGACACACTAGTGGACTCACATCTGCCGCATTACGAGCCTGAATGTCTCATGATACGCGTGAGCAACGAGATGCTGATAGATAAAAAGAATGTACGTACGGCACCTGACCTGATGGACGTTGTACAGCACCGAATGTAAATGCACGCGGTGGCGAAGTGAGCACAAACTACACACCATGGTGGTTTCGAGACCAAGTTCTTGTTACCGTGACTTGTTACAAGGAGGATCCAGCCTGCAGGACGAGGTTTAAGGAAACATTGCGAGAGGAGGCATGCTCGTATCACGCACAGGAGTTCGTGTGCGCCGCCAGTCTGAATGCCGTGACAAATGCGGAAATGAAGACCTGTATATAGTCAGTACCTTCAATGCTATTGCGAAACCCGCGACCCGACGCACCAACACCTTGATGTACCTCTTGTCATGATGGAAGCAACGCTTGAAGTAAAAACACAACTGCCCGCTAAGTACTGACAAATGTGGTGAGGACCACGAAATGGCAACTCGTCCGTGAGTCAGACTCACTGCCGAAAAGTCTGGGGAATGAGATGGTCAACTATCAATAGGGTACACGGGAGTTGGAGCACATACAGAGCTTCCGAGGACACGGAGACGACAGTGGCACCCAGGCTGTGGGCTCGGTTGGTGAGCAGAAAACACTGAATTAAGAAGCCGCGTACTTGGAAAACGGTGTCCCTCGGGGCATGAGGGTCGGCGTGGACGAGGGGTAGGGTTGTCGAATTCAAAGTGGGCAAAAAAATCGGGTCGTCCAGGTGAAAGCAGGTGCGAAATCGCAAGAGACGGCGCGAAGGGACAAGGACTACCGTGGGAGGCGATGCATGAAGGCGCAGCGAAGGAATGGGCTAGGGACAAAGGCAGGAGAGTGTCGACGATGGCAGCCGTCGGGCTGACGTTAACATCGAAGGGGACCACTGGCAGGTCATAAGTGGATGAATGATTGGATCACGGCCGGCCTCCGCGCTGTGCTCACCCAGGCTCACCCCTGCACGGGCAACTGTCTGCGCTCCGCCCATCCCCACAGAGCAATGTACTCGATCGCAATCGTGCATCCCGGAGGGTGCGATCTGGTCTGTCCCCCTCGCTCGCAACCTGGACCATGGGCGGCCCCTGTGATCTCAGGCTGGAAACCTGAAAGCCCAGCGAATCCCGGAAGGCACGGTTTGTGACGTGCTGTTGGCAGCTGTCGCCGGCCTCGAGCAAAGTTCTAACCTTTGAAGGCCGAATTCCGTGCATATTAATGGTTCAAGGCGGGCTGGCAGACGGAATGATGTGCCAGCAGCGTTTTACTTACCTACCGGAAGAAAGCTCGCGTCCAGACCATCGGTTCTAGGTGTAAATCATGCCTGGAGAAGGCAAAGGCCCATCGTCAATGGTGATCGCAGCGCTGGATGGGTTTGAAAGGTTCCGTCAATGCCCTAATATACACAGCTCTAGTGCCATTCACTGACCTCCTTTGCGCCCCTAATGAGTGGCGGGAGTTGCCATGCTTACCCATGAGTCGCGAGTCGTCCTTAGCGACCCCTGGACGCGAGAACCGATGTCCGGTAATAGCAGGTAATAGCGGAGTCTGGCCGGTTTGAAACGCGTGCTTTTATAACGGCTGGAAGAAGTTTTGCATCTTGCACTCTCATATTCGCCGTGCATCTGTCGCCAGTCATATCCCAGACGGTTTGCAAGTGTGAGATGGCAGAGGCAAAAGTGGAAGAGATCACACATGTGGACGGCAGTTGATCGGCCACGCAGCCGATCACCTGACTGCCACAACCGTCAGTCTCGCAAAGTTCAAGTTACAGTACTTCCGCATAGCCTCTCGCGTAGCCTCAAGCCAAGACGGTCGTCGCCAGTCGTCGCCGATCAATGCCCAACGTCGGCTCCAAGAATGCTCGGTATCATCAGATCGCTGCGTCCAGGTACTTAACGAGTTAGCCGACTGCTCATCTCAGCAGTGGTCATCTCCTCCACTGCCGGGTATTCAGTACTCAGTACCAGCCACCATCGCGTTCTCGTTGCAAGAAGTTTGCGACAGAGGTCCAAAAATACAACGGCTGCAGGTATCCACGGTCTATCGACTTGCCAGTCTAATCACTCGATGATGTTCAACTCCCGCTTCCTCGTCCGAGCGAACTCGTCCTTGTACGTGTGCCATATCCTGGACAAGCGATGTCAGCAGGAGAAACATCACGATCTGAGTTCAGGAAAATCTTTGTGACGCACCACATTAACTCATCTATGTACTGTTTCTGCACATACATAACCTCCTCCAGAGTCGGCCTGTCGCGCTGCTCGACGTGAATGGGGTGACCGACTGGACCGATAATCAGCGAAAGAGTCGCATCCACAACAAGACCGTCACTCACTGACGGCGACGATTCGTTTACGATACGGCATTAGCCCTAAGTTGTCTGAAGCAGAGGTCAGTGCGTCTTCGACGGGTCAAAGTCTGCGGGAACCGACAGTTTAGTAGTCCACGACCATGGAAAAGAGGCAATGTGAACCCGAAAGCATTTTGGAACTTCTTTTGCAGGCTGTGCAGCGTCGTGCCCTTTTGGTTGGGCATCTGTTTGAAAATCTGCAAGTCGGTGAGACACAGCTGAGGTCCGAAGAAGGAAGGTAGGTTCGCACATCGTTCTCGCCGAAAGAGAAGACCGGGACAAGGTCGGCGCTGCAATTGTGTGGGTCGGCGAGCACTACCACGGAATGGGTGGGCTTACCCGTGCTGTATGGCTAGCTTGATGAACCCAAGCCGCTTCCTCAATGTCAAATCCGCCGTACCAGGATGCGCGCTCAAACTCTCCGCCGCGCCGCCGACGACGATGGTGATCGACTGCCCGGGTCCTCCCTTGAGAATGTTGGAACACGACTCCTTGGAGACTGAGCAGATCCCCATTGCTAGGATGATGTCGCGGTAGAATGGCATCGCGAAGTTCGAAGTCAAGGTGAGCAAGTGGGGAACAATTCCGGGAAAAGCGGAGCTGAACCCTGTGCCTGTCGCGCAATAACTCGAATGAGGCTGGAATGGCTGAACTCGGCCCAGAGTGACATACCTTCCGTGCCAAACGTACAAATGGCGCCCCTGAACAGTACGTATGATGTCGGCATCACAGATGCCAAGGGAGTAAGGGAAATCGCATACATGCCAATGATTCCTGGTGTCCAAACGGCCAAGTGAGCTTTCGAACGGGACAGGTAAGGAGATATGCTCACCGTGTGGATGGTAACCGAACACATAAGTCCTATCAGGCGGTAGCTCGCATGTCTAACTCCGTCCGTGCTTCAGAGGCGAGTACTGAGCGAGCTTGAAAGCACAAACCTTCAAAAATCTGCACGGTAGCGAAGAGCATGAAGGTAGGAACCCGAATAGATCAGGGTGTAAGACTTACGAAGCCGGGTAATACTCCGCGAAGTCCCTCCAGAACCGCGACGATCGAAACCATGGGCTGAGCCGTCCTCCATTCGATGGGCTTTTGTCCAGATAGCGTATCCATATCATGTATGCGGCTAGGAAGGGCCATAATGGAGGAAACGAGCTATTGGACCGCCCCCACCACCAAAGCGCACAATCGCCGGGAAATGGCACCCGTCAACGACACATCGGGAAAGACACGCGAACAGAGCACGCACCATAGAAACATGAACAAGACCGGGGCCCAGATGACCGACGTCGACCATATTGCGACCATGAGAGTTTGAAGCCTCCGCTTCCTCGGGATTGTTGACGGCGCAAATCTTCATCGACCGGAAGGGAAGTTCGCAGAAGAAAGTACGCACGCGCCCACACAGCGCAGAGAGGCATCGATGCATCAGCCATACTATCCGCGCTCAGACGGGGTGGAAGAGAGGAGGGAAACGCACTCGATATGGGCGTGGAGGTTCGCGACCGGCCTGAGGGGCTTCGTCGTCAGAGTACTGAGGCTGGTCAAACGTTCGCGGAGGGACGAGGACGAGACGGAGCGCGTCGCGGACGTGAACGCCTTCCGGACTTCCATCGTGCCTGCGCGGTGGTGAGCGAGGTCACGCCCGAGTCCAATGCGATATAGGAGGGGAAGCGTGCGCGGACCGAAGCCGTTCACGTAAGCGCAGACACTGCGTGAACGGGGCTGGCCGAAGTGCGCTGTCTGGAGCGAGGGGAAAGAAAAGAGTGCGAGGGTGGAGAGCGGTCTGGGGCAAGAGCGACTCGCGCGCGGGCGGGGCAAGGTGTGCTGGCTCGGCCGTTCGAGCTATGGCGTCACCCCGCACGTCTCGGGATCCGCTTGATCCTCCTCCGGTCGCAAACACACGCTCGTCCATATCGACGAAAACAGTCCAAATGGTCCTCTCAAACAAGAATGCAGTCCGGTATGGAAGTACAAGGTTGTAACTGCGCATAGGCTCGGTCCGAGACTTCGTCTGGTACTTCACATTTCCTCATCATCGAAGTTGATCTCCTCGACGGGGAAGTCGCCTGCTTTGACTCGGTCCGGCTTCACAAAGACACCAAAGTTTGGCTTGCACTCGAAGTACTTCTTGCCCTTGACACTGATAGGACAATGAACGGATGCACGAGCATGAACAGAACATAGCACTCACGAGCCATCGTTCTTCCCTATGGGTTCGTCGTATTCGATGCCCACCCACACGCCCTTGGCAAACTCCGTCGACCCAACAAACTTCACAGTCCCTCGCTTCCGGAAATCTTCCTCGGCGGACTCTACTTCGCATCGTGCGCCAATCTGGATTTCTACCTCCTCCCCTTCCACATCCTCCTCGGCGGGCTTTTCGGCAAATCGGCCGATCTTGTTCCGCTGCTTGTATGCAAGCACAGTGTCTGCATAGGTGCGCTCAGAAAATACGTGACCGGCGGCGGCGTTGAGGGACGTACCTTGTCTCTGCTCATACTCCTCTGGGCTTAGCTCAAATTTATCCACTTGGGAAGTGTCCGTGAGCTGCCCGGTAAACGACACTGACGGGTTCAAGTCGTCCACCTAGCGGCGCGACGTCATGAGCTCGGACATGGACACGGAAGACGCTGCGCATACTTTCAAGAGCTGCCAGTCGCGGACGCCGTAGAAACCAAGTGGCCGATTGTCATCGGACAAAACGATGATGGGCTCTGGTACATCTTCGTTGGCATACACCGATATCTTCTGGTTCTGAGGCGGTATGCCGGTCACTAGCTCCAACTTGTTCTACAGACAAGCGTTCAGTTGAGAAAACACGACTGTGTGCAGACGAAGATAGACCTTGAGTTGCCCTACTGTGAGAGCCAGATCATATCGCCGCTCTGAACGAGTGTCTGGTGAGCGAACAAAGACGTTGACTGTCCTGGCCATCCCAGTGTCAGGACTCAGGAAGGAGAAGGCGAGCAGTACAGAGAGAATACTTGCGTAGGCTGAGATGGACGCATTACAGTTTGTCTGGATGATCGTGAAGAATGACGGATGAGAAGGTATAATGGCAACGTGGTATGAGTTTCGTTCGGCAGAGCAAAGATGAGTGTAGCCTGGAGTTTAGAGATAGCAGTCCAAGTCCAAGTGGTGGAGACTGCGGCGCAACGGGCTCTGGGGCTGAAACAGCGAGCGCCGACCCCACGCCCGCGTTTCCGGCCACCATGTCCTCCGATGCCGACATTCGACGCGAGGCCACTTGTCCTTTCATCTACCCCTCCGACCGTTGAGCTTCCGCCGCTCGATGAATACCCTCCTGCGAGTAGCCACTAGACGAACAGTCACGAGCAACGCGCGGACCGCAAAATATCGTGCGGTTAGTGTTCAAGCCCGTCGTTCGTTGTACACCATTGAGGTGAGTTGAACATCACGCCGTGCTCTCTCGGCCAATGCGATAACACGCCGCATACACAGGCTTTGCAGGCACGATTCCGGGACCCGACCTCGCCCTTCCACCTACCTCCTGGTACTACAGGTCCTGAATCCCCAGATCCTCCGGAGGAAGAACTCACCGCGGAAGAGGAGGGCTGCGCGAAGCTGGCAGAGCTCGGCTATGATCCAGATAGCTTCTGGGAGCAGAAGATTGTCTGGGGAGACCATGACGCATTCCAGTGAGCACTGTCGCGCTCCGTATATCTTCTTGCGCTTAGCACACTTCCCAAGACATGTCAACAATGTACGCTACAGTAAGCCCCGTATGCATTTGATTGTCTTTACTTGTGGTCATTCACGCCCTCTGTCAGTCCGTTTCTTCGAATCCGGTCGTATCCACTGGATGCGCGCCCTCGGCCACGAACTAGGTGGTCCCCAGAAGTCGCAGGAGATGATTGCCGGCAAGGGGGTTTCCCTTATCCTCAAGTCCCTCTCCGTCGAGTACCGCCGCCCGGTCGTCTACCCCGACACCCTTCTCGTTGCACACCGGCCACATCCTGGCCCGCGGCCATCGAAAACCCACTTCGGCGTGAAGGGGGCGATGTGGTCGTACGCACAGCGACGGATCGTGACCGAGTGCGACTCAGTACTGGTGTGGTACGACTATGACCGGCTGACGAAGTGCGATCCCGGAGAGGCGGTTCGGGCACTACTGGAGAGAAGGATGCGCTTGAGGCAGGAGGGGGATGAGGGGGCAGCGAAGTAGTGAGTGGCACGAGCTTACACACGTCGCCTATGTGCTCCTTTGTTGCCGTCGGTGGTCTAGGTCTTAATGAATTCCTCGTACTATCCATTATAATCACGCTTGTGGTTCGGTGTGTGACACCCAAAGGCATCCATCCTCCTCCTGCTCGCCACTGGACCACCCAGGTCACCACCTCGACTGACTCTGCGCATGCAGTGACTGCAGCGAACTAAGGTAACAGGATGCTTATCGTCACAGACACGCGCTCGAAAGGTGGAGTCTATCATTTCGACGTATACTTGGCGCTGAGACACTACATAGCTGAACGTGCGCTCGCTTTCCGTAAGGGCGAAGCTACAATGGACCGCGCACTGTCGCAAATAACGCCGCGTCCGCGATCCCGCTGTTCTTCAACGATGCCGGGGGAGTCTTTTCCCGTCTCTACGTACCGCTGGAGCCAAAAAAACAGCAGTCAAGCTCATGAGGTACGGCGGCTCTACTGATGTTGATTGTCGAAAACTAATGTCATGTAGGCTTTAGAGCGGCTTCCGGAGAAAGTTTCAATCGTGGCGCAGAACCTATGCCAGTGGCCACCAAAAAGAACAGGTTCGATAAATGTCCACCACGGATGTCAGCCTTCTGTCAGTCAAATTCTCTTGCAACGGACTTGGAGAGTCTCGAATACCCATCCCATGAGCAAATGTCGCGGGAGCGCGAGGTTGAAGCCTTCCTGGATCTCGGAAACGCCGCCGCCGCCAAGCATCGCAAAGCTCATGGTTTCGAGGCCACCGCTAGACGATCATCAGCTCGGATGAACCGCTTCGTTGGAGAGGGGCCCGGTTGACCTACCAAAATATCGACACCCAGACGTCAAGCAGCACCTAAGGGTGGAAATCAAAGACCCTCGCCTCCAAGTCACGGAAGATGATGGTTGCTCTCAAGAAGCGCATCGCCCCCCGCCAAGGCTTCATTTATTTCGTGTAGAATCGTATGCTTTCTCTTCCTCTATTGCCACTCAGGTCTGATTTGCTTCTGCTCCAGGGAATGCATACCTGCTGGGCGGTGACAGGGCCAACAACGCCGAACAAACACGGTGGCAAGCATTGTTCTGGTTGCGAAGTAACCACCACCAACGACTCGTTTCAGCTTCCGCGACTTCCAGTATCTCGATCTCACCGATAAAAGTGGCGGTCGGCGCAATCTCCCTGACTACACCAACCCCCGGTGCACCGTAGGCTACAACATGGACGTCGACCACGACACCGTGCAGGCTTGCATATTCTTTGGCGATCACATCATTCACGTCTTCAGCCTCGAGATCTGGTCGCAGGGCTCGGGAACTGGCTCTTTGAATCGATACGCGTTCGAATTGAATCGCGATTCTCAAGCACGAGATATACGTCTTCGCGGAGACTATCCCCGAGTAAGGCATGCTCGACAGAAGCTTGCTCGCAATGCTCCAGCTCGAGACGCGGCTCTGGACGAAGTTCGGGGGATACGTCGACGGGAGGAAGGTGGAGCCCGACACACACTGGCCGGACCCGCGACAGCACACGATGATGTGGTCCGACCCGGTGAAGGAGAAGCTGTGGATTATTGGTGGACCGGTTCTCGAGGCGCGCGCCGCACGGCACGAGAAGCACCACCACCACACCAACTGCCGGTCGTGGGACATCCCTGCGCGCGAGTGGCAGCGGGAGCGCATCACCCGGAACCCGCCGGTGACGCGCGCGGAGGCGTCCATATGCTTTGTGAGTCTCTTCTCACGTTGCCACCCATCTTACCCACATGCGTGCTAACGGCGATTCCCGTAGAACGGCGCGCTGGGCAAGGTGATCCTCTTCGGGGGCTGGAACGGCGCGCTGGTGTCCACCGTGGCAGCGATGCTTCGGGTGCGGGAATGGCGGGGCTGGCGCGGAGCTCAAGAAGTTCTCGGGCGGGCGTTCTCCTCGAAATCCGGGTGGGTGGACGACAGCGTGCTGATGGGTGGATAGGTTCGTGCGGCGGGAAGGCGGTGTTCTGCAGCACAGAGTGCTGCATGTCAGGTCGTATAACTATACACATGGTTTCCCGATGAAGTACAACACTAGGATGTGGCAGGGTGGTCACGAACAGTACAGGGTATGTGGTACACGCGACAGCGCTGACAACGACACAAAACAGCTCAACGCCACCTAGCAGCCCATCTCGACGCCGTTGTAGGGCCCGTCATGGTCGCTCTCGTCCCCCTCAAAGATGTTGGACACATCCCCAGTCGTGCACAGGTCACTCTCGTTGTCCTGGCCGGGGCACGTGTCCCACGCGCCCGAGTCCTGGATGTGGATCTCTCCCGACGGGTGGTGGTAGCCGAGGAACATGCCCGGGAGGATGGGCACGAGGTCCTCCTTGTTGTTGATGTGCGTCACAGAGGCGACGGAGGTGTGCGCGTCGAGGTAGTTGGCGAACGCCTTGTTGCCGACGCGAGGGAGGCCGAAGCCGACGAAGGTGATCTTGGCCGAAGGGATGTGCAGGGGCAGGTACACGGCGTGGAGGAGCGAGATGGCGGCACCTGTTGGGGGTGAATCGAAGGAAGGGGGGTGAGAGACCGGTGAGCGCGGGGGTTCGCAAGAGGCCCGAATTTGAAAGACCAGGAACGTACCGAGCGAATGCCCCGTGAGCGTGATGCTGTTCGTCCCGAAACGCGACATGCCCGTCTGCACTGCGGACAGGATCTGGGCTGCGGTCCTAATGGCAGATTCAAGATACGTGAGAACAGATGTTCCACAATCTAAGATTGTCGAACCTACTTCGCATGTGCGCTCAAAAAGCCATTGTGCGCTTCGATGGACGAGTCGAGCCCGGGGAAGAGCGTCGAGTCCGGGTTCTCGAGGATTATGTCCCCATCCGTGAGGAGCGCAACGCTGCAAATAGCCACGAGCATCAGCTCATCACGCACGACCGTCGGAGGACGCGCGAGAGACTCACATGGAGGACGTGTTCGTGCCCTGGTTCGACACTACGATCGAGTTAAGCGAGGGCTCGAACCCGACGTACCCTGCACACGTGGCCAAAGAGCGGTCAGCATCGTCGTCCGCAACCCCCGCGCCCGCACGCTCAGGGCCGCGCGCAGATCACGCGGGCGCGTCACGCACCACGCGACGGCCCGGGACCGAGAGCCGGCAAGCTTCGTTCGACTTACAAAACTGAACCGAAGAGCCGTCCCCGCCGGACGCGATGGGCTTGAAGTCGGGCACGCCGGCGCAGTTTGCGCCGCAGTCCCAGGCAAGCGTCGTTGCGGGCGTGCAGTACCCCGCGCTGGCGAAGAAGGCGTACGGCGTGAAGGCGTTGACCTGGGAGGCCGTGAGGGTCGTAATGGACTGGCGCGTCTTGAGGGAGGCCGGCGCGGCGAGGACGGCGAGGGGCGCGAGGAGGAGTGCGAGGCCAAGATTCTTGAGTGTGAAGACCATGCTGCGACCTCTGGGAGAGAACGGGCGTGAAGAGGGGGAGTGTGGGGCAGAACGCAGGGCACGTAGTGCGGACGCAGTGGGAGGGGGAGGGACTCGGCTCGGGGGGTTGGGTTGAGGATCCTGGGTTTTTATACCGAGGAGGATGGGCTGTGCCGAAGAAGGGGTGAAGGTGGCCCGGTGAAGCTGATGTCGAAACCACCGCGCCATGGGCTACAGGACGCGAATAGCAGGCCACACCAGGACCCGGGCGCAGGCGCTCCATATTCTTGCAGGATGTCGCGTGGGACCGTGGGCGTGTTGGAGCCTTTCATTCGACGAGCTGGCCAACCTGCGTTGATACCAGGCGATGCATGTGCTCTTCGTGGCACACGTGAAGGTCGTATCGGGGAAGACGCTTCGGAGCGCCCCTCTCCGAACGCCGACGGCTCCCTGTCTGGGCTAGTGCGACGAATCAAAACGCGGACAATTGTTCAGTCGTCAGGAGATTAGAACTTCGGTCGGTCGTGCTTGCCTTGAGCTCGCCCTCCAAAAGTAGGATGGGGACCTATTTATATCGCGCGCTGTTTGCACATTTCATCGATTGACGGTCCTGGACACGCCCACATGGTTGATTTGAGATGGAAGGTGGCCGACTGTCGCCTCGTGAGCGAACGTGGCCTGCTCCCATGAGGACAATGTTCAGCTTCGACAAGCTGTGGGCATTCGGACGCAGTGCACAGCGCCCGGAGAGCCTGTGTTGACGGCATCAGCGACGACTGCAAGAAGCCCCCGAATGGAAGGTCACCTACGCGTCGTCTGCAGCAGCTGTGTAGCGCGGTAATCGGGCAAAGCGCCTCATTCAGAAACTATCAGAGTCGAGTATCCCAATAATCAATAGGTGAGTCCATCGTTACGCGTACGCAGCTCAAAGCCTTGCACCTACATATGGGAGCCAAATTTGAGAAAACGTGGCAAAAGGAGGGAGCATGCAACATACCACTTGTAGACAATTATCATGGAAGCGAGCATGCGCAGTTGTGGATCGAATCCAGAAGGAAGTTTTGGGATTACGTACTGTCACCACCGGCGCGACGACGCGATGCATCACGCATCGATGCGAACAGTCACAACTTGCGTGATTCGGGTCACTTTCCTCCCAACTGCCAACCGATTGCAAAAAGCAACAAGCCAGTAGCATTTCTGTCAGAGAGCTGCTGATGGTTCACATTTGACATCGCGTATGTGGTCGCCACGTAGTTCCTGGGACTCTACAACTTACCACCCCAGCCCTTCTCACCTTCCGAGGCAAAGACCTCTGCAAATGCGCCCCCAAGTTCTGGAAGCATATCTTGCGTTACAACTCCTACAAAGATGTTATGAGCATGTATAAGCATGACCCCAGCAGTGTTTGGTGCTTGCCTCTCCCTAGCCGGCTGAATGCGCGTTTGGAAGCCGTGCGCGTGATCATCGACCCCCCTACCGCTGCGAGCAGAGGAATCCGAGAACGTGGAATGGAGCCGTCTCTGAGAAAGTGAGTAAATTGAGGCGATCAAGCTCCCGTTTTTCTAACACGCAGGTGATTTCAGACTCACCCAAACGCCCCATCATCGAAACACTTGCCCCAGGCCATCATCGTCCCCACCGCGCCGCTCAAGATGTCTCCCTGTCCTCCACAGCGCTTCAGCCCCCCGGGAACATCAACGACGACACACTCCTCCGCACTCTCCCCCTCGTCTATCTTGTTGAGCTCAGCCTGCTCCTTGCTGGCCTTCCCGGTGTTGGTGCAGATGATGTCCTCGGCGCCCTTCTGCAGCACCGTCACGCCGCCGAGAGCGCGCGAGACATGCATCGCGCGCTCTTCTGGCGGGACGCTGGGGTCGATCTTCTGAAACCGGGGCCACAGAGTGAGCGTGGTTTACGATGACATTCCCCGCGCCAGGACTCACGACGCTCTCGCTCAGGCGCTTGAACTCGACGACGTTGGGGGTGAGGACGGCGCGCCGATAGCCCTTGATGAGCGGGAGGTCCTGGTCGATCATCCAGAGCGCATCCGCATCGAGGACGAGGTACATTCCGCGGTCCTTTGCGAGGTTGATGGCGAGCTTGGCGTACTTGATCATGTAGTCCTCGCGGCCGAGGCCGGGGCCGACGACGAGCACGTGGAGGCGGGCAAGGAGCGAGGAGAGTGTCGAGTTGACGGATTCCGTGGGCCCGTAGATCAGGGTATGTTAGTTAGCGTTGCGAAGCTGGGAGGTGGATACTCACTCGTCTTCCCGGAGGATGGGGTGGACGATGAGGTCAGGAGAGTACGACTTGATTGCCCCAGCGGCTGTGGGCGAGCAAATGACATGCGAGAGATCCGCTCCCTTGGACAACGAAAACTGGTTATCGAATTGCATGGCTTGTGTGCATGTGGGCAAAGCGTACGATACGGAGCGCCGTCATCGACGCAAAGAAGGGGGCACCCGTATAACTGCAGGAGCATCAACACGAAATCAATGAAGAGGTGAAGTGAAAACTGAACGAATGACTCACTCCATCGCTCCTCCGAGGACGCCTACCCTTCCTGACTGCCCTTTGTGCAGGGTGCCATTGAGGGGAGGGATAATCGCCTTGATCTGGTTGACGATGTGTTTTGGGACGGGCATGTCGTTCCTGAGCTCGTGGGGGCTTATATGCGTGGAAAGTGAACCGTAACTCTAGCTATCGGAGTCTGCTGTTGCAGTCCGGGCGAGGCTCTGTGTTGGTCCACGAGGGTGAGTGACAACCTCGATCGCACGTCAAGCGCGTTGCGTACGAAACCGATGACGTCATCTCCACGGTCCTGGCTAGAGCCGGCGCATGCACATAAGTCACTAGTCTAGCTTACTACATGGTCATGAAGTTGGCTCTGAGAGCGAGCTCCTGCGTCATTCGCAAGCGCGCTCTTCGGTGTATGTCCTCCGGGACCCCATCCCGCCGCGAATTCAAGGTCATCCTCGACAACGAGACGCTCTACGCGGAGCAGCCTCTGGTGGAAGCCCTGGGCTGGACGGCGGACGTTCTCGGTGGGAAGGGCTGGTCTCGTCCCTCTGACGCTTCGGCGCCGCACTACTTTGCGATTACACGCCCCGGGACCGAAAGTGGTACGTGTTGCTTCTCGTGTTCAGATCTGAATGCGTGATGTCCGGCCTGAACGAAGGATGTCGGACAGATGTGCTTGCACGAGGGATAATGAGCAGCCAAAGCCCCCGAGTGCAGGAACTCCTCCACTACCTCAAGGACCGGTAGTGAAGCGGCCCTTGGAGCAAGAGCCGCAGAATACGCGTACACTGAATCCGCAAACAATCATGAAATCTTATATTTGGCCAGGTAGCTTCTCACACACCCATGGTGAAGTTTTACGTCCGCCCAGCGCAGGCTGCGTCGATCTCGAGGATGCATTCATCTCACACCGGGGGAATGCATGTCTCACCCTGGGCGCCAGGACCGCGCCTGCCATGACGACTTGTGACACTAGTGTCGTTCACTTTCCCAACAGCTATACACGCCTGTTATGTCCTTCGTTGGCCCCCAAAATTGGCAGAAGTGCGGAGAGCGTTGAACTATCCTGGGCGGCACTTGCCCGTCCACGCACCAGGGGAGTATACTAGTAGTACGTTGTCTATATATCTCCTCTAGTCGGCGCTGAATTGAACAACACTCTAGTCTCACCAGGTCTCACCCCACCCGTGGGCGCCAGTTTTCAGTCGCGCAACCCGAGGTGCGCCAGAGCAGTGGGCGGGGCTTGGGTCCGTTTGTCAGTGTCTGAGCACAGAGCCAAGGTGTTCCTGGAAACGCCCCTGCGGCGCTTGAGGCAAGCAGACTGGGTCCGTGTCGCCAGGCGATGGCATCGTACTTGACGGCAAGAGATGCCCGTGTCCGTCTGCACACGTGCGACACATTGCGCGAAAGGATCCCCTGGCTCAGGTCGCGAAAGCAGGTCAATGAGCCCCTCGTAGCGGCGCGACTGCACCGTGAGCAGATATCTGTACTACTTACGTGGAAGAGAAGGCGAATGATGCACTCTCAAGGGCGCGCGATGTCATTTACGCGTTGTGAGATTGCACGGCCGCTTGCATTTCGAACGCGCAAGTTATACCTGAGTCGGGGCCTGTCGCGATTATCGACTGCCACTCATGGCCATCGGGAATTTAGTGAGGGAGAGGGAGAGAGCAAACACGTCAGGGAATTTCCGGCGGGTTTTCCGACGCGCATGGCGTGTTGGGCGCGAATTGACGGAAAGAACGGGCATTGCGGAAGCAGATCCCAATGCCCATGACGCGTCGCCGGCATCTGCGCATGCAAACGTCTGCCAGAAATTGCAAAATCAGCGATCCCGCGTTCAAAATGCAAACAGCTGTTACGCTTTGAGTACTTATGTAACCTGTGCAGGGACGTTGAAATGAGCCCCTGTGCCTGGACCGTGAAGAGTGTCTCAACCTGCTGCGACAAGCGCGCCGAGCTCGACTCACAGCGGCAGATGAATCCCTGGATGAAGTCCCGTACCGCCTCGTGCACATGGGGCCTGGAGGGAAAGCATCATCAGACTCGTGACTAAAACGACCTGCTTTGCATACCAAACTCCACCACCAACGGTGAGCTTATCATGCGTAAAGTGCCCTCGATGTCGTCCTCTTGCGACCTTGTGCGTGATATGATTGCGGAGTTGTCGGAGGCTGCTTGGAAGCCGAAGTTCGATCGTTGGTCTGAGGACCGCCTAGATTGAGCGCACCAATGGCACACGGAGTGACAGGGTGGCACTGCGTCGATCACCAAGCAACTTGATGCAGTGCCAGTCAGAAGCATTGATGTAGAAAGTCCAACGACCGTCGACCGGTCTTGGCCCGACGTGCTTACAACAGGAAAAGTAGAGCAAAGGTTTTGAGATTTTCAGGAAAGTGTGAGGAGAGGTAGAGCATGATGGTACTGGAGAGAACGCCGTAAAATGCATGGGGGCCGGGCAGCTCACCAAGGTTATGGAGACGGTGGACGAGGGGACCGGCGTTGAGAGGCAGCGCCTCCTCCCGGCGTCCGATGGGGATTTGGCAACGGAGACGCTGACAGGCAGGAGTTTGCGCGCAACCGCGACGACGACACTTGGACGACACCAGCTGACTTGCAGCCTCGTTTGTGTCCGTCTCTCCGCCGTTCCCGCCACTCCGTCCAACAATGAAACGGGCCAGAAGACCGAGGATTGCATTGGGCGACCGGCAAGACCTCCGCTAGCTCGGCAGCCACGTCGCAGTCCCCCGATCAGCTGGCCCATTCCGCCGCTTCGATGTCGTCTGCCCTGTTCTCGAGCACATGGTAGGTCACCGCAGCATCGGCAAAGCATGTGCGCTCGCTCGCTCCGCCTGTTTCATTCACTGCTCGTGCTGAAACAGCGGGTGATTACAGAATGCACGTTCGAACCAGCCTTTGATGGACTCAGCCCTGCTCAACTTCTTACCGCCCACGGCAATCCCCACGTCGTAGGGCACAAGCGAGCGCCCTGCCGAGTCCTGGTTTGGTTCGTGCCGCCGCGGCCGTGCAGATGGGGGACTCAGTGTGAGGTTGCAGGCGCCACGATGCAGGGGTCGCGACGCGTGCGCCGCGACGAGATGTGCGGGGATGCGCCGCGCCGTGACGGGTGAGCACGCGTTGGATCAGGGGATGGGCCGTGGGCCGTGGCTGCCGTACCGACCGAATCGAGAACGAAGTTCGCTTCCTCTCCCGACGACCGGGACCAGGTCAGGATGCTCGGAGGGCGGGGTATATATATCGTCCCTTGCGGTGGACGTGGTCCCCATCCGCACTTTCGCCTTCTCCTTGCGCCCCTTCCCCTTCCCCCCTCGCCCTTCGTTTTCCCGCGAGGTCCTTCTCAAAATGAAAGCTACGGTCATCGCGAGTGTCGTCCTCGCATCTCTCGCTCGCCACGCTGCCGCTGCCGCTGCGATCCCCGACCAGATCTACGGTGTCAACATCGGCTCATGGCTCGTTCTTGAGGCATGGATGCTTCCCAACGGTACGTCAGCCCGCTTGTATTCCTCATGTTTACACTCGCTCACCTACTCCCCGGTTTGCAGAGTGGACTGCCATGGGTGGCAACACCTCTTGCTCATGCTCTGACGCCGGGTGTATTGGCGATGAGTTGTGAGCACTCCTTTCGGCCCCGTGTATGGGATGCTCGTTTTGATAGCGACTCTAGCAATTTTGCCAAGGCATACCCTGACACTGTTGACGCCATCATGAACACGCACTGGGACACTTGGTTCAACCAGAGCCACGTCGATACCCTCGTCAAGTACGGACTCAACGCTGTCCGCGTTCCTGTAAGCAAAGCTTCATTTTGCTGTACGCGCGCTCATCCTCAATCTGCTTTTTCTAATCAGCTCGGCTACTGGATCGTTGAGCGCCTCGTCGACCGGACGACCGAGTACTACCCCAAGGGTGGTATTCTGCAGCTCCAGCGCGGCCTCAAGCAGCTCAAGGACGCTGGTATCGTTGCCATCCTTGACCACCACGCGCTTCCCGGCGTCCAGACTGCGAACCAGCAGTTCACTGGTCGTTGCACGTCCGACGTCCAGTTCTACACCGACTACAACTACCAGCGCGCGCTCACTTGGACTGCGGTTATGACTGCTATCTCCCACCTCGACCCCGCTTTCGGTTCTGTTGCAGGCATCGAGGCTATGAACGAGCCTATCATGGATTCCAGCAAGACCCCCGGCTACGGCACTTGTAAGTTAACTTCACGTTCATCTAACGCTCGGATGTTCACATGCGCGCCTTTTGTACAGTCCAGCAGAACTACGTGCAGACCATTCGCGCCATGGAGGCAATGATGGGCATTGGTCCCTCTTTCCTCGACATCTCCGTCGACGTCTCCCAGTCTTCTCCCAACGTCACGGCCGCACTCTCCGCTGGCGTATCCAAGTCCACCCAGCTCAGCGACATGACCCGCAAGGCCCTCCTCGACTCGATCCCGATCCTCGTCGAGCTCAGCACCCAGCTCGAATTCTCTCTCCTTGGCTCTGCTCTCTCCGCTCATGGGAAGGAACCGCTTGTCGCGAGCTTCATGGACGCCACCTGGCAGTGGGGCAACCGTTCAAACCCGGCGGACGCCGCGAGCGGGCCGATGGGCTACGACAACCACCTTTACTACGCGTGGGGCGGTGTCGCGGACCCGAACGAGGAGGCCTACATGACGAGCAGCTGCAACCTGCCCCGCGTCGCGGACGACCTCGCCCTGAACAACACCCCGCTCTGGTTCGGCGAGTGGGGCCTCCCCACCCAGTTCAGCGCCACGGACGCGTTCTTGACCAAGTGGGCGGACGCGCAGAAGTTCGCGTACTCGAAGGGCCGGGGCTGGTTCGTACGTATCTCTGCTCTCCTTGGCCTTCCCGAAGCGACGGCTGACGTTGGTGGCTCGTGCAGTTCTGGAACTTCCGCACCGAGAAGAACGGGGACCTTGGTCGTCAGTGGTCGTACTTCGAGGGCGTTGAGCGCGGTTTCTTCACCGAGGACCCGAAGGCTTACAACGACCCCAACGTCTGCGTGCCGTACATCGCTGGCCCTTCTTCCAGCAGTGCGGCCGCGTCTGCGACCTCGGCGTCCGCGAGCTCCTCGGCGTCCGCGACGTCCTCCTCGGTCGAGTCCTCGACCTCCACGGGTGAGGCGTCCTCCGTCGCTTCCACGGTCGCTTCCACGACCGCGGCTTCCTCTGCTGCCTCAACGGCATCGACGTCTTCCGCCTCGACGACTTCGGCTTAAACAATCTGTCCTCCCATACACGTTCGCTACCGAACGCATCCTGCGCCAAAAACGCTCCCCCACGACTACAACCTTACGCGCTTCGAGAACCCACACTCGCTTTATCTTACCTCGGTCACCATCTCGTCGCCCATAGTATTGTTTCTTGTTAATGCCCGCGCCCGCCTGTTTTGTAGGCGGTGCAGCCCGGGAGTCGCTCTTTACCCGGTCGCTTCTACATAGTATAAATGAAGGATAATTTTGCCAGTTTGCTATGCACTGCGCCGATGTCTGAAGACATGCGATTTTCGAAGCCTCGGTATGACTGTGGACGAGCTTCACGTGCGCGTGTCGCGCGTCTGTAGCGTTGGACGCGTTCGGCGCCAGTCTCCCCTAGGCAGACCTAAGACCTTCCAGTTCGGCGCGCGGTTTCGATGTCCACTCTTTCTTGGAACGAGTGAGTGTTAGGCGCAATCCTCGACCACGCTGAGCACACTCATTCGCCGAGCCCACGGCGTTGACAGCACGTTCGGCACAAGAGCGCTGGCCACGTTCGCCACCGAGCCAGGAATGGTTGGAGGATTGCCCGATTCAGACCCGTCAGCAGCAACTTCAACGATGGTCGCCTGCCTGCTCGCTCCCGGAGGTGGATTCGCCAGCCTTTGTCAGCCCATGTGAAGGACGAGCCCGCCATATAAACCCGCCGGGGGCGTCGTTCGCCCTACCCCATCTTCCTTTTCTCCCCCTTCCACCCCCATTTTCGCTCTGCAGACCCTGGTGGTTTTTGCTGTCCTCTTCGCTTTCACACTTCGCCCTACGACTGCGTCGTACCAGCCTTACCCTTCTACACTTCATCGTCGTGAGTCTCCTTCATCTCGACTACCCTCCGTCGCGCTGACTTTGGCGTCTGGGATCCCAGATGGTTAAACTCACTTCTCGCTTCGCATTCCTCACCGGTGCGGTGACGTCGCTCGCCGCAGTCTCGGTCCTCCCCACTCCCGCCGACGCTGCTGTCATCAAGGTCAACAATCCAAACGGGATGCCGCTCGGCTCACTCAACACTAGACATCCCGCCGACGCTACCGTCATCAACATCAACAATCCAAACGGAACACCGCTCGGCTCACTCAACATTCGACGCTCGACGCCGAAGGACGTGTCCGACGTCGCGGCAGAAGATCCTCCTCGGTCTCAGTCCAAGGCTGTCAAGAAGTCGAAGACCAGGGGCGCTTCGGCGGCCAAGCAACGCGAGCACCAGCCGATGGTACCCCTTCCTGCGTCGCTGGTCGCCAAGAACAGGAAGACTCGAGGCAAGGGAAAGGGTGGCAAGGGCAAGAAGCGCAAGGGTGGGTCTGGACGGGCTCGCGAGTCGGCGACGCGTTCCCAAGAGAAGGTGCGCGCGAGTATTGCTCGTCTATCTCAAATGGCTAACTTTCGTAGGTATTCGTACAGCGGAACTGGTCGCTTGATCCTATCACCCGGATGAAGAACCTGTGGATGAGCACGCGCCGTGCGTCTATGCGCGAGCTCTCCGTCGACACGCCGGACCATGGGGACGGGCAACAGTCGGAGTTCATCAGGCGTTCGTCGAACCTTGCTCGTCTACGTCGCGAGCCTCATCGTCACCACGACGACGTTGTGGTCAAGGGGCACGACAATCGCATCATCTTCGACGACGATAGGCATGGTCATCACGATCCCATCGTCTTCAAGGGCGACCACGAGCACGTCCACTTCCGTCGTACACCCTTCCCCTCTCCTCACAGTCGCCACCACCATCACCACCACCACGGCGATCATGATGACGACGGCGAGGTCACTGTCAAGGGAAGCCACAACGACGTCGATGTCCATCGTCGAGACGAAGTACTACGACCCTCCTTCCTCATCTCGGGTTCCAACGGCCATTCGTTTGTGGTGGATGGATTGCCTGCACTGGCCACTGCGAATCCGAAAACTCTGATCGGCGAAGGGATCAAGCTTCCAAAGCGTGCCGGTGACAGCGGGGTCCCAGGTACTATCGAGATTATTGTGCGTACCTTCCAACTTCCCCGTCTACAGCTTCTGATGTATACGTTAGCGCACTCAGAGTGGAGGCGACGGGACCGGGACTAGGGTCGCTTCTCTTGTCGTCGCTTCGAACAAAACTGGCGACTCAGGCGAAGGCGGCAACTCAAGCTCTACGACCACGCCGACTTCCTTCGTCCTTCACGCCTCTGACAAGGATCGCACGCAGATGAACCTGGTCATCATTCCGGACTCGCAGTCATCGGGCCACTGGAACTCGACAGAGGGGAGCATGCACTCCGGGAACGACTCGACATCTGCCTCCCCCACCACTCACGCCGACGCTACGCCGACGACTAGCCCGGACTTCATGGGAGCCAGCGCATTGTCTACCAACCCGTCAGATCCCGCGTCGTTCATCAAGGTTCTCTTGCAGATGCCGGTCTTCGATGACGAAAGCGCCGAGCTGAAAGCGTTCTGTGCGACGTTCGATCCCAGTCCTTCTACCCCTTCGGCTATGACCGTGGAACCCTGTATGGACGACCCGACGGGCACCCGCGGAGCGCACAAGAGCCAAATTTTCGCCTTTGAACCTGAGTCTCACGTCATCCGTCCCTTGTTGCTCGATGGCGACACTCCCGAGGACGACTCCGCACCAAACGCCAACGGCGACGCTCAAGCCCAGCAGACGAGCAGTTCCAAGGACCCTGCTGATCCTGAAGGAGACGACACATCTGACGACAACGAAGCTGCTCCGAGCTCCCAGGATGGCCCGATGGACGACGAGGATCCGTCATCCATGGATGAAAATATCGGCGCATCTTCGTTCCGGGACGAGATGTTGGACGGGATGTCAGAGAAGACTCCGATGGACTCGGCAGCTATGGACAACGACAACGACGATGCTCGCCCTGTCATGCTGGTGTTCACTCCGGTTGCTCCTGAAGTTTCCAACGTCTCAGCGCCTTCGTCTTCTAGTGTCTTACCTGGAGCTCTCCCTGGTGCCGTGGCCGGTTCTAGCTCGACGCCTCGCTCAACGCCTACCGCCACGAAGTCGGGCTCAAGATCTCCCTCACTTGCTACCGCATCAAACTCTGCGCCCTCGAACTCTGGGACTCCCTCTCCTACGACACCGCCTTCAGGCTCTTCGAGTTTCGGAGACGGTTCTATGCCAAAGGACTTAGATGTCAAGGTGTTCAACCCCGATTCAGCGACCGAGCAACGAGCGGCGATGGCTCGACTTGGGGCCGAAAGCGCACCGCCCGGGCTGGCAATTATCCCGGTGCCTAGCACCAGCTCATCTGTCCCCGCTTCTACGCCCACGCCCACGCCTACACAGTCGCCATCGCCGTCGCCCACCGAGTCGTCTTCAGACACCGCGTCCCCCATGCCTCAACCGTCCCTTGAAGTCTTCGTTGCTGATCCTTCTCCGCGTTCTCGGAAGGCGCGCCGCATGATCAAGAGGCGTGCGTCGATAGCCAGCAGAGCAGAGTCATTGGCGTCTCTTGACTGAGTTGTCGGCATGAATTGTAATGACACCACGACTTTATCCTGTAGCATGCTGGGGGCATATTACTACCTTTTTCCCAATCATAATCATACGTATTGGCGGTGGACATCGTGTGTGCTTGCCCATTCCTATCCTCGAGGGAGAGTCGAGCGAGTGCGAACTGTTGTGAGGGTGGCGGTTGCCGAGCCTCGGGACGCTTGGCACTATAAGCGAGGGCGTCCCCGTGGGCTAAACAAAATGCATGAACGTTACGCGCACGTTGACTCTCCCGCCTTCCACAATGTCCCCTTCGGGGTGACATACGAAAAAATTGGAACGATACAGAGAAGATTAGCATGGCCCCTGCACAAGGATGACACGCTTTCCCGGAGTGGTAGACCTACGGGTCTCAATATTTATGGCTCTCACACCTATGAACGTAGTAAGTTGCGCACGTAACTGTAGTGGGCGCCTAACCGATTAATACGCGGGAGTGGGCCCACGGTCCTTTCTTGCCGTCTCGTTCGAGTCGTTCCCGCCGTCAACATGAGTCCACTTCCACCGTTCTCACACCGAGCCACATCTTCGTCTCTGGCCTGTGATTCAGCAGATACAGTGCTACTCAAACGCCCCTCGTAGCTCGGACGTGGAATCGCGAACTGCGAACTCTCAAGTCTTAACTGCTCACCCCGGACGCTAGTCATCTTCGCCATGTCCGTCACCGCCACCACTTGGGCCCCCCTCGACCTCCCCGCGTCGGGCAAGCTCCCGTTCACGGACTACACCCGCTGGCGGCTCCGCTGCTCGCCGTACGGCGACCACACGTGGCACTACCTCCCTCCCTCTGCGTCCCCGGAGCCGCAGCCGGAGTGCGACCGGTACTGGCTCGGGCTCGAGGAGGCGCAGCGCACGGCCCCGACGCTGCCGCCCGCGGCGACCCCGCTCGACGCCGCGCGGAACGGGTACCGGTACTTCGAACGACTCCAGGTCGCGGACGGGCACTGGCCGGGGGAGTACGGGGGGCCGATGTTCCTCATCCCAGGCCTGGTGATCGGCTCGTACGTGACGGGGGCCGGCTTCAAGACGGAGGAGAGGATGGAGATGGTGCGGTACTTGTTCAACCACCAGAACGAGGACGGGGGCTGGGGGATGTGAGTGTTCCGTCTTTTTCTCTTTCTCGCTTTCTGCGGTTTGGTCGTGTGGGTGGGTGGATGTGTGGGCACTGGATGGAGGCTGTATGCGCATGTGCGATGTTTGGATGTATGCGCGCTATGCATGCACGTATATCTCCTCGCATATCTCCACGCATGCATTGGCGCATATATGGGCGCATTTAGAGCGCTGTGGAGGTATTTTGCTGCCCCACGAGCTTTGTGCAGGTGTCTTCAACTACGTACGCAATATACTCATTCAGTGCTCCTTCTTTTAGCCACATCGAAGGCCCAAGCACCGTCTTCGGCACAGCGCTCAACTACTGCGCTGCCCGCCTCCTCGGCTTGAAGCCGGACCACCCTGTCGCGCTCCGCGCTCGTGCGTGCCTGCATAAGCTCGGGGGCGCTACAGGCATCCCGTCCTGGGGCAAGTTCTGGCTGTCGATCCTGAACGTCTACGACTGGGACGGAAACCACCCTGTCCCGACGGAGCTCTGGTACGCTTGCGCTCGATTTCATGTGGCGAGATGGGACTGACGGTTCGCGCCGCAGGTTGCTGCCTGATTGGGTGCCTATCCACCCGCACCGGTGGTGGATCCACACGCGGAACGTGTACATTCCGATGGGGTACCTATACGGCGTCCGGTTCAAAGCGGAGGAGACCGATCTCGTTCTTGCCCTGCGAGAGGTATGTATCGATCTCGGTGGTCCATGGAATTCATATGTGAAGATGCTCACCCAATTCTCACAGGAACTGTACACCCAAAACTATTACTCGATCGACTGGCCTGCTCAACGCAGCTACGTCAACCCCGTCGACCTGTACACGCCTCACACGATGGTTCTCGAGGGCCTGTACAAGATCCTGGACACATATGAAAGCTGCCCCTTCCCACCTCTTCGTCGCGCCGGGATCCGCCGGGCGTACGAGCTCTGCGTCCTCGAGGACGAGAACACCGACTGCCAAAATCTCGGTCCGGTGAACAAAATGATGAACCACATTGTCCGCTTTCACGCCGACGGCCCCGAGAGCGAGGCTTTCAAGAAGCACTGCGACCGCCGCGCCGATTTCATGTGGATGGGCCAGGAGGGCATGATGATGTGCGGCACCAATGGCTCGCAGCTCTGGGACATCGCGTTCACCGCGCAGGCGCTCATCGAGACGGGGCTCGGTGCGGAGCCCGAGTTCCGCGCGAGCCTCGTCAAGGCTCTCGAATGGCTCGACATCTGTCAGATCCGAGAGAATCCGAAACACCACCAGAGCGCGTACCGCCAGGCGACCAAAGGGGCGTGGCCGTTCAGCACTCGGACGCAGGGCTACACGGTCAGCGACTGCACGGGTGAAGGTCTCAAGGCTGTGCTCTACATTCAAGAGCATCTCAGGTGAGTTTCGCGAGTAGTTCGGACGCTGTAGACTGTCCTTCTGACGTTGCTGCAGGGACGCACCAAAACTCATTTCGGAGCGGCGCCTCTGCGATGCAGTGGACATTATGTTAGACCTCCAGAACTCGGACGGTGGCTTCGCGAGCTATGAGCTCATCCGTGCTCCTCAAGCTATGGAGTACATCAATCCTGCCGAGGTTTTCGGTACGTCACACTACATTATCGGCACATCGCAGTTGGATGACTTGCGTCGCCTTGCAGGAAACATCATGACGGAATTCAACTATCCCGAGTGCACGACTTCCGTAATCACCGCCCTAGCTATCTTCCGCAAGCACTACCCTCACTATCGGAAAGGCGACATCCAGTGCGTCTCGTTATTGCTCCGCGGCATCGGCCGCGCTGAGAGACGTCCCGTACTCAATCTGGTTTATTATTAGAACTGTGATAACGAAGGCCGTTGAGTATCTGCACAAGTGCCAGCGGCCGGAGGGTCCGTGGTTCGGGTCGTGGGGCATATGTTTCACATATGCGACCCAGTTCGCTCTCGAGTCTCTTTCGCTCGTCGGCGAGACCTACAGCACAAGCGCAGCAGCCCGCCGCGCGTGCGATTTCTTGGTGTCGAAGCAGCGCTCTGACGGCGGCTGGGGGGAAAGCTACAAGGCGAGTTTACGCCGTCGCTGCTATCAACCCTTATTAATCTGACCCGGCCTCCCCCCTCCTGCGACCCTTCCCCCGCTGCCCGCATCGGCCTCGCTGCCGCCTTGCAGAGCTGTGAAGTGCTTGCGTGGGTGGAGCACGAGCAGACGCAGGTCACGCAGACGAACTGGGCCGTCATGGCGCTCATGTACGCTCAATACCCGCACCCTGAACCTATTGAGCGCGGCGTGCGCCTCGTGATGTCGCGCCAGCGGCCGGTGAGTGTTCAAGCGTCCTCCCCTTTTCTCGCCCTCTGCGACGCCTTCCCTGCCCGCGGCTGACGGCGCTCCTTGCTTCGTAGGATGGGTCGTGGCCACAGGAGGCGATCGAGGGTGTATTCAACAAAAACGTGGCGATTTCATACCCCAACTTCAAGTTCTCGTTCTCCATCTGGATGCTCGGCCGCGCCCAGCGCTACCTCGACGAGCTTAAGGCCGGCAAGGTTTAGATCCGTCTTGGATGGTTGGGGTCCTCGCCATGTAGATACCTCTCCCTCCTAGCACGCCTAATGAGACTGATTCGTGGCAGCTTACTGCTCCATTGGCCAAGTAATATTACGACCTTGGCTTGTACCATGGGTGTCCCTGGGTGTCGCAACCTTGTCTGGATGCATGGTACGTGCCACTCGGTGCCCGTCGAGGTGATCGGGATGATTTGTCGTTCCGGAGACGCGATGCCCGCCTCGGACGTGGTTGTCCTAGTGCGCGGGGTCATCGGAGACACGCCCTGGTCGGGACGCGCGGAGAAGCGCGGAGCGGTATATCGGCGCGGCTATCCATTATTGGTGCCCCGCTCAGCCTTTGGCCTGATCGTGAGGCACCGCCGCTAGGTCGCGGGGCTTGCGCGTCCGTTTCGGCGAGAGCTGCGCATGCGAGATGCTGTCGCAGGTCCCTCAGGTGTCCGCGTCAGGCGTCGAGACGGGCTCTGGTGATGTGCTCTCGAGCTGGTGCGTGCGCTGTGCTATATGAGGATGGTGCCCCTGACATGGACTTTTTGCAGAACTGCTCGGCGGCTGCAAGCCACCGTCCCCATTCTTCCCGTTCACCATGACGCGAGCTTGCTCCCCGCTTCCGAAGCCGCGAGCGTTGGCGGCTGAGCACCCACCGCGCTTCGTTGCGGGGCCGCCTTCGTCGTTGATGACTGTGGCCGTGGTGAGGCCAGGTATAGAAAGAGGACAAGGGCGTTCATTTGAGCGCTCAGCGGCATTATCGCCCGATCGCAGCGAGAAATGATGCAGTGAGTACGCTCCGGTCTGGTGTGTTTCGGACGTTGACGCGGGGACACGATAGACGCGAGATTGAGGGCATAGCCCAGGACGCGGGCCACAAAGCTACGAGAAGCACCCCTTAGCCATCATTAGATGAGCTATGTGGGGCTAAACGGGCCGCGAGCCGGTTCCGCTCGGGGCACATTGCGCTCGGCAATATGGCTTAGTCCCCGAGAGCGATCCTCAGCTGGAGTGGTGGGATACGGCGACGTCCCATTGCCCGCGACAAAATCGGATCCAATAAGCCCGGATTCACTCGCGCATAGGCTTGCTGTCCACGGCCTAACTTTGTTCTCGAACGCCGCGACGGGTCCCAAGGTTAGTGCAACGCCGCCTGGTGGGCCACTTGGTCCTGATGAACATTTTTCGTCATTATTGTTGATGCGTCGTACCGCCCTGCCGCAGTCCCATGATCCAAATCCATCGTACTCCATCGGCATTACGAGGATGGCCAATACACGGCTAACCAGCTCGGCCCAAGGCACAAGACACCGGGTTCGGCTAGGCGCCACATCCGTGCAATGAATCCCGAGACTGGCATCGACTAGAAGCTGCTCGGAACCGCATTAGAGAAGACACCGCGACCTAGGTCCCCGAACCCTGCCGAGCTCCGGACCCTCGTTCGCGCCCGACGCCCGCATTCCGTCATGTCCTCGCGTCGCGTTCGAGTTCGGGACGGGGCCCATCGGCGGGCCCTCGGGTTTGCAGGACACATGTCTCTCACTATCCTCGGTCTAGGATGGCGTCCGTCGTGAGTCTGTCCAGCCTCGATCACGCTACCTGTGCATTTGTTGACTTGGCTGAAACGCGCGCCGATTCCTCGAGAAGATGTCCTGAGATACACACCTCCGCGAAGGTTCTGTGGCGCGTTGGTTAAGGACCAAGGACAAGGACAAGGCAAAGGCTGCTCTGGGACAATTGGAGGGGCTACAGGCGCAGCCGGCAGCCGCCTCCGGCACTGCGCGTCCCGCGACGCTCGTCTTATGCAAGTTCGCCATCTGGTGGCGGGTGGGATTTGGATTCGGTGGGTGGCATCGAAGAGCCCCTTGTGCACCCCTCACCGCGGATGTCTTCCCGCCGACTGGCTAGTCCGTCGCTTCGGGCGCTATTCGGACGGACGTGACGCTAACGTCATATGTACAGATTGTCGATGGCCTGTGCGTCATGCCGCACGCAGGGCCAAGTTCCACTGCGTTCGAGCGATCAGGCTCACGGACCAAGTTCTAGGCAGGCCGGGATCATTGTTACACCCACATTCACGCCCGCCGACCTATTTGCACGCTACGCACGCATGGACTTGGCACACACAAGATCCACAGCGCTTCCGATCAGCTCGGGGGATGCAGCCCCGGTTCCAGGCTCAAGCACGCAAAACTGCGCCCCGCGGGACCGCGTTGTGGGCAGGCGAGCGCGTGGGGGCAGGGTGTCGATCCGGTCATGTTACGCGGAAGCCATGGTGGGTGTCATGGACAGTGCATGGATCCTCGTGCTAAGGAACGCTCCCAGACGGCGGCACGGTCGCGCGCGACAGCCCGCAAAAGGCGCTGATGGACAGACGCTGACAACGGGAATGGAATGGACCCTCGCGCCCGGCTGGGGAAGAAGAGACCGCCGCATGGACACGAACGGCATAGCGGAGGCTGCACTGTCGATGGATCGCGCATGGGTGGTCTTGTCCAGGGAGCCCCGGGTTGCGTGCCATCGAAGGGGCTGTGGACACCTTCGCTATCTCGCGAGCGTTCTGCTGAGGGGTACGTGCGCCCGAGATCGTATCTCCAAACCTGCAGTAGTCTGATACCGTACTGCAGTGGCAGAAATGGTGGAGCGGCTGCGGGCCTGTCGTCGGACCAGCGCGCGTTCCGACGCCCTTGTCGCCACGCAGTATAACTTTGCAACTCCAGCTCCCTCGGTGTTCAGGGAAAACCGGATGACGGTTCTGCTCGCGCACGGGATCCGAGTTGGCGTGCTGGGGTCGTGCCGTACTCTGCGGGACGGTTCTAGCGTCGCGGCACCCAGTCCTCGCCGGGCGGACGGATCGCATCGCGCGTGGAGCGCCGCCCCGACCTTGCCTCCTTCGCTGCTGGAGGTCCTGCCACAGGCGGTGGGCGCGCTAAACTGCATCCGCGGCGCGCAAGGTTCGCCCGCGGACGAGGTGCGAAAGCAGCTGGCCGTCCCTCTCGGGCTAGCGGGCGCGCACACGTTCTCACGCGCCGCAGGAGGCGCGCCGGCCGCCTCCGGGTGGCCGGTCTGCCACTCGGACCCTGCGTGCGCTCTGCGCTGCCAGTGCCTCGCTCGGTTGGACTAAAACATATGCAGCCATGGTGCGCGACAGGGGGAACAGTCGGGGAGCGCGTTCGCCATAAATGCCCGGGGTGAGCCTCGTTTGGACCAGCAGTGTTCCTCGACCGCCTCGCACCCCACATCGCAAGCCCCCGCCGCACTAGCCTTTCGCATCTCAAGCACCACCGAACCATGTCCAGCACCATCACTGTCCCCGACACCCTCGCCTCGTGGCCGTACCCGCGGCGCATCAACCCGCACTACGAGACCGTTGCGCCCGAGTCGGCGACCTGGGTGCGCGGCTTCCGCGCATTCGGTCCGCGCTCGCAGCGTGCGTTCGACAAGTGCAACTTTGGTTCGTGCTCTCGCCGTCATGTCCGTCGTGCTCCGGTTGCTTACCACAAGGTTGCAGGCCTCCTCGCCTCGCTCGCCTTCCCGTCGTTGAGCAGGGAGCACCTCCGCGTGGGATGCGACGTCATGAACCTGTTCTTCGTCTTCGACGAGCACACAGACACACTACCGGGAGACAGCGTCCGAGTCCTCGCGGATATCAGCATGGACGCCATGCTCCACCCCGACAAGGTTCGGCCGGAGAACGAGCCGGCAGTGGGGGAGATCACTAGGCAGTAAGTGGCGACAAACCCACGTCGCTATTTGCCATGAAACACGCAACGAAACGCCTAACCCCCTCCCGCTCCACAGGTTCTGGCTTAACGCACGGAGATGCTCGACGCCGACGTTCCAGCGGCGCTTCGTGTACGAGTGGCAGCTCTACGTCGACTCGGTCGTCGAGCAGGCCCGGGACAGGGACCACACTCGCTTCCGGACTGTAGAGGAGCATCTCGCCCTCCGGCGGTTCACGATCGGCTCCCGGCCGTCGTTCGCGATCATCGAACTTGGACTCGACATCCCCCAGGACGTCTTCGACGACCCGTTGCTCGTCGACCTCCGGGACACGATCACCGACATCCTCGCCCTGGACAACGTGCGTGCCTCTATTCATTCCCCACATCGTCCGCCGGACGTGACTGACATAACCCTCCGGCCCCCGCAGGACATGGCGTCGTACAACAAGGAGCAGGCGGCGGGGGACGACCTCCACAACGTCGTAACGCTCATCATGCACGCACAGCACGTCGATCTGCACGCCGCGCTCGCGCACGCCGCGGCGCTGCACGCGGAGCGCGCGCGCCACGTCCTCGACGACCTCGTCCCCGCCATCCACGCCCTGGACGTGCCGGCCGCGGTGGCTGCGGACCTCGCGTTCTACGTCGACGGCGTGCTCAACTGGCCGCGCGGGAACGACTGCTGGACGTTCGAGTCCATGCGCTACTTCGGCATCGACGGCCCCCGCGTCCAGCGCGAGCGCGTCGTCGAGCTCTACCCGAAGCGGCGAGCCGTCGCCCCGTGCGTCTGAGGCCTGAGGGCCGGGTGTGGTGTGTACGATAGTTTCCGCGGACGTGCGCCCTCGACGTGCGCCCTCGCCCTAGTCTCGCCCGTGTAGATAGTACTGTACGCTGTAATGCCATAGATCACGTCGTATGTAGTCATAATCGATCACGCTATCCCCATACGAACCTCGTCTGGACCCTGAACGCCTGCTTCTCAGCCTGTCCTTCCGCTCCGACGCGGCCCCATCGCTGGGGCTCTGCACTAGAAGGCTCTCGCCGGCCGGACCTCGTTCGCGCGATGGCTCGCCGTCAGCCCGAATCCGAACGTGCGCACGTACGACGAGGGGTCTGCAGTAGGCTAGCAGCTCATATCTGCGCCGCCCCCCTGCGCCGCACAGCGACCGCGGCGGCGCAGGGGCGCCCTTCGTTGATTCATTCTGAGGGCTGCAGGGGTCCGCACCCGGGGCAGAAGAAGGCGGGGTTCGTGCTTTCCACCTAGCGCACCTGCTCTCGGCCAGGGCCCTGGTCCTGGTGCTCGTGCGCAGATGCGTGTACATGGGCGTCCTGCGTGCCGCACACCTCCGGATGGGGCGGCGCCGTGGCGCGCCCGGTCACTGCTGGCCCGTCGGTGGCTCGCGCTAGAAGCGTCGGCGCAGCGCGCCGTGGGCGAGTGCGCATCGAGAAAGGCTAATTAGAGGCTCGCGCGCGAGATCTGCAGCGTCGCGAGGGCCGGAAGCTCGTGGCTGCCGGAACCCCGCCCGAGGAGTGGTTTCGGAGGGGGAGTGCAGAGTGCACGGACGGTGCTAAGGGACGGCCGGGCCCGGACGGTGTGCGAGGGCGAACGCTAAATGTTCGTGGAATTCGGGTGAGCCATAGCGGTCTAAAGTCCGGGTCCAGGGGCGGCCATGAGGGACGGCCTGGGGGGCTCCGCACTAACTCGATCGAGGAGGCTCGGTCGAGGTGAGCGTGCCGCCGGGTTCACGCTAAGGGAAATGCCTGAGTTTTCGGACTGGTGAGCGATGTGGTGCGGACGCAGTGAATGTGGCGTTACGTGGACACTCCGAGGGTTCAGAGCATGCGGCCGACGGCGTCCTCCGGGCAGGCTAAGGATGAATGCCGTGACGCCAGTTTTTCGTCTGAGGAGCAATTTGGATAAATCGCACCACTGCCGCCCGCTGATCGATATCGTGCTCTGAGAATGCCCAAGAATGATGACTGCGTGGATTCTGGACGAGCTTTAGTACAAGGAGCAGGCAGGGGGTGGCTGATGGCGCAAGCGGTGGCCAGAACAAGAGGCCGGGCGATGCTGAGCGGACGGGAGGAGGCGAACAACGCCGGGCCGTGGACCCGGCCGGAGCGACACAGCCACTTGTGGGCGCCACGGCGGAGCGGCAGGCCCGGGCCACGCGACCCGGCTCCCACGCCCGGCCGCGTCGTCTGCGGCGGCCCCAGGGTGCGCGACGGCTCCGGGGGATGAGCATACCTCGAGAACAAGGCGAGCACAGCGCATCGCACTCGCCACCACCGCTTTTTCCATGCTGCTTGTGCTCGTGCGGCGCGATGATGCTCCTCGCTCTGCGCGTTCGGATCCAAGCACGAAGGCGTTAACCCATTCTGCGGCTAGCACCAGGAAGCCATTCCCTCGGCGGCCCCTTCTCAGCTCCGTCCGCGCAATCGCCGATGGGCGAGCACAGGCTAGTCCGTGCCTCCGACCCGGAAGCCCAAGGTTCCGTTCCTGGTGCTCTGTCGTCCGAGTGCACCAACGGTGGCTGATCTACGATTATCTCTGCCCCGCCGTTTGGTAAGTGGACATTACCCTCACGCTCCCATTTGCGCTCTAGCGCTACCCTCGTCCGACAATGCGCCCGAACAGGGTCGAGCAGTCGTGCCCATCGTGCGCTGGCGCCACCGTCCTGCGGCGCGCATGGGCGGCAGCATGGATCCCGGGCCATAAAGGCATGTCGCAGCTACGCAGTCCAGACCAGCACGCCCCGCTACATCATGTTTCACTCTACCGAACTGCACTCCCTCCCTCCTCACTCAGACACAATGTTTCTCGTGGTCGGAGGCGCTCTCGTCGGGCTTCTCCTCCTTCGCTGGAGGATATCCAAACCTACTCAGTCACTTCCCCTCCCCCCTGGACCGAATGGCATCCCGCTCATCGGCAGCGTCATCGACATGTCCGACAAGCACCCTTGGAACAAGTTCCGCGACTGGGCCAGGGACTACGGTCAGTGTTTGCCCCGATGCTAGCGCTCAGGATATGTCGTGGACAGGGCTGACGTGCTGCGCAGGCGATATCGTCCATGTCAATCTCTTTGGACATTCCGTGATCGTCCTGAACACCTGGAAGGCGACCGTCGACTTGCTCGACGGTCGTTCGTCCAATTACAGCGACCGCCCCAACCTCCCGATTGTTCCTCTGTGAGTCGCGTCGGCGCACGGCTGCCTCCGACATGATGTCTCTTAACGCACTTCCGACATTCCGCCAGGCTGGGCATCGACTGGCACGTTCCATTCATGCCGTACGGGCCCCGATGGCGCAAGCACCGTCGCGTGATCCACCAGCTCGCGAACGACGCGGCGGTCAAGAAGCAGCTGCCGATACAGCAGCGGCGGGCAAGGCAGCTTCTCAGGCGGCTTCGGGACGCCCCCGAAGCCTACGCCGACCACACACTTTTGTGAGTGCGCCCAATCGCCGCGATCGGGCAGCGTCTCACCCGCTTCTCGCCAGCTCGATCGGGGCCGCGCTCATGGAGACCGTGTACGGAAACCTGTCCGAGGCCAAGATGGAGGAGCACCTCCACCTCGCCGAGAGCGCCACCCAGGCGCTCACCGAGGCCTTCCTCCCCGGCACGCTCGCGGTGCAGTACCTCCCCTTCCTGCGCTACTTCCCGTCGTGGATGCCCGGCGGGCAGTTCCAGACGCACCTGCTCGAGCTCCGGAGCCGGGTGAACGCATTCCTGAACAAGCCCTTTTACGAAGTCAAGGAAGCGATGGTGCGCATCAACATAGGTTTCATCTAACCTGTCGACGGACGGGCTAACGGGGCCGGGTGCTGCAGGCGAATGGATCCGCGGACTCGTGCTTCGTCACGCGGGGCCTTCGGGATGCTGAGCACCTGAAAGACGCCGACCTCCGGGACGAAGAAGACCTGATCAAGTACTGCGCGGCTGTCGTCTACAGTGGTGCGTGCTCTCCCCGGCCCCTTTCCCGCGCGCCGTCAATCTAAAGGCACGATCGCAGGCGGTCGGACACGGTCAGCCCAGCGTCCTCCCACGCCTTTCCTGTAGACTTCGCCCTGACATCGTTTCCCGCCGCAGTCGCAGTCGACGCTGCTCACGTTCCTGCTCGCCATGGTCCTCCATCCGGAGGCGCAGCGCAAGGCACAGGCCGAGCTCGACGAGGTCGTCGGCCCAACCGCCTCCCCGACTTCGAGGACCGCGACGCGCTCCCGTACGTCAACTCGGTCGTGAAGGAGTGCACGCGCTGGATCCCGTCGGCCGATCGGCTTCCCGCACGGGTGCTCTGAGGAGGACGACTACGGCGGGTACCGGATCCCCAAGGGCGCGACCATCATTCCCAACCACTGGTGCGTGGCCCCGCCCGCTGCTCAGGCCTCAGCTGCAGCCCGCGCTCATGCCGTCACATGTGTGCGCCCCCGCTGACAGGCTAATGCTGCACAACCCTGCGGAGTACCCGGACCCTGAGGCGTTCAACCCGGGGCGGTTCCTCCGGGACGGGAAGCCCGACGCGTCTGTCAGGGACCCGAACCTCGTCGCGTTCGGCTTTGGGCGCCGGTGCGTGCACGCTCGCTCCCCTCTACTGCCTGTTGCGCCTCGTCGCTGACCCTGGACCCCTCTTCGTGCGCTGCGTCAACGACAGCATCTGCCCAGGGCGCGCGATGGCCGACGCGGCGCTCTTCATCACCATCGCGTCGATCCTGCACGTGTTCGCGATCGCGCCCGCGCGCGACGAAGCCGGGAACCCGATCCTCCCGAGCCCGACGGACGTGACGTCGGCGCTGAACTGGTGAGTGCATCGTGGGCGGGGCTGCGCGGCCCCGTGCTTCTGCGGTCCTGGCGGCTGATACGCCGTTTCTCTCCCTCTCCGACGCAGCCGTCCGAAGCCGTTCGCGTACACGCTCGCGCCGCGCTCGAAGGCGGCGGAGGCTCTGATTGACGGGCTGTAGTTTCGTGTTTCGAGGACGCAGACTGGACGATTGCATCCGTTGTACTACTATGACCTTCTCCGCCCCTGCGCCCGCCGCCCAGACCATCATACTGTATACTCTATCCCGCGCCATGCTCCATGACTGGTTTTTTATTCATTCCGCTATGTACACACACCGCTTCGCCGCCCGATCGAATACAACATCAGTTCGCCCCCGCACACACACACGCCCAGCCAAGCCAACTCTGCGCCGCGTGCGTTCTCACCCACGCCCTGCGAAGCCGCCGCCGCCGGGGCGTCCGCTCTCGTAATGGAAAGAAGCCCGCGCCCAGGGTGTCTCGTCCCTCGAGTGTGGACGTCCTCCATTAATTATGTATGTACCTTACGCGACTCCGGGGCCGCCCCGGATCCGCTCCCGCCGGAGTCCGCTGTCGTCTACGCGGTGGCACGCGCGCGAGGGCCCACGCGCGCGGCTGCCGCGCCCCTGCTCGCACGACGAGCCCGCGCGGTCGGTTCTCGGGTATGCACATACTATGTGGCTGTTGTCGTGTCAGCGGCGCGACGGCGCGTGACGGCGCGCGGGACGCGATGGCGACCTAGTGCGCGTAGTGCGCGCGCGCCCGTCCGCTACCGTGTCGCATTGCATGGCACAGCAGCGGGGGTCGCGCTCGGAGTTCGGAGTTCGGGGTTCGGAGTTCGGACGTAACGCGCGGTGCCAAGGCCGTCGCGCTCGCGATGCGGGGCTCGCGAGGGCGAGGGGCGATCGCGAGCCGTGAAGTGGCCACATACATAATGCATGAGCAATCCGGACGCGCAGCTCGGGACAGAGGCGAGCATCGTCGCCGCCGCCGCGCGCGGTCGAGGGGCGCACGCGCGCGCACGTCTTGTTCGCGCCGCGCCGCGTCGGCGCAATGATTCTCCCGCGCAGAGTCCCTGTGCCTGCGCGCACGACAGAGCATCCCGCGCGCGCGGCGACGTTCTGACCTCTCAATCGCCGCTGCTATCGGTAGCGCGAGTACGGTGCCCTGCACGCGCGGTGCAAGATTCGACGATACGGGCGCCACTGGCTTAGGGGCGTGCGTGGGAGGGCGGGGCATGTGTTCGACCGTTGGAGTTAAGGTTCCAGGGGTCGTCATAGTGCTGCATTCGTGACCTCATCGCTTATAAACATACCACGCTAGCCAAGGCTAGCCAGTACGGACGTAACGGATCTGTATCCCAGACAGACGTCCGACGCTCACCCGAGCAGAGCCTGGAGCTTGCCAAAGTCGGGGGTCCGAAGCCAGTGACCTGTCGGCGAAACAGGTCAGCACGCCAGCCTCGCAACAACAGGAAGAGAGAGGACGCACCGGGTCCCAGCCCTCGACGGCGGTGAAGCCGGCGGTGTTGCAGCCCGGGTTCGTGCCGGACGTGATGTCGTTGAAGCCGGCGGTGCCGATCGAGTACAGGAGCGGGTTCAGGAAGCCGAGCGCGGGCTTGCCTTGCGACAGGCGGTAGTCGTTCAGGAGGGCGATCACCCCGGCGACGGTCTACACCGCGAACATCGCGAACATTCAGACGGGGCGCGGGGACGAGACGGGGGTACACGCACGGGGGACGACGCGGAGGTGCCGCCGACGCGGTAGGTGAAGCCGGCGTAGACGACGGCGAAGTTCTCGGCCTGCGCGGAAACGTCGGGGTAGGCACGGCCGCTCTTGCTGGTGGGCAGTCAGTATGCATGTCACACAGAAGGCGGATGGTTTGCACGCCACTTGTAGAGGCCTTCGTAGGTGATCCGAGGGTGGTCAGGAAGCCCGCGACAGCCTCGGTCTGGTAGCTGCAAACGCGACGATCTCCATCAGCACACCTCTCGATCGACGCCCACAACGAGGACCAACGCACTCAGGCATGGCGAACATGTCCGAGAAGCCCCCGCCAGACAGACCCGCCGCGACCTCGGGGTTCACGCTCTCCGTGCCGCCGACGGCGGTCACGAACGGGCACGACGCCGGGAAGTGGGGCAGGAACTTGGTCGTGTTCGCGCCGTCGTTGGACGTGCAGTGGCTCCCGACGCCGCTGTCCCCGGACGAGAAGAGGACGGAGCTCCCGCGCGCGCCGAGCTGCGCGAACAGGTGGCACACCTCCACCGCGTAGTCGGGCGGGATCGTCTGCTCCGGCTCGCCGTAGCTCGTCGTGAACGTCTGCGGGATCGCGTCCTGCGCGAGGATGAAGTGAAGCCAGTCGAGGTAGGGCTCGTTCGTGTTCGTCGGCGTGCTGCCGTCGGGGATGAACGGCGGCGAGCCGCCGGTGCTGTAGTAGGTGTTGGGCGTGGGGTAGGCCATGCCGATCGTGTACTGGATGTCGAGGTTCGCCTGTGCGATCTGTGAGCGGCTGATCGCGGCCGGAGCAGGCAGGCGACGCACCTCGATACCCGGGTCAGACTGGTCGTCTCCACCATCGTTGACCAGAACCGTCTCGAACGAGGAGCCGACGGCGTCGGTGCGGTACCGCCTGAGGAAAGTCTATCGAGGCCGCGCACAGCGTGAGTAACGCCCGTGTAACGTGCGATGAACAAACTTACCTGGAGGTCCGCGCGGTTCGCGTACTGATCGAGATACCCAGCAACCCCAAGAGAGTTCACGTCGGTCGCCGCGGGCACGTATCCAGTCGTGTTGTACAGCGCATGGAGGCAGTCGGGCGTGATAAGGCTCGCGCAGCTCGAGGGCACGCTCGCGAGCGTGCCGGGACGCGCAACGCGCACCGCGGAGACCTCCTCCGCGACGGGGGCGCCGAGGTCGGCGTGGTGCGCGGTGCGCATCGCGCGCATCGTGCCAAAGTACGTCGTCGGCGCGACGACGGACACGCGCCCGCGCAGCGCGGCGGGGAGCGAGTAGCTCATCGCGCGGACGACGCGCTCGTCGCTGTCCGCGTGGCGGTAGACGGCGTACTCGTTCCCGAGCATGCGCTCCGCCTGCGCGACGGTCACGCGGAGCGTGAGCCAGTCGCCCGCGGGCGAGCGCCGCGCGGACGCGGCGTCGAGGTCGTGCGCGGCGAGCCAGGCTTCGACGAGGTCGACGGTCTGGGGGTGCGGCGCGACGAGCTCCGCGATCTGGTCCTTGGAGAGGTGCTGGCCGTACCTGACCGCGTTGTGTCGTCAGTGAACGGACTCGCATGATGCCACGCAGATCACACGCACCGAGAGTGGGCGGGGTCGCTGACCTGGTACAGGTTGGCGACGAGCTCGTCGAAGCGGTCCTGCTTGAGCCCGATGCGCATGTCGAACGAGTAGTCCGCGGGCGCGGGCGCGTGGTACGCCCAGCCGCGCGGGGTCTCCGCCCAGGCGTGCTTGACCTCGAAGTCGTCCCAGCGCTTCGCGAAGGGCTTCGAGGCGGCGAGGTGGGTGAGCCCGAGGAGGAGCACGGAGGTCAGGAACATGGCGGCGGGTGACGGCGAGCCGTTGGCGGGTGGGCTTGCATGGCGGCCTCCTTTATACGTGTTCCTCCATCCCTAGGTACAGGGCCTCTCCGAGCAGCAGCGTGCGCACCATCTGACCGTCGACGGTGCATGCACGGCGATAGATGGCCCAGCAGCAGCCTTCCGGTCGACCCATAAGGACCATCCGTGAGAGCACTGGGTCTGGCTATTTTATCAGCTAGAAAAGAAGTGTGATTCACATCAGGCCAAGACCCTTGTCTTGTCGCCAAGGGGGGAAGGAGGAGGGCAAGCTGCGTGGAGGAATAGATGAATCTAGGTTCAGGCGCTTGATAGCCTCAACTTCGTCCACTGCTGCTTAAGTAAGCTTACCACGTCCAGCCGAAGCATCGCAAACAACCTGCTCTGTCTTAGTGGACCCTAGCTCCTTGACCTTGCAGACCGACGACGCTTCTGCGAGAATATTTCCTCTTGATATCCGAGAATTGCTGATGAAATGATGAGGCACCTGAGATCGCCCAGGTCGTTTCTGGAATGCAGGAAGTCTTGGCAGTAGTGATCACGTTCAGACCAGTCTGTAGCATGGCTATCAGAGTTTCCTCCATGTGAAGCTCACTAAATCCGTGAAATGTATGTTCAGTCTTCTACTCGTACATTGGTGACGTCATGTCTCTCTAACAATCTCCGGTCTTCTCATTAATCAACAGAGTGGAAGAGCGTCGCCCTTCTAACTCGACGACCGACTTGACCTTCAGAGGCTGCACGGGCGGGACCTTGATAGCTTCCGCGATCCGATCCGATAGAGACTGGTCAACTGCGGCAAAGATAGCGACTGATGTCAAGAAGTCAGTGATCCCACACGGGTCCAACGGTGGATAGCCACATACGTTGACGAGCCTTGATCTCTGCGCTTCTCACTCCGCCGAGAGCGGGCGCGATGTTCCCAACGAACCGCTCCCGGTCGGCGTCGCTAAACACCTTCTGCCACAGGGCGCGAGGCTGCTCGAAATCGACTGCATGAGAAAGGCAAGCCGTCAGCACGCCGCCCGACATTCGACGCAAGCGAACACAACACGCACGCTCCGTGACCTCGGACAGGAAGCCCATCGCGCGCCCGAGCCACACCTCGTGCTGGACCTCCGCCCTCGTCCGGTACCGCATCGGCGCGAGGCTGCTCGCGTAGTTCGGCCGCGCGCCCTGGTTGTCGAGCGCCATCGCGCCGTCGCGCTGGAAGTTCGCGACGGGCGCGGCGGGCGCGTTCGCGGGCAGCTGCGCGTGGTTCACGCCCAGGCGGTAGCGCGCCGCGTCCGGGTACGCGAACAGGCGCGCCTGGAGGACCGGGTCCGCGGAGGGCGCCCAGCCGGGGACGACGCGCGAGGGCGAGAAGGCGAGCTGCTCGACCTCGGCGAAGTAGTTCGCCGGGTTGTGGTCGAGCACGACGCGCGCGCACGGGCGCAGCGGGAAGTCGGCGTGCGGCCAGACCTTGGTCATGTCGAGGATCGAGTAGCGGAAGTGCTCGGCCTGCTCGGGCGTCATCGTTTGCTGTGGAGGGGAAGACGTCAGTGTCTGGGGCGAAGGGGCGCGGGCGCGGGCGCGACATACTACCAAGACGGTCCATGAAGGGTACTCGCCCCTCTCGATGTCCTCGTACATCGCCTGAATGCCGTAGTCTGGGTTCTCGCCTGCGAGGCGCTGGGCCTCCGCCCCGGTGAGTGTCTTGAAGCCACGATCGTTGCGCAGTTGAACGCGAATGTAGGTGAACTTTCCCTGAGCGTTGATGAACTTGTAGGTAGAACCGGAGTAGCCGTGGACGCGATGGTACCCATCAGGGGTGCCTCGATCTGAGAAGTTTATCATGATCTGGTGAATAGTCTCGGGGTTCTGAGAGAAGAAATCCTGAAAGCCGTTGGAGCACATGTCAGACGAGCCGCAGCAGAGATAGGGAGACAAACTTACCCATCCTTCTTCAACAGCGGGTAGATGGGTCGCGGGGTTTCGCTTGTGGGTGTGATTAAGCGCGGGGAACTTGGACGGATCGCGAATGAAAAAGACGGGGGAGTTGTTAAAGACCCAGTCGAGGTTTCCTTCTTCTGTCTTGATCTTTACAGCGAACCCTGAACCGCATGATGAGTCCCTGGAGGTCAACAAAGTATATGAAGTTACTTACCGTGAGTATCACGAATTGTGTCCGCAGAGCCGGACTCAGTAACGACTAGAGAATGACGCATAGTGACAGGTGCGCGATTTCCGACTTTACTGAAGAGAGCGGCGCAAGTAAGGTCCGTGATGTCATGCGTGACCTCGATATACCCATGGGCTCCGGCGCCTCGAGCATGAACAACACGTTCTAAGTGAGTGTATGTGGTTAGGGGGAGATGGGAGGAGCAATGGCCGCGTATGAACTCACCGGGGATGCGTTCACGAGCAAAATGGGCAAGAGCTTCGATGGCGTCGGAGTCTTGCAAGAGGAGAGGCCCAACGTTGCCTATCCTTTGGAAGGAGTAAGGTTCTGAGACAGGTGTCCCGGTGGACGTGGTGTACAGGGCATCGACGGTGGCAGACATGATCCGGAATGATGTGAGGAGGGAGTGTGCTGGTAAATTCTGTCAACAGGCCAGCTATTTGTACTCCGAGGTACTCACACCATATTCTGTGTATACAATGATACCGGCACTGATGATTGCACCTCGCGGACGCTGTCCTCCGTGCATGCCCGTGAGGTTGAGGGCCGGGAAATCCAAGTCTTCCCAGAACCTACGGTGACGTACACATTGGCAAACGCCCTTCGGAGGTCAAATCAGTTGCTCTCTTTGGTGGAAGCCGTTCCCATCTGGGCCGCGTGAGGGCCGGTAAACAACGCGTCTTTTCAAATTCATTCCTCCACACCAAATTCGTCGTCGAAATGCAAACACTACTCGCAGAGCCTGCCGCTGACGATTGTGTTAGTAGAAGAAAGACGCCAATGAGCCCATGAACTCCAGTCGGGAACGTCAGATATAGTAGGTCGTAGCTTGGACATAGCTGACTCCACCCTACGACGGCTTTTCATGTGTTAAGAGGAGACAAGAAGCACGGCGTAGCAGCGGGCTTTCTTCTACTGGCCCTGAATGAGTCGCGGCGTGGGTGGAAATCGGATACGTATTCGCTCAGCGATAAGAACCTCTGTCTGCGCCGTTCCTGGGGTTTCTCACCTGCTCCTGAACCGCGACGCTTGTTGAGAGCCTGTAGTCTCTTTTAGGCTAACCTTCTAACGAGTGCCTGGAGGAAATAAGAGAGAGAAGTGTTCGGGCGCCACTTGCACATTGCCGCCCAGATTGATTTGCATGGATGACAATCGCGCGCTCCGTTTTCAGCCGTGCTCTCCGTCTACACCCGGTAACGTCAGTAACGCGGCGCAGCCCCGGCGACGCTCTGCCACTGGCAGCAACGGTCCCGTGTTGCGCAATGCGTTCCTGCCCCGGCTCCGCCATGAGCTACTTTTTCGTCTTGCACTGTTCCGCGCCCGTTCTACGTTCGAGCTTCCACCGCTCCAATTTAATGCTGTACTTCGGGACTGGCTGCGGAGTCAGTACTCAGTATGCAGCGGTCAGCCACGTTCCGCACCGAGTTTCGGAGGTGCGCCGGGTGGGTCTCGAGGGCGATGAGCTCTCCTCACTCTTCGAGCTACAACGAGTGCGAGTCCGTCAAAGTCGTACAGCTGAATTCCGCATCAGGCTTCGTCCCATGTTCATGAATTGGCAGGGGTCGGCCCGGGGCCATTCCATCATTCAGGCCAGGAGGTCAACTCAAGCCCGAGTTTCCGGGCCCAGTGCAGGGCCTATTCCTCGGGGGAGATACATCCAAATTTTCGGACCGCGGGTTCCCCTAGAAGAGGGGTAACATCCCTTGATCCCAACCAACCGAATTGGCGGACAGGTTTTTGAGGGGGGCGCATTCAGGAGAGATGTGTCCACTGTTCATTGCCCGCCCAGTTGAACTGGCCGTCAGGTGTACCTGGCTGTGGGTTTTGAAGCAGGATGGCACATCAACGCGGCGGAGGTATTATACCGCCTCCCAATCTTATGGGGGATCTCCGCCGATTGATCATAGTCTTGCGAGAACAGTCCACAGACTCTGGAGCGGCGCCCTCGGGTACGAGGCTCGGAGATACTCCAGGGGTAATTCGAGACCGGCGGTTCCGAAGCCTTCCGCAAGACACGATTCGTCGGCTTGAGGCCGACTGGCAGTTTCCTGGTGAAACCCCTCTAATTTCGTCTTATTGACCACAATATAAAAGGACCGGAGCTACAGAAGACATGGCAATGTGAACACGGCAAGGAGGAAGTCCTATGGTGCGCAATCTATGAGCCGACCCGCCCTCCCTCCGCCTGACTTCCTCTACTTCCTGCAGTCGATACGAGGAGAGTACCAGTGGTAAACATGCGGCGTGTTCTTGCAAAGGAGAGGGTTAGGGAAAGCCAGACCGTCCTTCAGAGCCTGCGCCGGAGAAGGGGGCGGAATCCAGGGAACGATCCGATCCTGTGAACGAAGACTGGAGAGACTGAGATCAGTAGACCTACTACAAGCACCTGCAATAAGACTCACAGGTGCTTAAGGTTCTTGATCATCGACTCCCACGGGACGCTCAAGTCGTTCAGGCAGCTCGTCCACACGACGTCCAATCCGGTCGGCGGGTTTTCCATCGCCTCGGCGACGATGTCTCGCTCGAGTTGGAGGACATGCGGGAGCTCGTCCTCGCGGACCTGAGCCCACGAGCACTGGGCGAGTTGTGCAGGGTGACCGCCGCCTTCTGGCTCGCACTTGCAGTCCCAGGCGTGTTTGAGCTGCAAGCGCCGTCAGCCGACCGAACACAAGCAGCCGTAACCGGCGAACTCACCGCTGCTCGCCAGCCGTACGCAAACCAGCGCCCTTCGTTATGTTCATTCACGCATGTGGTGCATCGGAGGCGCTTCTGGGACGCCTCCAAATCTTCGATCGTCGCCCTTGACGGATCGATGTCCAATGCGCGTACGATTGAACGCATGGCCTCGATGGTCCACAGGTTCACGTCCTCCTTTTTGAGGACATTTGTGGAGAAGGGGCAAGTCGCGCCATCAAACGCATCATCCCAGTGCGAGTAGTGGTGAATGGTTTCTGCGCTGAGTGCCCAATGATAGACTGAAGGCAGACTAGGTCTGTCGCATCTTCGAGTGCAGTGATGTCCTAGGATGTCGGGATAGTGGAGAAAGGCACCGCCACAAGGACCGGAGCAAAAGAAAATCCCCATGGCCAAAGCAAGAGGATCGATGTTGGGAGAGCCTGAGGGTAGGTAGCTACCCAAGACCTGCCTGAGCTTGGCGCGGCGTCTTGACATCCATGGGCCGTGTAGCTTCGAGATGACGTTCTCGAGGTGAGGGCCTAGATGCGTGGTGGGGATACTGTGCGGAAGTTCTACCAATGACTTGATTTCATCTCTGTTCCCTACATCTGCAAGGTGTGGCCGACAGAGATCACGCGGAGTTTTCGGGGTGCTGTAGTGAAGGAAGATGGCCGCTCGGACAGCATTGAGACGGGGTGACATTTCTTTGAGTATTTTATTGTATACCATGTCCCGGCCGATCCCCAAGAGAATTTCCAGTGCATCGTGGGGGATCACCTCCATGTCTCCTCAAAATGAGCGTTAGACTTTGGCAGGTGAAATGTAAGCAATGGCACGCACTTGGGACCCTCCCTGGTTCAAACGAGCGAAGTGAAGGGAGCGCGAGTAGGTACCGGATGCCTTCGCCAATGAAATCCAAGACCTCTGACCAGTTCTGGCTTCGGAGTGTCTCAATGATCCTTGAGACACATTTCAGCGCTAACTGTCGCATAGAGAAGATATAAACCCACTGTTGCTCGCGTGCTCTATCGTCTGCTCGTTCTTCCGCCTCCCACTTCTTTCCTTGAGAGATATACTATTTATGCCACATTGATGAGAATTCGCAAGCCGATTGTTCATGGCAAAGAACATACTTTAACCCGTTCTTCTCCTTCGCTCCGCCTTCGCAAGAAGAACCGATAGGAGTCGGGGTCTCTCTTCCAATCCTGCTTCCACTCGCGAAGAGAGGACTTCAAGACACGCCAAGTGCATGTGCCATCTCTGAGCCATTAATTTCAGTGAACTGTCTCACAGAGGTCAAATTGCTTACCTCTCGACATGGCGATACTGCGCTTCCGCAGAGATCCACATTTTCCCCATCGGACTGGCTGGGACTTCGTTGGCATCGGCATCCCGGCTGTCTTCCCAATGGGAGCTAGACAGCGGGAAGAGGCGCGTAAGCGACAATGAGGCGCAACGTTGCGAACACACTTACACCTCGAGCACGCAGCCCTCACAGTATCGAGCAAACCAAGGCCAAATGATTTCTCTCACTCCATCCGTGCCGCAGTTCTAGGAGAGGGGAAAGGGTATGAGTACCTGCACGCGAGAAGCTTGGTAGAGTACTCACATGGCAAGAAGGCATGTACAACAACCGGATGAACGCGTATGTGCTTAACCATGGTGGCCTTTCCGGCAGTTCTTCCGCACGTTTGATGGTTCTCTCCCACAAAGACCGATTAGACTGGTCCCAGAGGAACGCCCTCAGCTGCTTGGACGATAAGCTGATGTTGTAGAGGATCTTCGGGTGCAGCTCTTGGAAGACCTACGGCGACCACCCAGTGAGCGGGGCGTGACAGAAGAAAGATCTAGATGGTCAACGAGGGAGGCGAGGCGTACCAATAGTTGCAGCTCGGTTGGTAGACAGAGCAGTCTGGCGAGCATTCCTCTGCCTGGCGAGTCCTCTTGCTTCGCTTTCTTTCTCTTGTCTCCCACGAAGTCGAGTTCTTCATCGTTCTTCCGCTTCGTGGCCATGGCCAAGGGTGGGGAGACAGACCGCAGGGTGAGTGGCGGAGAGGCAAGTGGCGGAGAGGCAAGTGGCAGAGAGGTGGAGAGACGAGTCACGGAAAGGTGCAGAAGTAAGTGGCGGTCGGAGTGGCTGACAATGAAGGGGTTTTCTCGACGCGCGTGTGGGCAGCTGGAGACAGGTGAAGGCGAGTTGTTGGCAAGGTCGAGGCAGATGGGCACTGGAGGGTTGGTGCACGGAACCAAAAGAATACGGAGGTGTGGGATGGGCGGCAATCCGTATGTTGGTTTCAACCAGTCGAGTATGCCCAGATGGGAAGACAATAGCGGGCGAGCCGCAAACGCGTGACGTCACGCAGTGGTCTCCCCTGAGCTGGTGATCGCGTCCACCGACATGACAATAGACTCTCGCTGAAGGCCCGAGCGCAATAGAGATAAAGACCAAGGCCGCGTTCGAAGACGCGAAGTCCTGTTATGATGGTACACAAAAAACAGGTCACCACCGTGCTAGAAACAGCAGTCTGCATGTAAAAACATACCGAACGCGTCTATGCCTCGAACATATTTTCTTGGCCCGTCACGAAACCGCCGAAGTAGCAAGTCAGAGCTTTCAACTTCGTCCCCATCCACTCCTCTTCGACTTCGACCTTCTCCACCGCCGCGCCAGTGGAGGAATCCTTCACGAGGGCCGAGATCTCTTCGAGATTCGAATTCCGGGGGAGGAAATACGCGATGTTCTTGGTGATACCGCGCGCGATCTTGAAGAGTTCCGCACCATGAACGGGCCGTATGCTCTCCAGGCTGTAATCCGCGTGTGCCTCTCCCTCTTCTCCTGTGGCAGCCACCTTCGCGGAGGCTTTGGTTGGTGAGCCGGCAAGATAGGCCGGGCCGCCCCAGGGAGGACTAAGGAAGACGGCGTCGATCTTCCGCCGCGCACGGCTCGAGTTCGCGGCGTTATTCAGGGTGCGCGCAAACGAGAAGAAGTCCATGAGGACGAATTCTATGCGGTCTTCTACACCATAAAGCGCGGCGTTGTGACGCGCTAGCGCAAGACGGATCGGAGATACGTCAAGCGCGATGACTGCGAGGGGGGCAGAACGGCCTTGTGGGCATGGGGCGACGCAATACGCAGAAATGACCGGCACGCACCTCGCTCACAGGTCTTCGCAAACGCGATGGCGTTCCCTCCGACCCCACAGAACGCGTCAAGCACGACATCGCATCTACATCGTTCTGCAATTTGGTCTGCGATCTTCTCGGGTGTTACGCTGTACCATCCTTCTTCGTCCAGAAGACACCCAGACGAGTACAGCGAGAAGAAACGTTCTCGCTGAGAAAAGTCTGGCCTTCCGTGTGAGCTCCTCGTGCCACTTCGCGCGTGATACGATATTACTCACACTTTTGTAGGTGCTCGGGAACCTGCGATGCCTCCGTGTAAAAGGGAACCAGACCCGTTGCGTCAATCCTCTCCAGCCCAGAACCCAGAAGGCCCGTTCGGAGTTTTTGCTTCTTCTTAGGCCGAGGTTCCGGGGTTTCCAGTATGTTCTCTTCGTTTTTCGAGTCTGCTGCGCCTTGTGCGGGGGTGACACTGATGCTGGAAGAAGTGGCAAATGGTTCTGGCGTGTTGTTGTTTGCTTCGAGCACGAATCGCGCGAGACCACCGATATTCGACTTTCTTTTTCCCATGACGCGTATTCCCTGGGTCTTGTAGGGGTTGTGGAATACGCAAGGGCTTTGTAGGGACAATAGAAAGGGATAAGACGTGAAGGGATGAGGGAAAGTTTCCGTCCGCGTCGTGGCCGCGAGCCAGACGCGTTGCCCCGGCGTCCGAGTTTCTCGGACCTGGGGAGTTATCGAGTCTCCACTGGTGGCCGATCCCTTCGCGGACTGGAGGTTCATGTAGCCGAAAGTGAAGCTACACACGACTTGGTGAGACACTCGCAGGCTGGTAAGATATTCGTCCAGAGCAAGGTGAAAACTAATGTATGACCAGTCGTAAATTAAGCAAGTACTAGTATCTACGCTTTATGGAGGTTGCACCTGATCAAGGACCCGACGACCCGACGGTGCGACAATGTTCAATCACTTCGCCCACCTTCAGAACAAGCTCATCAGTACCCCACTGACCCACGATACTGACACCAATGGGCCATCCATCGGTTCCTTTCCCTCCCGGAACACTTAGCGCCGGAAGCCCGGCCAGGGAGGCTGGAACGGTCATGACATCTTGGACATAGGCATCGAGGGCAGAGTCCGCATCTTCGCGGTCGGCTGCTGTACTCGTTGGAAGAAGAGGTGCGGTCTGAATGGCGGAAGGGTGGATGAGGACGTGTACTCCGTTTTGTGCTGTTGGTGTGGCGGAGTGTGACGACAATAGGGCGTTGGGTATGCAGAACAAGCGGTCGAAGTCGGCCTTGATATGCCGTCGCACGCGCTGAGCTTGTAGGAAGTAGTTCTCGAAAGCACTGTAAGAACGAAGTTGGTGAGATCTTCTGTGAGCCTTTGTTAGAGCTACTGCACTCACTCCGCAGAAAGTGCGTGCGTCCCGAGGAGTATTCGACGCTGCACTTCACTCCCAAATCCTTGCGAACGGGTGAGGGCGTAGATATTCGCTGTTTTCGTGAGATCGGCTCCGGGGGGAGGCGTTACACGCATGCCTAAAAACTCAATATCACAATCTCCTTCTGTATATGCAGATAACACTCACCATACTCAACACCATCATATCGAGCAAGATTGCTGCTGGCCTCTGCGCTTGAGATGACGTAGTAGACGCTGAGCGCGTAAGGGGTGGTGGGTAGAGAGACAGGTATAACAGTCGCCCCGTGAGCCTGTAACTGAGAGATAACACTTCTGACAGTTTCCACTACATCGCTTTGGAGTTCGGCGGGAAAGTATTCCTGCGTGCGTCGTTGGAAAACGCCGTATGGATGCGCGACTGGGGAGTACTGACCTGCGGGATGCCAACCCGTAGTCCTGCCAAAGACTCGCCACGGATAGCATCGTGGCTTCGGCACAACTCAGCAGCCCTGTCTCTAATGTGTTGTGGGGCTGCTGTGGGATCACGAATGTCGTAGTTTGCCAATGTGTCTAGACTTCTCTTTGAGGAAAAGCACAGCATCTTATGAGACAGAAGGACTCACCGTGCACACGTTTCACCGTGGAAACGCGGGCTCCAAGTACTCCTACACAATCCATGCTGTCCGCGAAAGAGACGACGCCCCAACGACTAACGATCCCATACGAAGGCTTGAGACCGACGACTCCACAGTAAGAAGCTGGCAATCTCACGGAACCGCCAGTATCCGTGCCTAGGGCACTGTTCTTCAAAAATTTTCAGAAATGATCGCGTAGGTACTGACGGCCAACGTACGCATCACACAGCCCAGCTGCGACGGCAGCAGCGCTCCCTCCAGAACTACCTCCGGCCGAGCGGTGCTGCTGGCCATGTTCCGAGTCCTGGATAGCAAGGGGATTGACAACTGCGCCATGAATGGAGTGGATGTTGAGGGAACTGAGATGTTTGAGCGACTTTCAGGAGGCAATATGCTAGACGGCTTACCCCATGCCAAACTCGTCACAGTTGGTCTTCCCTACGATCTCTGCCCCGCTGTTCGATAGTAGAGAAACGACAGTTGCATCATACGGTGATGAGAAGTTCTCAAGCATCTTCGAGGAGCATGTCGTCGGCATCGACTTGGTACAGATGTTATCCTTCACAGCCAGTCGAAATCCCGTCAATGAACCCGGTCGTGTCGGAGGAATGGGAGAGTCAGTCGTCCCAGGTACAAGGGCGCGAATGGAAGAGCTGTGGTGTAACCGTCGAGATGCATGGCGACGCGAGGATATCCGTAGAACTGGACGAGAGGACATCGGAATGGACTGCCAGTGCAACCACGGTGCGATCGCTCAGCGGTGAGCGGAAGACACGGCCCGAGGGGGCGCGTTCTTTGTGCATGTTGTCCAAGAGCCCCGGATCCTAACACACGCAAACATCCGCCCCGCGTTTCCTCTTTCGGAAAATTTCTGGCCTTTTCCTCCCTCGATCATGTCTTCCCGCTCTGCATCCTCTGGCACACTCAAACCAAGCTTGAAGAAGAAAGCGAAGATAGTCCCGCAAATCCATTCCAATCCTTCAAAGCCCAAATTCCACATAGAAGCCGATGCTCCTGCCCTCAGCGCGAAAGCTAAGGGGAAAGCCCGGGCCGTAACTCCCCCGCCCAAAAAGCAGAAGAAAGCCAGCGTCCAGGTATCTGACCCGAGCTCTTCTCTGCCTACATCCTTCAAGGTTGTTTTCGGCTCCTACGAGAAACTACTCTACGGTCTCGAAGGCACTGTGTACTCGGAAGGGTTGAAGTACGCCTTCGATTTAAAACCCATCTTCATTTTCCCTGCACATGTATCGTGCATCAAGTCTGTCTCGGCTTCCCCAGAAGGAGGGAAATGGTTGGCGACTGGGAGTGACGACGAGATAATCAAAGTCTGGGATCTGCGGAGGCGGAAGGAGATCGGAGGGCTCATGCACCATCAAGGTGTGTACTTCCGGCTGCTACCATAAATACTATATTCGAATGGCGAGATCTTCACAGGGTCCATCACACACCTCGTCTTCCCTTCGCGTTCTTACCTCCTCTCTGCCTCCGAAGACGGCACGCTTTGCTTGTTCCGAGCACGGGACTGGGCCGTGCTGCGCGAGCTCAAGGGACATAAGGGTCGCGTCAATTCGGTCGCAGTACACAAGTCTTGCAAGGTTGCCCTTAGTGTAGGCAAGGACAGGACATTGCGTATGTGGGACCTCATGCGCGGCAAGGGTTCTGCAAGTATAAAATTGGGCAAAGGTATGTTCCGTTATCCCGTGAGCCTCTAGATCTCGAAACGGTGCCATAACCCCCACTCTTTCACGCATCCCCTTACGATTGGGACTTACGCTCACAATATCGCGCAGAGGGTGAACTAGTGCGGTGGTCTGTGGATGGCTCAATTTTTGGCGTACAAACTCAAAACACAATCGACATCTATAACACTGTACGCCGGGCTGTTCTTCGATGTTGTCTCGCCTCGATACTTATGTTTGCCACCTAGGACATGGAACTTCTTCACACCGTCACCCATCCATCCCGCATACAGGATATCCACTTTTGCAAGCGCATCATTGGCGAGGGCGACTTGCTGCTCGTCGGTGCTGAAGACAAGAAGCTGACGATATATACTGTTCCGGACGATCGTACGCAAATACCTGCGGTCATCGCAGAGATGGTTGGCCACAGCAATCGGTGGGTGTTCTTCGTAGACTACCCAAAAGAGGTACCAATGACCAAGTCTTCTAGCGTAAAAGCCGTCGACGCGATACGCATAAGCCTACCGGAAGGGTCGTCACGCGAGTCTACCACCGTTGTCTGCACGGTCTCTTCAGACGGGAAGGTCCGTCTGTACGACTTGGCTCTTGTCCCCGAAACCTCCGTGGAGACAATACAGCTCGACCCTCTGGCGGAGTACGACACGAAGGGCACTCGCTTGACGTGCGTCACCTTGGCGGATGGGGACCAGTCTCCCTCTGTTCAGGGGAAGCGGAAGCGCGGCAATGTCGAAGAGAGTGGCTCGGAAGACGAAGCTGAGATTGAACTAGAAGGCGAACAAATTGGAGCCGAAGCTCAAGAAGAGGAGGAGGGGATCGATGGTGGTGACTCCGAAGCGGAGTGATAGCGGCACGGTACGACATCGGGCACCTCTGACTCTATGTATTGCAGCAGATATCACATTACCCCCATTGCCTCAATACTATCGGCTGGTCTTCTGGACCATTCGCTGCTTCTTCCTTTCCCACCATATCCACTCGGTCTGACTTCTCTCGCGAATCGTTCTGTTCTCGTGCTCTAAGCCGGTCTCGCTGACTTGTCTAAATAACCGTCGTCCCATGCGTGGCGGCGAACGGGCGTCGCCCTCAACAGGAAGGCAGGTTTCAATAAGCCGCTGCATCAAGCTCTGCTTCGCTCGGTAATGTCATCTCTGCGCATGCACGCATATTGGGCATTTCTGACACGGGCCCAGCTCTTCCGGCCCGAAGTCGAGACGTTCTGTGACCGTGGGATGGGCGGGTGAGTTCACCTCGCAGTACATTATCTTGACTCGCCGCTGACTTCGCCGTCCTTCCCACCGTCTATCTCCCCATCTCCGCCCCACGCCCTGCACACCCACCTGCCCACTCAGTCCAACCCCGACGGAGTTCTGGCTTTTCTTTCCAGAGCTTTGCCCTGCTGTGAGTCATGGCAACTAGCCTTGTGACAGCAAGACACCCTGTTGACGACCCATTCATTAGCGAGATGTGGCTACTTGGTACAGCACGCGCAAATCTCGTTTCATTTTCTCGCCCCGAGGATGTAAAGGGGGGATATGCCATCCTTTCACACACCTGGCTCCGGCCTGAAGAAGGAGAAGAAGACACCTTCCAGAAGGTGCAAGCGCTCAACAGGGAGTGCCAACGACGTCGGGATGGGGACAACTCACTACCACAAACGGTCGAAGAGCTCCGGGACTTCATCGTCAAAGTGTCCACCACTAAACGAACACCCTCCGCAACGTCACGGCCTCTCCAGCCCCGGGCTGCCTTCAATCCCCGCGATCGACTGTTCTCCAAAGTCCGCCAATTCCTGATTCTCGCAGAGAAAGATGGCTACGATTACGCGTGGGTTGACACCTGCTGCATTGATAAAACCAGCAGTACGGAACTTACGGAAGCGATCAACTCCATGTTCCGCTACTACGCTCTCTCCACCGTTTGCTACGTCTACCTGGCCGATGTAGACGACTTCTCTGACGACTTCTCTCACGATCTTGCTTCATCCCGTTTGAGGAGATGCAGATGGATCACTCGTGGCTGGACGCTCCAAGAGCTTCTCGCCTCGCGGGCCCTTTTCTTCTTTTCGAAGACATGGACACCCTTCGGCAGCAAGTTCGGGCTCTCAGGAGCCCTCAAGGACGCGACTGGCATCCCTGCGGAAGTCCTGCGATTTGAAACGCCGTTCGCGGATATGAGCATCGCGGCGCGCATGTCCTGGGCGTCGAGTCGCGTCACCACGAGGATTGAAGATCGCGCTTATTGTTTGTTTGGCTTGTTCGGGATCAACATCCCGGTTCTTTACGGAGAAGGCGGGAACGCGTTCTATCGACTGCTTGAAGAGATTATGAAGATTTCTGGCGACCCTTCTTTATTCCTCTGTAGTGCTCGTCCTGTGCCAATACTTCAAATCGATGATCCACGCAACGGGTGGGATCAGGTCCACGTACATTCTGGCTCGGAATCCCTCTATCTCTTCCCACCAGACCCAGAGTGGTATTATCACTCAAGTACCGTGTCTTATGAAAAACCGATCACAGGACCAGCAGCCATGACGACGGTGTCACAGTGTTCGTCTCTTTTTACTGAAATTTATGTAGTGGCAGTACTGAAGCCTGTTGAGCAGTGACGGAACCCCAACTTCCACCAGAAACGCTCACAGCACATGGATCGACTGGGCTCGGACGACCCATATTTTCCACCACGCCGGACGGAGTGCTCCTCACTGCGCCCGTATTTCACATGACGAAAAATCAGACACCCTTACTCCTGGTCAACCTCTTCTGCAAAAGTCTCGCGCCATATTTTCCTCCTACCCTCGGTCCGCACTACCTTCTACTCCAGAAGCATTCCACATCGCTCACTCGGCAAGGACACCCTATGTATATACCTGCGACGCCTCGACGCGTCCATGCCAAGTTCCCCGTCCCTCACGACCAGTGGGTGATGGAGGAGATACACATTGTCTCGCGGCCCTGCTACTCCGGGGATCTTCGGCCAGCGACGCGTAACATGGAGCAGCTCAGAACCTTCTGCGAAACATTCGCCCCCAGCTTCCCTTTTCTCCTCGTCTTCCCCGACTTCGATGCTCTTCCCATTCTCCATTCCCTCAACATCGCAAGCAGCCACTTCCCGAAGCCTACCTTACCTTTCGACCCCCTCGTGCTCTACTTCGATCAGGAAGAGACGTATTTCGCCAAGCCAGGAACTTTTCAAATCGTGCTCGGTCGATGTCCGCGCCACCGTCTGCCTTCCGACGCTCCGCACTTCGCCGTCTTCCGATGGCGACCAAGGGAGACCGCGGCGCAGGTTCAAGAGAAATACGCTTCCGAACACTCGTGCGATGATGATCATATCCCTTTATCGGGGTCTTGGCCGAAGAAGCGTACCATACGATGCGAAGACGTAGATATTGAAGCTTTGTTCATACGGAGCCCCCTCCGCCTCGGGGACCGTACACTGAAGATGCGCCTCCACAGCGTCTGGACATCTAGATCGACCCCTACATGGGATCCAGACGAAGTGACCTTGGCCATGGCCCACATCGATCCATACTCCGAAATCCGCCACTTGATGCCTCCTACATGAAGTCCACGGCTCGTTTTCGTCCCCTCTGCCCGCCTCCTTCCGGCCTCCTCGACCCCTCTGCACGTTCGCGCGCCCGCACGACCAGATTCTTCGCCACCTCGGACTCGGGCTTCTCTACCCACATGCTGTCGTCGTCCATGTCGACGTCTGCGTCCGGCGGCGGCGGCGGGCGGCGGCTGCGGCGGGTCGACGGTGTGCTCCTCCTTCCGCTTCTTCTTCTTCTGCTCCCTATCCCTATCCTTGTCGCGATCCTTCGCCTTCCGGTCTCCAGTGGGTCCAAAGCTGGGGGCGCTGCCGTCGTCCTCGACTTCAAACGACATGAGCGCCGCCTTCGCCTTCTTCCTCTCCTTCCTCCTGCTCTTCTCCGAACCCTTCTCCTTCTCCTTCCGGCCCTCCCTCTCCGCGCGCGACACGAACGTCGGCCTAAACGTCGCAAGGTCAACGGGGCCGTCCGGCGCGGGCGCGGGTGTCGGGACCGCCTTCTTCTCCCCATCGACGTCCATCGGCGCGCCGTCGACGTCGTCCTCGACAGGAGCACCGTCGATGTTTTCGTCCTGGCCCGCGCCCTCACCCTTGCCCGCGCCCTCGTCGTCGCTGTCCTCGTCGTCGCTCGCGAAGATCGCCTTGAAGACGTCCATCGCCGGGCGCTCGTACGTGAGCGTGTCCCGGCCCTGCGTCTCGTCCTCCCCAAGCCCGACGTGCGCGAGGTCCCGGTGTCCGACGCCCGGTGCCGTCGCCCCGACGCTTTCCGCCTCCGAGGCTGCGATCATCGCGACGGACTGGGCCGAGGTGGACGCAGACGGCGTGTCCGGAGCCCCGACGTCGGCGCCCCCCTCCTGCGCGCCCTGCGCGCCGTCGTCCACCTCCGGCTCCTTCACCCCGAACCGCTTGCACAGGAGCTTCGCCGGCCGCCACGGCTTCGCCTCGCGCGTCAGCGGGCCGAACATCCCCAGCCGCACCGCGCCCATCTTCGGGTCCTCCACCTCCTTCTCCTTCTCCCTCTCCCCGTCCTCGCCCGCGTCCTCCGCGTATCCCGTCGGCTGGTGCAGCCCCTCGACGACCCTCGGCCCGTTCTCGACGACGACCGCGGTCCGGAACCGATCTGCCATCGCGCCCGAGAGCGGCTTGAAGACCGTCGCGGCCTTCGCATAGTCGTCGAGCTCCTTGTTGAACTCGCCTACCGTCTGCCCCGGGAGCGGCCCGAACCCGAGCGCGTCCGCGCCCGCGTGCTCGCGCGCGGCGTCCGCGCGGAAGGCGAGGAACGCGCTGTAGCGCGCGTGCTTGGTCGCGTCGCCCGCGAACGGCTGGAAGCCCGACAGCGCCGCCTTCGCCGCCGACGGGTGCAGCGGCGGGACGTGGACGACCCCGGGAGCGCGCAGTGGAGGGCCGGGGGGCGGGGAGGTGGTGGGATGCTCGTGCGGGGCAGCGGCGGCGGTGTCGGAGTCGGGTCGGGCGCGGAAGGATTGGAGGCGTTCACGGTCCTTCTGGGAGAGGAAGTCGAACACGGAGCGCGTCTTAGCGGGGAGCGGCGTCTCGCCGAGGAGGGCGCCGCGCTGGGGTCCGGAGGTCAGACGAGAATAACCACGGCGATGCCCGACACTGACCTGGTCGGCGGAGAGCTGGTTCGCCTTCCACTGCGCGTGCGGCTGCGCGGGAGACGGTATGGGAGGCGGCACGGGAGGGGAAGCCACAACATTTTCCTTGTCCTCGCCCTTGTCCCAGACGAGCTTCGGATTGGGCTGCCAGCCTGGGGGCGCGTCGGGTAGTGGGAACCTGAGATGAAGTGAATTAGCATACATAGACCGCGAATGGCGATACGGAACGTACAATCGATCTTCTGCCACTGGCTTGTCAGACAACACGAACCCTTTGAGCACTGGGGTGCCGTCATTGAAATTCTGGGTTATGCCAGGTGGCGCCCTCTATTCCATCCTCGTCAGCGTGAGGGCCGACAAATGATAACGACGGGGTAATTCACAGGCTGCTGAGCCGCAGCCCTCCTTGCACTGCTCGACCCGATGCTGATGTGCTGGTCGTCTTCACCTAGCGTGGAATCAAACGCCACAGTCCTCCGCGACGCCAGGCCCGCAGCGGAATCGTACACGTCCACATCGTCGTCCTCCGCGTCGTTCAGCGCCCCCAGCCCGAACCCCGCTGCCCGGCAACCATGAGCACTCCCGCACTCCCACACGCGGCCGGATCTTGAGACGCACGCACCAGATATCCTCGGACCACCCGGACCAGCATCTGGACCCCCGCCGCTCCCGGAGACGCTCTCGACGAGACCCATGCCTGGGCTGTACCCGAGCCCGTGGAAGTTGTCCTTCCGGCGGGCAGCGAGGACGGGGGCGTCGCGGCGGGGGTACATGTGCTTCTTCGCCTCCTCGACGTCGTCCTCCGCCTCGGCGCCGGTGACCTCCTTCGTCGGGTCGAGGAAGCCGGCGTCCTGCGCCTTGCGCTGCGCGTGCGTGAGGCGGGGGCCGACGCCGTGGCCCGGGCGCCAGCCCATCTTCTTGAGGATGCGCGCGCCGACGGAGTCCTTGGGCGCGGGCGCGAGCGACGCGGCGAGAGCGGCTGCGATGGGGCTGTAGGGGCAGGTGGTGTCAGCATGGACTGTCCTCTTTCTTTCCCTTAACACGGGACGACACGGGGCGAAACACGACGAATGCGTCACTTTGGTGCAGAGACATGTGACCGGAACACGTTCCTTGTCCTGGACATGCTTCAGCGACACCAGACTCGGCACAGACAAACAAGTACAGGTGTCGATTGGTGTATGCGCCATGATACGTCAAACGCAGATGAAAAGCGACCATCCGTTTGCTCAAGGCCGGTCCAAGACCGGTCTGCATTCCACCAGCCTTCCTTTTGCCCGTGGTGTGACCGTACCATGACCAGTCATGACCCAGGGAACCTGGCCTGGTCATGTTCTGGATACGGTACACCACCGCAACTTGCCAATCGTAGAGCGCACGAGAAAGGAGAAGAAAATACACACTCACTCCTGTTCCGCGCCCGCGCCCCGTTTCGCCATCTCCGCCGCGGTCCCCCCGAGGTCCATCTCCTCCGTCTCGTCGACGAGCTTCTGGCCCTCGCGCACCTCCGCGAGGTCCTCCTCGTCCATGAAGTCCTCCGGGCGAACCGCGCGCGCCTTGGCGCGGTCCCCGCGGGAGGACACGAACGCCGCCGGCGTCCAGCCCTCCTTGGAGCCGACGGTGTTGAAGTACCCGGCGGAGAACCCGCCGGTGAAGGCGCCGTGCAGGCGGCGGCGGCCCTTCTCGTCGCGGACCTGAGGCGAGCGCGTGAGGGGCTGGGGGTGGGGGTGGGGGTGGGGGCGACGGGGGCGGGCGTACCTCTTGCTTCCATAGCGGCACGAACTCGCCGGTGTCCTTCGACTTTTCGAGGGGAGGGAGAGGGGTGCCGATCTGCAGGAGTGTGGGACGAGGTTAGAGGCGTGGAGAGGGTGTGAGGGTGGACGTACGAGACAGAAGGACTCGTTGGCTTTGGAGCTCCCGGTGTCGACACCGAGGTCATTGAGCTTGCGCTTGAGGCGGCTCGTCATGACATGCTAAAGTAGGTTTTTCAGCCGAGGAAGATGTGTCAATAGTCGATAGTGAGCGCAGCAGAGAGAAAATGCGGTTAGAGTGGAAGGTTAGGTCGGCGGGTACAAAGTAGGAGGAAGAGTTACAGCCGCCAGAAAGGCACGCATTGTAGTCCTAAACTTCCCATTAGATCAGGATGTTTACCGTCTATAATTGCTTATCAATGTAATCATAAACTGCTTATCATAACTAGAAACGGCGCCTCTCGCGCCTCTCCACGCCGCCCCGGCCGCGCCGCGCACACGGCATCGCCGTCACGATCGAGCGCACGACGACGACGGACAATTTGGAGGCGCACATCAGCCTCGACTGCGTTCCAGGTGAGCGTTCGTCGCGCGCGCGCGAGAGTGTGTATGAGAGAGAGAGAGGAAGGGGACGCTGACGCGGACTCTACGCAGACTCTCCGTGGAGCGCGACTCGGACGAAGGGCGGAGAGAGCGACGTCGGTGCGTCTCCGAGCTCACCCGCGTGGCACGAGCGCGAGCGGATGGGGTTCGGGGTGTAGGAAGTTGTGGGGTTTTGTATCAGGAAGGACTTGTACTACATAGATGTATGAATTGGGTTTCCTCGGTCGGTGGTGCGCGTCGAAATGGCACGTCCGCGCGTCTGGAGGTCGCAGATTGAGCGGTAGTCTTTGAGGCGGTGTACGCCTTCGGCGTGCTGCTTGGAGACTGGACAGGCAGAGGGCGCCAGACAGCGCGCGTACGGAGTCGGAGCACTTACGAGTCTGAGATCTTCACCTTCCTGCTCGTTTCTGCCGCGGGGAAGAGGCGAAGATGTCGTTGGAGTGAAAAGAGCGAAACGCTCAAAGCCCGGCTTTTCGAGGTCTTGGCATTGTGGACGAGGGAAAATCGCACGAACTTCCTGTGGCCGACCGCGGCTCGGGCGGTACTAGTAATAGTCCTTGCACAACATGTACGAGCATGTACGCGGTCTCGACGCGGCAAAGCGCGGAAGACTCGGCCCACTCTCGCATTTCGCCAACGCGAAGACGCGGATGGCGGTATCACGCCCCACATCTTTCGTCTGCGCCTTGGTCGCTGCCCGCGCCCGTCCCACACCCCGATCCACTCGTCGAGCGAGAGTGGGAGGTGCGGCGCCCCGTCACGCGCGCGTACGTCGCCGCGAGCTCCACCCAGCCGAAGCGCGCGGACGCGACCTCGAGGTCGCGCCGCGAGCGGTGGCCGAAAGCGTAGCCGCGAAGAAGCCGAGGTCTTGGAGCGCGACCATGGGCGCGGCGAACACGGCCGTGCCGTCCGGGCGCTGGCCGAGCGGGCCACACATCCACTGCGGGGAGTTGGTTTCAACGCGGGGCTGTGATGTGTAGGGAAGGACTCACGAAGAGGAGCATCTCCATGTACGGCCCCGGTGGTTTGGTCTGCAAGGTGGATCGACTGGGATTTCGAAGCTCGCGCGCGGGAGAGCGCGAGTGCTGGATGCGCTTGAAGGACCAGCGGTGGACGAGGGCATGCTTGGATGAACGGGACGTGGTGGCCGTCGCTTCGAATCGTGTCGCATCCACGTGTGCCTCGTGGAAGACCGTGGCGTGGCGCTTGTGGGCTCGCCCTTGTGCACGCAACGCCGAGGACGGTGCGCAGCCCGCGGGCGACACAGCCGTGTCGAGGAGTTTGGCGTCCGGGTCAACCAGGGCGACTGGCGAGATCGAGGCACGGAGGAGACGTTCGCGAAGGTCGGGCACGAACTCGCTCACGTTCCGTCGAGAGGAGGGAGGGGGCGCGTTCCGCCAGTGAGCGAGACCGACGCGCGCACACCTTGGGCTGGATGAGAGGGTCTCCGTCGTCTGCGGGCCTCCGCTTTCCGTCACATTCGTGCCGTACGACGTTGAGTCGGGTGTGTGCGGAGAGGGGCGGGTTGTCTTCAGCGAACTGGAGACCCGAATATAGTGTGGAGACGACTGGCATGATGGCGAGATTCGGGCAAGGTAGTTGAGCGGTGGCATACTGAATCCCGGGTGCTTTGACACGTGTCTGAGTGGCGTCGCGGGGAAAATGGGCTACGGTGGGGAAGAAAACACGACGCCTGGTTACTTGCGTAGCCTTGCAGCCGGAGTAGGGCCATGTACCGATCCAGGGGCTCCATCCGGAGTTGACGATTCCGGGCATATTGTATGAGCTTGCTGGACGCGGACACGGCCTTGACTTCATGAGACTGCATGATGTGTTCGAGCGCGAAGAGGGAGGTCAATCTAGTGGTGGTCTAAGTTGACGTCGATCACCACGGTGCGCACAAGGGGAAGGAAGAGAGAAGGACGCACTGTGGTTGGAGACGATGATTCCGTCGATGCCTCGTTGATCACGATCTCCGCGCTCTGTGCGAGGAGTGATACATTGGCGCGATACGTAAGGGTAGGAAGACGCACCTCGAGACTCAGGATCGCTTTGATCATCGACGACATGACCCATCATCCGCCCGACTCGACGAGCTTGCCACCTCATACGGGGCGCGGGTATCTTGCTCTCGTAAATATGCGGTGCAGCCCCGGCTCGATCCATGAATATGGGTCCGAGAGCGCCATCCGGATGTCAAGGCCACGGGCGAAGAGGAGAAACCCAGTCGATGTTCAGGTGGCGCCAGTCGATGTAAGGTGGCGCCAGTCGATGATCATGATGTCGACGGCAACGACAAACGCAGCTCTGCGTACAGGGGAGAAGAGGGCAATGTGTCTTTATTGAGCTGCCTGCAGTCATGCGAGATGGGTATATGCGCACTTCGACGTACAGTCGTTCGCCTCTGCGACTTGCTCGAGCGAGCGTGAGATGGCGCTGCCGCGGATGGGAGGAATGTTGAGTGCACCCGCGGCGCGTGCGGCCGCGCACTCGGCGTCGGCGTGCCCGACGCCTTGGTATCCTATTGGGGCGACGAGGAGAGGCGTGGAGGAGGTGACGCCAAAGAGTGTCGGGGGTTCGGGTTGAGAAAGGAAATAGCACGAGAATCGAGGAAGGAAAAGACACACACCAAGATCGCGATGGGCGATCTGGAGCGTGTGCGGGGGACAATAGGCGGCAATTGAGCCAATGTAGATGGATCGAGGATGAAGAAACACACCTTGATAGTCCTCCAACATCTCCTTTGCGGCCTCCTCGGGCTTAGAATCGTTGTCCCGTGTCAGCGAGGGAAGGGGAGGCACCACGAGATGGCTATGATGTTGATGGTACCGACAAGCCAGAGCACTTGTCGCGGGAGATGAGGTCGAGTGTTGTGCTCTGCGTCCGTACATGTGAAGTGAGTGTATGCGCGCATGAGGTGATGAAATGACAGTCCAGCGTACAAGGGTGTGCTACACATAGATCTGGCGATTGGATTTGCGGTGTGCGTAGGCCATAGGATTGCGATCCGCGAGCTGCTTTTTCTATCTGAACGCCGGAACCAGGATGAACGTCCCGCGCAAACGGACGAGATAGTAGTGCGCACCAGGAAGAGTCACGCCATGCCGTTCCAGGTTCATCGGATTGCGCTCGAAAGCAAGCATGTTCAAGGCAGCGGACATCGTTTGAGGCCCCGAACGCGACCTTCGTCACCCGATGAGCAGAGATCACCAGTAAGTCTGCTAGTGCTACCATCAGTCTGGGAGCTGCGTCAGAGGTTGGAGGACGATGGATGGAGTGGGCTACATACAACCGAGAGCCTTCTGCTCTAGACGCCACGCTTGAAGACGGCACCCACGCTCATACTAGGGACCTACGCTGAGAATGAAACGAGCTGATATCTTCCGACTGAGAACTCGCAAAAACAGGGGCTCACGCACCAATGGCGTCTGCCCGCTAAGTACCGTTGATGTATAGCGAGATCTTCCAGAAAGAGAGAACGAAAGAAGGCCCACGCGGGGTGAGCCAGCGAAGATCGCAAGAAGCCTCAAGAAGCAAATAGAAAGGGTACGGCATGACGAACGAGAAGATGTTCATCGGGAAACGCGTACATTGCGAGAAAATGGGTGCTACACGTGTAACACATACCGGCAGCGGGTGTCCTCCCACTGCACCAAACTCCCGCTCCATGTTTCCCAGCGGAAGACGTCCTTTTGAGCAGTCTACGTTTATGGGAGAGAGCGGTAGGCGGGGAACGAAACGCCGTGGCGGGCGGGTGGAGGAGCGCGACCTGATGAGGCGTTCCGGCGGAGTGAGTGCCGGAATCGGTTGATGACGAGGGGGGGTGTTAACTACGGCCTTGAAGGAAAGTGGGAGATAGGCCTAGGAGAGGAGCTGAAGAACACGAAGGACGTCGAGAGGCGGTGGTGGTGGTGGTGGTGGTGGTGGTCACGACGGGCAACGGCCCAGCTTCGGAGCCCGAAAACGCGTAGAAAAAGTCTGTCAAAGGTGTCATTTTCGGCAGGTATTTTTCCAGGGGAGAAAAAGGGTGGGAAAGGCGAACTTTTATGTCAAGTTTGCGTGTGTCGTAGAGTATCCTGAAAGGTGACGTTTTGGGTGAATGTTTTGGCACGACAGAATACTGTGCTCAGAACAAAGACAATAGAATTCATTGTAAAGGCAATAGAACGTGTATAGTATGTGAGTAACAAACAAGTGAGTACGAATGATAAGTAACGCGCGTTATTGGAATGGGTACCAAAGGTCTCTTTATCGATCGTTTTCGGCACCCCGTAAATCACACGGAGAAATTGCCCATTTTAGTGCCTTTTTCACACGTGCACAAAAGGCTGCAGAAAAGACACCTTTGACAGGCTTTTTCTACGCCTTTTCGGGCTCCGAAGCTGGGCCGTTGCCCGTCGTGGGTGGTGGTGGTGTTGGTGGGAGAACAAGACGCGCCGGAGTCCCGCGTCTCGGTGTAGCTGATGGCTGTGCGAAGTTTTTGACGCAAACCCTCGCGCTCGTGCAGCTTACAATCTCCCTATGTCCTGTACACGACTTTTACAGCAAGAAATGGATGTACAGGAGGCGAGGGAACGCTAGTGGTGAGTTTCGAGGCCACAAAACACTTCTGCGCTAACTGCTTGTCTTGTCTGCGGTTGCATGGACAGCGCAGTCGTTGCAGTCTCAAAGTGCATGTACGCGCCTGCACTTGCTCAAACCGCGAAGAGGATGCTTTCGATGCGAAAGGCGGACTGCCTATATACAGCACTAGAGGCCAAGGAAGCACTCGTGTGTGCTATTTGGGTTGTAAGTCAATACGCTACACATCACAGGACTTGGCTCGTATTGACATCCATACCTCCGTATAACGGGCCTATCCACTGATACGCACGCGCTGTAGCCGTACGGCGCAGGCGCACGAACACGCCTGCACGATCATTCCCGCGTTCGTCCTCGTCTTTGTGCATCTCGTCTATTCCGCTTCGCGTACCGTTCGCTATCCGCCCGCGGATGCCACAGGATAAACGCGTCAGTACAGCGGATAGAACAGTCAGAACACGCACCGCGGCGCCTTCCGTGTGCTCTCACGGTCTACACCGCGCGTACGCGATCACCACCGCCCACGGCGCAACGTTCTCTCCCTCTCGCGATGGCACTCGTGGACATTCTCTTATCGCTTCATGATCATTTTCTTTATACCACACGTTCACACATCTCTTCGTTTCCTCTTCATTTCTTTGTCTTGGTCCCCCTCCGTCCATCTCCACACACACACTCGCCTCTTCTGCAGTGTCTCCTGTGTCGAGGATTCACATTTTTCTTCAGATCTGTACGTTCTTGTTTACTGTCTTCGGTACAGTCTCTTCTCTTAGATACGTCCTCGCGCCACGAGCCGTATGTATTCAGGTTCATAGTTCACTTCCCGGCTGTTCTCGCGTGTGTGGTGTGTTCGTCCACAGTCTCCTCGACTTCTTCTCGCCACACCTCGACTTCGCATACGCCAACGCCAATGCCCACTCCCTCGCATCCCTTATCATATCGCCAGCGCCCCGCGCCCGTGTGCGCGAGCTCGTCTTCCTCGTGTCTGTTCCACCGTCCTTGTCCACTTCGCGCGCCACGCGAATTTACCTGCTCCACCTCTCTTCGCGTTTCCCCTCCACGCGACACGTCGTGTCTTGCTTCTTTTTTCACCTCACTCGATTTCCCGAGCTTCGCGGTGACTCTATCTCGCCCTCTCACCCTCACCCCTGTCGACACCCCGGAGTTGGCGTCACATTAGCGTGTAACAGCATCGTCACGACCGTTCCATGCACGATGCTACTGTCGGTTGACTCTCTAAAACATGAACGAATGGTGCGCAGTTATATTCTCAATAAGTCGTGCTTATACTCTACATCCCGTCCCACCAAACCTGACGCTATACAGCAATCATATAATCGACCCTCACTTGCAGCGTTTTTCTACCAAATGGACTAGGGGAGAACGATAACACGACTTCCCGAAGCGCACCCCGCACTCGGCGCTGCACTGGCCATGGTTCGTCCATGTCGATGTGATCCGTTTCGCACGAATGCGCATCCTCGGAGGCGGAGGTTTCTTCATCAGCCCGGGAGAAACGAAGGACGCAGAAGTGTTGTCGGCGCGGTACGTCTGGACCTGGCGTATTCGTCGCAGTTTGATACGACAGCGAGGTTAGCCTAGATGAGCGCAGGTGGTTGTCGATGGGGGACTCGCCGTGAGAGCATGTCCCAAGAACGACAGTCAACGTTAACTGATACGGGGTTGCATTGAAACAAAGGGAGACGTTTTCGGCGGAAGAAGGCGACGGCAGGGTGCTTGCTTCGCCGTCGAAGATGAACATGCTATAACTGAGCTGGAGGAAGTCGCGAAAGGCAAGGTGAAAGGGGGAGCTGGTGGTGGTGGTTTCGCAGAAGCGTTTAAGCAACTCCATCCCTGCGGTTTTGCGCTCGGAGAGGTCACCGGTGTACGGCGGGAGGGCTACAACGTGCAGGTCTTTCATCGTCCAGCCATGTGAGGCGATGGCCGTGCTTGGTCTCCTCATACGCACAACAGGTATCTCCGTGGGCTGATAGAGCAGAGCAGCGCCATCGTTGGACCTCTTGTTGTCCACCCTTTGAAGCAAGAGGAAGAGGGGTTCGGGATCTCTGCAGAATAAATCGACGAGGATGAATCTATTTGTATCATCCAGAGGCCGAACGGCCGCGCGGAGCTCGATCCCATCTGGTGAAATGGAGAACGTGGGAGCACGGAGTTTTGCGGTCGTCCTTGCAAACCAGTGGCGCTCAAATGGTCGTCAATGTAGCACAGCGTAGAATGATATCCATACCAGCGTACCTCATTATGTCCTTTCTGAGATCGTGCACTTGGGTCGTAGAACACAGAACTTCGAAGGTCGCGCGAAGGCTGAAGGGGGAGAAGATGACAACGGGTTTGGCTTCTGGGATTTCGCTGGAGGTGAAATTTGAGGTCATCCAAGTCGTCCACATCCACTCGTTCTCCCAAGAGAAAAATTGAAGGATCCCGCGAGGTCTTCGAGATCTCCATAAGGAGCCGGCAGAATGCGTGCCGCCCTTCGCCGTACAGCGTCGGCATGTTGACCCCGAAAAGCCCGAAGAGGCTGTAGGCCGCGTCTTCCGGCCTCGTGGTAAACCGACGCGCTGCCCAGGATATGCGCGTCGCAATGGTCTCGTCGGTAAACGGGCTCTCGAAGCGGAGGACCGCCGCAGAGATCTCGGTTGCTTCTTCTAGGCGATCGGCGAGCTCGTACTTGGTGCCCAGACATATCCACTCTTTGGAATAGAACACGAGGATGCGGGACGCGATCAGCTCCTGGAGAGTCCAGCCCCGCTCGTGCCAGCGACTGGTTTCGAAGGCGTCCCACATGCCGTCTAAATCAGTGTCTGAGTATCTGACGTCACTGAGGTAGACGTAGCAGACGTCGGAGAGGGCGTAGTAGCGGAACATGGAATTGATGCCTTCCGAGAGCTCGGAACTGCTGTCCTTGTTGATACAGCACGTGTCGACCCAAGCGTACTCATGCCCGTGCTGTTCGGCGAGCTTAAGGAATGATCGAACTTTCGGAGTGAGGCGATCGCGTGGGTTGAACCATGGTGGTGAGGACTGGTGTGGCTCAGCACGTCCTGGGACGGGTGCAGGAGGAGGGGGGAACGATATCGCGGGGACACGTGGATGTGAATGGGTTGAGCGGCCTTGGGTCTCGTATGTCAGTGTCGAGGAGGGAAGACGAGCTTTTATTACACTGACCGCCAGGCTCGAATTCAGTACCGGATGCTCGCCCGTCTCCGCGATTCCCTTCGGCGCGATCGAGGACGATGGGAGAGGACTCGGTATGGTGAGGAGGGGGTAAGCGCAATGGCAACCCGAGAGTCTGCATGATCCGGGATTCCACCCGGTGGAGAGCATCTTCGCGAGCCGCAGATTCCAGAAGGGGCTGTTGGATTCTTCGTTCAGCTTTTGAACCTTTTGAAACGTTTCTTCTTCTTCTCCCCAGGTGTGCGACAGGATAGCATAGCCGAGTCCAGGAACATCTTCGGGTTGGGGAAAGAAGACGAGGTTTGCGCGCGCGGTGCCCAGGAGCCACATCGCTTCGATCACGAATATTAGCACGGGCGTGTCGCGCAAGGGTAAGCACTAATACCGAGTGCGAGTTGAGGTGTACGAGGAGTACAGACACTTGGGGGAGCATGAGCAAATGCGATACACATCATCGGAAGAGCGCACGTACGATGAGGGTATCCGCGACAGTGGGTCGGTTTTGCGGTGGTCACCCTGATATCACACAGAGCGTCGATGGCTGGGAGGAGACGCACAGTAGAGGGGGGAGACGTCGGATGGGTTGAAGGCGAGGCGGAAGGGGCCAAGTTGCTGCGAGGGCGACCCCAGCCTCATACGCCCACCGCACGGTCCACCATGCAGAACACGCACGTGATAGCGTTGGAGCGCCTCCGATGCTTCTCCTGAGAAACGAATGCGGATAGAGAGAGAGAGAGAGAGGGCAGTTCAATCACCTCCTCTACCGGAGGTGATCCCGGAACGCTACTTAGATAAGCACGGCAGCACGCCGACTCCCGCGCTGTCCTGTAGACGCCCCGTCGTCCGACGAGTGGCCGCACGAGCACATGTCTAATATAGTATATACGAAAGTCACGAAACTATTGAAGCAGTGATCAGCCACCGCATATATGGAAAGTATGAATCAGAAGGCCTGCCATCAATGTCATAGCAGCCTTGTCTCCGATCCACGCCGCCAGCCTGCCAATGTCCCGTGACGTCATGCGCACGAGTCACCACTTCTAGGGGTGCTCATGTCGCGAGTCACCAATCATAGGGGTGCAGGGGAATAGGAATAGGAGCACCTACACACCAGACAAGATGGGGGCAGAGGACGGGAGGGAGAGAAAGTGAGTGAGAAGTAGGAAGGCTCTGAAGGAGCAGGACAATAGTGGAGACATCGGCGCTGAAGCGTAGGGAAACGACACGAAGGACCATAGAGTATGACAACTCGCGAAGACGAAGTCGGCGCTGATGCTCAGGGAAACAGCACGACGGCGATAATCGCGTAGGGATAGGATGAAGCTCACTCGTGGAGCTGCCGATACAGAGTCTTGAGAGCGTCCGGGACAGTTGCGTAGAAATCGGCGCTGATGCGCAAGGGAATCGGCGCTGATGCGCGGGGGAATCGGCGCTGTTGCGCGGGGGAACGGCGAGGAGAGAACAACATATAGTGCGTACCGGGCGCGCGACGGGGTCTGCGATGGTAGAGGGGATAGAGCGTGGGCCGGCTTCGCGCTCCCAGGGCGAGATGACGTCCTTCCCTGCCACGGTGGATCACTCAGTGCCGCTCAGCGCCAGGCTAAGGCCCCTCCCAGTTGCAAGTCATTTCCTTGTCTACAATGCCCGTCCACCCGCCCACTCCACCCAAACTATTCTACTTGTATCACGAGTACCAAAGGTGAGCGTTCCTGTAGCTCCGGACCACAAGCAGCCCCTCGCTCTTGAAACCCTCCGACGCCACCACAAGTACGACTGTGACTCACCCCTGCTCCTGGAACACTGATACCATGGCATGTTCACACAGGCTCGCGTCATTCACATGCCCACACAGCGCGCCGTGCAAGTTACAGGCTAGTCCATCAATTCCTGAGTACTCACAAGGCGGTGAGACGTTCTCATACCACACGCCACCTCCGCATCCTTCAGGCACTCGCCTATCTTTGTATATCTGCTCGCTTTTGTGGGTTTCCATCATCTCAGACCACATTACCTCAACGGACCGCTCAATCTTCTCAGCTGTCTATCTGCAGTGCCACTCCAGGACCTTCATCAATCATTGCTCACTCCTGTCATTGTGGATGCAGCCGGACGCTCCCACACATCCTTCGCCCTCAATCATTCTGCGGTTCGTATGGACGCCAGCGGCACTGGTGTGCGGACCAGGCGCGGCTCTTGCATAGGGACCACCCGTGACTGGTCCCACTCCATGGCCCTATGGTCGTCCTTTAAACCTTGAATCGCAAAGTCTTCCAGGCACACCGTCGATAGTCGTTGAACGTTGAGGACTTGTCCCCTCCGAGTCCAAGGGCGAACGCGCCCAAACAAAGTTCACGGACAAACGCCCTCTGGACGGGAGCTATGGCCGAAAGGGAGGGGCGCAGCCAGGGTGGGAGGTTGAGAGCAATAGACCGGAGGCACTCCCGAACCCCATCGGACCATACGGTGAGCATCTTGGCATCGTGTACTTTCTTGCGCGCGGCCTTCCCGGCCTCGCGCAATACACTGTCGTCCTTTTTCAGAGCTCGCCGCGGAGGAGCTCCGAGAAGCACCTGGGCCGTGACAGGCCTGCATGCTCATGCTCTTCTGGCCCCCACCCTCCACCTCCTTCGCCAGGGTACGCTCTCACTCGGCGACGGTCGACGGCCTGCAGGCTTCCGCACCTGCTGAGACTCGCTCGTTGTGCGACGTCGGTGATCCAACACGACGCGACGCGGACGATTACGGTAGGGATCAGCCCATCCATCACTGAATCGCTCGGGTTGTCGCGCGACCCACAAATGCCATCTCTCGCGCGCGACGGTGCTCACTTGGCCTGATGCGTCGCGCTGTGGGGAACGAGCTCGTCAACGACGTCGCGCGAACCGCGCCCCTTTCGTCTCCTCGAGCTCCCCGAAGAATGCTCCCCCGTATCGCACCCCGAATCCCCCCGGTCCCGTGTGCCGAGTCTCCCGCGGCAGGAGCTCAGCTCGCTGCGCAGCGCTGTGTCGAAGCAAGGCCGAGCGGCACGGGGACGGGAAGTGCAGCCGTTTGGAGCTGGAGCACCTCTGGTCCGTGCCTGGGGTTATCTGGGGCGTGCTCCGGGTCCCTGTGCCTCCTTCTTTCTTCCTATCCTTCGACCCCGGCTCGCTCCTTCCCCCTCCTTTCACACCGGCAGACACGCTGGAAAAGTTCGCTGGAGCGGACCCACCGCCGCCAATCTCTGCGCCCCTGTTCAGATGGATCGCTCTGCCTCCGCGGTGGCCAGGGCCCGGGACGCGGTTCATGTGTGATCCCGCAGGATGCCGCACGCGACACGAATCCGCTCGTGCGCTTCGGACGCGACAGTTTTCATGCGTTCGAGTCTCGCCGGCCGCCGCGCCTGAGTCCGAGCTTGGAAGTCGGAGCACTGACGGGGGGACTCTGGAGAGCCGGGCCTCGCTCCGACGAACGTTGGAAGAAAGTGCTCCAGCCCGGCGTTTCCAGCAGCCGGGATTGCGGGATTACGGCTCTGGTGCGCGGTGGTTGTGGCGGGCAGCTTTTCCGGCCAAGAGCCCGGGACGCGTTCCTGAGCCTAGGGTCGCGAGCCTGGGACGGCAAAAGGTGATAGCGCCCATCGGTGCGGATCAGCGCAGGCGATGGACGAGCGAAAGTCGCTGATTCCTGATCTACGCCTGAGCACAAGCGGGCAGGGGGGTGGAGGCGGCGTGTTGACGACGGCCTGTACATGGTGGAGGTGCGCTGCTGGTGGTGTCTCCCTCCACCTCAAACGCGAGCAAGGTCGTGCGGGACCGCGCCTCGCCAGTTGTGGCGGAAACGGGGGCCGCGGAGATGTTCGCGAGGGCGGAGAAAGTGTTGAGAAGATTGGATGGAGCAAAATGCCTCGCTAGACTCCCCTGTGGTCGTGTGCGCGAGGGAGGTTGCACAAGACGAGTGCAAGGACGAGAGGGGGACTGCGATGAGGGTGGCAGAGCGCGCGATATCGGCGCTCGCACTGCTGGCCTGCGCGACCAGCCCGGGGTCGCCGCCCGACGCCTCCTTCGAGGTTGACGGCGCGAGGTGCAACGCGGGGAGGCGTCTGGGGCGGCCAAGGACGCAGCGACGCGGGACAGGCCAAGGGCCATCAGGAAATCAGGCGTTATCGTGCGGAGCACAGGGCGCACGCGCGAGGCTTATCGCCTGGCGCGACAGGCGGACGACCAACGGGGGATGATGGACCGGTGTGGGTGATGGTTTATATACACCCGCCCCGCCCACGCTCTCCGTCGAGCTTCTCTCCTCCACGCACCAGAGCCGAGCCCCGCTCGCTCCTTCACCCGTGCGCCCTCCCCCGCCGCCGCGCCCTCCGCCGCGCCCGCGCCCGCTCTCCCCATGGCCTCCTTCGACGACAAGCCCGACCAGACCTCCTCCCTCGAGAAGGGCCCCGTCCACGACTATGTCGTCACCCAGACCGACGAGCGCTACCACTTCGACGCCGCCGACCTCGACCGCGTCCAGCGCAAGCTCAAGCAGCGCCATGTCCAGATGATTGCCGTCAGTGTCCTCCGTTTTCCCCGCACTGTCCCCCACCCCCGCCCACGCTCCTCCTCGACGCGCCCAGTGCTCTCGATCGTCCAGTGTACTCACCCCTCTCCGCTGCACAGATCGCGGGCACCCTCGGTACTGGTCTCTTCCTTGGTTCTGGCGGTGCGCTCGCGAACGCCGGTCCTGCCGGCGCGCTCATCGTCTACGCGTTCATCGGCACCGTCGTCTACTCGTCCCTCTGCGCCGTTGGCGAGATGACGTCGCACGCGCCCATCTCCGGCTCCTTCCCCCACTTCGCCTCGCGTTGGGTAGACCCCGCATTCGGTTTTGCCGTCGGCTGGAATTACTTCTACACCAACGCCATCTCCGTCCCGGTCGAAATCTCCGCCGCAGGCCTCATCCTCACCTTCTGGGACTCGGACACCAACCACCAAGCGGGCTACACCGCCGCGATTTGCGTTCTGACCTGCCTCATCAACATCTTCGGTGTCCGGTGGTTCGGCGAGTCCGAGTTCGTGTTCTCGATCATCAAGAGTGAGTGCGATCATTCGCTCCCCCATTCCTCAAAGCTCACTCCATCCTTCTCCCCCAGTCATGCTCATCACCATCCTCATCATCACCGGTCTTGTCATCGATCTCGGAGGTGCCCCCAAGCACGACCGTATTGGTTTCCGCTACTGGAAGACCCCCGGTTCTTTCGCTGGTGTCGGCCTCGAGCCCAAACACATCGGTCTTGACCGCTTCCTCGGCATGCTCAAGGTCGTCGTCCAGGCTGCCTTTTCCTTCCAGGGTATGGAGCTTGTTGCCATGTAAGCCCCCCCATGCCCACTCCTGCCGTCCCCTCGCTCTGACCTATGCATCCCTTAGCGCCGCCTCTGAGACCCAGAGCCCGCGTCGCAACATCGCGAAGGCCGTCCGCCGTGTGTTCTGGCGTATCTTGGTCTTCTACCTCCTCGGTGTTTTCGTCACCGGCTTGATCGTCCCCTACGACGACCCGAACCTGCTCCAGAGCACCGGTAACGCCGCGCAATCGCCGTACGTCATCGCGATGAACCTCGCCGGCATCAAGATCCTCCCCCACATCGTCAACGCGATGGTCTTCACCTCCGCGTTCTCCGCCGGCAACTCCTTCCTCTTCTGCTCCTCGCGTGTCCTCTACGGTCTCGCGCTCCGTGGACAGGCGCCGAAGGTCTTCACGTACTGCACCAAGGGCGGTCTCCCGCTCTTCGCGGTTCTCGCCGCCTCCGTGTTCGCCTTCCTCTCGTTCCTGAACGTCCAGTCCTCGGCCGAGCAGGTGTTCAACTGGTTCGTCAACCTGTCCACCGTCGGCGGCTTCTTCTCGTGGCTCGCCTTCAACATCACGTACATCTTCTTCTGTGAGTATTCGGCGCCCTCAATCGCCCGCAGGGTTGACCGCTGACTGTTTCTTGCGCTTGCAGACCGCGGCTTCAAGGCGCAGGGCCTCGACCGCACCAAGCTCGTGTACTACAACAGGCTCCAGCCTTGGCTCTCGTACTGGGGTGTCTTCTGGATCACGATCTTCATCCTCATCAACGGCTTCTCCGTCTTCTGGGACTTCAACGCGTCCGACTTCCTCACCGCATGTGCGTCCCCACTCTCCTTCCGCGCCCCGTACAACCGTTCCCGCGTGCTGACCTCGTCGTGTGCGCCCCGCAGACATCAACATCCCGCTCTTCCTCGCCCTCTACGTCTTCTGGAAGTTCTTCAAGAAGACCAAGGTCTGGAAGCCGCACGAGATGGACTTCGTGACCGGCATCCCGACCATCGAGGAGACCGAGCTCCCCGAGGAAACGCCCGTCACGATCCCGCAGAAGATCGCGGCCGTGCTCTTCTAAGCGCGCGTCCCGTTCTCCCGTCCCCTCCTCCTCCGCCCCGCCTGCGCGCGCCCGCGCAGTGTACGACGACGACGCCCCCTCCGCTAAGACTATATACGTATTATCCGCGCCCGCGCTCACGACGACGGCGACGCCAGGTGCACCCCCTGGCGTCATGTGCTCTCTACTGTTGCTGCCACCACTAGTGCCACCACCACCACCTCCACGATGTTGTCGACCATACCGGCCCCTCTTCCCCACCCCCGCCCCGGTCGCGCGTGGCCGGGCGGGGCTCTTAATGTATAAAGTACCGTATATTCCCCGCGCGCAATGCATGCTTTCTTGTCTGGATGATTTTCCGTGTGCCGTGTGCCGTGCGGTTTCTTCGACCTGGTGACCGTCAGCCTGAACAAGGGTACTCGGGAGAGGGCTTCATCTGTCCGCAGGACCCGACGCCCACGCTGGACTTCATGTCGATTGGTTCACGGCGCACCATACTCAAGGAGAAGGAAGATGGAATACATATTCTCATCGGGACGGCACGGTGAAGGCAGCTCTAGAGTACAGTAGGGGAGCGTGATTACAAGGACGCCCTTTTCTCCATCTCTTCTGACCATCCATACACGCTCGCTTGCTCGAGCATGTCGCCGTACTTTCCTCTCTCAGCGATCTTCTTCTTCTTCCCCTGGTTCTTGTTCTTGTTCGTCTTGCCCTTGCCCTTCTCCCTCGAGTTCTCCTGCACCCCCTTCTTCCGGGTCGCGGTGGTCCGAGCCAGCGCCGCCAGAGAGGCCGAGCGTGCGCGGCGCGGCGCGGAAGTCGGGGGGAGAGAGCCCGTCATACCAGTCCGATGGCGTCGCCGAGCAGCACCATGAGAATCCCCGCGCGTCGCGCCTCGGGCACGGAGCAGGGCAGGAGAAGGGGGGGCCGAGGCTCGGGTCCAGAGGCGGCAGAGGAGGCGGCGGCGTGCCCCCCAGCGCCGAGGGGGAGCGCGGGTCGCCTGGTGAGCCGGCCGAGAGGACGGCCTCGGCCTCGTTCTCGTCCTCGGGCTCGGACTCGAAGCGGGACGCGAGCCCGTGGTGTTGTCCGGCGGAGGCGTTCGGGGTTGCGGCGAGGGTGGCGGATGGCGAAATGCCAGAGAATGTGGATGGCGGAGCAGGAGAGCCTTCCGAGGCGGTGGTCGCCGAGGGCTCCGGATAGTGGGCCGGTGAACCTCCCGGGGAAGAGACCCAGTGCAAAATTCTGTCCGGTTCAACGTGCATGGGGCTCGGGGAGTCGTCCGCGAGGAGCCGTTCGACGACATCCGGCGAGGGCGTGGTGTAAGTCCGGTTTTCCATGTTCGTGAGCGGTTATACTGGAAAGATCCGTGTCAGTATACCTCTTAGAGATAGAATAGACGGATCCGGTCGCTCACTGCAAGAAATTCTGCTGTGTTGAACGCGAGGTGCTGTGTGGCTACTCCGAGGTGCGAACGAAAGAGAGACGATCCTGCTCTCTCGTCCCTCGCGCGCCCCAGCTTTTAACCTCAGATATCCTCGCTTTGTCCATCCTCCAGAAGCCCAGCGACATTGACCTCGAGAAGCGGGCCCGCCACTCGTCCACGCACTGATTCGGCAAACGCTTGGAACCAAGAAGCGGGTGCTTGGGCCAGGCGCCGGGTTGGTGCGGATCGCTATCTGGCTCGAGATCTAGCTTGAGACAACTGGTGATGAGAAGCAAGCTTCGAAGGGCCCCATGCTGTGCTGGTGGAATATGTTCTGGAATGAAGAGGGGAGGTTCGGAGGAGAGGGTTGAGCGCTAGCGTTCCGTCCAGTCGCGTGCCACGCTCCTCGAGTCGTCGCGCGGATCGGAGGCTTGCCAGGACTCTCAAGGCGTCCACGCGCGGAGGATTCTCACTAGAGCGGGGCATCTCCAGAATGTGTCGCCCGGATTCCGTGACCATTGAGTTTAAGGAAGAACGAGAGGCGTGGGACCTAGCGCTCGCCGCGACCCAAGAAAAGCGCCGCGGCTGCTAGCTTAGTAAGCCGTGACTGCTTCAATCGATCTCGAAAACGGACGCCAGCTCCTCCACCGTCCACACTCTGTGCCCGTCTACGCCTGAGTTTCCTTAAGTCCATCTCTCTAGATCACCATCCTCGCACCCGTGGACCGGGTTCCTCCGGCCCGTCCTCCGTTGGTTCGTCCAAGTTCGATGGCGAGGTCGACACGAGTCGCGTCCTGGGACAACATCGTTCGGCACGACATCAGCGGGCAGACGACCGGTTGGTCGACACCCTCGATGACCGCGTTCTGCGTATGGGACATCAAGGGGAGGCGGCTGCCGCGGGGGACGTCACGCCCTGAGTCACATCGGAGCGGTACGTGCTGACGCGTTTGGAAGTCTACCTCGTGACGTCCACTAGCTTCTATTGTGCGGTACTTCACCCCTTGGGCCCCTGCCGAGGGACTCAGAGAGAAGGGATACGATGAAAATTAGGCGGGAAGATGTGGAGATATCTAGAAGAGAAGTACACCTCTTCAGAATTTATGAATTGACGTCCGCACTTCAGCTACCTCGGCAATTGACAACTCATCTCAAGATATTGGTTTTGACGTTTCCCTAGACGCACCCAAGACGTGCCAATAATTCAGCGGACATTCCATCTTGGGCGTCAGGTTTCTCGTTTGCTGCGGTAGCCCGAAGCTGCCCTGTTCTGCTCTGATCGGGTGAAGATGCGCACCACGTACGGATCAAGCGAGCCAAAGCACAGCCAAGCCACTACCCTTGGTCTTTCGCGCAAAGCGAACACGACGAGCCACACAGGCACACGCCGGCAGCACATGCCCCGCGTTCTCAGGCGGGCCTTCCGACCATTGTGCGATCAACACGTGTAACTTGTACCTCGCCGGCGGGCTGCGCCAGACCACTGCACTCCGCTCCAAAGACCAAGCGACCACTGTCGACCACAACTCCTGTCGTCCTCCCCCTGCCAACTGGTCATGCCAAAGAAAAAGACGCAGTGGCGCGTTCGAGGGGTTCAAAATCCCGAAGGGGGGACGGGGGAAGGGCAGAGACTCGACATCCTGCTGCCCAGATCGCCTTCAGTCCCCCTCTCCTCCCAGCCGCACTTGAGTACGTCCTTGCGTTCGTATGCTGGTCGTGTTTAATATTTATTGGAAACACACCAGTTTGTCACCATGCCATCCCGTATGAATGCTTATTGGCAGCAGACCTACGCAAATCGGATATTGATGGATGCCCTCCTCCATAATTTCCTGGACCCGACAGCTACGCTTAGGGCTGAAGAAGATCTGGTGGCTGAACAGGCACCCCCGACCCCGGGGAACAAGTGCGTCCTATACTCCCTGATTCCGACGCCCTATTACTCACTGTAACGACTTTAACAGCGTCGTCGGCTTGCACATCAACGGCGACGTATCTCCCATCGACAGGCCGCTCTTCTTAGTCGACACGCCCACTCACCTAGGCTATATCAACGCTCACGCTGGAAATGGACCTTGGCCCCTCCCTGCGAGCGACCCTCGCCCTCTCTCGCCCCTCGGGCTAGACCTTCTTAACTTCCCCGCGGCGACGTACCAAGACACATTCGCCTTCCCGATGGGCAACCACGAGCCTCGCCCCCCGCGCTACCCGCGCAAAGCCATCTTGACCTCCCCACGGGGGTTTGGGGACCGACGCACCAAGACGCGTTCACCTTCCCGATGAGCAACCACGCCCAGGGGGCCCAGCCACCACCATTCAACATGCACGGCGGCTTCTTCGACAACACCGGGATGGGGGATTTCGCGAACGGGGGTATGGGCATGACGATGGGAGGAGGAGGGAGGATGCGCGCCGCGCGTGCGGGGCCGTCGACGGCTCACGCTCAAGTGCCGTTCCCCACCTATCCTGTGAGTAGCGCCGAGTCCGTTCTCAGAACAAAGGACAAGGGTTGCTAACGAAACGCTGCCCCCAGCACCCTGCGCCACCCGCCTTCGCGCAAGCCACGGACAACGAATGGCTTTACCGGCGTTCGCTCCTTCGGGAGCCCCCGCCCTTGGGAGTTCCCGGGCCTTCTCGATGGCAGGCGCCCGCGCCCGTGCGGGAGAATTGGGCGTTCGCGGGTCAGCGGGGGAACTCTCAGCCCCGTACTGTATCCCCCGAAATGGACGCCATGGAACGCCCAGATGCGTTACGCTGCTACAGATGCCGCCATTGGCATCCAGCAGGCGCCTGCCGCTGGAGGCACAGGACGGGTCGCCGGGGGTGGTGAAAGAGTAGACATTATGCATATATTGTAATCTATGAACATAATCCCTATTCCTCTCGTACAGTCGATCCACGCCGCATCATGCGCATCGTTGGACCGGTCTCTGAACAAGCTTTGCTGCGAACGAGTGCACGCGAAGTCCACTCGGCAAAGTCCGAACTTCGCGGCGCTCCCACACCAGCCTTCCTCCAAAGCGTCCACACACGCCCATACGAACACCGAACACAAGTGGTCATGGCACCGCTGGGGTCCACTACGGCGTGCACGGATCAAGATTTCCGATGTGGTCCCACAAGACTCGAGTCTCACAATAGATGGGCGCTTGTGTGCACCCGCCGCACCGGCCATCTGGTACTTATACAGTGACATCACGCACGAAGACCTCATAGAGTCAGGGAAGAATGCGTGCTCGACGGGGGACCGGGAGAGGTGGCCAACCTGCCGCGTCATGTCTGGGCGCCCAGGCAAAACGCGGTAGGGTTATCGTGGCTCGTCTCTTCAATAGAAGCGAGGTAGAAATGGAGCACAACAATAGAAGGTATACATCGGCGCCGTCGAGGACGATCACTTCTTCGTCAGATGATGGACCCCACACAACGTATAAAGTCCACCATCTCGGCGTAACCGTGCGGGGATGTAAATATGGGGCCAAACACTCGCCTGGAGGATTTCTATCCCTAGCCTGAAGCCTCGCACCATGTGGCCCTTTGACATAACCACCCTTAGGCCGGGAAACGTCAGAACACGCCGCATAGGAGCACCGAATGTGCCCACACGTCGAGGGGCATGGAATTGTCCGAGTCGAGAAGAGGAGGCGGCAGAAAAGGCCAGTGGCATTGTGGTGGCTTGAGTTAGGCTTGTACTGCGCTGATACGGGTTGGTTCACGACGTTCACCATCCACCGCGGATAGGTCCTTAGAGCGGGCGGGAAGTAGGGTAGACATTCGAAGTGAGAGCTCGCGCATTTTGGAGACGGCCGAGGTAGAACGCTGGGGACTGACGAGATGGTGGGCGGAGACAAGGGAACAGACGCCCGGTCATCCCCAGCCCAATTCCACTACGCGCGCCGTGCGCCCCTTGTTCCCTCTTGAGCTCAGATTTACTTGGGATTTACTGACATACCCCCTCAGCTCACGCAGGCATTCTGTTCTCGAGACACCCGTGGCATCATGGGCGGCCCGTAGTCTCGACCTGCCGCACGCGCATCGCGATCAAACGACAACGTCTCATGAGCTCGTCTACCACAGTGCGCCTCCCGCAAGCCAAAGCGAGATCGTCTCCGCGCCGCGCCGAGCCTTTCACGGTTCCAGAAAATGCGAAGAAGCCACTGTCGGCGCGCGTCAAGTGCCCGCCCCCCGTCCACACTGTGACACACGTGTATCCCATCGTCCCCAGCGCCGGCTGCGGTACGGTGACGACAAGACACCCCGCGCCTCGGATTCATTGTCACTTTTATGGGCGGTATTCACTCACGCCTCTCGCTAGAATCGTCAAAACATATGGCACACGAGAGATTAGATGGTGCTTGTGTAAAACAGATGGCGTGGAATACATAGTACATTAAAAACAACCAGCAAATGCTCCCTATATCGTATACCCAGTCGTCGGTGCCCTCAAAAGGTTCGCCGTGGTCATTACATAATGCGTCGTCCAGAGGCCAGAGGTTCGCGAGCTCCATCGGCAGTCACAACGACAAGACTTGTGCTTGCATCTGCGCGCGCAGGGCGCTCTGTGAAGGCAGGCGGCATCAGCGACCTTGTCCTCGCTCCTTGTTTCTGGCGAGGGACATCGTACTCACCTCCCGCACGTCAAGTGCAACAAATCTCTCGACCAGTGAATCCCCTTGGCTTCCCTGCCTCTCCTCCTCCAACTGGTCTGCCACGTAGGCCATCGCCTGCCATTGGGTCGCCCCCACCGCCTCCCCACCGAACATCTCCTCGTTGATACACGTGCCCCACATGGACCGCAGTTCTTCAACCATCCGCGCGGCGTCGAACACGTGCTCGCGCACTTGAAGCTTCTGCGCCTCGTCGAGAGCCTTCGCGGCTTCGTTCAACTCGATCAGGACGCCAAGCCAGCACGAGAAGGCGGCCTGGAATCCGGGCAACTGTTGAGCCAGCGGGAGGGGGCTGAGTCCCGAAACCGGTAGCAAGTCATCGAAGACGAGAGGCGGAGCAGAGGGAGGTCGCTGCGGAGTCGGACTCGGAGAGGGGGAAGTCGGCGGAGTGGGAAGCGGAAATTCCGGGGGCGCGGCGGGGGCAGAAGGCAAGTCGGCATCTTGCAAGGGCATCTAGCTACCAAGGACCAGAGGATTCCTATTGCGAATATCTAGGCGTACGAGATCAGAGGGCAGGCGAGGTGCGGCGAAGGCTGTATGCTCACAGAAGCGGGTGTTGTTCAGTGCGAAGTCCACGGGTGGGTGTCGCAGCAGTGGGGATGAGGATGATGAGGTGCGTCTGCACCCACCCCGTCGCGCGCGCGCATTTTAACCCTCCCGCAACAATTGCGCTCAACAAACAGGTATGTAGCAACTGTGAGGTCTGTGGACGGGGTGTCGCCTTGGGCTAGCCTTTGTGGTAAATGGTGCAGTGGTCGGGCTCAAGTGCGCTGAGGCTTGATCGGCTGCCAGCATCTTGAGATTCGCCCGGGAGCGATGGCTTTGCCCGCGCGTATCAACAGCAACAAAGACTGCGAGAGACCTGTACGTGGGTGTGAGCAGTGGTCAAGAGGTGCTAACTGAAGCCACTCGAGATAACGCACACATCATCCCGCCAGCGGACTTTCGGTGGATGATGGCAAGGGATTAGTAACCCCGCCGGAGGTTTTTGCACATCTTCCGCTGTTTCCAGTGCAGGGAGGGAACTTGGGAGAGAGGCCGGAGTACTGCACGAACCACGATGGAGGAAACGAAAAGGCTGGCCAGGCGCGCGCTTGCCGTCAAAGTGCGCACGCCCTGCTTTGGCAAGCGCTTGTATCATTTGTCTCGAGCCATCATCGAAGATTCCTCATGTCCAGACCCCGTCCTCTGCGCCCCCATTTTTCAAGACGGCCAACAACTGCGACATGACAAAAGACTGTGAACATACAGCCTGAGGGGCGGTGCGCGGAACGTCGCGGATATTTCCACGCAGTACCATCACCCCACCGGGGCTGCGTCGTGTTCGTCTCTCAGGTGCGTGCTCTCTATCACATTTGGACGTTTTAGGAAGCCTTTCAAGGACTTTTCAGCGCGCCGGCGCACGTCTCGCGGATGTGCGGGAGGTGCACCGTCGTGTTGATCATGCCATATTGTGGAAGACTTGTGGGGCCGTCGTGGGCAGCTTGTGCTTAGCTCACGCGGGCGCGCACTTCCTTCGGCCGCCTGCCGTCTCTGAACATTGCACAGAGGACTCAGACGCTTCCCGGGGCAGGTCCGCGGACGTATACCGGCAGCAACAAATTCAATAGACAGAGGCGATCACGCGTGACGCGCACGTAGACGCTCGTAGTATTGTGTGGTCATCTGGCTAGGATCTTGATCGGCGCACTGTCCTGCCATCCACCTTGGGCTGTGGGTGCTTGTGTTGGATCACGGGACGATCTTCTTATGGGACCCACAGTAGAGGAGGAGGTCGCTGCGTGGCAGAACAGGAGCCATCCTGCCGTAACATCTGTGCCAGTCACACATCGTGTCACACACTGAGTACTTGAGTACCACTGCCAAGCAGCGTGTTCATACTAGCAGTCGGGGCTGCGGCATCAAAAACACGTCTAGTACACGCTTCTTGTTGCGAAATATTGCCTTCTATCACCGCCTTCCGTCCCAGCATCGCCCGGATATCGAGAAACTGGGTGGTACTTGATAGCCTCCACTCGGCACGGCTGTGAGTTGCGCAAACGAGATCTGGCACCTTCTGGTTCAGTCCAATACATTTATGCACGATCATGTACACAGTCAAAACGGCAAATATAGATTCCCAAACTACGTGCATTACGAAAAGACTAGTGTAATTGTGGCTTAAACAGTAGGACGAGGTACGAGGCCGCTGCAATATGTCGAACTTAAGAGGCGGAGCTATGCCCCGCGTGAACACGTGCGTATCGTGCTACTCGTTACCTTTCTGAACCAACATGCTAACCTTTCCAGGTTCAAGGGGTCTACCGGCAACGGGTCGTCAGCTCTCGTTGGACCTTGTTCCCGATATGGAGAAACAAGACGTACCGCGTTGGTAAAACCGCGATCTCCCTCTCCTCCCCTCTCGACGTCGTCCACCTCCATCGACTCCACCTCTCTGGCCGCTTGTCCCCAGTTGGCCGTCTTGTACCGGTTCTCGGCCCCCAGTGCCCCGGCCATCCCCCGAGTCATCCCTTTCTCCCGGTCATTCTGGTCCGCGCGGTCGAGCACGCGGTAAATATTAAACGTGGCGGTGACCCAGTGATCTCGAGGTGTCTCATCGCGGGCAGGCGAAGGAGAGTGCCGAGGAGAGGGGACGTCAACTTCCATAGGATCAGAGCCTAGCGTGGGCGACGACGCCATGGACGCTGTCTTCATCGCCTCTACCGCATCCTCTTGCATCGGCACGGGATCCTCGGTGTGTCTAACGGCGACGGCGATGCCGTCGCACTCGGCCAACCAAACTCGGACCCTCACTTCGGTGGAAAGGATCGCTGAACGAGCCCTGAGGCTGCTGGAATCGGTGAGCGCGTTTGACGGCAAGAAAGGCTGAGACTTACTCGGCAAATCTCGAGTTCATATCGGGGATTGGGTTGTGGAGGGGTTGTATTCTCACTTCAAGCTGGGTCTGAGGGGGCTGAGATCCTGACGACCTCGCTCCGCTCAACCCGCTCGCATTTTAATCCAGTCGCATTCCGCCACTCGCGGTGGGGGTCGAGTTCTGCTTTGGCCTGCGTGGCCGGGCCATTGCCTCTGTGCGGACGGACGCCACGCACACGGGGCTAAGGTCTGCGGCAATGCGGCAAAGAGGCAGGCGGCGCAGATGCATCGACCATGGTTTGCGACGAGCGGGCGATTTTGCATTCCGCTCATTAGAAAGCGCCGCGCCACTAGGTGCGGTGGTCTCTGCTTTGGCTTGCGGTTTCTTTGGAAGGGGCGTGCTGAGTGTGCTGATGGATCGTCAGGCGGGCGCCGTGAGAGCCACTGATGGCGTCCGTTCCCTCTTGGGCGCCCTCATGGAACGGCCGGAGTACTGTCGGTATGTCACGGCTTGGGGACGTCTGGCAAGCTGTTCGAGCGACGAGGCCCCGGGTCTGCGGCCGCAATGGCGGTGGATAATTTCTGTAGTCTAATCCATATATATGAATAGTATTTCCGCCGCCCCACGTAGAGCGTGGTTCGTGTTAGTAGGCTCAGAGGTACTTGCCTGTGCAGCTTCGAACATTCGTTGACTATGACGAGGCTTGTCGCCGCGACGTCGACACTCTAGTAGTAAGCGCCCACTGTGCCTGGTTCCAGCGCCAGCTACGACGCCGCGAGAGACCGGTCTGATACCACGCAAACAACAGTATTGCGTCAATCGCGCAGTTGCAGAAGTGGGAGAAATAGGCGCAGAGTGTGCATATATTCAATAAAACATAACCATAAAGTGCATAATAAGTAGGAACGAAGAATCGCGACGAGTTCGCCCTAAGATCCCGAAGCTCAGATATACCCAAAACCGCCGTGTTCCTCAAAGCACTCCAACAAAGACCCGATGCGCTCAAGATCTTCATCGCTCATGGCCAGCCGTCCGGCCATCTCGTCCGGTGAAATGAGCCACTGGGGCCAGGGCAACGGCTCCCCGCGCGCGAACGACTCCGGGAACTGCAAGCCGTCCTCATCCTGGGACCAGTAGTACCAAGCCTTGTCATCCGAGTCTTGGATCCACATCCCCTGCCCCCGCATTGTCCCAGAGGGAGACGCCGTCTGCAAACGGGAGGACGCAGGTCAGCGGGTGTGCCTTGTACCTGATCTAGCAGGCAGAAGGACGAGAGACAATGCTCACCTCGCCGGTATACGCAGCCCCAGCAAAGAAGTTCTTGAAGTCAGCGTTGGCGGGATCGTCCCAAAAGCGCGTCAAAGCGTCCTCAAGGTCCTCCTCTGTGACCACGGTGGTGGGGTGGGCCGCATGCTCGTCCTGCGCGGCTTCCGAGGCCTGGGGCGTCTGGGCCCGCGCGTAGAGATCCTCGTGCTCCTCATGGCCTTCAATGGGGCGAGGGACTGGGCGCGGAATGAACGGGTCCCCGACGTAGAACGGCGGAAGGCGCGTCTCCTCGCGGCGGGGCAGGGATGGGTGCGGGAACACAGGGGGGAGGGAGTGCTCGCGTGGCCTGACCGTCGCGGTCGAACTATACAGTGTCGTCGCGTCGTCGTCTGTTGCGTCGTCGTCGTTCGAGTCATCGTCGATCGTATAATCGCCCATCGTGTAGTCGCCCGTCGTGTAGCCACCCGTCGTGTAATCGCCCGTCATGTCGTCGTCCGTCATGACGCTGTTTGGTCCGCCAGAGTCGGTCTCGTATTCATCAGAGACCGAGTACGTGGTGCTCCGATTTGCGCATATGCTACATTCGCAGGTGTCCTGTGACATGCGCGGAGGCGAATCATAGTCGAGCGCCTCGCGGTTCGCGAGCAGATGTGCGTAGTCGTAGGGAGTGGGCCCGCGAGACATGGTGATGTCTGTCAAGCTCATCAGCCGTCCGGGACGCATTATGACATGATAGCAGCGCATACTCACAGGAGTCGAGTGTTCGAAGGAGGAAGATAACGCGGAAGTGGCGTGTTAGACTTCAGGTAGAGCGAGAAGTCTGCCCTCCCCGACTCGAACGCCGTTGCGTTTTGTATCCTCCCCGACATGGGATCACGCTTTGCCCCTGAATAAGGGCCAATTGTCGGTGTGGGTGTAGACACTGGTCGCTTTGGCTTTCGAATGGCGAGTGGCTCCTGCTTGAGGCTCGTGGAGGTCCAGACGCCGGTGCAGAGGCCGTCCTGTGGTGATTGAGCCGGATGCGGGCAACAAGTCGCTGATCGACAACAAGTGCGGCCTGCCAAATCAGAAAGCGCGACTGCGGCTGCGCCCTTTCACGACGTGGTAGACTGCACTGAATTGCTTGGTCATCGGTGAGCAAGGCGGCGGGGGCGAGGAGCCTCGAGGTATTGCGTCGTCGTGACGCAAACTGTCACATCATCATTCTGTAGGACTCTATAAGTGAGCCATGGATGCAGAGAGTTAGTTGAGAGACTTGCGGCAGGGTACATGGTGGTCTTGAGCTGAGAAGTAGAACGCCGACAGTGATTACGTGGCCTGACAGAAGGGTTGCCTTATCGGGGCAAGTCATCATTCCCCTCGCTTTCTCCCACCACCGCCATCATCATCCCACTCGCCGCTCAGTTGCCCTCTGCGACTCTGGCACTTAGTGTTCGATGCATTGAACCAGAGAATCCGACGTGGTTCTGTCTCCACGATGGATTGATGAGCGGTCACAATATCACACCAGGCGGTATTTCGTACGGCTCCTCGACGGCTGGCGCATAGTAGTATGTTTGTGGAGGAACTCCTTACTCAGACGAATGTGCGTGTCTACTTGTTTATTTTCACATGCATGCTGTAGGCGTAATGGGGGATTTCTCGTATGTCCACGCGATTTCCGTCATTCCCTATGGCCCCAGCAATACCTCTCCATCTCCGACGCAAGCACCTCCCGTTTGTTTCCGTTGTGCAAATGCAGATGTGTCTAAGCCATACATAATATGCGCCTCTTAGAAAACCGGGGACGAGAGGTCATTAAGCGATCGTGGCCTGCCGTCCGCTGTGTACTGAATGCACTTCCACTGACTCGGGCACCGAATAACTCCTCCACTCCCCGTGACCGCGCCCCACATCCCGCGGCTACCTTTTCCGTTACTAACGCGACCCATAGTCTGAGGTGGCTCGAAGTCCGTGACCCACCTGGCTACGAGTCATGACCACCCACATGTCAGAGGCGCCCTTTATTGTATGGCTCACGGCTTGTTAGGCTATCTGTAATCTGGATCCGTGCACGACCCGGTCGATCTGGCCTGTGCGATGGGTGCTTGTATTCCAGTGTACATATGGGTGGTATGTTGGCCGTGTGGAGGAAGCGGGTGTTCGACGCCGTGGCCAGAAGAGAGATGATGACCAAAACAGCGTGCCCTTCGGCCCTCAGGCCTCAGGCCTCAAGCTCAAGGCCTCGAGATGTATCAGAGAGTCTCCTCATAATTTTGTACGTGATTCAAGGCTTAACGAGGCCGGGAGAGGCGGCCGAGTGGCTCATGTCACTTCATTCGAAATCAACATATGAAATATTGCATAGTAAGTAGGGAGAGAAAGCAAAAGTAATGTACAAAGGTATAGCCAGATCACAGATGTTGCACACTGTTCAAAACTCCCGGGTCGCGCCAAACCTCGCACCAATGTCCTCGATCATGCCCTGATCTTGGCAATGAATTGCTTGGAACGTGGACGACGATCTAGCGTGGGGGCGCGGAAGTTAAGGGGAGAATCTAGTGCCTCGCAGAGCGATTCTCCCTTGAGGCGTTCGACCATAGAGCGTAAGGCGGAGGAAGAAATATTCCGCCAGGGCCTGGCAAGTGTGTCGTTAGCAACCTGACCTATAATATTTGGTAACATGCCTGAATGGAACACTCACGTCCCCAGGCAAAGTGGACGCGGCTTTCGCGTCGAGCTTTTCGAGTTTGGCCTCGCGATCCTTGTCGTTCGAAGAGGCTATTTCGATCAGGAGTTTGATCAACGTCATGATGGCTGAACGTCCTCTTGTCAGCCAGAGGAGCATCGAGCACGAAAGGTGGTCACTCACTAATGCGAAATTTGGAAAGCGTCCGGTGATGGCTGGCGTCGCGGACGAAGTTGGGGTCTGCTCCTCCCGTACCGTCCTGTACGCCTTTTATACCCCTCGAACGCGCCGCTCTGGCCTATAATTTGGCACCCCAAGCATGTCGTGAAGGCGTACCGCTTGGTTCGCCGAATGGCGTCTGCTTGGGAGTCTCGTGTGGTGTCTTGCCGTCGCGGCGGGCGCAGGGGCCGACGGGACACACGTGTTGACGGAGGGCAGACACTTGACGCGCGCCGACAGTGGCTATTCACATTGTCTGTAACTGCGCAAGACTCTGTGCGGGGCGGAGACGATCTCGCTTTGGCTTTGGAGAGGCGCACTGTGGTAGACTGTCGTTTGATCGCGATTCGCGCGTGGCAGGTTGAGACTACGGGCCGCCCGTGATGCCACGGGGTGCCCCGAGAACAGATATTTGCCTGCGTGGACGGAGAGATCAGTAAATCTGGGCTTAGGAAGGAGACTGTGGACACATGGTGGATGGGTAGAAAACAAGGGACGTACGGCGCGCCAGAGGGCGACGAGCGGGATTCGGCTGGGCGACAATGGGCGTCTATTCCCTTGTCTCCGCCCACCATCCCCACCGTTCTAAGTACCTCGGCCGACTCCAAAATGCCTGGAACTGCGCGAGCTCTCACTTCGACCATATATCCCACCCACCGTCCGCTCTGAGGACCGATTCGCAGTGCACTGCGAGTGTCGTAAACCACCCGTGTCAGCGCAGCGCAAGCCTACCCCGACCCACCACCATGCTGGTACTCAGCCGTTTCCGCCGCCGCCGCCTCCTCTCAGCTCGAACAATTCCACGCCCCTATAAGTGAAGGCGCATTCAGTGCTGCTATTTGGCATAGTCGAACGTCTCATAGCCTGAGGGGTTGTTATATCCAAGGGCCACGGTGTCAGGGTGCAATGGCCGCGTTCAGGCTAGGGATAGAAATCCTCCAGGCGAGTCGCAATGATTTGGCCCCATATCTCCCTTTGCACGGCTACACTGAGATGGTGGAATTCATATCCTATGTGGAATCCACCATCCGGCGAAGAAGTGATCGTTCTCGACGAAGTGCTTCAACTTCCATCACTTTCACCCGCCAGCGCGCCTTGGGCTATCACTTTCGTCAGTATGAACCATCTGTTTTTGTGCTTGATTTCACAATCATGAGATGGGCCACGATAACCCTCCCGCATTCTGCCTGGATACCCAGACATAACGCGGCAGGTGTGTTCCCATCGATCACCTCTCCCCGATTCTCTTACTTCTACGTCCTCCTCCCGCGTCGAGCACGTATTCTCCCAAAATCCTATGCAGCCTTCGTGCGTGATGTCACTGTATGCACTGGCAGGCTTCGATGGCCGGTGCGGCGGGTACACACACAAGCGCCCACTTATTGTGAGACTCGAGTCTTGTGGGACCACATCGGAAATCTTGATCCGTGACACCGTAGTGGGCCCCAGCGGTGCTATGACCACTTGTGTATCGGTGTTCGTATGGGCATGTGTGTACGCTGAGGAAGGCCGGTGTGCGAGCGCCGCGAAGTTCGGACTTTGCCGAGTGGGCTTCGCGTGCACTTGTCCGCAGGAAAGCTTGTTCACAGACCGGTCCAACGATGCGCATGATGCGGCGTGGATTGGCTAGACGAGGGGCATCTGGATTGTGTTCATAGATTACAATATATGCATAATGTCTACTCTTTCACCGTGCCCCGTGGCCCGTCCTGCGCCTCCTGCGACAGGTGCCAGCTGGGTGCCAACCCCGACATCTGTAGCATCGTGACGCGGCCGGACGCATCATGGCATTCAAGTCAGGGGATATAGCACGGGGTTGCGAGTCCCCCGGCTGAGACGTGAAGGCCCCATTCTCTTGCGCGGGCGCCTGCCATCGTGAAGGCCCGGGAACTCCCAAAGGCGGCGGCCCCCGAGGGAGCGAACGCCGGTAGAGCCACCCGTTGTTTGCGTCTTGCACGAAGGCAGGTTGCGTGGGATGCTGAGGAAGTGTCTCGTTAGCAACCCTTGTCCCTTGTTCTGAGAATGGATTTTGGCGCTACTCACAGGATAGGTGGGGAACGGTACTTGAGCGTGAGCCGTCGACGGCCCTGTGCGCGCGGTGTACATCCCTTCCCCTCCTCCCATCATCCTCATACCTCCATTCGCGAAAGCCCCCGTCCCCGTGTTGTTGAGGAAGCCCCCTTGCATGCCGAATGGTTGCGGCCGGGCCGCCTGGCCGTGGTTGGCCATCGGGAAGGCGAACGTGCCTTGGTACGTCGATCCCCAAACTCTCGCGGGGAGGTTAAGATGGCCTGGCGCGAGAGGTGTACCTCTGTTCTCGAAAGCCCCCATCCCGGTGTTGTTGAAGAAGCCTCCTTGCATGTTGAATGGTTGTGGCAGGGCCGCCTGGCCGTGGTGGCCCGTCGGGAAGGTGAACTCGTATTGGTACGTCGGTCCCCACACCCCCTCGGGGAGGTTAAGAAGGCCTAGCGCGAGTGGCGCGGGGGGGTTAAAGTCGCTCGCGGGGACGGGCCAAGGTCCATTGCCAGTGGGAAGATGGATGTAGCCTTGGTGGGTGGTCGGATCGACTGGCGTGCTAGGCGGGGAGGGTCTCGGTTCGGGACTAGAGAACCACCGTGGGCGCACGAAGGCACGTCTCGGCCCAGGCGCAAGTACCTCGGAAATTGGCACGGCGGTTGTGGGACCGACCACCACCTCGTCAGACAGAGTGGGCCTGTTAATGGGAGGTACGTCGCCGTTGATGTACAAGCCGAGGGCGCTGGTAGAGTCGTTACAGTGAGTAATAGAGTTTTGAGATAAGGCAGCGTAGGACGTACTTGTTCCCCAAGGTCGGTGGTGCCTGTTCAGCCACCGAGTCGCTGTTATCGGCCCTAAGTGTAGGCGTCGGATCCACAAAATTATGGAGGAACGCCTCCATGTTTGCGTGGGTTTGCTGCCAATAAGCATTCGTGTTTGAGTGCATGGTTACAAACTAGCGTGTTTCCAATCAATATAAAACGCGGCCAGCATACGAACGCAAGGACGTACTCAAGTGCGACTGAGAGGAGGGGAGCTGAGTGCGATCTGGGCAGCAGTGGATGTCGAGTCTCTGCTCTTCCCCCGCCCCACTTCGGGATTTTGAACCCCTCGAACTCGCCACTGCGTCTTTTTCTTTGGCATAGCCGGTTGGCAGGGGCGGGACGACAGGAGTTGTGGTCGACAGTGGTCGCTTAGTCTTTCGAGAGGAGTGCAGTGGTCTGGCGCAGCCGGCCGAGCTTCAAGTTACACGTGTTGATCGTACAATGGGTGGGAAGCTCGCCTGAGAACGCGGGACGTGTGCTGTGTGTGTGTGCCTGTAGTCTGTCGTGTTCGCTTTTCACGAATGGCCGAAGGTAGTGGCTCGGCTGTGCTTTGGGTCGCTTGATCCGTAGCCGGTGCGCATCTTCATCTGATCAGAGGCCTCGCAGCCTCAGCCTACCGCAGCCAACGACCAACCCAACGCCCAAGAAGGAATTTCCGCTAGATTATTGTATGTCTGGGGATGTGTCAACATCGACGTCTTGAAAAGAAGCGCCAACCTGCCGACTTATTCGAACGGGCGTTCAAGTGCCAAAGTCAATTCATGTATTCTCAAGAGGTGTGCTTCTTGACCTCCCCCTCTAGATATTTCCACATCTTCTCGCCTAGTATGTCATCGTATGCCTCCTCCCTGAATCTCCCGACACGGGCCCAGGGGATGAAGTACTGCATGATAGATGTTAGTAGACATTGGCACGAAGTAGACTTCCGAAGGCGTCGGCACGTACCGCTCCGTTGTGGTTGAGGGCCTCCGGCATTGTCCCCGCATACAGCTGTGTGAGCGCGCCCGTGCTGGCGGGAACCACAATCTTATCCTGAAGGTGATGATGAGGAGGCGGGTGCCGACAACAAAAGAGGCGGGCGCACCAGGAAGAACAACAGGAACGGGCTCGCATAGCGTCCGAGTTCGGTCCGAACAAAGTTTCCTGTTATTTTCGACACCGTTGGCACCACTAACGAGGTAAGCAATGACGGGCTTACTTACCGGGGTTCAGCGAGACAGAGATTATGCCCTTATCGGCATATCGTTTTGCAGTTTGGTTAGCGACGATGCCGTTGGCCTGTCAAGTGCCAGCTCAGTGACTTCAAACGTTTGATCGAGGAATCGCCGGATTTGAACGCACCAGCTTGCTGTTGAAGTACAGCTGTGACGTGGACAGCTTCCTCCGCGCGGGGCCGTCCCTGATGGCATCGAAGTCGATCTTGCCTACGTACCCGGCACTCGAGGACGTAGTGACAATGCGCGTGTGGTGGTCGGGTGAGGACACGACGCCGGCGAGGAGGGCGGGCATGAGGAACTCGGTAAACGCGAAGTGGCCAATGGCGTTCGTCCCAAACTGCAGATCGTATCCCTGTTTGGTGAGCAAGTCGAGCGGGGCCCACATCACGCCTCTGATCACGGGAGACATATCAGCGGAAGGGAGAGAGATGCAGAAGATCGGGAAACGCACGCGTTATTGAAGAGGATGTGGAGCTCGTGTTCCTTGCTGAGGAACTCCTCGGCGGCGGTCTTGACAGAATGCAGATCCGATAGGTCGAGCTCAAGGAAGATGGTTTCCTTGCCGGTCTGCTCTTTCAGCAAGGTGATGGCATTTAGAGCTTTCTCCTTGCTGCGCGCCGCAAGGTAAACCTTCGCATTGTGCATTAACAGCGCCTGCGAGACTGGGCTCAGATCGTCACGAGCCACGGAATCCCTGTGGGCGCACCTTGCAGGTCTCATGACCGATACCAACGTTACCACCTATGTGTGTGTCAACGCCAGCTCGTGTATTTTGGCGCGAAATACACAGCTATTTCTCACATACCGGTCACGATGACGACCCTGCCAGTGAGGTCAGGAATCTGGTCGATGCTGAACTGGGACTTGGGCGGAAAAGCTTGCAGGATACCGTGAAGGTTGTATGAGAAGTCGGACCATGCGTTACCCATGTATGTTTCCAGTAAGATGGAGGAGGTTTCCAATGGTTAGTTTGAGGAAGATGAGCGGGACATGGTACATGGGCGGTGGTCGTGGCTTTTATACAGCGTCGGCCGGTGAGGCGTGTCCATCCGGCAAAGTCACTGGTCGCTCCTTGTGCACGGAGAAGAGCGTGGGCTCCTGATAGACGCATACACCTTCGCGTAGTAAGCACGTCAGCTGGCACTCTTTAAGGCTTTCCCCACCTGTTGGTGAAGGAATTATATGGACTCCCTTCAGGTTAGTGCGGTCCGCCCATGTAGTTCGCCTTTTGTTAACGAGCAGGTCGTTGCAGCATATATACGCCGGGCTGTCTCCCTCCAGATGGCCTCGGGAGATTCTCGTTGTGCGCTTCGCCTTGGATGACGGTTCGGTACTCGTGTGCGTTAGAGACGGCCATGTCCGGCCGACGGGGCTGCTACATCGACCTTGTACGGGCGAAGCTCTGGCTTTGATAACGCGTTTTGTATATGCTGACGAAGAATTTCGGGAGCGTTGTAGTGGGTCCGTCCGGCCGGATGCATTGTGCTGGATGAACATGGTGGCTGAAAGAGAGGGTAGGGCTCGTGAGGCCGTTCCAGCGTGCGTCCGCGGTCCAGACGAGCGGCTCTCCCTTGACTCTCACCACCATCATCTCCTCCTCGCCACCGTCATCGACCTCGCACATGGACGACGGCTCGGGCACGGGCACGCCGCACTGGACGCCGTTCGACCTCGATATCTTCGCGGGCGAAAGATCGCCAATTCCGCTTCGGACAGGTGCAGTACATCTCGGTGGACGAGATTCAAAGGCATGGGTGAGTGAACGATGTCTATTTCCTACCGCATTCCTGCCCTGTTCCGTACCACAACACAAATTTTCGCTCGGTTCTGCGCAGACTTGCGTATATGCAAGGTCGTCGGGTGTACCGCGGACCTGAGGCCTTGAGGGCTTGCACACGCTTCTCGGGGGTTTCTTTCCGCTTGCGCCAAAGTAGACGGCATGGCGATGTGTGTGCGTCATTGCGTTCACTTCATTCTTCGAGGGGCCGTCCTCACGTTTTCGACCCTCACGTCTTGTGGCTCACCAGCCAATAAAACGTGCACATCGCATGCAGTGACATTCAGGATGCCTAGCACAAAGTGACTCGTTTGACTGGTTCGATCTTTTAAAGTACACTCTGGAATATGCCATACTGATCAGACCCTCAGGTATGTCTGCTATAAATCACCGATCAGCTATGGTACATCAAGTGGGTATACAAATGGATGCGCTCGCTACAGATATTCTGCTATGAACGAAGATCATTCAGGAGCCAGCACCAAGGCCAGCGGTACGTGCTTCCAACTTGATCCGCGCAGACCTCAGGAAATGCATGAAGTTTTCCTGTCAGAGATATCGTGTCAGCGGCCCGTCATCGCAATCTCGAAGAGTAACAACATAGCCACGTACCACGCCTTCTCGCGGGTGTCTCAAGTACGCCTTATTGTCTATGGCACGCTCGTCTACGACGTCGCCGGCACTCATGAATAGGGTATGTTCATCTTCTTGAACTTCTTGTTTGACGACCACCTTGACTTCTTCCTGTTCTTCCTGCTTAACCAGCACCTTCGCTTCCTCCGGCTCTTCCTTCACCACCACGTCCCTGGCTACTTGTGCTTGCAATGCCCCTCTTTCGATGGCGAATCGTCGCGCCAGAACTACCCTTTGCTTCAGTCCTTTCCACGCCTCTGGATCAATGGCCACCTCTTGCGCCGGCAAGTGCTCGAGCAACGCATCTACCGCCTCGCCAAGGGAGTACCCCCAATACTGCCAGGTGAACTTGTGGAGGTTGTGCAGGACGTCGACCTCCCACACCTCGAGCATCGGACGGTCAGAAGCTGCGATGATGTGAACCGCATCCGAGAAGGCGCGGCAGCCGAGCGGCTCAACGAACGCGGTGAGCTGGGCAAGCAGCTGGCGGGCGACGGACGGATTGAACTGCGACTGCGGGAACGGACGACAGGGGCCCGGGGCTGGGATGCGGTGCATGAATGCGGACTGGTCGGTGATGATCGGCTGGGTGGGAATGTGGGGTGGAAAGTTTGCCCTGTAGTACGCTTCGCAGATGGGCGGGTGTTGGTATGCGTGCATGGTTGGTTGCATCGTGCAGGGCTGGATGTTTTGGGATGAGCGTTGAGAATATATTTCTTCGAGAAGCGAAGTGCTCACCAGATCGGAGGCGTTCGGTGGGAGGAGGGCTCACTGTGTCGGGAGTGGATATCCTCTCGCCACGCGTTCGCGCATTTAAAGGCGTGTCGCATGTTGACCCGCTTTGTCGCAACCACAAGTCTTGAGATGTAGTGCTTGGGTGGTACTTGACTTCAGTGGCACCTGCCACTTGGATGCAGTGGCCAAGTCAACGTAAGTGGCCGGCCACAGCCAGTCGCCGGATCATCCTTAAGTGAGTCACGTGTAATATGTATGATATCAAACTTCGGAGGATCGACGATGAGCTCGTGAATCGTATGTACGAGGTACTGCATTCGACACGGTGCAGGTTTAGAAGCGTGGGCGTGGACGTGGGCGTCAATGTGACTTGTCCTCCACCACTATCATCACATCTAAGACTTTCTGCTTATTTTAATCAGCCACACCAACGGTCTCGCCGTCATCTAGTTTCAAAGGAAGGAGAAAAATCAATGCGTCAATATGTTACGATTCAATTTAGGAGGAACAGCCTCCCGAACATTCAACTGGGGTTGGAGAGTACAATAGCGGATCACAAGCATAATGGTACAGAGGGGTCGTTCGGATCGGCGTTGATACAGGGAAGTACGAGATACAAGAATTCCTTGAGCTCAGAGACCAGGGTGCATTTCTCGGGCGATGTTGAGAGTCGGGCGACGCGACGGCGGATGCTTTGCTGTCCAAGCAGCCGCCGTCGCGCCGTCGCTCAATCGTTCAGTCTTCGGCGATTCTAGAGGACGGGTTTCGTGCGCTGCCGTTGCCGTGTAGACGCTTGATAAGGGACATGCAATCCTCGCGAAGACCTTTGCGGGACGCAGGAGAGAAAGATGGAGGCGGACGCCTCATCTTGCGCACAAAATATGCAGGGTTCTGAGCCTCCTGCCGTGGCTGCTTCCAGCGTTCTGGAAGTTGCTCGTGGCAGGTGTGGGTGTTCGCGCCGCCGGCAGTGGTGATGGTGTTTCCGTCGTCGTCCACCGGAAACGGGACGTCGTGGGGCTTGTTCAGTGGCTCAAAGAACTCGTGGCAGTCATCCACGTCCTGGTCGGCCGCGGTGCGGGTGCTCAGCTGCATGGCGTTGAGTCTCGGTAGCGTTCCTACGTCTAGTGCTGGGTGAGGTTGTGGATGGAGAGGGTAGTGAACGTGGTGATTCAGACGGCAAGATGTTCGAGGAGAGCCGTAGGGATGGTGGAGAATATTTGGTTGAGAGGAGAGAGGAGGGGGTGCTGTTGCTCTCTCTCGGGGCTACCGGTTTTTATCCAGTTCGCGGTGCCCGCGGCTCTCATTGTTTTGAGTAGTTTGGATCGGAGGGGTGCATGTGGCAGTGGCTGGAGCTGCTGGGAGTCATGCCAAACCAAACGTTGGAAATTATTGCCGCTCCGCCTTTGTGTGGACGGACGGCACTCGAAAGCCGAACTTACCCAAAGCGATGGCGTCACCCTGCGAACTTTCTAGCGTCTCCGTCCAGGACAATGAGGTGGGGCAAACCGTGAGCTCGCAGGGCGGCGAGGATCTTGTGGTTGACGGTTGACGTGCCCTATCGACGGAGGAACGTGGAAACCATGCACACACGGCGTTGCACTGACACTGAGGCACGGCTCAGATAGCGCTCAGAAACACAACGCGGCCGGAGCCATGGCTTGGAGGACCATTGTGTATCGCAAGAGGTCACCGAAAATTTGACGTCCCGGTCCGGAGATTTCCCACCAACCATCCTCTCCTGGGTCCCACACCGGCCCTACCCTCCTCACACCGCCCATTTCCCCCCCACCGACGCCACTCCGCTCCTCGTCTCGTAAAACGCCTGCTGGCACCCGTCGCATACACAGAAGCAACCCCCGCCGTCCCGGTGGCACTCTCCAGCGTTCCGCAACTGGCACTCGCAAGTGCTCACTCTACTGCTCGCCGCCACCAGGTTCGGCATGAACATCCACGCATCGCGGAACGTCAGGCGGGGCCAAACGACGGGCTCGAGCCCGCCGACCCGGTCTTCCTTGATCCAGATCCCGCCGTCGACGTCGTCATCGTCGGCTTCGTCGGCTTCGTCGTCTTCGTCCGAATCTTCGTTGTCCACCGTCACTGCGTCGCCCTCCTCGCTCTTCACTGTGCCGTCCCCGTCAGGCTTCACCGCTCCATCCTCGACCTCTCCCGGCTTCCCGGCGTCCTTGTCGTCTCCAACAATGTCTACGGCCGCATTTTCATCTCCCACGACGTCTACAACCATGTCTTCGTCTCCAACGGCGGTCGCTCCGTCCCCATCCTCGGACCCCTCGCCAACCCCGTTTGGAACGGCCGTAATCCACTTGGATGCGCGTCGACGCCACACCACGATGCGGTTGGGACTTCGGTGCAAGATCATCCGGTGGGAGCTGGCTTTGATCTTGAGGCTAGACATGTAGGCAGCGCCTTTCGTGTGGTTCGCATATGGGCTGTGGTGGTGGAGGAGGGGTTGTCGCGGCCCTCCGACGCGCCCTCAGTTGCCTTATACCTAGCGTGTGTCGACAAAGGGGCTGCAGCCGAGACGTGCCATATGTTTTCGCGCCCGTCGCTCGTATGCGCACCAAAGGGTCGTTCGCAAGGCGTCGTTTATGAATATTGGAGAGCGAGCCAATGGGGTTATTATACAAAGAGAGTCTATGTCCACATAGAATACTTGTTAATACGTCCTTCAGCTCGCGCGGGACACGTGCGACTTGACGGTATAAACAACATACGCATGCTTGGTTCGTGAGACGTCTGATATATAAAGGGAAGGTTGGTCGTAGGCGTGGTCATCACTAGTGGCCCCACGAGAGTGCCGGGTTGAGGCGGGGTGAGTGCGGCGGTGAGTTGTTCTGCGAGAAATACGTCGTCGATTGTGACGGCGACGCGAGCGAGCCGGGGAGGTAGAGTGGGATCGTCGGGATGAGCTCGAAGACATGCTGCGCAGTCGGGCGCGCGGCGCGCGAGTTGGGACCGATGGCCACGTCTGCCGCCTTCATCACGCCGTGGACGCGTGGCTCCTGCGAGATAGCCTCCTGGCCGAAGCCCTCCGGCGCAGGCGTAGCGGGTGCGGCACCGGTGACACCGCGACCATCCCAGATGCAGCGGACCTCGTTGCCAGGAATGATCTGTGCGAGACGGCCTGTCTCAACGTGGCGGATCTCGATGAACCGGCTGTCAAAGAGGAGGACGTAGGGCGGGTGCCACGCGACGTGCTCTGCAGTGCCCTCCCACTCGATCGTGCCGATCGAACGGCTGGGATCCCCGTGACGATCGACGTACAGGCCGAATTCTATGGAAACCGATCATTAGCAAACGTCATACAACACCTGAGACAGCTCACCATCATAGCAGAGTAAGAACTCGTCGTTGCTGGAGCGGAACATGCCCATGGGACGGCAGGACTCGCACCGCTTGGCCAGCTTCTCCAGACGTGGATCGTCGCGTTGAGGGATCGTGACACTCTTGAAGCTGTTTCCAGACTTGGTAAGCCATCACACACAGATGGAAGTAGATGACGCACTCGGTGAGGTCCATGATCTCAAAGCCCTTCGCGCACAGGATGACGATCCTGGCTTTGAGGAAGATCAGGTCGTACGCTTCCGACGGGAGGAAGAAGTCCTGGAATATCTAGTGAGCGTCCATCCTCAGGAAAAATGCCTTCGTGGAACTTACCCTGTATACACGGAACCACTCTGACCGCTGAGACCGCAGTCCAAGCCGAGACCCGAACGTCTGGGTGCGCCCGGTTGTTTTCTCGTTGATCTTCCCCACAACCGGCTCCAACACGCGGAAGACGCTGTCCAGCTACAAGACGAAGACATCAGCCAGACGAAGACTTCCCAGTATGCCATACATACCCCCTTCTTCTTCATGTAGATGACGAGCGTGCGCCCGTTCAGATTGCCGACACTGAAGAAGTGCACGTCCTTGTTGCCGCTGAGCTTCTGGGGAGTCTGCGACGTGTGGGCGCTCTGTGGTGATGACGGTACCAACGCCTCGATGTGGTATGCGAAGAGCGACTGTGCAACCAGTTAGCCGTCAAGTCCCATAAAGCGATCTGAAATGCGTACCTTGTCCGCTAAGACAAGGAAGATACCGAAATCTTCGAGCATGGCACACTGCGTGACCATCTTCAGGTGCAGGACACGTCGCAATGCTGTGGATCAACAGGTAAGGAAAAGGTATCACGCCAGCCAGAGACTAACTCACATCGAGAATCATGACGGAACCCAATCCAGACGCCCTCAGCACACCCGATCGCGACCAACCCGCGGCCGTCGGAAGTAGCTGTACCCACAAGTCAGTACACCGGCTTCACTACCAAGATTGAAGACACTCACTGAATGGCACGGAGCACGTCACCTTGCCAGTGAATGCGTTCTCGTGGCTGTACGCCGTGTTCGCGTTGTTCATCATCGACGGGACGAGGAATGTGTCGGCGCTCAATGTCTCGATCTCAAACACCTTGTTCGAGTCCTGGACGACCTTCCGCAACCCGATCGCCTCTTCGAGTTTCTGTTTCCACTCATTCCGTGCTTGCTGTGACTCTGCGAAGACGGTATACAGCCCTCCAAGGCGACCGTTGTGGTGGACAGTGCACGGGTAGACGAGGCGCGAGTCGGTGGCCGTGTCAGGCGATGCCGTTGCTGGAGTGCCCGTGTCGCCTGCATGCCGATCGCCACGGCCGAGACGCAGGATGCTGTTACCACGCTGCACGGCCGGATCGCTGAAGTTGGCAAGCGTAAGAAGGTCCAGGGGGATAGGCCTCCTGTACACAGTGTACTTGGTGATGCCGTCCCGTTCCTTCGGCTTAGTCATGACCACTGCGCAATTTGTTAGGAAACAGCGAGGGGTGTTAGTGGGAATGAGCCGCACAGTAGTTGTCGAAGAGCAACACGAAGAGCTCAGTCCATCCGTTCCATTCAAAACCGGTATCAGGCTGGCGCAGAAGCTTGCCGGTGTGGATCAACGAGCGGTTCTCGTTCAATAGGTCCATGTCCTGCGTAGATAAGGATCAGCTGGAGCCAAAGGCCAACGAAGAAAGACCACTTACGATGTGTTCTCCGCTCTTGAAGACAAAGTTGGAGTTGTATCGCCATACCTCTACCTTCTGCTTGGCCGAGACGACACCAGGCTCCGTCTCCTTACCCAGCGCCTTGATCACATCAAGCACCTGCGGGATGTAGTCGCGGTCTTCGTGTCCTTCTGGTGTTTCGTCCAGAATGTTCTTCAGTAGCAACTCGTAGCGGAGCAGACGGGGGATGGGACGGTTGATGAAGTTCTTCATATCCAACCTGTGCGCGTCTGCGTGACGAGTGCATTGCTACACAAAGTCAGTCATCGGAAACATGCAATTTGAGCGGGAAATCACATAGCGAAATACTCACGTCCACAAAGGCCTTGAATTGCGGGTTGCTTGCCATTTCATCGTCAATCCGGTACGCGGCGATCGGATAGTTGGGGATGTATTCCATGTAGGCCTCGCGGAAGTTAAGCACCGCGTCGTAGATCGCGGCAGTGATTGACCGAATGACGGGGTGCTCATCTCGCTGGACTTCGTGCAGCTTTTCCAGCATCCTCCGATGATGGCCATGCAGCTCCGCGTAATTATGGAAGACCTCTTGGATAAACTGCTCCAGGCGGTCGCGAGGGATAATGGGCGGATCCATCTCGCGCAGCGGGGCCACGTACATCTGAAAATAGGCTGAGAAACGTATACGTCGAGTAAGAACCAAAATCAGCTTACCACTTCTATGTTTTCGAGATCACGGACATAATCCATCTCACCCTTGATGACTTCGAAGATAATACTGAGAGCTACGGTTAACTCAACGTCGAACGCCGTGTTCAAACCGACTCACTTCTGACGCTTGACCTCAGTCTTCGACAAGTCCTGACGCACGTCCTCCGCAACAAGGTTGTACCACTCCATCTTGCCCGTCGGGCCCTTGCCCATGGCCGACTGCCATGTCCACAGTTGTGCGACGGTCTGTAGCTTCTTGATTGCTGCGATTGCCTCCTTCAGAAATTCGCTATCCGGGTTCCCGTCCGTCGTCGCCGTACACACTGCTTCGAGCAGCACAGGATACTTCTGCAGATGCTCGGATGGGAGGCTGAGGAAATGTTTGAGCTCGAACCCGTGCGCGTCCACGTGGCGAGAGCACTGCTCGACGAAGCGCTTGAACTCCGCGTTCTTTTCCAGCTCGTCCTTCATCCGCTTCTCTGCCACCGGCAAATGTCCAACGTAAATCGGGTACGCAAGCCGGAACTCGGTCGCGGCATCGAGGAAGATGTCGCCGAGACCTTGGATAACAGGTGCTTGTTCGCGTTGTCGGACGTAGATCATCTCAATCAAGCGGCGGTTGCACTCCCGAAGATCGAGGACGTTGCCGAAGACTTCGTCGATGAACTCGTCGATCTCGCTTGGGCGGATGATAGGAGGGTTCGCATTGCGCAGGGGGCGAATGAAAAGCTGGAAGGTCATGCTTTCAACGACACGGTGGGAACCACACTATCAGGTAGACTCACGCTCTCGATGGTGTCCAAGTCACGGATGTACTGCTTCTCCTTGCCAATAAGTTTGTGGATGATACTACCGCCTGGGTCAGCAAACGACGAGGACCATGGCATACTGGGCTCACCTTTGACGCTTCTTCTCGCTTTCTGGCAGCGACTCCAGGATTTCCTGAGGCACAGTTCCCCTCCACTCGTCTTTGCTCTCCTCCTCGTCCTTCTCTTGCGGCGCAATGAGCGGCAGAGCTCCCCCCTGAAACAAGGCCATCAGCGTCAACTCCACCCCGAAGTCGAGTCGATACACACCCTTCGGGGACATGTGTACGAGTAGCACGGATTCTCTTCGTCGCAGCTCGACGCGTAACAGCGGGTGAGGAGCGTAATGACTGCCGTCGGAAGCTCCTCACGCTCCATACGCGCATCCGACGCACCCTCCTGGTCGTCCCAAAACATGTACACGTCCTCCACCCCATCCTGCAGCGGCCGGTCGACCCACTCGACCTCATAGAAGAACAGCTGGCTTTGCAAGCTCCGTGCAACCTGTAACGCTGCACGTCTGTCGTTGGTCGAGATGCCGTGCGTAACCAGTAGTTCCCGTTGAATTTGAGACTGGATTGTTGACTGCGGCACAGGCGGGGAGTCCGATCATGTCAGCAAATCACAAAGCGATGCGTGCTATTTTCGCACGGAAAAAGCAGCAGGCACGTACGACGATGTCCTTGCCAGTGAATGCGCGCGGGTATGGAATGTTGCCCTTCACATGTGTACCTCTTGGTACCTTGTCACGGAGCCGAACGGCGATGTGGCTGAGCAACGCTGGGTTGAAAAAACGATCATCTCCGTCCTCTGAAGGGTCCTCTTCATAGAAGTCGTCCTCGTCCTGGTAGTTGTCGTGGAGTTCCAGCGGTCGCTTCAGGTCGGCGACGATGCGAACGACGTCAGGGTCACGCCATGTCGATGACGAAGCCACCGGCTGCATAGGTGGAGCATGATACATATCTTGCTCATGGAAATAGCCCGCTTGCGCGGGAGCTTGATGTTGGAACGTAGGAGGAACGGAAGGAGGCGTACTGTTCGACCAACCGCTGTCGGAGCCTCTAGACGCGTACGAGCCTATTGAATCTCCTCGATTCACCGTCGTCGCCAGCGATGACGATGGTCGGTGGATTTCGCTGTCCTGGTAGCCCGACGAAGTGGTCGTCCCGTTTGTGTATGATGAGTTCCGTTCCAGTCCATTTGGATATGCCGAGGAGCCACCAGATCCAGTCGAGGTGGACCGACCGAGCACACTTTGATCTGTGAGGAAACGTCAGTCAAGGAGAACTCAAATACAGCACACAGGGAGCGAGGGTCCGCCGATATGCGCAGTCGCGCGCATATGGCCACCCATAGAAGGTCCTTTGGCATCACCTCGTGCCCCGATCCTTCCAGCCGTCCCAACGCTCTGGGTTTGATACGAAGATGGTACTCACAGCTAGCGCTATGGTTGAGCGGCGGTGCAGCGGACAGTGAAGAATTAGATTGTTGCGAGTAGGGCCTGTAGTCTTGCTGCTGCGAATAATCCGAACGGGAATATACGTCCGACATGTCCACCGTGGAGGGTGAACTCGGCGGGCGGTCATCGTTGCCGTATCCAGGAACACGAGCGGGCTGAGCGCCAGGGGGAGGACGCTGTGAGTGCGCGTGTCCCGGCGGGATTTGTGAGCGCCATCCACCATAGCTTTCGGGTTCGGGAACAGGCATGGGGTATTGCGAGCGCGACGTGCTGTCTGCTGACCCGGGGCGGTTGCTCGCTGCAGACGGACGCGGGTCGGGACGTACGGGGCATTCAGAGAGGGCAGACGGCCGAGCATGGCAGAGTTCGCCGGGGGATTGACTGGACCCCCGGTGTAAGCGTTGTGACCGTTCATGGGCGAATGCCCATACCGCCTACCCCTGTACGGTTGCTCGATCAACCCAGGACGCAGAGGGAGGGAATGGGATACTTACAGGTCTGCGCTGCTCTGCTTCTGGTGGAGCTCGTCCGGGTGGTACGGACGGGGCTCTGGCATCCCTCCGTACATGGATGGAGGGGGCGCAGCGGCTCCGGGAGGACGGGGTAGGGGTCGGGGGGCACGCTGGGAGGGAGACTGGGGGCCCGCCGACGGGAGTTGGGGCGCAGTTTGGCTGACCGGCGAGGGAGGTGGGCGTGGAGAAGATGGGAGGCCGTGGTACGAAGCTTCGTGGCAAGTTAGATCAAAACGGGCGGGCACTGCAACGGAAAGACGCACAGTTGGGAGCCGGTCGCGCGGATGGGAGCAGTCTGCTCGGCGTAGGCGTTCCTTTTCCTTCGCCGTCCTGGTATTGACTGTAGATGTGGTCCATGTCGCGATCCGGCGGCGGCGGCGGCGGCAATGGGGGCGGGTGGGCGTGGTAGCCAGGCTGGTCCGAGTTGGTGTTGGGGGATTCCTCGGAAAAGCCAGCGAGGACCTGGTGGTAGAGCTGCGCAAGATCCTCGTCGCCAGGAGGAAGTGCAGGGAGTGCGGCGACGGAGGACATGGAAGTGATTTAGAGAGAGATAGAGTACAGGAACGGCCGCATCGACCGGGGCGAGTTGGCGGCGAGGTCGAGAGCGCAGCGGCCAATCAGTCGTCCGCCTCGCCGCCTGCCTGTTTTTGGATCCCTTCCCAGGCATTGCCTTCGCCGGCCCGCGGGCCTCGACATGATCTTCAAGCTCGAACATGCCACACCCGACCCTCACGACCGCAACCATGGCCGCCGACCAGCCTGCTCGCATCCAGAAGACCGCCTCGTCAGTGCACGATGTCTCGGCGGAGAAACCGCCCTTCGGCTCGCGTTTCCTCACCGATAATGTCGACGTCTGGAGCCAAAATGCGTGGGACCACGTTCCACCTCCAGATGATCAGGATGATGTGATCTTGGCGGCACTAAGCAAACAGAAGAGCTCGCCAGTTCCCGAGAGCGACAAAGCAAAGTACAACGAGAAACCGGCCAAACATTGGTATGCATCACCGCCCCAGCTATGGAAAGTTCCTCATTTTTTACCAGGGACAACTTCTACAAGATGAACGCGAGCAACTTTTTCCGGAATCGCAAATGGTGCGTAAACTATCCACATATCTGCACACGGCATTCTGACTGATATCAGCACGCAGGCTTCATCTTGAGTTTCCCGATCTCAAACGAGCTGCTGATCCTGACGTGCGTGAGCTTCCACCATATCAACCGGCAGATCACATCGCTGACAGCCTGCAGGCCGGCGCCCTGACCGTCGCAGAGATCGGCTGTGGTGCGTACGGACAACCTTGACGATTTGCTCCGGAGCTAACTTCACTTGCAACATACCAGGAGCGGGGAACGCAGTCTTTCCCCTGCTATCAGCGAATCAAAACCCGCTTCTCAGCCTCCGAGCCTACGATTATTCTTCTCATGCAGTCAAGTTGGTCCAGGTTAGAATGCATGTCATATAACAGCTACAGCGACTAACGGCCGTGTCTGGCAGAATAACCCCCTATATCTCCAACCCCCTCTGGGCACTATTGAGGCCGCCGTGTGGGATCTTTCGTCGCCCAGCCTACCTCCAGGCCTTGAGCCCGGCAGCCTCGATATCATTGTTCTCATTTTCGTTATGAGTGCCCTCCATCCGGAAGAGTGGGCGAACGCCGTCGCCAACGTTCATAAAGTGCGCACCTTCCAATCATCCGCACAGAATATAACCAGGCATCTGAGATGCCCTGACCATCTAGCTCCTCAAGCCAGGCGGTCTTGTGCTTTTTCGGGATTACGGCCGATACGACCTCACGCAGTTGCGCTTCAAGGGCGGTCGTCTACTCGACGACAACTTCTACATCAGGGGCGACAAAACCCGGGTATACTTCTTCGAACTCGGTACGGCCTTTTCGGCCCTTTGGTCGCATTTCCGAGTCCTTGCGGCGTGGCTGACACGGCTCCATCTTCGCCGCAGACGAACTTGCACTCCTGTTCACCGGCAAGCCCGCCCCCGCAGCCTCGCGGGAACACGGCGCCATTCAGATCATCGACGAGACCGACGAGCCCGTCGAGTTATCCGCGGCCACCCCTTCCGACTCTGGTGCGAACACGCCCATCGTTGCCGAGGTCGATATCTCGTCGACTCCACCACCGCAAAGGTCTTCGCCCAAAGCAGGAGCAATCCACCCTGTCCTTGCTGGATCACCAGCGCCAAAGGAGGGCACACATCCGCTTTTCGCCATCGAGCAGTTGGGCGTGGACCGGCGGCTCATTGTAAACAGGAAGAGACAGCTCAAGATGTATCGAGTGTGGATGCAGGGGAAGTTCCGCAAGCTGTAATGTTGGAAAAGTAAGTAATCGGTGGGCATATAGTCAGTGTATCAGCCCCCCGCCTATTGCGATCAATGGGAGGCAACGATGCAACTTACTTTCGGGGCACTAATTGACACAACATAGCAGACAGGTGACACAAATTACGGTCAGCCAGTCCGACACGCTTGAAACACAATTCATAACATATGTGTGCCAACATCCTCAGCGCTCCCTATTTAATATCATACTATCAGTTCGTCCGCCTACGTACTTGACATCAACTCTGTCTCACTCAATCCTAGTAAGTAAGCCGTGGCCGGTTGGTTCAACAGCTAGTAATGTCGAGCGCATCACATATGACAGAACCCTCCGAACTCGCACGTCATTCAAGCCCAGTCCTAATATTTCTCCTTGTGCACCCGCTGTTTTGTTGCGGGCATCCAAGTCTATGCGGCTTGTTAGGTACCTGGAAGAAATGATGATCCCAGTGGCGTTTTTGGTGGTATGTGGGGACTCTACCAAATATTGTATGTCGCACAGGTTGAGATTTATGCTCAAGCTGAGACTGGAACAGTTATTATAACACGCCAATTATCAGCATTGACGACGAATATTGTGCACGGCTCAATAACTTATTTCCGTGTAGCCAGTGGATCCGAGCTCCAAGACGAGCTGTGACGTCACACATGGTGCTCGGGCGCGTCGCCACCGTGACGACGGCTTCCCAGCCGGGGGCCACGCAGCCCGACTGGCCGTCACGCGTGGCTCTCCAGCCGTGACTCGGTCTCGCTCCGCAAAGCCTATCCATACGGAACGTCATGGCCTCCCTCAGCAACTTGAACCGCTACCACCAACTGCCCCATATCTGCGTCTTGAACGTCTCTCTCAGCGTTCAACGATGCAGCTCGCATCCCACGGCTTGCGCGCCCTCAAGGGCACGCAGGCCCACCTCTTCCCTCCTGGGGGTGGGAGCTCACGCTCCATACACATTCCTGCTTTTGCCCCAAGGGCCGCACCCCCATCGACAACTCAGGCGACTTTCAAGTACGCGCGCGCCATCGCCTCGCGCTTCTTTGCGCACCTCACCACTCCGGGCACTCTTCGCGCACCCATCCCGGCAGGCACTGCGCCTCGCGCATTCCACAATGCGACGCGCATGCCGTCCATCCAGCAGCGGCTCTCGGGCCCCGCGCGCCACGTCCTCTCCCGCCCCCTCGCAACGCCCTTCCTCCCTCGTGCGCCGGCCGTGCCCCGTAACATGACACAGGTTGGTCTCGGTACCGCTCGCAACTTCTCGTCGGGCCGCCCGATCTTCCAACACCTCATCGAGAACGTGCCGGTGTACGCCCGCGCGTTCACCGAGGCGGACTGGGACGTCCGTATCGAGGAGGAGCGGGAGCGCATGCGGATCGAGAAGTGCAAGGCAAGACAGGCAGCGAAGGCCGTGGAGAAGGCGAAGGCTCCTTCCCGCCCCATTCGAATCACCGTCGTCCCCACTCCCGCCGAGAGCGCTGTCGAGGACAAGGAGGCCGAACTCGAGCACTACTTCCCCCCAGTGAAGACCCCTGAGGTCACTACGTACCTCCTCATCCCTCTGGCGCCCACTCCGACGTCGCGTCTCCCCCTCCCGGCCAACCCGTCGGCGTCCATCGCACACCCCCTGCTTCCGCTTGGAGTTGTTGCCTCGATGCACCAGTCGCATGGGACGCATGCACTACGGGTCAACACCATATTTGCACGTCTGGACACCGCACAAGTTTTCGATGATCCGAACGTACACTGCGAGGCGCGCGGCGACCCAAGTGGACTCGCCACCATCCTGGAGGTTCGCTTCGATGGTTGGACCGCCAGCAAAGTACGCGGCATCATCGGCGAAGCGGGCCAGGGGTGGTGCGTTCTCGACGAGGTGTGGCCCGACGACGTCCATGCGGAAGCCGCGGAAGTCGAGGCCGCACTCGACGCGCTCTCCACGCTCGACTCGGACGCCGAGCTCGATGCGCACCTCTCGCTCTCCGGCCTCTCCGGGCTGAACGCGAGCTGGAGCGCGTCGTCCGAGCAGGTCGACCCCGCGACCTCGTTCGTGCTCCCGACGCTCGACTTCTCCGCGTCGTTCCCCGCGCCGTCGTGGTCCGGTCCGCATGCAGCCGCTGCGCCGCCAGTGTCCGACCTCGAGATGCACAACGCGTGGACGGAAGTGCACAGCCGGACGAGCTCGCCGATGGGCTTCGAGTCTGACGCGGACTCGGACCTGGGCTCTGGGGACTCGGATTGGCCCGAAATGTCCAGCGCTCGTGGGTCCTGGACGGGGGGCCGCTGGGTTGGGTTCAGCTCGCAGTTCTCGGAGAGGATGGGAGGTCGCGACGGGCCTCGGGAGGAGTTGTTTTGATGAGTAGTCTCGACTCTTGTGGATCGGCTTTCTGTTGATCGTGGCTCATTGTCCACCATGCACACTCCTTGTTGGCTTGCACGTCTCTTGTACACAATTTCAGTGTCTCTGAAGTAACGAAATTACATGATCAATGTACTCTGTCATTCTGACGCGTGCAGGTGCGTTTGTTGGAGGGCGAGATCACGAGTCTTCGCTCTGCGCCCGGTAAAACAGGGCGCGCTCACCCAGCTGTATGCGGGCACGATGCCCGAAGATCTGGACAACCACGCAGAGGTACGTGCACCGCACTGTCATATTGCCGAGATATGCATGCGGCTTCGATTGTGCAGGTCTTCATGCGCGTTCCCTATTGTCCCCCTAATCAGGACTGTTTGACAAACGGAGGTCCGACCACTCCTGTCTCAACACACCCTCTTCCTCTCCACCACCATCTCTGCCCTCCCTTGCACCTTCCCCTCTGCGTTCTTGCCAGCTATGCTGAGAAAACCTCGCCGGGCGCCGCACAAGAAACCCCGTCTCGCCAACGATGACGCCAGAGATGACAGTGCATCCACAATCACAATCTCCTCAGACTCCGAACCGGGCATGGTCGTGGACACAACTACGAAGCCATTCGCTCGGTCTCGTCGCTTGGTCGTGAAAGGGATCATGGAGTTGCCGGTGGAGGTACTGGAGATCGTACGTTCAATTTCGATTGTTTGCCACCTTCGACCCTCGCCAACCACCCGGATCAGATACTGTCAAATGCACATCCGCGGGATCTGTGTAGCCTAGTTCGAGTCAGCAAGACTTTCCGGGCGTACTTCCTTACACGCAGGATGGAGCGCGCATGGCTAGCATCTATCAAGGCCGCGGATCCGCCGCTCCCGCCTCGTCCGGAGGGGATGAGTGAGACAGCATGGTGTCATTTCTCGTTCGTTCCCTGCTGCCACGTATGTATCAACACCCTACCCCTTCCCTTGTTTCGTTGCCTCTGAACTCTTTCAAACACAGGTATGCGGCAGCCGCGCTGACTCGATCATCTGGCCGTGGTTCAAGCGCTGCTGTAAAGCGTGCACATTTACCGAGTATGTGCAGCGGGAATACAGCTGCGTTTTGCAGTCGCTGACCAACTCTTCTCAGATCGTACGGGTATATGGAAGTAGTGAAGCTGATCTACCTGACGTCTGGAATGACTCGTCCATGTGACCTCTCGTGTTTATTCGAAGAAGTTGTTGTCGACGTTCGCGGAAAACCGGGGTAAGTGGCGCATCGCGCGCAGCAGAAATGCAATTACGTTCTCACCTTCCTCTTACGCAGACAAGATGGCTATCGCTCCGGCTGGAGATATCACAAATGCCAGGTGAACGACTTCCTGGACACACTCAAGCCGCTCAAGGGCGCGCAAGGCCCCGGGAGCGACTGTGGGAGGCGCTCTTTGCAGCACAGAAGTCTCGGCTGAAAGATCTCCGGAAGGTATGTGGAATAGAGGTACTGGCAAATGAACGCTGGCTCACCGGCTATCTTCAGCGCATCGAACCATACCGCGATTGGAACGGACAAGAAGTGCGTGCCCGTGACAATATTTCGGCGGACAAACGTGTTGCTCGGTTCAACGAGTGAGTCTGGCGGCTGCATAGAATGCCGCGGGATCTGAAAAGCCACCCATTGTTATCCAGGATCCTGGAGCGCCTCAAAGAGACGGGGCGTGCGCCGGAGCTCGAGAAGATGAGCAAACGTGAAGTTGACGGGCTCATCAATCTCCCTACTATGGCCACACTACTCATCACGGAAGGTAAGGCTTCCTACGATCTTTTCTTTTCTTTCCAGGTCGCTCATGGTGCGCCCTCTCACGATGTCCTCCCGGTTTCTTTCCATGTTGTTGCGCCCCGCAACAGAATTGCAGGAAGCATTGAAGGTCCTCAAACCCGTGTTCACCGATCACCTCAACAGGAGACTGTGCGCCGAGCGTTTACCCATCCTCGAGAGCGCCATCGACCGGTACTACCTCCCCAAGTACCCACGCACCCCAGAGCAGGACTACCGCCTCCGCTTCATCCACTTCGCCCTGGCGGAGCCCATCAGGGCGCTCGTGCTACGCCCTGAGGACAAACCCGTCACCATCGCCCACTTCGTCGCCGAGATGGGCAACGTCGAGAGCGCGTGGTGGGCCGAGCGCAAGGCCGCTCTCCGCGACAGCGTCATCGAGATCTTCAAGCTCGCGGGCGTCGGCCTCCCCACCAAGTCGTCGCGCACCGACGTGCTCGACCTCGCCGTCGCGGGCGTCTTCCGGTGCAGGAACTGCAGGTGCTTGGTCTTTGGCGCGCGCGCGGCGATCCTGCACCCGTGCCGGGAGAAGAGGACCATCAGCAAGCAGCACGACGTGTACGTCGCGCTCGCGCTCGCGCGGGACCGCGGCCAGCCCGAGGAGGTGCGCTCGCGGCGGGAGCCGACGTCCAAGCCGTCGCGGGAGGTAGCAAGTTTCGAGCCATCGCGCGTGCCGCTCTTCGATCTCAAGCGCGTCTCCGCGCTCGTGAGCGCGATGGGGCTGAATCCGGCGGAGGCGACGTTCGAGCAGCTGCGCGAGTCCGCAGCGAGGCTAGTGTGTAGGACGTGCACGCCAGCGCGGTGCAGGACGGGGCACGCGGCCGCGGAGCCACGCGATATTAGGATCTTTGGCTGGGAGGCGGCGGTGAGTTCCCGCGCTCATTTCCGGAAATTGAACGCGACACTGAGCTGGGTGTGTCCAAGGTGTGGCACATCAGGGACTTCCACGAATCGAGCGGCCGCATGCCCCTATGGGAGCTCGTTCCCGAGAGGCACATGGACGCTGTCCGCGACGCCGAGGCAGCCCGGATCTCTGAGGAGATTTTGTTGTCGGGAAGTATCGTTTGGGCGTGCTTCATGTGTGATTGGACAGGATGTAATGGTGCACTCCGGCACTGGAGGACCAGGTGAGTTCGTGAATCGTTGTCTCTGCTTGTGTGCATTAACCAATTCTTGTAGACATGATGCGACTAGCCCGGACACAGCAATGATGACGGTGGAAAAGAAGATGTATCCTCATCCCTTGGAGAATACCGTCAACGTAGGTCCCTTGACCCTGAACCTCCCGATGTAGTTGCAGCCGTCATTGCTGGGTATAATGTTGCCATAAAAAGTTCCAGAGTATAAAGCTACAAAGATTCGCGCGGCAATTATCATTACTACCGTTACTGGGACCGCCAGGAGGGCATGGATGCGTGACTGAGCCCCTACTTCTGTAAGCGTCTTCGCGACGCGCCAGACCTCGACAAAAGGTATGTCTATCATCAAACTCAATGCATTAAGGGGGAATCGAACCCCCGGCGGGTCGATGGCAACGACCCAGGTTACCACTACCCCATTAATGCCTAGTAATTGATTGCACTCTACTTTCCTTAGCAAAAGTAGAGCTAGTCCTCTTTCGAACTGCTGTGATTTAAAGCATCCCAATCGATACCGCAATGTGCGAGAAGCGACGGTGGTCCAAATGCGCAAGGCAAATCACCATGACCTCACCGCCCTTCCCGTCCGTGTTTCGCGCACCCGCTCGCGTGTGCATGCCGCGGCTCGCGCTGCACCGACCTTGACTCAAGATCCCGATCGCCTCGGTCCCTTGCTCCCGTCGCGATGCGACCATGTCGGGCTCAAGCCTCGATGGGCGTAGGTCCATATAGGCTCGCTCAAGGCGGTGCAGTGCCGGTAGCTCAACCTATGCCGACCGTGCCCTCGAGCCGTCCGCTCGCCAGTCCTTTCGGCTCTTTCATGACGACCAGCCCGCATCTATCTCGAGAGGTCGAGCCAGCCCATCGACATCCGACACGTAAGTATCCACCCCGCACGACTGGGGAGGTCGTTCGCGCGCGGCTTCGCGGTACCTAAAGGCCTGAAGGCTGCCAGGAGGACACGCTCGCGTGAATCGCGATTCGTGATGCACGGGACGTGCCTGCGCTGACTGTACGTCGGACCGGTGGTGGTTTGCATTTGCATTCGTCGACAATGGTGCCGAGTGCCGAGCGCTCCGGCGCCGCTGACTGCGTGCGTGGCCCGACGCCACACCAAACGAAGTTGGAGTCCTCAGCGTGCATCGGAAGGACGAGTCGAACGTGGAACGCTGATGAGGATGTGGGCAACGACTGTGAGCGAACGAGGGGCAGCGGCTGGGGCGGAGCGCACTGGAAGTACGACTTCGGCCTCTCCTCTTAGGTGTAGCACGGCATCGCTCTGGCGCTCCCGTAACCTACGGTATCATTGTGTGGATCTGAGCTACATCAAGTATGCGTCGTGTGCGTGTGAGGGGAATCGCGAGAGTGTAGTACGAGTAAAGTATTCTGTTGAAGACTGCTGAGAGGGGAGGATGATAGAAATTAAGCACAGAAGGTGCTGAATAAATAGCTACGGTATGTGGAGAGCAAGACTATGACACAAGGGAAGCAGCTCGTTGAGTCGTAAATCGTAAATCGACGTAGATGCGGAGATGCGGAAAGCAGCACTCGAGGGACGGGAAGTAGATACAGCATACAACACTCTGACAGATCTTATGCAAGCACGGCGAGTTCCTCCACTCACCATCATGCAATCGCGCTCGTCAACCACCTGCCCACCCGCGCGCACCCTCTCTAGTATTGCGGAAACATGTCCGCCGAGAACCCGTCGCCCCGGAAGCTCTGCGCGTCCCCGACCGGGAAGAAGCCCGTCTCGCGCATCAAGCTCGTCCACTGGTCCCCAGCGAGCCCTTCCGAGACCATCGAGCCGTCGAAGATGCCCTGCGACGCGCCCGCGTCCATCCGCACGCACGCCGGGCCGTTCCCGCCCCCCGCCTGGTGCACGCCGATGCCCGGCGGGCCCGCGACCCCGCTGAAGAACGCGGCGTTGACGTCGGGGATGCCCCCGGGTCCGGGCGGGAGCGTGTCGAGCCACCGGAGCGCGTCCATCGCCTGCATCTGCTGCGAGGCCGCAGCGCTCGGCGGTGAGGGGAGAGCTTGGGCGAGGCCGCGCTGAAGGGCGACGTCGGCGAGGCGAAGAGGGAGGCGTGTGTGTCGATCGGGACGCCGGTGTCCATATGCGTGGCCCGGTGACGCGCCTGGGTTCTGGTTCTGGTTCTGGACGAGCGAGATCGAGGCGGTGGAGGGGAAGAGGGAGAGGTACTCCATGAGGCTGGGGTGGACGCCTCCATGTGCTCGTCCATCTGGTTCGTGCCGTCGTCGCTGGGTGTAGATGCGCTTTGCGGTGACCCGACCGACTGTGGTGCAGGGGTCGACGTCGTCGACGGAGTCGTGCCAGACGGAGGGGTCGACTGGTCGGAGGATGCGGAACGCGGCTTCGCGAGTGTCTTGTGCCTGCGGCGAGAGAGAAGCTTGTTGGTCATGACGCGTGTTTGACCCCCGAAGATGGCGAGCTCGTCCGTGAACTGGTCTTCCGGTCCAATGTGCAACTGAATATCGAGGGACGGTGATAGGTGCCTGTTCCGATACTCGTTGAAAGCGGTCAGAGCACGTTGCCGAAGGTTTTGCAGAATAGGCTGGTTACAACAGAAGCAACATGTGGTTAACAGGTTGTTCTCAACGTGGCGTGGGTGCGGATAAGACGTACAAGTGCTTGTCGAGCGCGAAGACTGTGCTGAGCACCATGCTCAAAGAAGTCCACAGCAAGTTCCAGATCAGTGAGTGCACTCGGCGCCATTGTTGCATTCGGTGACCGTGTGACAGTGCTACCAAGGATGACCTGGGTTAGGCGGGTCAGCAGCCTTTCATGAAGAAACCATGCTCTTGACTGAACCATAAGGGCAGTAATTCGACTGAGAGAAATTACTTACAGCAGCTGAGAACGCGTGCGTCCACATGCTCCAGAATCGACTGCAAGCTCTGGGCTGAGAAGGAGTGGTTGTAAGATCAGAAGCACAGGCAAGGAGGGACATAAGTACCATCTGTTCCAATGGTGCAGGAAGCTCCGAAGCAGAATGGAAGCGCATCGATTGGCGGCGAGGAAGGACGGCGCATATGGACTTGCCAGAGGGTTTGTGGGATGATCGAGGAGTGCTTGCGCAAAGAACGTCCGATGAATGTGGATCATGGCTGTAACATGACACATGCAAATGTTTGATTTTCACAGCTCGATGAGGTTGAAGAAGCACGTACTGATGCTGCGGAAATGAGACAAGAAGAATGACCGCAAACCACCGACGGGTTCTTGTAGTTCGCTTCGTCTGGCCTGAGGTAAAGCCTCACATTCGGGAGGGTGGTCTGCCTGATTTGCCGATCAAACTCCAGCACCTGCGCGTATGAAGGCGCCTTCGCGGCGAGCATCCCGTCCATTACGTTGAAATATATGTCATGGATAAATTGATGTCGGAAGGGCCAATCTGTCCCGGGTGAAAGATCTCCAAGTGAGCACGCATGATGAGTGTCAAGAAACCAGAAATACTAACAGCCTTCCAGACCGCTATCGTCTCCAGGGGTCGGTACCTCATCCATTTCTGGCAGTTGCAGTCGACGTAGATTTGAGACAACGCAGGTGGGCGGCCGAGGGCCATGCACTAGGGTGCTTCAGTGGCTGGCGGCGCGTCAAAGCCGTTATCAGGACGTACATGCATCATGTCCATGCCTGATAGCTCCCAGAATAGGTTCCGCCTCCGTTGGACGTGCTTCTTCTCGAGCTTCCACGCCGCAGAGTCACGATCTACACATCACCGGATCAATCAGACAAACGGCGAGGCGACCAAGAAAGGATACGGACGTAATCCAACCTGAAAAAGGATGCTCGGACCTCAGTTGGCCAGAAATCACCACATCAGCGGGAAACACTTACGCTTTGTGCTATCTTGCGGCAAAAGATATAATCCTCCAGGCGCTCTCGAGCGAGTACCGGGCGTGCAGATGCTATGGTACGCGCCCATGATGGTCAGCGCCTGCACCGTCTCTAGCTCTTGGGACTCGAAGATGGGGCGGAGGGAGAGCGCCGCGCGGCCCAGGCGGTAGTACGTTTCCGCCTCGGCGCTACATGGAGGAGGGTAAGATCGACGAGACAGCCCGCGGCGAGTACGAAGAAGAGAGTGGCGAGTAGATGAGGGCCTCGGCCATCATCCTCCTACTACCCTCGCGGTAATAGCTATTTTTGGTGGGGTCGTTCTTGCACCGGTAAATAGGAACGAGAATGTCGTCAATGAGCTCATCTCGCTTGATGGGCCGGGACCACCAGGAGAGTTGTTCTAGGTAAGTCTCACACAGCGACCACGCACGGGGCTGAGGGGGGAGCTGTTCCTCCAGTTTTTCGATGAGTGCGTCTATACCGTCTTCAATGATGGTGAGAGGGAAGCGATGGCGATGTTGGCCAGTTCGGGGTCAAGGTTGGGAACAGCCTCCCCTTCGTCGTCAATGTTGGTGGCCTGGCATGGATAAGCGCGGCGTTCTTTTCGTCCGATGGAACGTATGACTCACCGATAGCATTGTCTGAAATTGGTAAGTGATTAGTGGGTGCAAGTACGCTGGGCGCTAGACTCTACGCACCTCCGAGCCCGCCGATCGACCGAAGTACTTGGACTCTCCATGTTCCCAAGGCTCAGCGTCCCAAGCGCGTCAATATTTGCTGCGAGCATGTCTCTTGTGTGTTCATCGTCGACGGTGCGGCGTACTTCAGCTCCAAATTTGACAGAAAGAAGCTCATCTCGGAGGAGGGGATGTCGTTCGTGCGAGATGCCTGCCTGGAAAATGGCAAGGCGTCTTCTAGTTGTCGTATGCGTTCGCTCATCTCGGAAATCTTGCGGTGGAGTTGATCAGTATCGGCGAGGATGAATCTTGGGGGTCACTTGAGGACGTGCATGTATGCGCGCGACAAAAAACCGAGAGACAACCTTGTTCCCTGCCCGGCGACAAACTGCCTGTATGCGCCCCGCCAACCACAGCATCGAATTCAGTATGAGCAGGAGCGACGAGGGGACCAGAGTGGGAGATATAACGGAGGAACGGACCATTGGGACATATGGACGTGCAACCGCGGCGGACACATGAGCCACACGGAATCTTCTTGTCACATTTGAGCTTGAGCCTGAGGGGGCGTGGAATTCGAAGGCAAGGTAAGACCGCGCGTGGCCCAGTGTGCGGATGGTGCGTACCTGCGGCACTCGGCACAGGAGATCTCCCCTCGAGCGCGCTTGAGCTCAATCTCATCGTCGGTGCTGATCTTGCGCGAGTTCCGGCGGGGTCGGAGGGCATGGTGGTCAAATGGGCGCGCGCGGGGGCGCGGAGGGCATGCAAGATAGTAGCGGGGGAAGGTGGAGAGGGGAGGGGAGGAGGGGCGAGCGTGTAAGTATGAGGAAGTACGAGGCAGCCGAGCGCGCGCGATCGCGCGCGCGGCTCTCAGGCTCCGGGCAAACGCGTGGGCGGCTCTACGGCGGTCGACTACGACTCCGAGCCGCCGATGGTCGCTGACGCAGCCCGCCGCTTGCTCACCGCTCTGCTCGCAGTCGTGGCTTTCCGTGGCGCCCCTCCTGTGACTCATCGCTCACTGAGCGCTGATTCAACGTTGAACATTCAAGCCCCACTGCTGTTGAACGTTGACAGCTCTTGAAAGGTTATGCCCTAAGAACGTCCACCTCCCCAGTCGTTGGTTTCCTCCGGCCCTTTGGGCGCACAGCACCATATCCACGAATGTCAAGCTCGATTGGGGCCACTCCAGCCTCTCAATGCACAGGCTAGTCTCTGTCGCGGCGGCCATGTAATTGCGTTCAACCTTCTCGGTCTAAGTGCGGCGAGCCCACTGTCAGGCCCTCAGCGCCGTCCAAGTTCAAACCCCTCTTCTCCCGCCCCACGGGAATCACCATCAATCCCACAACACCGCCGCCGGCCCACCCTCCAACGTCCCTGGTCAAGACCCCAGGACCAAGGGCCAAGCGAGCCTGTTGAATCGCCACTGCACCTCACTGCACCCTCCCGCACCCACAGCCAAATCCGCACGGCGCAAAACGCAGGACTCTCCCGTACGTAAACACCGATCCCGACCGAAGGCCTCTTGACGCTCGCTCCAACCCAGCCGCACCACGCCCCATAGCCAACGGATCGGCGCGCGCGTGGCAGGAAGAGGCCTCAGCGTCGATCCCCTATCGTGCGGTCGTGACTGTGGGTCACTCTTTCGGACGCAGTAGTACTTGTCCCTCTCCCTCCAGGACGTGCGATTCCCCACCGGCCCCACCTTGCCCCCGCGCGAACCCCGGCGGCGACTTGCAATTGCACACAACGCGCCCGCGGTTCCGCGGCGCCCCCATACGCCCGTCAAGTCGGGACTCGGGACCGATCCCACAGCGGTTCCCCCGAGTTCGCCGGAGCCCAGAACCCACGGTCCAATTCCCGGGCCCTATCGACATCTCTGCCCTACGCCGCTCCGATGCTGCTCGGAGTCCGTGCTCGTCTGTGCTCGCCCTGGCAGAACGTCCCGGGCCGCACCATGAGTCCATGACTCGAGCGCGGTATGCGGGGTACCGTCAAAGTCAGGGTCGTGGCCTGTAGCGTGATCGCCTTCCCAGCGCGCGGACCGGGACATGAATCCGCAGTGAATATAGGCGCGCCAATCGCTATCCTGTCTTGTCGATCGCGCACTCTCGCAGAGCCACTGGTACGACACCAAGCTCCCACCCAGCGCGAACCACAGGTTTGACATGTCGCGGTGCCTGGGCATCGCGGCGACAGACTGGGAGCCGGGAACAAGGCAGCGATGCCCAGGCCGAGGCACCGTATGTACCTCCACGTCGGCGATGGACAGCCGTGCCAGCAGGGGCCTCGCACAACGGTCTTATACTCGTACGTACGATACATATGTACACGTCGCTCTAGCAATTATCACAGACGGAACGAGCAAAGCCAGGGTCCCAGAGCGAAGCCAACAACAAACGGGGCGTGCTACGCCAACAGACAAGAACATTATCAGATTCACCCGAGAGAGATAGATGGTGGAGTTGCATAGAGAACGAGGATTGTGGGTGCGGTAAGGGTGATACAAAGCGACGACGGGCGACGATACGAGAGGCGGGGTTCGGGGAGGACTGCGGAGCGGTGAGGAAGCGGTTACTAGCGGGGCAGCGCGAGGGGTTGGACAACTAAGCAAAGTCCGAAGATAGTCGAGACGATAGGCTGGGCACTTTTCTAAGCAAACAGCGAGCGGCGACGACAACACGAGGGTCGGCGCGTCGAGCGTGTGAGGGGGTGAGGGGAGTGGCGTCGCGGCAGGGGGTCGCAAGGAGGGGAATTAAAGTACAGAGGAGCGGAGATGTGCAGTATATAAGGATAGTGCGGGTTGAGGGCAGGTGAGAGCGAGCTGCGCGATGTGCGGGCCAAGAATCAAGATGAGGGAGATGGATCCAGGGGTTCCAGATAGTACGTGCTGTAGAGGTGGACACTGCCACGTATCGACCTGGCGGAGATGGGGAGAAGGGAGGAGGAAGGGAGGAGGGCACGGGACCAGGATGGGCAATTAGGCTTACAAAAACCCGCTCTCGTGCATGAACGACGTCCACCGCTCGTCCAACCTTCCATGCCTCGATGCGAGCCCCAGCCCGACCAACTCCGACGGCGGAACATACTCTTGTGGCGCGCCCGCACCCTGCTGTTGCCCGTGCGAATATGGCGTTGTATCCGCATAGCGCTGCAAGAGCTCTTGCTGCTGCTGAGGCTGATATTGCGTACCGTACGCCGACGAGACGTGGGGCCCGGGGGCAGCGGTGGCGTACCCCTGCGCGGGTTCCGCGGGGGCATGCTGGTGTTGCGGTACCCACTGGTACTCGGCCGGCGAGAGCGAGAGCGAGTGGTGTACGTGGGGGTGCGGGTGCTGATGAGGGTGCTGGTGTGAGTGCGAGCTGGGTGCGGGCTGCGAATGCGAGTAGCTGAGGCGGTACGTGTGCGGCTGATGCGATGGGGGCTGAGAGGACTGTCCCTGTATAGACGGATACTGGGAGGCAGACTGAGAGTGGACAACAGCAGCTTGGGCCTGGGCTTGGGCTGGCCACGCCTCCCGCAACTGAATAGAACCGTTACTTCCGGCGATAGGAGCGATAGGTAGCGTCGTAGGAGGGGTGATAATCGGCGGTGCGTCCCCCGGCTCCGATAAGTGCATCGACACTGTGTGATGACGGGGGATTGGTTGAGGCATCTGGGTGGGGGAAGGCGAAGGGCGCTTTGACGCGATGACCGAGGTACGCCCGGCGAAGATGTCGAGCTCGTCGTCTTCCTGGCTGCTCCAGAGCGAACCATCATAGGTGCCAGAAGAATCGTTCTGAGCGTTTCCGAAGGCATTGTGGGCCTTCTCCCGGAGCTTGAGAAGAATCGGCTAAAGTGCGCCAGAACGTTAGCAATGATCGCCAGGAACGGGATGATTCCCAGTAACTCGACCCACCAAAGCTTTTGCAGCCCTCCGATTGTACCTCGACGCCTGCTGGAACAGTTCATATGCCTGATCCATTTGGACCAGTGCTTGTTCTGCCATGGATGAGCGCGGGCCGCGGGTGACAATCGTGGCAAACACGACCTGCAAACGGGTTAGATCCGAGCGGCGTTAACAACGGGGCACATGTACTCACCGCTGCCGAAAACGCGAACGTCCAAATGACCCAGAACCGCGCGCACATGGCTGGGTACAGCTTGAACTGCTCTCGGATAACCCTGAGAATTGTCGTCGAGGACCGGTAAGCGGTCAGGAATGAGTGCGCGTATGGGCTGCGCAGCGGATTCCTCGGACAATCGGTGATAGCCTGAGCAAAGAAGCAGCGGTGCAAGTACAAGAGAACTGGGGTGGTGATTGAGCGACCGTGATAGAAGCAAAAGATGGAAGCGTCACTCACTGACTTCCCGCGAGTGCGCAAGGACGAAGCGGATCATGCTTTCTTGTATTGGCGGGGCTTCCTCATCTGGTGCAATCTCCAAACCCTCTTGCATAGCGGTAGCGTCAGGAGGGATAGGGAACTCTCGGACTTTGCGGTCGAGCTCCAAGATCGTCTCGTACGAGGGGGTTTCGGCAGCGAGAGCTTTTGAGGTCACCTCGGAAACGCACTGCAATGCGAACCGGAAACCCCATGTCTCGACTACAGCATCGGCATGAGTCAACGGTATTGTCAATGAAACGACTTCCCGGCGACTTACAATGAGCGTCCTGTTCATCGTCACCCTCCTCGCTATCCGGCGACAACGCTGGGGTAGGGAACTTGCAGTCAATGTACTCGCGTTGGATAACAGGTGGGCGCCCCGTCATCATGCTCTGAGACGCATCAGTACACATAAGACACAAGATCGTAAAAAGGACAGACCTGCCATGCGTCACCAACGAAGAGGTCCCAGAACGTAAGCCGCCGCCGCTCAAGGATCTCTGGCGAGAAGCCAAATCGCGCGCCGTCTCGATCTTTGTGATATTGTCAGATTGCGTTCCGAATAGATGGATAGAAGTGTGAACTTACGCAGCCCAATCTGTTCGGGGGTTTTCGGCCGGTCAGAGGATACGTCAGCGGACATTAGGCGTAACCACGTACCGTGTGAGCCAGTTGACCGGCGAGCGTTAGCAAAGCCCAAGAGAACTCCATATGGTGGTCCGCGCCCCCGGGCTCGTTGCCCACCATGGCGACGTAGATACTATGTAGATGGAGAGCCTGGATGGTGGTGAGGGAGGGGTTCGCCAATACCGGCTGGAGAGCCATGGCCGCCTGCGCGAGCTGGCAGAAGTGTTCCCCCTCCGAATTGTATCCCTGCTGCTTCAGATCGACCAGCGCGCCGATAGCAAGACAAAGGAGGAACAGGCCCAAGTCGTGAGGGCTGCTGGGCTCGGTCATTGGGGTGTCGTCATTAGCCGCCTGCTTGTAAAAGCGGGGAACTAGCTCCTCAAAGATTTGCCGCCTCGAAACGCTCCGGAAGAGCCAGGAAGCATGCATGATGTATGACTCGGCGAGTTCGCATGCCCGCTGGTAGGGCGGAAGATGGCCTTCAATCAACTCATAGGTCTGTGCAGCGGGGCCCAAGGGAGTGAATGGGAAGGCGTTGGAGAAACGGATGATGTCGCCGGGAAGCGGAGGAGTATTCGAGTCGCGTGCTGACTCCGGAGAGGCGCTGCCGTTACTTAGTGAAGAGAGGTCGTCCACATCAGACTAAACGATCGGGAGACTCTGTAAGGTTTAGATCAAAGAAGTGAGATGGGAAACGTACGAAGAGTAGGTACTGGAGAGCAGGTGAGTGAGTCATGTACAAAGAGGTTGTTAAAATATACATACCTCCGTTCCACCTGTGGGACCAAAGAACCGGGAGATGCCCCCGTCGGTCACGGACAACATACCAAACGCTGAGACGACGTCTCCTGACCCGGGCCGGTCTAGAATGTCCATGCCATCATCATCGTCCAGATTGTGGTTTTTGGAGGTGCCGTCGGATAGGAGGGGATGGGGTTCATTGGACGACTTGGCTTGGAGAATTGCGAGGGCGTCCTCGAGTTGATGAACACGCGCACTCATCTTGGCTATTCGACGGTGGAGATGCTCGGTCGCAGCGAGCACAAAACTAAAGGCCCGTTTGAATGGGGAGAGCGTGCAGCAAGAAGACAAGCAACGCACCGAGTACCCTGGCCCGTTGCAAGACTCCCTGCGACGATGTCAGCATTCAGACACAAGGGACGTGGATTTGCGCCAAGCGCGCTTCACGGACCATTCGGACATAGTGCCGCGCATCCTCGACGCTAAAATATGATGAGCCAGGATATGGGAGACGGGTGGCTGTATGCGCACCTGGCAAGATTGGCAGGGGATGGTCTTGTCGCAACGGATCTGGGGCCGAGTTATGAAAGAAAGAAGCGTGGACGGCGTCCCTGCGTACCTTGAGCCTGGAAGAAGAGCGCGCAAAGGCCATGAGGAGGGATAAGAAGACCGGGGACGCGATGATCGCACCTGCGACATTCAGCGCACGAAATCTCGCCTCTGCTCCGCTTCAGCTCGATCTCGCGGGCGTGACTGGAGTCGTATTTGATGTCCTCGGCATCTCTGCGGAGGTTGTTTCTACGACGGGCGGCGGCAGCGGCCTTGGAGGGCTCAGCGGGCATGAGAGGGAGGGCGGGAGTGGAGGGGTGGCGAGAAGCGAGCGGGGGGGAAAAGGGGAAGTAGACGCCGGCGGGATAAATGATTCACGACAGAGGCCGGCGGGCGGTATGTTGGCGATCGGAGCCAACGGCGGGGTCGAAATGAGCGAGGAGGGATGAGATGAGATGTTATAAGCCGTGTACGCTAATACGAAGGCCCGGTCGCCCAGATTATACTCAGAAACCCGTTCGGATGTGGCCTCCCGACACTGATCCCGCCCGCGCGGTACCGGGCCCTCCGGCGCCAGTTCCGTCCGCCCACTGGCAGTGTTGCGCCGCAGCAGCCCATCTTCGTCGCCCACCACTCCGTCGCCCGCAGTCGGTTTGAGTTTGATTAACGCGCTTAGCGAACCTGGGCCCTTTTCCCACATCCGCGATCTCGATCGGGCGACCTCCTCTCTCTCTCCGCCGACAAGGCACACCGCCTCTCCAGTCCAGAACGCTGTCGGGAACAGGCACATCCAGTCATCCACCCTGCTTGCACCAATCACCGTCCGCTCCCCATTCTACTCTCTCGTCAGCTTCAAGACGAGGCCTGTCCGTGGCGCTCTTCAACCCTCTCTTGGAACCCGCAGCATACCGTACCCTCAAGCTCCGACCCCGTCGTCTTCGAAAGCTCGCCGGGTGGCGAGAACAGCGCCGAGTTGCCTGGGCTACTTCGGAAGAAGTTCTAGCTGATCAGCCTGCCAGTGGTTGTTCAGGTGCCGCAGCTGCCTAAGCGATCCTGCCCAGTATGTCTTTCCGCTACTCACGCACGCCCCCAGCGACTCCTGCTTCTCCCGATAAGCATTGAAGCAGATGCTGTGAGTTCTCACTAAGTCCTACTAACCGCCTGCTGCGTCGAAGCCACCGCTCCGTCTCAGTACGCTCAAGGCTGTTCGGTTTTCTCACCCTCGGGGCTTCTGCCCTCTATCCACCTGCGGAGGATCATCAAAGCCGGGTCCGCTTTACGTGCAATGTGTCTTTCTGCGCGGCCGTACTTGCGAACCTATCCCTTTCTAGCGTTCCTCTGCTCTTCGAGCGACCGTCTGCATGCCCCGCTTCATCCGGTAATGTGAGGATGTCACCGAAAGTCTCGACTCCTCGGATGCTGCGCTCGGCTAACGTCGAGAAGCTGGTGCAATTTCCAGCTTATGATCAACGAGAGAGTCCAAAACAGGCCGCCCCTATCCACCCAGCCCTACAGAGCCGACAACCCCGGAACGTTGCTTACACCGCTCTGACGAAGCGGAAGCGGCGGATGAACATGTTAGCCACCTGCGGGCAAACTCCGCGTCTTCTCCGTCTGCTGAACAAGGAATCTGTCCAACGTACATCATCGACGCCGTCACCCACACCTAGGTACGTCTTCTCATTATGAATCCCACTCATTTCTGTCCCGCACTCCGTCTGTCTGGAGGCCGCACGTGAAATGCTTAGTTCCTTCAGTTCAGTAGCCCCTTGATGATACCGCGGAGGAAGAGCAGCCAATTGGTAATGAGTGCGGGTTCCTTCGATGCTTCTCTTTGTATTTACTGTTTAGCATGGGAAGGCTGTGTGGCACGCGTTTCACGGCTCGAACCGAAGGATGTCTAGCTTGGCCGGCGGAGGCGAACGTTGTCTATCAACTACTTACAAGCGTCATCTGCATGTCCGTTTCTTCCCAGTGCGGCGGCGAGAAGGGCCTTCACCGCCGACGCAGCCTGGATCCAGCCCTTGCAACCATCATCGTCTCGTCATCCCCTCCATAGTCCGCATTCAACGGCGATGTCCACCGCAAGCACCCCATGCGTAACCGCAGTCGCGGCCTTATGGCCTTCTGAGTCTCATCGTCAAGCTTCCCTTTCGCCATGCCAAGCGAATGGTCATGTGTTAGCAGCCAGCCACCATCGCCCAGGCGAGTGGCGCGCCGCCATAAAGCGCATCTGCCACGTCGTGCGCACTGGGACATCTGGGCGCCTAACTCGTCAACCTCAAACCTCATCGGGGCCACGGAGGGCCACCGTCGATCATCCCCATCAGGCACACCAGTCGTGACCGCTGGACTCGACAGCAGTCGACAGCCTGAGCCTCGCACCTGGCCCGGCCCGGCCCGCTGTGTAAGGGGTGCTTGTCACTACCATTCTACGTTACGTCCGACGCGCTTCGTCTGACTACTCACACCGCCTGCGGAGAGAACGCACGCCGTCGCCGCTGCTTCTGTTCTCCGCTGCGACGGTTCAGCCCAAGGGTCCAGTCACCAGTGCTGAACGTGCGCGTGAACCTTGAGACAATATTGCCCGCGGCTCCCCCCCTCCGGCCTCTGCCGACCACGCGAGCGCAGCACAGCGGCCGAGGACAAGCGCGCCGGGCCCTCACCCTCCTCCATTGCGCAAAATCAGACATATTCGGGCGTACCGACGCGTTCACGTGGGCCATCATTGAAGCGCGGCGGTGCGAGCGTGGTGAGTCCGAGCGTCGCCTCGCTGATGTCGTCCGGCGTTCCGTATAATTCGGAAAGCCGCACAAGCGAGTGCTTCTTCGAAGCGCAGACGTGAACCACGGTTGTCGGAGACCTCGATAGTTTTGTCAGCCGCTTTGTCTGTCTCTGTCATTCTGCTCGTATGCATTCGTGTTTGAATAATTCTGCTTACTTGGTTCAGAAAATCGACACCAATGCTCGTGCCAACGAGCCCGACTCGTAATCCGTCACGGAGGACGCCGCGTGGAATCCGCGCATACTTGGATCCTCGAACACGCGTTCGTCGCCACGCACCGAGCGCTACGACTCTGAGCACCTGCTCAGCCAATGCCGATCCACGAGTCCGTGTGCCCACGACTAAGATGCACACGGCGATGCCAGCATGACCAGATTGCACACTCATCACCCCCGCGTGTACGCCAGCGCTCCCTGCCACGCGCCCACAGTGAAGCCCAGTTCATCTCGACTCAGACTCCACCACGCGCCGTCGCGGGGCAGCAGTCGTGAAGCACACAACGCACCATTTCCGTCCGCCCGCCGCGCTGCTGTACAGCAGACTGCGCGCAAGTACTCGTGCCCCGCCCCCATCCCAGCGTGTGGCCAGAAGCCCAAAGCTCCCGCTGCGGAGGATATTGGTCGTCGCGCGACGCGGCCCACAGCCGCTTGCGTCATGCTCGCTCACAAGCTCGCGTTTCCCCAGTTTTCAGCTACCTGTCGAAGCTGGCACCTGGCGACCACCCAACCGTTCTCGCCAACCAAGCAGAGGGCGCCTGCAGTGCGATCGAGCGCCGTGAGGCGCTTTGCCCCGTCTGGAGTCTGGACAGCGTCCCAAGCCTGGTGAATCGTGATCCGTCACGCAAGTCCATGCCTCTGAGTACGCGCAGCACGCAGTACGACAACGTCATACACGACACGATCCCGACGTCCCTTAGTCACTGTGTCTCGACGTACGCCTGGCCGTCGTGTGGTGAGGCCCTTTGTCTGGTTCAAGTTGGGCTCGGGTCATCTTTGATTGGCCTCCTGTACCAGTCAGTGTAGTTGACTGCTTTGGACCGGGACCGTGCTGGTTAGGAGGCGGCAAAAAGTGACATAATCACCCGCTGCCGCCCACTCAAAGCCACCGGGCGCTCGACACACATCTGCCCCTATCTGCCCCCGCCCACGCCCGACTCGCTCCCAAGACATACGCCTCAGGATTCGGAACATCATACCGTCGGTCGCCATCCGATCAGTTCCTCCGAGACCTCTCTCACTAAACCCACTCCTCCACGAGTCACGAAATGCGCGCGCCATCAGACGCGCAGTGTCGAGCGCCCGCAACGCGACGTAAGTCAGTTATGGTGGCTGCTTCCCCCGGGCACTTGAGGACGCCCGCGCGGCATGCGTGGACCATACAGTACTTATGACACGTCCAGCCGCACCTCGCCAGGCCACCGACGGAAACCCTCCGCGCACCCAAGTGCCTATGTGCACGACGCAGGGATGATGCCTTGGACCATCGTCTGCCCACGACCCCGGTTCCTTGCGCTTGTGGCGTTCGTCGACCGGCGCAGTTGTCATGTCACCCTGGGGCCGGGGAAGCGCGACGTAGAACGCTTGGAAGGGCGGGAGACATCAGCGGGGCGCGTGGAGGGACGTGGGTTCGGACCGGTGCGCACCCACGCCCGCCATATGTTTGATGCCGTTGGATATTGGCGTGCCGTGTGGACGGGTGAGACATGTGCGGAGGAGACGGCGGTAGAGGGGAGGTGTTTTCGGGACGTTATACATACAACATGCGTGTACACCAGTAGCGTGGTCGGGCACGGATCCGGGAGGGAAAAAATATGCGACAGTTCGAGAGAGAAGCTGGCGGAGACGGGAGAGTACATAGAGATGAAGGGAGAGTCGACGAACCAAGATGAACACTCGGTGGGCGCACGCGCGCCACCATTCGATCTACACTTAATACACAGATAACGGGAGTCGTTGGCCGGGCAGCGAGGAGCGAGGACGGAGGGTTGCCGTCATGTCTGGCGGGGGGTCGCGACCAGTGACGTGGAGACGAGCGCCCTGCGTTCGTGCAGTCCCATGGGACACTGCGTGACCCATCGCCGGGTTCCAGAAGCCTGCCGCCATATGCCCACCTGATGTGACGATCCGACAGGAGGGTGAAGGTGGCAGCTGGAAAACGGAATACGGGCCCGTGTTCTGTCGCGGGTGGAAGACGGGAAAGGAGGATGCCGTTTGGGACGACGACAAATCACGTCGAATAGAAGCCGGAATCGCTCACGCACTCTGCCAGATTGGATGGGGTCTCGAGGCGTACGGCGTCTAGAAGACAACAGGGTCAGCGACGCATTCGGCAACGGAATTAGGACGTAATAAAGCCGAAGAAGGGGCACCGTCACAGAGGTATAGCAGAACTAAACATGTAGAGATGGTGTGGGATCTCGACTGCGGAGTTGTGCGGAAACAGCGAATACGCACTGAAGTAGCAATGTGCCAAGGCTTCGGCTGCGGTGACTCTGTCGTGGTGGTCGAAGCGCAGCATCTTGTCCAGCAGGTCGATCCCCTCTGAGGTAACATTTAATCTGTTGTCCTGTGTAACGAACTTCGTCCAGGGCTGCTTCGGATAACTGGACACCGATGTGCAAAGGCACAGCAGGCGGCGCAATTTCGGAAAGGTTAGTCAACGAGGCGAGCGGATGGTAGAAGATCGGACGCACTTCTGGGTCAAGTCTTCGTTGAACGCCTCCAGATACAGGTGATATGCGGACAGGTACTTCTCGAGATCGTCTGATCCAACCACTTTGACGATTTTGAGTAGCTGGTCCTCGTTGTCACGTCCACGGAAAAAGTGCTCCCGTCGGAAAATCTGTCAGAGGTCATGTGAGCTCATTCCATTGGATGGCACAACTCTAGGTTCAGGGCGATATACCATCGAAGCCAGAATACAGCCCACACTCCAAATGTCTAGGCTGTAGTCATAATGCTTGTAGCCCACGAGCAGTTCTGGGCCTTTGTAATACCGTGACGCCACACGTGTGTGCAGCTCCACCCCAGGATGGTAGAACTCTGCGAGGCCCCAGTCAATTAGACGAAGCTGCGAAATTCAGAAGCGCGTTCAGTCACCGAACGCATATGACCTCCCTTGGCACGCAATCACCGCGTACCTTACGACGTTCCCTGTCGAACATTATGTTGGCTGGCTTAACATCGCGATGGATGATCCCGCGGGCATGGACGAAGTCAAGCGCCTGGACGAGGGAGCATGGAACGGGGGCGTCACACCGGAAATGAACGGCTGGAAACGCAGAAGGGGAAGCTTACCCGGAGCAATTGGAATATGTAGAATTTGGTCTCCATCTCCGTGAGGTTATGATACATATCCTTCCACTCCGCGTTGTGGACGTGCTCCATGATTAGGCTGTTCGACCTTGACGGTGGGTCGTGGACGACGTCGAGGAGGCGGATGATGTTGGGTCCACCGGCGAGGTTACGGAGGATCTTGATCTCCCTCTTGATTTTCTTCTTTGCGATGCTCTTCAGCACCTTGATGACGCATGGCTCCTCGTTGGAGGAGTCGATGCCTTCAAACACCTAGCCAACCGTCTGCGATCGGTCATCGCATAGACTGAGCATGAAGCACTCACGTTCGAGTATCGTCCGCCACCCAACCGCGCCACAATCTCATAGCGATCCGGGACATTCCACTCGATACGCAAACTCTCTGTCGTTCCACATGAGCACGCGGAGATGGAGCCGCACGAGGCGACCACACACACGGAGCGTGGTGCGACTCACCATAATCGTACCAACTGGGGCCGTAGCGAGCGTTCACATCGGCATAGACTCGGGCCATGGCGGCCATATTGCTCTTAGCAGGTGGCGGTGGGGATGGAGAGGAGGACGGGGAGACAAGAGACGGGATGGCGCACGACAGCGCCCGTCAGCAAGCGTGCATCGTGGGCTGATCACCGGCAGGCTCGATGAGTCTGACCGCTGGACGCCGTCCGCGGCGCGTCGAACACAGGCGCCTCTGCGGGCTGCGGGCGTCTGTGGGTTTGTGCGCTTTTCCCCGACCTCTCTCCGACCAGCCCGAGGGCAAGCGTGGGAAGAAAAAGCAGGTGACTGCCGAAGCGACACGGCGCTCGATGAGATCCCAATCAGACGCGTCGGGAAGGGCGACATCTCTTTCGCTCCCATTCGCAAGTAAGGTTGGCGTCGTGCACGGCATGCCAGCCCCAGATGCACGTGACTTCAAGCGTCTACGTGAATATAAGTCCTAGCAGGCGCCGGATAGGTGTCGCGCGCGAGGTGAAGCGGTCGCGCGGTCTGCGCGAGGCTACGGAAAAGTTAAGATAGTATTGAAATGAGTACATGGAAGCACCCATGCCCTCGCGGTCGAGTTCCGTTAAGATTTCAATCGGCAAAATACTATGAACTGAGTGTTTCTTCGCTGTGTTTGTGAAGACTAGTACTGATGTTCCTCTCGCATTTCGGCGAGAAGGTTTCCAGCATTGTTCTGCAGGGGTCGCATTCTAGTGATGTGGTGATTCAATTGCTTCACATGGGGTTCGTGTTGCGACGATGCTCCGGACTCGGGCAGTGGTGACTGCCCCGACCGGCGTCAATCCCGCATGATATCAGCGGGCGTTATGAAGGTGCTCACCGTGTTCTCCTTGTCACCCGATGATTCCACCGTTTCTGTCAGCTTCTGGCGAGATTTATGCGTGCATTCTATTTAGACTTAATCATTCGACTCATTGTGTGTGCTTGAAAAGCGTGGTGGGGGCAATGCGTCATGGCCAGAATTAAATGATGGATTTTGGAGCCATTTTACACCACAGATGCTCGTTCGGGACACTCTGACGCCAAAATCACGCCCTCAAAGCAGTTTCTCCTCAAAACAACAGACAAATCAAAGGGTATAGACCTTGTCTAAAACCTGGTCTGATCATTTTCTGGTATGAGTCCTGTAGCCATTGATTTTGACTTTTGAGGAACGCAGAATCGCGTTCCCCCGCCAAATGAACGGGCGCTCGTCACGTGATGTGGCATGCCGTGCACGACGCCAACCTTACTTGTGCCTGTGAGTTTCATCCACCCGCCTCTTTCCCGGACCAACGCCAGCGCACCGACGGCTACCGACGGGCGGGAGAGGCGCGCCACCCCTCCGTCCGCTCGTGACTCCGAGGATTGTCCAGGCCGGCGGCGACGGGCTGCAGAGCGCTCCACTACGCTGGCGCCAATTAGCGCCGACGAGATATCGATCTGCGCGATGCGTGGCGCGTCGGCCGCTGCCGAACCACGTAGTTCTCCTTTCGTGCTCCCGTCCGCACGCGCGGCTCTCTCCACATGCACGCGCCCGCCGCGCACTTACCGCGTTGCCTGCGCCGACAGTGCATGTCCCTCCGCGGCGCTCGAGGTCTTGCCGACGTCGACGTCGCACCCCCACTCACACCCGCGCCCGCGCCAACACGATGGCTCCGTATTTTGAGACTGCCAAGGTGAGTCTCAGGGCCGCCTCTCTATCGCCGAGCTCCGTGCCCTCAGAGGGTGCAGCGTCAGACCTATTCCACGCTGAGAGGCACGGAACGCGTATGTTTTGCTGATCCGAGCGCACCCACCACCAGTCCTTTGCCGATGTACCAATCACCGACGGTGGGGTGGACACCGCCACCTTCCTTCTCGCCTCAACGGACTTTGTGAACATGTTTGGTGCGCCGGCCGTGCCCGCGTGGTAGAGGGTGAGACTAACCGCCTCTCTTACGTGTCCCGGCCGCGGCCAGACCTGCTGGGAGGCGGCGTCTTCGCATTCGTGCAGAACGACCTCCGCTCCAATCTCGCCGTGCGTCTTCCCGATTCCCGACGTCCGCTTCGTCGGTCGAACCCGGCCCGATCTCACCTGCCTCTTCTCCAGGGCGTCCGCCGGCGGTTTGGCGACAGCGAGGGCGAGTCGTTCACCCTGGAGAAGCTGGCGGTGCACGAGCGAGAGACGAAGGGGGCGAACGACCGCCACGGGACGGCGTGTCTCGTGCGCCTGCTGCGGTGAGTGCCCCCCGCCGCGCGCCCCCGCACCCGCCGTGTCGTAAGGGCCTCACACCCCTGTCATCGTCCTGGCTGGCCGTGCGCAAAGCGGGCTGTGGTTCACGTGCGAAGCGCTCCGTGTGAGTCGGCTCGGCCCTGGACGTCTTCCTCGCCTCTCGCGGCAGAGGCGTGCGTTCGTGCGAGAGGCTCATGGACCGCCGCTTCGCCGCCTTGTTAGAACATGCAGGCGGACAGGAACGCAGAGCTGCACCTCTGCTTCAGGCGGGCGTTCGACCTCGTCCTCAAGCCCCACGTCCCGTACCTCCTCCGCCCGGTGATCACCGTACGTAGTCCCCGCCGCCCTGGGTGTGCCACTGGCCGCTGAACGACGGGGTGGTCGCAGATCGCAATCCGAGCGGTGCCGCACCGGCACGACTTCTACAGCAAGATCGGGCAGGGGGCGTCGGACGAGAAGCTGGACGGAGAGCTGACGCGGTGGCTGGACGGGCTGGACACGATCCTGGACCGGATGCGCGCCTTCCTGGGCGATGGCGGGTACGGCAGGATGTGAGCGGATGGGCCGAGCACCGTGCGTCGACGTCGGGCAGCCCCCGCGGTCTGTCACGCCGCACTCGCCCCATGTTCTCGTCATTCGCTTGCGCTGTCTTATTTCCGCCCGCGTTCTGTTCGGGGCTTCGGAGGCTTCTTTCATTCATTGTCCGTCCCCACGCGCCCCTCCCGTCATCGTCCCTCGCCCCCAACATATCAGGCCCTCCAACAGTCGCGTCTCCACCGACCGGGCGTTCGAGAACATGAGCCTAACGGACACGTACAGCGACCGGGGGGCACGCGCGACTGATGCGATGATCAGCAGACGGTGGACACACTGCAGATGCGCGCCGATATTGGCCGTCCCGCACAAAGTTAGCGTTCTGCCCGCCTGCCCCCAAAGCAGTCTACACGACACCCACGCGCATTAATGCACGGGCGACACAACGCAGCGCAACGGCGTGCGCGTCGAGGCCCGGACGCGAACAGCGCGCGCACGGTGGAGGACGGAGCATCCCCCGCCCCCTCCCTGCGTGCGCGCGGAGAGCGCGATCGTCACAGACGGTGCCTCGTTGCGAGCAAGGCGGGCCATCCAGCTCGCGCGTTGCCATACGCGGCAGGCGGGGGGAGCGCGATTTCCATGATGGTGGCGCGCCCTGGGAGCGCAACGGCATCGCACGCTGTGGTTCGCGCTCCGCAGGTGCAGAAGGCGGACGCGGCGGGGCGAGACGTCGCACCGGACGGGGAAGCCCCCCTTCGCGGCGGCGCGGGCAGACGGGCGGGCGAGCGGGCGGGCGTGCGCACGGGCGGGCGGCGGGCCATGGGGAGGGAAGGCGCGACGGGGCGCTGGGCCGTTTTCCAAAGACAACATACAATGTGACCATCTTGAGAGCGACACAGCACACGCCGGCGCCTGGCTGCTGCCACCGACGGTTTCGATCAAAACGCAGACGCCGATCAGAGTTTGTCGCAGATAAAAGCGGAGGGTGGGGGATGCAGCGCGCGGGGAGGCGGACGAGCGGAGTGCGCGGGGCCAGCGGACGAGCTAGCGCGGTCGAGCAGCACGCGCCGCGGCGGGGGGCGGGGGGGCGGGATATATAAACAGCGGACGCGGGGGCGGGCGCTGGAGGGGACGGGAGAGAGGCGTGCACATGGATACGAATCATGGGCACGCACCCGATATGGGAGGCGGTCGCCTCATTCGCCACGGATTTGAATTTGCCGCCTGGGAATGTTTTCTGTTTGTTTTCGATGGAATTTCGAGCATTCTGAATTGAATGTTTTCGCTTCTTCCCCCCGCCCGTCTTTATATCGCCTCGCTCGGTTCCACGTCAATCCCCCTTTCCCCCGTGCCTCTCCCCGCACCCGCCCCGCCGCTTCCGCCACGCCCGCCACGCCCACAACGCCAGCATCCGTGAGCATGCAATGGAGGTAGAGTGAGTCCCTCCGCCGCGTCTGCCCCGCTCACCCTGCTCACCCCACTCAAGCACGCAGCCCGCCGCGTCTATCGCATCCCTCATGGCCTCGGCTCCCAGGTGAGTACACTCGCTCCAACTCGCCCGATCGCCACACGCTCACAGATCGCCCAGCGTCCCGCACAAGCGCAAGCACTCGCCACCGCCCGCGACGCCCGCGGAGGACGACGACGGCAAGTCCGACCTCGACGCTGACGCTGACGCCGACGCCGATCCCGACCCCGACGCAGAGGGCGACCCCGACGGCGCGAGCGCGTCCCCCGCCGACGAGTACGGCAGCGGGCGCATAATCTGCGAGACGTGCGGCGACGGCATCTCGATCAGAGATGAGGCCACCGGCGGTTTCACCGTCAAACACTGGGATGCGCACCGCGGCGCGTGGTGAGTACGCGTGCCCGCGTGCTCCGCGCGCACGAGACAGACAGACGAAGAGCTCGACGCTGACCCGCTTGTGCCCGTCCAGCCAGACCTCAGGTTCCCAGGTCGTCGTCGAGGTCAGGCCCAAGGAAGCGCCCGTGCGCGCGGCGCCGGCGGCTCAGCCCGTCGATGCGTCCCAACCGCAAGCGAAGCGACGTCGCGCCAAGCGCACGGAAGAGGAGCGCATCGAGTATCTCCGATCCGACCCTTACGTCGCCAAGTTCGAGGCCTACCGCGTCCTGTGCGCGTCCTGCGACAAGTGGATCCGTCTCCGGCCAAACTCGACCTACTGCTCGATCCCCTGGGACGCGCACCGCAAGAGCTGCCTCGCGAAGCGGGTGTGAGTGCCCACGCGGACGTTCGCGTGCGTGTCCGGTGGTTTGACGTTGTTGCGTTTCCTGCAGGGCGAAGAGCACAGTCCCGATGGACGAGCGCACGGCTGTCTTCAGCGCGGACTCTCTCGTCAAGCGGTTCGACAAGTCCCGAGTGCAGTGTCGCGGGTGCGACCAGTGGATACCCATCCTTACCGACGACACAGCGACTGCGATCAAAACCTGGAAGCAACACCGGGAGTCCTGTCAAACGCAAGTCGTCACGAGCCCAGGCGCCTCGACATCCAAGTAAGTCGTAGCCGAACGAATCCACACGTCGTTGACGACAAATGTCTGACACATGACAGGTTCAACATCGCGAATGTGCCGCCACCATCAAAGCATCTCCTTGCTCTCGCGTCGTCGTCTTCGCTTCCACCCACCTCTGCTTCTGCACGCGCCGGCCTCGCACAGTCCCTCTCTGGGAACCCTGCCTCTGGAACGCAGCCCTCTCAGCCGGTCGCGCCGTCATTCAAGGACTACACCCCCAGCACCTATACCACCACCTCTGAGCCTCGCCGCCGCAATGCAGAGCAGCGGGCCGCTGCGCTGCGTGCGGACACCCTCCTCGAACAGGTCGAGCCCAACCGCGTACTGTGCAAGATGTGTCGCAAGTGGGTCCAGCTGAGGCAGGACAGCACCTACTGCGCCTATCCTTGGCTGCAGCACCGGGCGAAGTGTCTCAAGAAACAGTGAGTGCCACGTGCACCTTCGGCCGTGCGCACCCTCTCATGTGCTGCCCCCCTCAGCCAAAAGATCAACGACCGCGAGGCCGAGATCGCCCAGCTGCGCGCGGAGCGCGACTCGGCCCTGCGAGGGGAGATGTCGGACTCCAGCTCGGAGCGCGACGAGCTCGAGGACGACGACCCGATGGACAGTCGGACGAAGGACGAACGGCGCCGGGCGAAGGCAGAGGCGGCGGGGGCAAGGCTGCGGCAGCTCGAGGAGGTGCAGACGGGGCGGACGGGGTCAGGCGGGTCGAGCTCCGACGACGACGCGATGTGGGACCACATGGACGTCGACATGGCCCTCCCACCGAGGCTCGCCGACCTCGAGGCTCCGGCCGGCAGGTGAGTGCTGCATCCCCATGTCCCTCGTGCACACGCCCCTCCGCTCGTGGTGCTGACGCCATGTGCCCACTCTCCCCGTTCCCCCAGACTCGACTTCGTCGCGCGCTCCATCCGCCACCTCTTCCGCATCACGTACGCCGGCTCGGACGAGCTCACCATCGCCGCCCTCGTCACGTACCTCAACGCGGCGATGCCGCCCGACAAGCACGAGGACTTCGACACCGCCGAGGTGACGAAGACGATGACCGCCCTCCACGAGCGCGGCTCGTTCGTCTTCGAAGGCGACTCCATCCGGCTGCCCGCCGCGTGAGCGTGCGGGCGCGCGATACCCCCACCCGACCCCGGGTGGCGATCATACCGAACCGCGCGGCGGCGAGCTCGCGCGCGGTGCCTGACACGGACGCGAGGTGTGTGTGACATAAATGTGCTGCGGCAGGCGTGCCGCCCTGGGCCTCTTATGTGTTCTGTTTCTTGGTGGCCGGCGAAGGACCATGTTCCGTGTCCGTGTACTAGTATCTGGTGCTGTGGCCCGCTCTTCGCTGCTGTTGTGCTACATATCTATTGGCCGCTGCCGTCGCCTTGCTGTCTTTGTACTCCCGTATTCCAATTGTAGAAGAGGCTGTGCGTATGGAATCGTTAAAACAAGCCCGCTGTGCCGGCTTCCGTTGTGAAGCAGACGATTTGCCAAGGCTGCACCGGGGAAAGGTGAGTTATCGGGGGAACCCTCGAGAAGGGCGGGAATTCCCTGCACGCCCCTAGCGCGCCCAGTCACGCACGCGTGCCGTAACGCGAATGTTCCTCGTCACAGTCACCCCACTGGCTCCGACGACGACGGACGTTCGGGATGGCAGCGGGCAGCGGACAGCGGCCGTCGAAACCACAGCCGACGACCGCGAGCAGAGAACCCCCCACAGGCGTACACAAGACACACCAGCATGAGTCCGCCCATGATGAACGCGGTGGCGGTGCCCACTCAGGACTTGCTCTGCCCCGCGCGCAGGGCCCACTACAAATTCGCTCGGCCCGAGCTGCAGGATGTCCCCCCCAGCGAGATCTGGGTGCGGCACGGCACGGCCGCCCTGGCCAGTTGCCGGTTTAGATTGCGCACAGATCCCCAGGCGTGGGCAGCGGCCTGACAGAGGTTCGAGTTCTGTGCGGCGGCCTGGGCGCACGTACGGTCCTACGGAGCCCGGTGTCCGAGCGAGGGCCGGGAGCGGGGTCGGGGCGCCGCTGCGGCTCCGCCCGGGGATCTATCATCTGTGTTCTGGTGCGCGGGGCATCCGGCATTCGACGCCGTCAGGATTCAGGATTCAGGGCGGCGGTGGGGGTTTGAGGGGTTGAGGGAGGGTTCGAGCCCGGGCCCTGGCCGAGGTCGTTCTAACTTCGTCGTTCGGGCTCGGGCTCGAGCTCGCTGGCCACCACTTGCGCGCGCGACGACGCCGGGCCCACGCCGCGGCGGCCGAGCGGCGTTCGGAATTCGGGACCCGCGCGCGGGCGCGGGCGCGGCGGCCGATGGGAGCGCACTGCACAGCTGCAGCCAGTGGATCGCGACTCGCGAGCGGTGGGTCCCGGCGGGGGACCTGCTGGGACCTGCAGTCTGCGCACACAAAGCCTGCTTGCCGCACCGCTCGGCGCGGATCATCAGGGCCTCAGGGCCTTTGCGCAGACCACCGCCCCGGGGCGCTCGCCACAGAAGTGATGAGACGGCAGCTGCCTTGTCTGCCGGCAAGCGCGCAGGATCTGGGGACGTTGTCTGCCCAAACGAACGGAGAGGTCGTCCGCAGGCCCTTGGGGCCGACTGGCGTTTTTCGTGCGGTCCGCCGTTGATCGTCGCGGCGGCGCCCACGGTCTCGCGCGGGAGCCCTCCCGCGTCCTTTGGCGAGGGCCCACGTGTGTATGACCGGTCGTGAGACCGAGAGGTGTGGCATATGTCATCATCGTCTTGTCTAATCCGTTGCGCAGAAGCGCACAAAGGCGGCGGCGGCGGGGCGAGCGACGGAACGAACGCCCGCCTTCGGGCGCAGGGTGGCGGTTGCGGAGGACGTGCGGCGGAGGCGTGCGGCGGAGGCGTGCGCGCGAAGTGGTCACGTTGAATGGGGACGTATACTTCTGAGTTGTTCGCTAGCTCTCGACGCTCGTAGAGATTTTCTGCAGAAAAATGGACGTGACGGACGTACCTGGACTCAGGACCCTTACGAACGTGTTGGTCAAGCGGATCAGATCTCCGAAGGCGTCGTGAGAAGGCATGCTCACGGTGTCTATAAGTATGGGCCGCTCGTCCGTGTGCTAAGTGATAAATGCAGCTCTAAAGCCGGGACTAGTAGAAGCAGGCTTACATAGGAGTCGTGGTGCCTGGGAAGACACGGTTACAATGAGTGGGTGACAGGTCTCCGCCGAGTTGCGTACAACAAGCTACTCACTATCCACAACGTATGGAAACGCATGTTTGACAGCAGTAAGTACTGAGGGGCTACAGTACTGTTCTCCGTTACCGCAGGGTCTTCGTGCGTGCACCGTAGTGGACGTGCAGTTTTCTTGTTTGTTTTTGATGGTCATTGCTGTGCAACCGTCATGCTTCGGTCTCCGTCTATCTCCGCGGGAGGATCGAGAGACATGATTTAACAATGCGCTGTGAATCATGCATGAATGAGACCCAGAAATGACCTCAGGGTTCGGACGACTTACTAACCCAAAAAGCAACCCGTCACCGGCACAGATTCCCTTGTACACGCTTGTGTGATCCTTAAAATTTTTTGATACAAGTAACGACCCGAGAGGGTCACGAATGTGATGTGTGACATTGGCTTGACGACTTTTGGCACGTGGCTGTCTGACTTCGCCTCTTCAATCCCATACCTCAGACTCGTGTTCCCCCGTCGTCCTCTAGTGTCTACTCTCTAGTCGAATTTCTGAATAGCATCTCCTATGCACACTGTCAAACATGCGAACTCAAGTGTGGCTTAGAAGTCCCTCATTTTTGATACCATTCAATAATAAACTACGTATCTTTGTGAGTCTCTGGCCGTCCACTCCATCGCCTGTAGTGATGACAACCAGCGCGATTTAACAGCATTCACAGACAGTGCTATTAATTTTCGATTGCATACGCAGCGCATTCACGCCATAGAATCATGGCCCTCCAACAAAAATTGTTCGATAAAGCGTCGTCAGTCTTTACTGTGATAGGTACGTCTGTGCAAACGTCGTCATATCATCTGCCTGGTCTTTCTCCTATGGTTCCGACATGAGCCCGTTCACCCGCTTTCCGAGCTCTTGCCACACCCTTCGGACAATTTGAAGCCACGGGTGATCTATCCCATATGACTGGCGTGACGTCAGCTGCTCTGACGGCTGGATGACGGACGTACATTTTGGCGGGCCGATGGGTGGCATTCTGTCGTCCACGGACCGTCGCATCTTGCATGAATGTATGCCGTCGCAGGTGGAGCATCATAGCATGCGCTCTCCCAGTGAACAGCACACTGCAAGCCGGGCCGTTCGATTTTCAAATTTGATCGCGTGGTATGAAGGCGCAGCAGTCGTTCATTCTTCTAGACCCGGAACAGAGTTGATGGAGTATCGCAGTGATATTGCACAGTGCGCTTTGTTCATTATGGCATAATGGCGAACACAGCTCATAGCTCCCGATTCTTGGCGTTCAATTGCATGACAACCGTCATATGTTTCGCCACATTTTGGGCGATGGCGAGTGCGAGAGGGTCAGGAGGTGCAGTCGAGGACCTCTGTCGACATCTGTCTCTCATACTCTTTTCCGTCCCCATCAGCGTGTCGTCTGGCACGTGTCGAGTCTCTGCTTCTCGCCAAGCCTATTTTACAGGAAGATCGGTCCTTGCTTCGGCTCCGAAGCACGCCAAGGGCAACACATCTACAAGGGTACCGCCCACGCGGATCACCAGAGCCTGCACCCTGTGCATCAGCTTTAGGCCTGCCATGTCTTGTTAACGTGGTCGTAGACGGCTAAGCTCCTCCACCCATACCTCCCGCTTGGCGTTGGAATCTGGCTCACTTGCCGTCTCGATGCTCATGCTCTTCATAGTGGTTAGGTTCTCGATTTTCCTGTCACTGGCACTAACACTCGCAATGGTCTACATGGGCATCCGTACTTCGGCATTACAACGGCATCAGTCCTTGTTCAGAGGCTAATTCTCGGCGTCGTTGGGGCAATGCTCTTTTCACGGACCGTCGACGGACCGCGACAGCCGTCGCCTGTTCGCAGTTTCCGCTCACATCGCCTGGGCACTGTTCGAGGGCCATTGAGTTCGCGTCCAACCAGGCGCTTGCCTTCGGTCATGCATGTTTGCGCGTACGACTGTCATATGTGCATGGGCGTGGCAGGGCTCAACTGACGATAATCTGGTCCGACTTTGAAGCGGCCAGGGCAAGTCGATGGGGTATAAAAGACGTGCGAAGACGAGGACAAAACTCAGACCCAGCTGCCTCGTCTCCTCGGTCTACCACAGGCCCCTCGACACCGGTTCACTACTCGCCATCGCCATGAAGTGGTTCACCTACCTCACTGCCTTCGTGGCTCTCCAGATCGCCTCCGCCCTCGTGAGTGTCGATATCCCTTTGCTCTTGCCCGGCTGCTCACCAATTGCTTGCTCTACAGGCCGCTCCCGCCGTGTTCAAGCGTGCATCAACCAGCGACGTCGCCACCGTTGGCTACGCTGCTCAGGCTGGGTGGGTCTAGCTTCTTGTATCCTGATTTTGGTCTTTCAGCTGCTAACGTCCACCTTGCAGCACCACCGGTGGTAAGGGTGGATCCGTCACCCGGGTGTCTTCCCTCAGCGCCTTGACCAGCGCGGTCAGCGGTGACTCCAAGAAGATCGTCATCATTGATGGTACCATCACGGGGAACACTGTCGTCAAGGTTGGCTCCAACACCTCTCTCCTCGGTGCTTCGGGCTCCGGTAGGTGGCTTTACCTCTATAGCACCCAACTCCTAGCCAACGTTCTGAACGACAGCTCTCGTTGGTGTCGGTATCCGCGTTCTCGACGAGTCGAACATAATCCTCCGCAACCTCAAAGTCTCCAAGGTTCTTGCCAGTGCTGGGGACGCCATCGGGATCCAGGCCTCCTCCAAGGTCTGGGTTGACCACTGCGAGCTCTCCAGTGACCGCGACCACGACAAGGACTAGTACGTCCCCTCCCCCTTCACTCCCGTACTTCGCTGATCCGGCTCGTTTTCCAGCTACGACGGCCTCCTCGACGTCACCCACGGCAGCACCGGCATCACGGTCACCTACACCTACCTGCACGACCACTGGAAGGCGTCCCTCGTCGGCCACTCGGACTCGAACGGCTCCGAGGACGCGGCGCTCCAGGTCACGTACGCGCTCAACCGCTGGGTGAACCTCAACTCGCGCACGCCCTCGTTCCGCTTCGGCCACGGCCACATCTTCAACAACGTGTTCGACAACAACAGCGACGGCATCAACACCCGTGACGGCGCCCAGCTCCTCGTCCAGAACAACGTCTGGACCGGCACGAGCAAGCCCCTCTACTCGACCGACGGGGGCTACGCGGTCGCCTCTGGCAACGGTGCGTCGGGCGTGCTTGTGCTCTCAGCTGCGGGGCGGTGCTGACGGAGGGGGGCGTGGGCGACAGACTTCGGCGGCGCGAGCAACTCGGCGCCGACCGGCTCCTTCACGAGCGCCCCGTACAGCTACAGCATGATCTCGGCCAGCAGCGTGCGCAGCGCCGTCGTCGGCAGTGCGGGTGCGACGCTCTCCTTCTGAGCAACGGCGAATCGGGATGTGCACGGCGGACGACTGGAGCAGATGAAGAGATACCCCGGCTTGTTCTTGAATCTGGAGATGGTCCCACTGTAGGATGCGGATTGGATTGGATGTGTACTTCCTAGGGTGCTTTTGAGGGAGTACGGGAATGATAAGTGTATGTTGTTGGCGACATGGCTTGCGAGTCGTTTGGGGATAAATATAGCGATGACGTATGTACGCGTATGCCGAGCCATTGCCGGCCCCCAGCAGGTGACCGCGTTTTTGCCATTCACGGCACTGAGGGCGCGCCTCTTCTCCTGCGCTCTGCTCAAGCTCGCCCACTCACCTCCTCGCACTGTCTCGATGCCTATGCATGCAACAAGAAGGGCATTCGTTGCTCTGCATACACTGTCAAGTTAACAAAGTCCATGAAGTCCGCAACGAAACGGCATGTTGTGAGCATGGTTGTCGCTCCACAACGCCGCGGCCCCACTCATGGTGTTGTAGGCCCTTGCTTTGGAAGCGTCACCGATGGTGCGAGTGACCTCATAACCGCATTGTTCACTTCCACCCGTATATCTTCCTCTCCATTGCGTCGATGAGCGATGTGCCCCACGGTGTCTCACCTCACTATCCCTCTCCGCCATCCCAATGCGCCCCTCATCCTCTTTGGCCGGACTTTGCCTCGCCGCAGGCTCTGTGGCCGCCATTCCCCGTGCTTGGGTAGTGGAGAATACTGCTAGCGAACCCAGCGTGGTTGGAGGCATTCCCATCCCTCATCGTGAGTCCTTCGTCCATCTCAGTCGAGCATGCGTTCATGCGGGGGGCCAGACAAGCGGCAAATCATAGAGGGGCCCGGAGGGTACACATTCAACGTGCTCGAGCACATGGCTGGTATCGCGCCGTACTTCGACTCGCCCGGCGTGCAGCTGGACCCCAGCCCACCCGACGGCTGCACCGTCGACAAGGCCACGTACCTTGTCCGGCACTCGAACATCTACGCGAACGACGTATGTGCATCTACCTTGCCACTTGGTCTCACTTGCTGAACGGTCGGAGCGCATGCAGTTCGACTATGAGACCTACCTGTCCCCCTTTTTGTCGAAACTGGCCAACTACACCAACAGAGATGTCTTCACGCAGACCCCAGACCTCGCGTTCCTCGCCAACTACACGTCGCCGATCACCAACGAGACGGAGCAGATCGAGAAGGTGACGCCGTCCGGGCTTGACGCAGCAGCTGCATTCGCGGGGGTCATCAAGGAGTTGTATCCGAATCTACTCAACATCAGTTTATCCGAATCCGGTGCTTTTAGGGTCTGGGCGGCCTCTGGTGAGCTTTATTCCCCTTAATGCCCGGATCCGTGCTTAGGGAGAGAATTCAGCAAGCAGGGACGTTGACACAGCAAACTCGTTCATTGGAGCTTTGGGCAACAATGCCAGTCTCGTCACTGTCAATGAGGGAGAGAATGATAGTGCGGACTCGCTCACTCCACATGTGCGTACCCTGGTCTCGAACTCCTCTCGGGCGTGTCCTCACTCTTCAATGTCCAGTCATCATGCCCCGTTTTCGACTCCGCCATGGGCTCAGTGCAGTCGGGAGCATGGGTGCAGAAGTACACTGCGCCGTTGATCACTCGCTTCAACAACGCGGCACCAGAGTTCAATTTTACCCTCACGGACATTGTCGGCATGCAGCAACTCTGCGGCTACGATAACGTGATCCGCAACCAGACCGACTTCTGCAACATATTCACCGCAGAGGAGTGGCTCGATTTTGAGTACGCCAACGACCTCATGTACTTTTATAGCATTGGGTGCGTCTGTTGCTGGTTTCGGATCGCCATGTGCTGACATCCTTCCTCTTCCTCTGCTCGTCGATACAGATTCGGCAACATGATCGCTCCCCAGCTCGGCATGCCCTGGGTACGGAGCGCGCTCAACATCCTCTCCGCTAACGACACCTCCACTTTCAACCAGACGCTTTACGTCTCCTTCTCTCACCGCGAAGAACCCCCGCTCATCATGACGGCGCTCAAGCTTTTCAACAATTCTGCCTACTACCCCGCGCTCGACGTGAACAGCACAATGCCCACCGACCGCATCAACTACGACCGTGCGTGGAAGACGTCCCAGATCCTCCCTTTCCTCGGTCACGTCGGCATCGAGCGGCTCCAATGCGCAAACACCACAGTCAACTCGACTCAGTCTGACGACGGCGCGGAGACCATATCGGACGTGGGCTCGTTCGTCCGCGTGCTGGTGAACGGCGCGCCGATCCCTATCCCCGACTGCCAGGACGGTCCCGGACAAGCGTGCGCGCTGGGGAAATTCAGCGACTACATCCAGGGACGGGTTGCGTTGTACGGGGACTTCATTGGCGCGTGCGGTATCAACGACACGGTGACGAACAGGACGGACACCTTGTCGATCTATAATGCTTCAGTTGCTCATGCGTAATTTCGCTTCGGAACGAACCTCTCATCCACGAACCCTAGCACGAACTTTCATAGTTATTCACAGATTGTGGTGCATAATAGCTACATGATGACTTTATATTATATATCAACGCGATGGCCTCGTTTGCTTACGTACATGCAAGCTCCAGTCAGCATCAGGGCCCACCTGGAGTCGCAGTTAGAGTGTAGCATGCGGCGAGCGACTTGACGCCTATTCCACTGCTGCTTGGCTCTACCCTCCATGTCCACCCCCCTGAACCTTGACGAAGAGGTCCGACTATACACCAACAACGCAGAGCGCGACCAATATGGGCTCCTTGCAACGCTGTTTGGCATCATCGTCGCCCTGGAATATCTCGAACGCGCGTATGTGCGCGACTCCGTGTCTGCGTCGGAGTGAGTACCCGATCATAACGCTCTTCCCCGGGTCGGTGCTGAGCGGCGCTGCCGAAGAGGTATTCTCCCGCATGCACGCGACTGCTGTCGCAGTACAAGACCATGCTGAAGCTCGTGGGTGACGAGGTGCAGTCGATCGAGCAGTTCATGGCGCGGTATCGGGTGAGCGTATGCCTCTTCGTCGCGCGCGTCTCGTCTTGTTCACGCCGCCGCTACCTTCCTACTGTTGGTGCGGCAGATGGACCATCCCGCAGCGCTGCATCGAATACAGGTGGGCGTGCCGGCTACGGTGGAGCATTCGAGCGAGGCAGGACCGGAAACGGCGAAGTGGGTCGCGGAGACGACGCAGGTGAGTTCCCGATCTCCATCCGACCAATGTTCCGCGCATTCTCGTTGGCAACAACAACGTCGACCCTGCGGTGTCCTCTTGGATGCACGATCCCCTAACGACCGACTGACATCTACGCCCGTCTCCCAGAACTTCATCACCTTCGTGGACGCGCTGAAGCTGCGCATGCGCGCGAAGGACCAGCTGCACCCCGTCCTCCAAGAGCTCGTGACAAGCTACGCGCGGTTCACAGGGAGCAAAGACTGGGAAGGCCGGAGCAAGATGGTCGGATGGTGCGTGCTCTCGGCGGGCGCGGCGGGATGAGACGGCGCTGACGACACTCCGGCGGGGCTCCGGCGTGCCGCGATGATGCGGTGCGCTGCCAGGCTGATCACGCTCAACGGGATGAAGGCGTCGGAGGAGCTCACGGAGGAGCAGGCGCGGCAGGTGAGCGATCCGGTCGGCGCGGGGCTGGGCGCGTGCACAGGAGCGCAGGGCTGACTCGCGCGTGGGACAGCTGTCTTTCGACATCGAGCATGCATACGCCGAGTTCTTCAGAAGCCTGAGTGGCAAGGACGACCATTCGTGAGAAGGCAGAGACGGACTGGGCGTGATGATGGGGAAGTGTGTGCTGCGCGACGGGCGCAGCGAGAAGGAGGAAGCCAGGACGGGTTGATCATGACGACAGTTGTACTCTAGACGGGCGGTATGTGTGTTGTATGACTACTTCCGCTTCGGCCATTCGGAGTCTTCGGCTTCACTGCCTTCAGCAACACCGTATTCTTGGTGTCCATGCCGGGGTCTTCCGGGACCCGGAGGCACAGGCCCAGAGGCCAGAGCGCCAAGGGGCTCCTCCTGCAGCATGGCTTGCACCACATCCTCATCCACAACTCCCATCTCACCTCCTCACGCCTTTGAGCCTCCGAATCGACTAGCCTGAGCCATGTCGCTCTTGGTCTCCTCTCACAATCCGTTCCGCACTCCGACAGTGACGCCAGTACCCACCGGAGCCACTGCGCAGTCAGACCCATTCACAGACTCAGCAACAGCATCGTCCACGCAATCGGCCTCGACCTCGTCGTCAGCAACGGCCAATACTCCCTCGGGATCTCCACCAGAGCCAAGTTCCGCTGCACGCGGTAATGGCTCACAGCCAGAGCCCTCGGTGAACGATCTGCTGAGCGAGGAGCTCCCGCCCGCGTACACCTCCTCTCCCAATTTCTACGAGGGCGAGGCGACACTCGAAGTTGGCCCACGGCGACCGTTCCAGCAACCACCGTACGCCCCACAGCCGCACCAGCCTCCATCCCAGTTTCCGCCGCAATCGTGGTCCATCCCACAGCAGACCGGGCCTCCGCATGGAGGGTACTACCATCCCGGAGGCTTCGCGCCACCCCCATCACACGCCTCACAGGCCCAGCAGCCGACTTCGGGACCGTTGTCCGATTTCGCGCGCGACTTCTATCACGCAGGGGGGAACGACGGTGGGCTCATGGGCGGAGGCAGCGCGCAGTACCAGACGGGAAATCCGGCCTCCGACCCTCCTAGCGATCACGCACGGTACGCTCACCCTCACGGGCCGCCACCTCCGCCGAAGGACGCGGCCTCTTCCTCTCCCACTGCACCCAATGACGGCAAACCTACACCCACCCCTGTGCCCGGACACCCGCTCCTTCGGAATGGGAAAGTGTTGGTGTATCCTCCCGGCCATGAGTGCTACAAATGTGAGTCGCTTCTTGCCGCGCAGACGACACGCTTCCTGACCATACCTTCCTCAGGCCACAACACGGGCTACAAGAACCATGACCCGTCCCACTCGTGCTCGCGCTGCTGGGACAAGTACGCAAAGCCCTACGTCGGCGCGATCACCTACGCACCCTGGGGATCGGACGCCGCCACGTCCCCCACCGCTTCCTCCTCCGCGTACTCCTCGTCGAGCCTCCAGCGCCCGCTCCCGAACTTCCGCCCGCCTCAACAGTCGCTACACCAATCCAGCTCGTCCTGGTCGGGCGCCCCTCCCGGCGCCGCCTCCAACCTCCAGCGCGCGGCGACGACCTCGCGCGCGAACGGCTACCCCGGGGCCGGGGCCGGGGCTCCCCCGCGGCTCATCCCTATCGCGGGCGGGGCGGTGCCGATGAGCCCGTACTTGGACGGCGCGATGTACGGCGGGGGCCGCGCTCCGTGGGCCGCAGTTCCCGCCGCGGCAGTGGGGGCAGCTCCAGGGCCCGGCGGCGGGCGGGAGCGTGGCGGTCATGAGCCCGGGCGACCCGAGGATGGGAGGCCGGCTCTGTTGGCGGTGCGGGGGGCGGGGGACGACGTCGTTCTTGATCTTCGACGAGCAGACGTGCGGGATATGCAGCGGGGTCGGAAGGACTTTTGTGTAGGCTTGAGGGGGCGCGGCGACGGACTGGGTTGTGTGTCTGTGTCTTGGTTATGGTATGTGCTTTTTGTTGTTGTAGTTGTATGCATCCGACGGGCTGTCATCGTGGTCCGGTCGTGGTTTGGATCCCAGAGTCAGGCGTGTGTGGCTGGGTGGCCAGTGTACGTCGGCGATCTAGGAACGTGCTGAGGAACCTGTTTGCACGCTAGTCTCTAGGGCATATTTTGGCACTGCTCAGGGGATTGAGGCGAGTCATATACACATATCACGGTGGCCGACACGCAAAGATCGCGGAGACGAAGTCCCACCTGTGCGCGAGAGGTCTCAGCTAAAGGGTACGAGGCGGGCGTCCGTGCCCTCTTGGGTTCCCTGTGACGACTGTGAGTTAGCGTAGATTTGCCGCGGGCGGTACGCCGTGACTCGCTTGTAGCTTGTTTCGCTTCAGTGGAAAGCCGCATGAACGTGTCGTGCTTGCACATAGCTGCATCTCGCGGTACATAGACATTGTAATCTGATGCAAGACAGCTGGAACTACATAGGCAACATTACGTGGTGAGTCTCAAAGAGAATCATGTTCTTGACGGGATGTGGGTACATTTTTTTCTCCGCAAACAACTCCGCCATCGTCGACCCCCCGTTTGGATCATGACTACACTCCCCAAATGGTTCAGAAGGCGGGGCAGTGAATTTGATGTTGGTACTCACCTATCATTCCAATGTTCGAGATGCTTCCAGTCCCCCTTCCACTCACACATTGAACATACCCAGTCGATGCGTCGACTGAGACATATCCCCTGAGGGTCCTCCTTTTCCTCCACTTTGCGAACGGCGCCCATGTGCTTCTTGGGAATGAGCTCCCAGTGGAACTCATCGTGTTTTGCCAACCAATCATTAAAATGATCAATCTACATTTGCGCACGGCATCAGTCTCAGCTTCATGCACACCCCGTCTCCAGAAGTGAGTATTCACCGCTTTCTCCCAACGATACACTTTGAGGTCCCGCTTTCCTTTCGTGTCTTGGATCGGCTGACAGAGCCTGCACACAACCCTCGCCTCAGACGCGCGGAGCTGCTCCGCCGTCGCCTTCGCGGGGTCCATCCCCATCACACGCACGAGCTCCGCGACGCGCCTCGGGTTGACGAAGGGGGCGAACGAGAGCTCGAACTTCGCCACCTCCCGCGACGGCTTGAACATCGGCCCCCACCGCTCGCACTCGTGCTCGGGCCGGCCGCGCTCGTGCATGAGGACGAGGGTGACGTACAGGTCGTGCTGCTTCGCGCCCGGGGTCCGGCTGCCGTTGGGGAACATCTTGTACCGCTTGTCGCACGCGTGGCTGTGGAGGATCGCCTCGCGGGTGCCCAAGACGGTGTGGGCGCAGTTCGAGCACCGGAACACGTTCACGACGGCGAGGTCGAGCACGTCGGTGCGCGCGGACTTGGCGGGGGGCTTGAGCCCCGCGTCTTCAGGGCCACGAGGGCGCTTTCGCGCATGACTGCCTTACGCTCGGTCCACCATGCGCGCTCAGCGTTGCCCATGGCGGCGACGAAGTCGGCGACAGTCGCGGTTTCGTCTTCGGGCCGCAGGACGAGAGCCTGACTGGCTCTGTGAGCGCGAAGTGCGTGAAGTGGAGCCGATAGTCTTGTTCAGGGGTGCGTGGGTATTCTGGAACATAGTACGACACAATGGCACGCTCTAGGATGGGGAACCGAGCGGCGCACAGTCGCCTGTTGCGGTGGTCGGTGAAGACGGGACCAAGAACGTTCAAGGTGTCTTGCCATTCTGTTAAGATATGTACGAGATTAGCATTGCAACACGACTAAAATCCACCGCGGGGAATCTCTACCTTTGTTGGTGAGCTTCGTGGAACGCCCCACTGCCGGGAGCCTCGCAAGGTTGGCCACCTCCCTGTCACTCAACCTGGCGAGTTCAGACGCCCATTCCGTGTCTTTGAGGCGCTCCAGAATTCTACAGCACAGCCGATGAATCGTGAGATTATGCCCTGAGTTGCTATGTAACTTCTGGAACTCACTCCTTGAACCGAGCGCTGCGTTTCTGGTCCAGAGTCATCGCATGAGCACGTAACTCCTGCGCATGCCACCCGTCGCATACGCGAGCGAGCTAAAACGAATTGGTGAGCGGAATTTTGCTGAATAGTCCCTCCACTGTGCTCACTCGGTGACAAGATTGGGCAAGTGTGCGCTGTTCAGCGAAGGCGTTCTGCCTGTCGCTCTCACCAAGTGGCCCAGCGGGAATCGACTCGAGCTTGCTGATGAACTGGTGCACTTTGACCTGGCAATATCTCGAGCGAACGTCACGTCCGGGAGCGCTGCGTATGGGTACAAACCATGTCAAAGATGTGTTTGCGTTCCATGTCGAACGATACTCACTGGTATGCAAACAGCTGTGAAGGCTGATCAAATCTTGTTTGTGACGCCTTGTAGATCAGGTCCAGTACTTCAAAATGATCGTAGGATCTACAAAATACTTGTCGGTACACGCAATCGGTGACGAGAACCCTTACGTACTCGGTCAACGTGCAAGCTTGGCAGTATCGCGTGAACCACGGCCAAATGACGTAGTCTGCGCGGCAGCCACAGCCCTGTAAGTCGGTAGGTTGAGCCGCAAGAAGATGGGAGAAACTGGAGCAAAGATACTTACGTGACAGTATGGAACGAACAAGAGGTGGCACCACGCGGCCTCGCTTGTCCACGTCGGACACGGCGGAAGTGGCGGTTTTGCACCGGCGATGGACTCCACCCACGCACGCCTCATTGCGCGCGTGAGGAAGTACTTCCGAAATGTCTTGCAGACTCTGACCAGGCTGCACAGATCCCGTGGATGGGCATTTGAGAGCACCTGAGCTGCGTGGTTGGCGATGTGGCGCTGGACTTGAACCGACTGAATCCACGTACGATTTCCAAGATCTCCACCGGTAATTCCGTGACCCCTTTCACAACCGTGCGCCGCGCTCGTTTTGCAGCGACCAGGGTGTTTGAGGTTGAGGGGTTCGCCACTGGGCGGTGTTCGAGCTTTGACGTATTCTTGGAAGTTGATGTGCCGTTATTGCCATCACTGTCTGTGGCAGGTCGGGGCTTCTTGCGGGGACGGAGCTCCCTAGGCATGACACCAATCTCAGATGCAGGAGCAGGAAGGGTAAGAAGGTGGTGGTGGTAGAGAAGGAAGGGGTGCGTTAGCTGGTGTCAGGGGCGGCACCTCCGTTTGCCGGTCCCAAATGGGAAGACAATGGATGACTCGCAGCAAGGTGGACCGTGATCGCAAACCGCTATGATGGCAAAACACTCCCACTCGCCTTGACCACATTCAACAAAAGACCGCGGTCGAACACAAGACATGGCCCTTTTCCGATGTGGCACAGTGACAAAACAACCAACCTGACGCGTACGCGCGTCGTGGCCCTGGTCTCGTGATCGCGAACTCCTGAGTACGGAATTGTAATGTGTCAGCGCGGGACCACGAACTGTCTGGCGCAAGTCCCCGTCGTGTACACAAGCACGTACGCCTGTCGCGATCGGTTGCGAGCAGAGCATCAGAGGCTGTCTCGCGTGAGTCTGAGCATCACCTCGGCTCGTCACTACTTTCTCCACGCTCGTCTCAGTATCCGTCAAGTTCGTCTATGCACACTCATTTTGGTTCTAACTACCATACAGTGTGTGTCTTCAAGTATGAATAACCGGGATGCTCCGTGAGGCGACGAAGAGGAGATGGGTAGGGGACCGATGCGCGCCACGTCTATTGGGGAGAGTACGATGTTCAGGGAGGAGGATCGCAAATTCGTGGAGTAGGGGAAGGAGGAACGGGACGGAGAAGGAAAATGTGGCTCACAGTCGCTCGGAGACATGACCACTCATGGGCGAGAGTTCCCGGCGGCCGTGGCAGGGAACGACGGCGTGCGCGTACGATACGTTCTCGACGTGCCATGTTTGGGTTGTCGCGTGTGGATTGCGTGAAAGTATCATGAATGCAATGATATGGTTGTGACTCGGGCTGTCGCACCACGAATGAACATCGCGATTATACGTAACAACTGGGACTACATGGGCAACTTCACGTCGCAGGGTTCGAAGATGATCTTGTCACTGATGGGGTGCGGGTACATCTTCTTCTCCGCAGACAGCTCCGCCAATGCTGATGCCTTGTTGGAGTCGTCATAGTTCGGCTCATGTCTGGATCACCGACAGCGGATGAGAATGTGGGACGGTGATGACCATGGCGACACTCACTTTTGCTTCCAGTGCTCGACTTGCCTGTAAGTTCCTTCCCACTTGCACAACGAGCACGACCAGAAGGCGCCTCGGCTGATGGGCATTGATCCCTCCTTCGCCTCCACCTCGCGGACGACGCCCATGTGCTTCTTGGGAACGAGCTCCCAACGGAAGTCGTGCGTTGTCCGATGACTGAAGTGTGCAATCTGGATGCATATGGCGTCAACCTCTTTTCTTTAACCTGCACTCAGAAACGAGGACTCACTGCTGCCTGCCAACAAAACACGGTGGTGCTGTGTTCTGTCCTTGCGGTGTCCTTCTGCAAGCACTTCCTCCGCGCCGTCTCGCATGTCCTGCAGACGACCCGCGCACCGGACGCGCACAGCTGCTCGGCCGTCGCCTTCGCGGGGTCCATTTTCATCACGCACAGCAGCGACGCGACGCGCTCCGGGTCGTAAAGGGGGACGAACGAGAGCTCGAACGTCGCCACCTCCCGCGACGGCTTGAACAATGGCCCCCACCGCTCGCACTCGTGCTCGGACCGGCCGCGCTCGTGCATGAGGACGAGGGTGACGTACAAGTCGCGCTGCTTCGCCCCAGCGTTCCTGCGTCCCACGGGGGACATCTGATTGAGACCCTCGCAAGGGTGGAGGATCGCCTTGCGGTAGCCCAGGACGCTGTTGCCGCAGTTCCGGCAACGGAAGACGTTCGCAATGGCGAGGTCGAGCACGTCGGTGCGCGATGACTTGGCGGGGGGCTTGATGCCCGCGTCCTTGAGCGCTGCGACGACGTTCTCGCGCAGGACGGCCTTGCGCTCGGCCCACCACGCGAGCTCGGCGTCGCCCATGACGGCGACGAAGTCGTCGATGGTGACGGTCTCGCCTTCGGGCCGCAGGATGATCGCCCTGATGGGCTTGGCGAGCGCGAAGTGCCAGAAGTGGAGGCGGTAGTCTTGCTCTGGGGTTCGTGGGTACTCGAGGACGTAGTAGGGTTCGATGGCGTCCTCGAGAATGGGGAACCGTGCGGCGCAGAGTCGCCTGTTGCGGCGGTTGGTGAAGACCGGGATGAGGACTTGCAGTACGTCCTGCCATTCTGTCGCAGTGCGTGCGAATATCAGCATGATAAGACGACGAAACGATAGCACCGGATAATCATTGCCTTTATTGGTGAGCTTCGTGGAGCGTCCCACAGCTGGTAGCTTCCGGAGATTGTTTACCGCATCCGCACTCATCCTCTCGAGCTCCGACGCCCACTCCGTATCTTTGAGGCGCGCTAAGATTCTATACGACGATATATGGTCCGTGAGATCATGGTTGCGCTATTCTGCTGTGGAACTCACTCTTGGAACCGGGCGCTGCGTTTCTTGTACAGAATATTCGCGTGGGCATCTAATTCTTCACCGTGCCACCTTCCACATTCTTCAGCCAGCTAAGACGTATCAGTGAGACGACGTTTGCTGACGAAAATATGATCCCCACTTACCTGCTCGCAAGACGGAAGAAGTGTGCGCTGTTCGTCGATGGCCTTCTGCCGGTCTTCCGCGCCAAGTGGCCCCGCGGGGATTGATTCGAGCTTGCGAAGGAATTGGTGCACTTCAGCTATGTGATACCTCTGTTCGGCGTACTGGCCGAAATAGCTGTGTGGATGAAAGCCATCATAAGTGCGTGTCCACGTAACGGGTGAGGCGAGACTTACTCTTTCTTTCCACTAGTGTCGATAACACAGCACGCAAGCAGCCGAGAAGGGTCAAGACTTTCTCGTAACGACTTGTTGATCAGATTGAGCACTTTCCTAAGTTCGTAGGATCTGAAAGTGTCTGTTAGTAAACATAGAGGTAGCTCCGGGGGCTTTGGCATACTGTGTCAACGAACAGGCATGGCAGTATCGCGTGAACCACGGCCAGATAACCGAATCTGTGCGGCAGCCACAGACCTGCGGGTCCATGGTTTTAGTTACGGATGTATGAGAATAAAAAATGGTCTGGTACTCACATGGCAAAAAGGTACAAACAGCAGGTGGCACCATGCGACCTCGCTCTTCCACGGCGGGCACTGCGGGATCGGCGGGTTCCGAGCCCCGTCCATGGAGGCGATCCACGCACGCTGCATGTCGCGGGTGAGGAAGAACTTCCGGAAGGTTTTGCAAACTCTGGTCAGGCTGCAAAGATCCCGGGGATGAGCGTATGAGAGCACCTGAACGGGTGGTCAGCATTGTGGCGCACAACTTGAGTGGCATTGCGAGCCGGGTCCACATACGATGCATAAAATCTCCACCGGGAGTTCGGTGATACCCTCCACAACCGTGCGTCGGACCCGCTTTCTGGCGACCACCGCCATTGAATTTGTGTTCGTCACAGCTTTCGGGACGGGGTTCAAGGTGATCTCGGTCGATGGTGTGTCGCCATCGCTAGTATCGCCGCCCTTAGCAAGTCGGGGCTTCTTACGGGGACGCAGTTGCATAGGCATAGCCAACAAGGTAAGGCTCAGTAGCAGGCGGGAATAAGAAGCAGGTAGTGGTAGAGAAGGAAGAGGTGGGCGCTGGCGTCAGGGGGACCACTATCTCAGTTTTCGAACAGCCCCAAACAGGCAAACAATGGCGAACACGCGTTGTGGTCCCGTGACCGCGACTCCTGAGTACGGAACTGTGAACGCAGGCAAAGAGTGTTCTGGAGTACTTACCTGTTGTCCGTAGAGCACGCAGCGATATGTCGCGACCACAACCGACATGCTGTGGATGGTTGCGAGCAGAGTTGAGGGGCGTCTAAACCTTGTGCCAGATCCTGCAGATCATGTGAACTCCACCTCGGCACTACCCGGCCGTCCTCAATGGAGCAATTAATCGTCCGAATCGCATTCATGGTTTCCGGACTCTAATGTCGACATGCGCGACAGCTCTTCGCGCGCCATGCACTGGCATACAGGTCCCATGCGAGGCAACATGGTTATGCATACTATTACTAAAGCACATGGGTATGATATAGCGTCGTCCGAGTTCGTAAATCTTCATACAAATGATGTTCGTGTATAACGGCGAGTCAACTCAGTCCAGGGTATACATTGAGAAGGTTTCCGACCGACTGTAGCGGTAGCTTGCAGTTCAGTACGGTTTAGTGTGTGCTTGCTGGGGCTGCCAAAACATACGTCAGTGCGCTGTGAGACATGTGAGTCCGCGATGACCAGCTCACCGCCGTAAAGCCGCCCGGATGTGGCGCTGCGTGGAGACCGGTGGGGGGCGCGCCGTGGGGAGGCTGGTAGGCAGGCTGAGCCGTCTGGTTCCAGCCGCCCATACCTGGCCCGGACTCCTGTGCACCCGCGTAGTTGAAGCCTGTGTTTCCGTTGTTCATGCCGGGGCCTGTTGCTGCAGTCGTGCCCATCGGACCACCAGTTCTCCCAAACCGACCAAACCTCGTGCCACCCGTGCCACTGAAGCCCGCACGACGACGCTTGCGACAGAGGCAGCAGACGCCGATAAGCGTCAAGAGAGCGATGAGGGCAATAACGCCTGTGTGAAGTTGTCAGCACATGAGCGAGGCAACAGCCGCAACGGATTTCTTTGGCATGGCCAACTCCATCGCACAACGAAGCGTAAATGAGCACTAACCGATGGCTATGCCTGCAATAGCGCCTGCGGCAAGTCGGACCTTATGTGACTGGTTCGATATGTTGCTTCCCCCGTTGATCTGAGCGGCTGCGGAGCCAGCGAGGGAGAATGCGGTGGAAGTCAATAAGAGGGAGGAAAGCGACATGGCGGAAGGGTAGTGCAGGCCGCTGATCCCGCGATGCACGCCTTTTATCTGCACGCGCAGAAACAAGTCCTGTGCACATCGCGGCCCCACATGCTGGAGTGGGAGAGGAAGAGTGCGTTGGCGCCCACTCTCCAGAGCAGTAATTGCTGACGTCACCGCCAAGGTCAGCTCGTGACGCTGCCTGGTATGACGCGATCTGGGCACCAGCCGAGAGTTAAGGAGCTCCATCGCGGTCGAGGTCGGCACCGACACAGGGTTCTCGTCATGCTTGCCGCTATAATCCTTTGGCCGACTCTTGAACACCCCCTCTTCGCGTTGCCGCGCTTCAATCAGCCATGTCATCCACCTGGACGCTAGTTGTTTGCCTCACTCTCTCGTCCACCGCGATCGCCCAGAATGACGACTTCAACAACCCCACGTCCGTGCAGACTATCGTAGGCGCCATTGTTGGTGAGCACACTACTTTGGATGCTGCATGTCGATGCCCATACTCCCGCCTTCAAGCCATCTCCCTTGCACTCGTTTGCGTTCTGGTGTTGATGGCGGTCCTCCGACGGCGACGTCGGAGGATAGCCATGTCCCCACCATCGGCGCGTGCCTTGGGGATGCCGCAGCCCAATCTGAACCGCGGTCCCTACCTCGCGTACCCGATGCACTACAAGCCGCCTCAACAGACGGGGTCAGGGGAGCCGAGTCCGCCAGGTCCTCCACCGCAGTACACTCCTGGTCCTCCCCCGTATTCCAAGCAACCTCCAGAGTATGACGGAGAGGAGAACAGCGGGTACGGCCGTCCCACTCCGGTGGCCCTCTGGCACCAACACCCCCCGGGGGGTTCATCCCACCCCAGGCTCCAAACAGGCCACCTTCGGCGCACATCTCCCCTGCCGTGCGTTCACCAGCCATCATATGTGTATTCCTTCTCACAGTAGTTTTCAGCCTTCCTGGTGTGCCCGTCGCTGATTGATTGGTACGTAACCTTGCCCTTCTTGCGATATGTATGCTCCCAACCATTGAGCCGTCGCCCAACCCCTTCGGTAGTTCTGGACAGTGCTCCCTTCTACTGTATTTCCACCAACTCTTTGCCCGTCTCTAAGTACAACAGAGACACTGTATCGCTACGAGTGTATCATATGCCCAAGATGCCCTAATGCAGACATGTGAAGGTGTGCTTTCACCGGTCTCCACCCCAGCCGAATTGTGGAGGGCCCATCGACCAGTTGAACCCGCATGCTCATCCCTTTCATCGCATCCTCCACGTTCTCTACCGTGACCCGCTTCGCTCGCCCGCTCTGTTTTCCCCGCGCCGCTCCTGTTCCTGCAGGTGTTATGATTGTCGTCATGTTAGAGTATATCCTCACCATCCTCGACCTCGCTCTCATCGGCAGCGCTATCTGGAGCTGGCTTCCCGGGAACGTCACTGGAAATAGCGTCTTGATCACTGGGGCACTTGTTTTCAAGATACTCGTGACAGTGCTGTGCGCTGAAGTATGTCTCGACCCTCTTTGCTTTCCTACTCCTTACCGATGCCTCGTTGCAGGAGTCTTACCGTGAAGCTTTCGTCTCTGGGATAGTCAAGTGTGCCTATGCTGTTGTCGAACGCATGCGTCGCTTTTTCTGTTATCTCTGGCGAGGTGCTGTGAAGTCAATTGGAGCTGGGCGAGATTTCGTGGTCCGGTCCATAACGGTACGCCCTTCATTCAACGTAGGCGGTGTGTCAGGAATCTGATGTGTTTGCGCCCCAGGCTCTTCTGTACAATGATCGCGGACGCATGACCAGGGCTTTGGATGAGGGTCGCGCCGTGGAGTCTGGTATGGACGAGCCTCCTTCCGACCTTCCTTCAGCCAGTGTCTCCGGGCCCCTCTTGACGACGACGGCAAGCCAAGACAACTTGGTCACTGCGGCCCGTATGGCTTGGGCTATCTCATCGGCGTACGAGCACACGCATCGCGGGTCTGCAAGCAGCGTTTCGAGAAGAACCACACGAACCTCTTCATCGCCCCCTGTAGCATCATCTATGTCCGACTCTCGTACAGGTCAAGAACCGGCAGTGCTCCCCTCTCGCCGGCAGCTTGTCGACTTCCTCGCTCTGACAGCCATCCTGTCTCAAGCTTCAAGAGAAAGAGCGAACGATACAACCATAGCCTCAGTCGACACCGCTCCGCAGCCGACTTCCTCTAGTACACCGCAGCCTTCATACGGCACACTTCAGTCATCCCCCTCAGGTACACCTCAGCCCCCGTCGCAGCAAGATTCCCTGAAGACCCCGATTGAAGACCCCATCCCGATCTCCGGCCACGACGACACAGGTCACCGCTCCTCGGACGAGGCAACCACTGTGGCGGTACCCCCGAGGGAGCGACGCTCGACCGTCATCGAACTACACAACTCCTTCGCTCGAGAGGACCATCAAGCGTTCCGTCAGCGCGCATATACGGTCGCAATCCAGCTTGACGCAGCCCAGGCAGCCCTTCATGAGCTTCAACGTGAGCGTCGCGAGCTCATAGTTGCCCTCGCCTCTGTTGCCCCAGCATTTCGCGTGCCCAGGAAGCGGACTGTCAAGATCGAGGCCGTTCCCCCTCCAGCCCCTCCTCTCGTTCCCGCCCCGTTCTCGCTCCCACCCCCGCTTCAGCACCCGTCTCGGTCTCGACGCCGACGCCGACCTTGCTACCGACCTCTTACAGCTCTCGTTCAAATACTCTGGAAATCTCTGTGGCTCCGATGGCAACTCTACCTCTGGTTCCGAGCAACGTCGTTCTGGTGCCGACACCTCCCGCCCATCCTGAAGAGACAGCTCCTGCACGACCCCACCGCGATCTGGCGGAGAAGACTGGGGAGCTCGCGTCTGTCCCGCTGGCTCAGGCTGTATCTGCTGGCATTCCGTTCCCGTGTCTTCCCTCTGTACATCATCAAAACGAACGCGATATTGCCTCCAGATCGGTCGATCTCTCGGCAGCGTCTCGGCAGGCTGGTTCGGGCGGGCGAGTGGGGCGCGCGGTGGCAAGATGGGAAGAACATGTCAAGGAGAAGAGCCCGGTAAAGGAAAATGAGAAGGCCAACGAGGATTTCAGGGATCAGAAGAGGGTCTCCCTCCCTGCGAACTTTCCCGTTCTCAAGATGACGGCGGTCCCGACGCCTGCGCCAGCGAGCATTACGAAGATCGCGAACTCCGAAGGTCCGAGAGCACCTGTCATCCCTCCCGTGCGCTCCAACACTCTGCCACTTCTTCCGGCGACATCTATGACCCCGGAAGAGTCTATGGCGCCCCGAAAGACGCTGCTCGGTAAATTCGTGTCGAAGCTCACGTCAAAAGAGTCTGGTGCCTCGACTAGCGTCCCGCCCCAGCCTGCCCCTGCTTCTGCGAGCAAGGTATCCTCTGCGCCTGATGCACCGGTCGTTGTCTATAGCATGTCGAAGCCCCTTCCAAAGAATGCGCCAGAGAATTCGGCTCCGCCTCTTGTTCAAGTACATCCGCGCATCCTGTCTCGGTCCCAGCCTCAGCCTCAGCCTCAGCCTCAGCCTCAACCTCAGTCCCAAATCCAACTATCCGCACTGCCGCCTCAGCCGACACCGGTCCTCACTTCTGTGGCTCGAACTTTACCAACGCAAAAGCCTCCCCTTGCATCTGTGTCAGCAGGCCCCTTGGCAGCTCTCCCCAATCGAGTTCGCGCACAAGCATCGCAAAACGTTCCTTTACTCGCGCACCAACTCACTCGAAGCGTCACACTTCCCTCGAAGCTGGAGCCTTCAGCAAACGAGAAGGTTTCAAGGACTGGACAGCTTGGTCTTCCAGGGCACAGTCGCAGCGCGTCCTCTCAGGTTGCGTCGGCTGGCGCAGCTGCTGCTCAGCAAAACGTTCACAATAGCGCAAATCCGCTCAAGCCCGCCCCCAAAGCGTCTCCGCCGGCTCGCGACCAAGCTCTACCCCAACGTCAGCCGGGTCAGCCTCCGTCTCAGAGCAAAGTCGCAACCCCTGCTCCTCAGGCCCCACCAACTTCGCACGCCTCTATAGCTGCACACACCAAGGCGACTATAAGCGAAAGCCGAGTACAGCTTCAAACACAGGGATCCAGCGCTCCCGCGCCTGTGGCTATGGCTACTACTGCAGCTCCGGTACCGCGCCCTGCCCTACCCGCACCAGCCAAGGCGGTCCCTCAAGTCGTCGTCACTCGCATCGACGGCCCTGGCGTCCCTGTACAAGCGGAGGCGACCCTTCGAATGTCTCAGCTTGCGCCCAACGTCTCGTCAGTCCCCGTCAAGACCAACACGACTATCGGCGACAACGCAAGCGCTACTAGTACTACCCCCGGGACGCAGCCGGCGGAAACCACGATGTCAACTGGCGACACCCTTCGCCCCGCTCCTGCGGGTGCCCCCAACCAGGCCTCGGTCCCCCGCCCCACGGACGGTGCCCGCTGCTCCGGCTCCTGGCGCACCAGCCTGACGCACGTCGGTCCGCACGCGCAGGGCCGGCGGGGCGCCGTGGAAGTCCCCCCGGGGAACGGCATATACGCGTCGATCTACGCGCCGCCCGGCGCCCGCGCGCGCCGACCGACGTCGATGTTCGAGGTCGAGAGGGCGCCGACGTCGGAGGCAGAGACTTCGGGCGACTGGCGCGCGCGGCAGCTGACGGCGCACGCGACGGAACGGGAGAGACGGGTGAGCATGCCGGAGCAGCCTGTCCGGGACGCCGCGGCAGCAGCAGCGGCGGACATGAAGGTGTGGGCTGCGATGCCCCGCAAGACGTCTGGGAGGGCGCACTTCGGCCCGGGGAGCGCGGAGGGGGGGAGGCAGAACTCGCCGTACTTCCAGGTCGGGAACGAGAGGGAGCGCGAGCGGACGCGCACGCTCAGGTGAGTGCTCGATTGCGTCTCCGCGCGCGAGGACCAGGAGCTGACTGTATGCGCCTGGATGCAGTGGTCAGCGGAGCGGAGGGTCCTCTCAGCAGGGCCATGGAGGCGGGCACGCAAGGACGAACACGCAGACGTCGGCGAAGTCGTTGGGTCCGGCGACGGGGTCGAGCGGGAACTGGATGAGCAAGCTGCGGCGGGAGAGCGGGATCTTCGCGAACGGAGGGTGGAACATGAAGGCGCAGGCGCGCGAGCTGCAGCAGAAGTTCAAGGGAGACAAGCAGGCCGTCGGAGAAGGGTCCGCGACTGGGCCGGGCGGTCAAGAGAGTGGGGGAGGGTGTGCGGCGTAAGTGGGCATTGGTCGTGGTTGGGGCCAAGAGCGTCGAGTGAACCCTTGAGAAAGTTCGTCCACAGCACTAGCCCAGAGTCCCCCTGTTCTTGTCACTTGTTAGTCGTGTCTCTCGCCGTCTTCCATTCGTTCCAGTCATCTCGCCCGAGCTTTCGCGTCTCGCGTCGTGTGTAAAAGAGATACATTGCCGTGACCGACTCGAGAACAAAGCGACGACCCGTCCGGCAGCCCCTCAAACGCCCACGCACATGCGTGCGCAGCCGTCGCATGCGCCCACCGCGGAGCACCGTCAGGCCAAGGACGACGCACCCAGCGCGACGGTACTATGGCACGGCCCGCGCACACCATCATGCCGAGCCGTAACCACACACGCGCGCGCACCCTAGCGGCCGCATGACCCCCAGGATCGCTTGCCGGCGGAGGGCCCGGGCGCACACACGGCCCTATCGCGCACAACACGGCGCCCGGCGCGGGCCGGGGCCGCGGGCAGACTGGCAGGAGGGCGGCAGTAGGCACGAGGGAGGGGAAGCGGGTGGTGCGCAGCCGGCGTGCGAGCGCGGCGCTCCCAGGCGGACGACAGCGTGTATGTGCAGCGGAGGCCCGCGCGGCGCGTGCGGCGGCTTGGAGAACTCGGCGGCTTGAGGGGGAGAGGTGGGAGGGGGTTCGGCCTGTGGATGTTGTTGGAGTGGCGCACGTTGAGGTACGATGGACGAGTCCGTTGAGAAAACTTGAAGGAGATGAGGGCGGGGTCTTGGGTATGACGTAGGTGCTAAGCGCGGCGGGTGAGGCGAATGCATGTCGTAAATCAAAACTTTGTTTCAATCCGCTCTGTGCTTGGCGAATGGCGATGGGCGATAGTGCTTGTGCGTACAGCTGTGCGCGCTCCTCGGAGGCACGGCGGGTGCTAGCGTGGTTGGTAGTACAGGATGAGCTCATCGGGAGACCCAGATGCATGTCGTCGCTGGGGGTCTGGTGACTTTGAACTCAGATGCGACGTCGAGTCGTCCTTCGCCGTGCCGCTCTTCCGCACGGGTATCCGCTGAGCGTGGAGGCGGCAGGGAAGTAGGTGCGGAGAGACGGCCGGTGCGAATGTTCAGTGGAGTCGATGCGTGGTGGGTGTACCAGCCTGTGTGCGTCGCGCGCGCTGCGGTGCAGCTGATGAAGCGAGGGCGTCGACAGATGCGCGGGGCGAAGAGAACGATCCAGGACGCCCGCGCGCGGGAGCCCCCGCCACGCCCGGAGGTGGGGGTGGAGGTGCGCGGCTGAGCTTGTGAAGCAGCTCCGCCGGCACTCGCAATGTGTCCTTCGTCTTGGTGCTTCCTCTCCTCCCAGTCTCTCCACCTCGCCATCGCGTTCTCCTCTTCCGGCATCGGTGGAACCTTGTGTGTTCCCGGGCACAGACACGGGCAGTCGGTGGGAGCGGCGCGTGCCCCGGTGCCTGCAAAGGCTAACAAGAAACGCATCCGAGGCGTGCGAGCGCACCTGCCCCCGCGCGGGCATATTGCCTCCCACCCTCTCCACCGATCGTTCCACCCCCGCGTTCGAGGATCCGGCGCGCTCATGCGCACTCTGTGCCCCGCACCCCGCACTCCGGCGCCGACGGGTTGTGGTACGAGACCTGGCGGCCGGGCTCTCAGCCTGTCGGAAACGCGGGCGCATGGTAGCGACTGCGGAGCCGTGGGCGTGGGGGCACGGGTGCAGTTTTTTTGCTCCCGGCCTTGCCTTCGTGGATGGAAGGGTCGAAGAGCTCTTGCGAGCCGATGCCGCGTTCGAACCAGACGGGGTACATGCGCGAGCGGTCAAGAGTTGAGCCGTGCGGTTCTACAGGTGATCTTCATCAGCGTAGACGCGGATGGATACCGAGAGAATACAAGCCGTGCGCGAGCTCGGAGAGTCCTGTCGATCGCGACGCGAGGACTCCGCGAGTCTGACCTTGAAGCCAACCCGCCGGCGTACAACAAAATCCATCGTGCACCCACCGATAACAGGGCTCGAACAAGGCGCACCAAGTGGACGGAGGCTAGGTGACCATCGCGCCACCGCAGCTGCGTCTCCCCACGCCGCGCTCGTCGCGATCGGCGATGACGTCCTCAGGCGTGCTGCTCGAGCAGCGGTGCCTGCAATGTGAGAACGATGGCGCGTCGTGATAGGACGGCGCGGGGTGGCAGTGGGAAAGGGAGAGGATGCGGGGGCGGGGAGTGGGTCGCGGGTGCGCGTGGCTTCAAGTTCCACGCGCACGGCGCCCGGCGTGGTAGGGGGCTCGGAGGGCCGACTGCACCGCAGAAATTATGGGAAGGGCGGGGGGTTGCAGGTGGTGCTTGGCGCAAGTCGGGGTCCGTGGTTACGAAGAGGGCTCTACGGGAGCCATCCGTGTTGAAAGGTAGGCTCGGTGGCAGTGGCCGTTCGGCAGCGAGGAGTCCTCGGTGAGGATAGGAAGCTCTGGAGAGATCGTCGACTCTAGCGGCAATGTTGTCCAGCCATCGGAGGAGCGGGTATGGGATAGGCGTGGGCGCGCATGGGACTGGTGGGAGGCTGAGGAACGCATCGTTCTGCCTTTCGGACTTCCAAAATTTCAGCCGGCGTGCGCCTTCTATGTCGCCCCGCAATCTTCCGCCTTCACCGCCGTGATGAAGTCCCGTTGTCCAATCTCCGGCTCCTTCCCAGAGGAGTTTCATGGTGGCTCACTGGTGATCTTCCAAGGTCAGCCGCCTAGGAGGGGATTGCGGGGACTGGTGAGAAGGTCGTGAGTCGGTGGGGCCTTCGGTCACCGCAGAGGAGACCAGTAAGAAGCTGTGGGTAAGATTGTGCGAGCACATCACAGGGCGCGCGTGATGTCTGTTGCGGGCCGATGGAAGCCTGCAATGCGCCCGCAGAGAGGCGGACGATGGTCAGCCAGGCACAGAAGGGAACGCACCGCGGCGCAAGGGAGGGCATGCTCACCTGTCCCCTGCAGGTGTTCCATGCCCGACCGCACCTGTGCAGTCGAACCTCGTCGTAGAGATTCGACCCGCGGAGGTGCAGCTCGCGGCCGGAGCGCCCCGACTTCCTTTCTGCTACGTCGCTGTCTGCCAACGAGGCGTACCGGGGGCCGTTGAGCTAAATTGCCATGGCTGTATGCGCATTGACGGTCCGGCGGGGCGCTCGGGTGGGAGACTATCTGCACAGGGTCACTACGGACGTCCGACGCGATCCACGGCGCGAAAGACCTATGAGATATCTCTCGGGCAGAGAAGGCTTCTTATCACATCCTCGAACCAACTGGCAGACTCAAATGGTAAGCCTCTGCGAAATGGAGATTTCAGTTCGCATGATGTATTCACGGGTATGTGCAGCTTACATCAGGGCAGTTGGAAATACGGATCGACCAATGACAGATTCAATATGCGGTCGAACATTGGCAAGTACAAAGTATCGAGCCTCGGGATCACGGAATTCCGCTGTACCAGTTTGGAAGAAGTGTCGTATTGACCTTAGCCTGGAACGAAACGAAATTAAAAGTTGGGAAAGTCAAATTGGAAGCATGCGGCTCACGTGGACGAAGGGCTAAATGACTCATCAGCGCAAGATATCCAGCCGCTCGTGCTTCGAGTCCGCCTCGCGCGGATATTCATGACCTTATCGCCAGCGGGTGCTGTCGACGTTGAACGAGAGGAGCGAAACGCTCGACTTGTGAAATTTGACTGGAGCATTTGCATTGAGAACCTCAAGTTACAAAGCATGTGGGCGTTCAGTCGGGTGCGTTGGTGTGAGGGTGGAGGAGGGAACCCTCGTTTCATACCCGTGCTGCGAGTTGAAGAGCTTCCTTCCGGAGAGGCCGGAGAGGACCCCCGAAAGACGTTTGGAAACTGATTCTTAGGATGAGCGTGCGCCGGAAGCGCTCGCAGCACCGCGCGAGGTTCCTCCGCATGTGGACTGTGGTAATCCTGTGGAGCGACATGGTGAGCGGCGAGAGACATGGGCGGCGTTCTGACGTCACGGATTTTGCTTACGTCCGTTGATTCTCCCCCAAGCGGGCGACGGTGCCCGACGTGTGTAGACGAGCCGGCCATGTCCGGACGCACGGACGTGATATTGCGTACGTCGCTCTTGTACGGTTCCATGACTGTGTTCGCGCACTGACGCACCCGAGGGCCATTAGAATGCGGAGCGCCCGCTTGGTTTGGGCTGGGTCAGGTGCAAAGAAAACCACCTGGAGGGGTGCGTCCCGAGACCTCCCGAAGATCTGGTATCGGACCGAGAAGTAGCCATGGGGAGACGCGGTGTTACTGGGACGGTTCTGCCTGATGGGTGTCTCGGGGGAAACTAGAGCCGGGACAGTTGGACAGTTGGGGTTGGAGAGACAAGCAATCAAACGTACGGGGATGAAGTCATGATTGCACCAGCGGACGGCGTGAGGCTATTGAGAAGAAGCGTGATGGGCAGTCGCCGGACTCGCAGACGAGTGGCATATGTCGCTCAGAAGCACCACCGCACTCGGTGGCGCATAGAACGAGCGGGAGAACGATCGACGGAGGGCATGTTTCTGGGCTGGTGTCGGTGCTCGTGCCTCGCTGGCGGGCGTATTTTCGGGTTCAAGGCCAGCAACGACGAGCGCCAGAGCCCTCCGATATTCCGAGAGCGAGCAAAAATAGAACAGGGCTATGATTAGCGACGGTCTGTTTTTATCATCACCCTGATTGGCGGACGGAAATGTGTGCGCACGAAAATAACAAGCACTGTCGGTGTGCGCAGGCCGAACTTTGCGAGAGTTCGGGGGAGAGGCTGGTTGCGGGTAAATTGCGGGCGACTCACTATTCTCGCAGCAGCGATAGTGAACCGAGGGACGCGGCGGGCACGAAGATGGCTGAAGATGGGCGCAGGAAGCAAGAGGGGAGCGCCCGGACCGATTCGATTCGTCTGCGGGCGAGCTAGGCGAGATTGTGATCTCACTTGCCGCGGCACTGCCGGCCATTAAAGTTGGGGACCGCGTCGGGCAGGGCCTCGGCCCGGGCGCGCTCTCGACGACTTCCCAGGCCCAACACCGCGCAGAGTGCCCACAGGGTGGCGCCGAGGTCCCCGGGGCCTCGGCAGGGAGTTACGGCGCGGGGACCACAAAGCCCGAGCGTCGAGGAGAAGAGCCGGCGCGTGTGCACGCGCGCACGGACAGCGAGAATTGCGAACGTTGTCGAGCGACAGACGGCTCCCTGCGACCCGCGCTTGTGCTCGGATTCTCTCGCTCCGAGGTGCCTTGCTCCCGCAGATAGGGAGCATTTGTCACTGTGCACGCTGAGTGACACGCGTCATCCGAAGGCGAGCCTGCCGCGGAGGAGAGGGCAGATCTGAGGGCGGTGTCCCGAGACGGGCTCTGCGCGTACACGGTCGAGGAGGACGCAGGGCGGGGATGGGAAGGCCAAGTCAGCAGACAGATCGCGCGCGCGGCGGTGGTGCACGGAGGCACGGCGGGATGGGCCTGGTGGGAAGCATGGGTGCGCACTGAGCTTTGCGCAGCGCCGTGGACATAACCGTATGGCATGTTCTGCCACTGCAGGCGCAGAGCGCGAACGGCCAGCAGGTTCACGCTACCGACACGGCCCCCCACTCGATCGCGCGAGCCTCGCCAGCGGTCGGTGGGCAAGATCGCCGGCACACTCGTTGGGCGATCGCGCGCGACGACCCGTTTGGGAATGGTTCGCGACGGGCCACCAGCGGAGCGACGACGGCGGCAGAGTGCAGGACAGCAGCCTCCGCGACGAGCATCCTCGCACGCGCTGCGCTGGGAGTCGGGCAGATCGCTCGGCGGGGGCCCGGGGCAGGGCGTGCGGTGGGCCGGGGGGCGCCGGGGAGAGCGTTCGAATTCGCGGGGCGGCTGCTGCGGAGGACGGCATGGGCGGCTGCAATTCACACTGGCAGTCGCCGGGGGCGCATCTGGCGAGGAGCTCCGGCCACGGCGTTTGCGCTTGCTTGCCCGTCCTTATGTCCCCCGCCCTCTTCATCTTCCCTCTCCCTCCTCCGCCCCGTTCGCCCGTCTCTGCCCCCGCACCCCGCATCCCACTCCCCGCTCTCCCGCCCTTGCCCGCCGCGTCGTCCGCCATGGGGAGAAGAAAGATTGAGATCCAGCCCATTACGGTCCGTCCTCTCCCCGCTATTTGCAGCCCGCCCCGCGTCGCGTTCCAAGTATACAGCGCGCTCCCCTCCCTGCACTCTTCTCATCCTGTCTCTGCCTATTTTGCCCCCGCTTACCCGCCCGTCTATTTCAGCACGAACGGAACCGTTCTGTCACCTTTTTAAAGGTCTGTACCTATTTATACGCTCGTTCTCTTGGCATTCACTTAGCACACGTCTCGCGATCATCTTGCGCATATATACTCCCCGCACTCCCTCAGCGCAAGAACGGGCTCTTCAAAAAGGCCTACGAGCTCGGTGTCCTTTGCTCGGTCGACGTCGCCGTCATCATCTTCGGTCAGTAGTCCCCTGAAACACACCCACGTCGCCCCTTCCTACCGTTCCCGCCCCTGCCCCATCTCCGGCGTCTTGCAAGAAGCTGGCTTGTGGTTCTCGGAGAAACGCTGGATATATGCCCGTGGTTATCCTCCGGTCGACGGTGGAGACCCCTAAAGCCCTCTCTCAGCAGAGAGGCATTTTCCCTGCACCCTGCCTCCAACGGACGCGCGGTGTGCAACCCTCCTGCAGCCATTCGTTGGTGGGCTGCCTAACGGCACTCGCCCGCTTTCCCTTCATCGTGAGATAAAAGGCGACCGGGCGTCGCTCCACTTCCGCTTCCAGATGCTGCGCGACCCCCGTTCTCTGTCACCCCGGAATTTAACGCTGATCATGCTGACGCACATGCTTGCTGTCTCCAGAGGAACGGCCTGGGCACCATGCGAAACTCTATCAGTACTGCTCTACGGACGTCAACGGCATGGTTCAGCGACATCTCCGGGTATGGATTACAGTTCGCCATCCATGTTTCGCGGCTGACTGGAGGCATAGTTCGATGGTGAGCGTGACACAAAGGGTCCGCCTGATTTCAACAACAACAGCAAAGCGACCGAAGAGGCCATGGACGAGGACGAGGACGGAGATGACGACGAAGGCTCACAGTCACAGAAGCGCGGCGGCAAGATAACGAAGGTGAAGACAGAAGGTCCGTCAAACAGCATTGTGCCGATACGACCCGGCCCTCCGTCCAACGACGTCTCGGCCAGCCCGGAGGTGAGTTCACACCTATTTGTTTGCTCGACTCAACTGATGAACGTTGCTCTGCCACGTCCCCAGGAATTCCGGTCTAACCTACGCGTCTCACCGGACTCAGTCTCGGGGCTCCCGCTCTCCGGCGAGCGGCACACCTCAGGACTCGCCTCATCCTCACGCTCTATTCCCATCAGCAGCACTGCGAAGCGACCACGGCTTATGGAAGACCCTGGTCATTCGCGCTCGCCTCACCCGCACGGCGCAGGGGCGCAGTCCGCACCCCCGAACCTCGCACACACCGCTTCAAGCCCCCCATTTCCGTTCCGGCTGGATGTCGACCTTCCTGCGAGCTACCCGATCCCGTCGCTCGCGCAGCTGCACTCACCACACCCTAGCCTGTCATCGATCTACCCCTCACACAGCGCTGCCGCGATGAGCGGCCTCATGTCTGGTTCCTCTCAGTCCTATCTTTCCCAGTCCTATGGGGGAGGAAACGGCGGCGGAGGACAACAAGCACCGCTACGCGCAGTGACATTCCCACACGGGCATGGACACGGCAGCCAGTATTCTCCACATGGGCACCAAGGCCCGCAGAGCATATTCGCGCGAACAGGCGGCGCACACGCCAGCCACTCGTCAAGTGCGAATAACATTTTCGCGGAGCTACTGGGCACCGGCGACCATCACCCGAACGGTGGCGGAGGCCACGGCGGGGGTGGAGGGGGCAGCAGCGGGAACGGCTTCCCGTCGTTCGACTGGCCGGTGCACTCGACGCAGGCGTCGACGCAGAGCGGCCAACACAGCCACGATCATTGTGAGTGCCATCCTACAGCACCTCGTCTTCTAGCAATCGTGTTTCGCTTCGCCGTCCTGCCTGCGGGGACAGAAACTCGGTGGCCTCGGCACAGCTTTATTATTTCCCGACGACGTTTCCGTTCGGCGTCCCTTCTTTCATCTGTCTGTTCTGGGCTCCGCGCTCTCCTTCCCTTCACCCCTGGTTCTTCCCTTCCCTCCACACATTCCACCGACGCGAGGCCGCTCTAGCGCCTCTGGCGGCCGGACTGCGCCTTCGCGAAGCCCTATGCGCCAGGTGGAGCCCGGAAGCTTTAGCATGTGGGACCGTCGTACGAGCCGCTGCGGATGGCACCTTCCACGAGGGCTCGCTCGCACGCGGCCGGGCCGTTCGGCGTCGTGCCGTGGTCTTCCGGCTTTTGTCTTTCTTGTTTGTCTCGCCTACAATGATCGAACGCTCACTGTTCTTCTCTTCGCTGCAGCCGCACCGCAAAGCACATCGCCGTCGGCCGATTCATCAAATTGGTTCGACTTCCTCTCCGCACCACTCCCCACCTCGTCCTCCAATCCAGGTGCCCCGCCCGGTAGCAGCGGCGTCGGAGGCGGCGCGCGCTTCCACATGCCCGCGAGCAGCGTATCGCCGCCGGGCGGTGGCCGGAAGCGCCTCCGTGACGACAGCGTGGGCGCGGACGGGATGGGGATCGGAGTCGTGAACAAGGGCTGATGGTGAGCCCGCCGCCCGCGCGCAACCCTCTCCTTCTCCCGCACGCCGGGAGGGAGCGGCGTGGTTCCGCGCTCTGCAGGTGGACGAGCTGCCGCGCGTGGTCTGCGCTCGCGCGGAGTGCGAGAGGCGAGACCAGGGCGGGGCTCGAGCGCGGTCGCGGCGCGGATCGCTCGGCTCGGCGTGGATGGGTTCGGACGTGTCCGCCGCCTTCTCTGTCGCCGTCGCCGTCGCCATCGCGTGTCTGCCACCGTCGTCGAGGTCTCGGTGGAGGCCACGCCGCTGCGACGCGACGCGTGGTGCAGCTAGATGACGAGCGCTTGGCGGGCCTCAGAGTGTTGCGGACAGCACCCGCTGTTTGGGCTCGACGGAAGTAGCAGACTTGTATGTGCACATAGTATGTAGGAGCAGCCGTCGGACTGGAGTTCTCGTTCCCGTGTTAGCAAGCCGCCTAGTTGTTTCGGTTAGCCTCCTTGATCTCAGTAGTAGCGGCACTCGCTTTCGTCTCCGCACGCATGCATCGTTAGTGGTAGTGTAGCTCCGATATTGTTGGATATGCACATGCGTTCATTACTGTCGGTGACCATTGTTGCGTGTGAACAGCGAGCTTCAATATGCCCAGCGTGACGTGGAGGTCGCGGCCGTCGCTGTCGCATGCCATCCATTCATTTCTTAGGATCCAGGTTCGTTGGTTTATGTCTTGGGTGGCTAGTAAGGCCAGGGGCACGTGGGGCTATGATGTCGGTCGGGCCGGGCCGCGGTGCCGCTCGGTGCTCATTCAAATTGCTAAAGCGCCGTCGGCGGGTCGGGGCTCGACCTTCAAGCCGCCAAGGACCAACAGCGACCAGCAGCGACACCAGGGTAGTACGACGCAAGTCTGGGGCATGATAGGCAATATGACCATGGTTTCGCGTCAGTCAGCATGTGCCTTCGGCAAACGGTGCGCTCGCTTTTGAATGCGTGGTCGCGTTGAGCTGCTGTGGGGTCATGGGCCACTTCGTCCTCTGCTCGCAAGAATTCGAACGCGAGGATCGATCCGTGCCGTGCGAGGCTCCCGCCAAACAAGCGAACTCCGCGACGCTTCAAAAGTCAAGTTGGTCGGCACGACGATGGGCCTCCCGGCGGAGACCCGCGCGACTCGGATGGTACGAAGATTCCCTGTTTTTTTCTCTCGCTCCTTGCTCTCCGCCAACCGCGCTCTGCGTAGACGTTCTCGCGGCTCCACCCCCACGACCTGTGCAACCTCGTGCGGCCCTTTGCAGGGGCCTCTTCCCCCTCGAGCGCGCGAATCCGCGGGGCGCGCATCTGGCTGCGGCCCACGACGGAGGCCCTCCTCCAGTGTCCCCCGATGGTCCGCGGTGGATGAAGCGAGCCGGCTGTGATTCGTGCCGTGCTTCCATATATGTGTCAGTCCCGTCTCGTGTCTGCAACTCTGCGTTCGCTCATCTTGTGTTATGACGTCATACCACTGCTCAGGGATGCGGGCGTCATGTTCAGAAAGTCGGCTCGCTGTCTCTAAATCTTCCAATCGGAGCATATAAGTTTGTGTGCAATTCGGAGATACCTAGCTGTCGCTTGGGAGAACCGTCATCGTCAAAGACTCTGCAGAAGACCGTTCCGGCTGCTACGAGAAGCCACCAATATATACTACGAACCTTATACCTGGGCAGCTCCAAACTCAGCTAAACTCCCTCTGCGATTCATTGAATTCGCACTTTTCCCTGTCGTCAAGCCTCTTATCCTAAGACCCGAAGGCAACGACATTGCCGCTGCAGACTTCGGCCAGATTGTGGATTCTCTGGTTTGTGTAGCTGCCGTCAAGAAGACGGACATTCGGCCCGTCAGACGTGCGTACCTGGCGAGTGAGACGGTGGAGCTGGTCGATCCCCATGCCATGCGGGTGGATGTTAGGCGATGGACGCTTGCGAGGAACCCGATGCGTTCAGAGGGCTTGGCGAAAAAAGCCCTGGAAGTCGGATGGTTGTACGGAAAGTTTGGATCTGTCGCAGACCAGTTGGCCATGAAAGAAGGCTTTGGAAGAAGTGGCATTGGTCGAATCGCGGGGTCCCGTAAGAGCGCTGCGACAAACGTCCGACAGCGGCAGGGTGGCCCGCCGCGCAACTTGCCAAAGAAGCAGATGCGCTGTCGGATAAAGGTCGGAGCGTGCGAGGAAAGCGACCTTGTGAGAAGAACGAGGGAGCACATACGTTGACCTGCCCCGTGAAGGAAGAGTCAAAGACGGAGATGACAGCGGAAGGCGCGCCTCGAAGAAATCCCTTTTGACGCCCCCCGACGACGTGGCTGAGGATCGTTGGTGTCCTACCTACCGCTTTCTACAGCAGGCGTATCGTCGGACACGCCGAGGAGTGTCAGAAGATAGAGAGCAAAGATGGCCACCTCAGAAATAAGAGCAGACCCCGATCAGATCCAGCGACGCAAGGCAATCTCCCTTCGGGATCTTCCCCCGCATCCGACCACCCGCGTCCACCTCATCGTGCTCGACGCCTGTCCTCCGTCCTGTCCGAGACCCCCTCTGGGCGATCCAGGTGGCCTGGCAGTAGTAAGTTACATGCACACCCGAGCTCGGACGAGTGGACGGCACACACGCACGCCGCACGACACAGGCGCCCGCGTCTTCCGATGTTTTCGTGCGAACGCAGATGCGCATGGACGTCACTCGCGCCTCTCGACCTCCCCCGCCGGGTCGTCCGCCTCTTTCCAGCTTGGCTTCCCCTCAACAGAGCGCCGCCCGTCCCCGTGCGCAGTGTATTTCACTCCCCCCCTCGAGACACATCCTCACTGCGCCGCATGCCGCCTCTCTGATATATACCCTCGCTCCTCTCGCTCCCTCTCCTTCTCCCTCCCGCCAGTTGCCCCGCTTCTACACCGCCCATTCCCCACACCGCTCTCAGCCTATTCGCGTTCAACGCCATTCGAATTCATGTCTCCGCCGAAAATGCGCGTCGCCATCTGGTGAGTTATCTTCTCCATCTCTTGCACCCCTCTTCGCTCGCGCGCTCCCCCACCCGGGCTCACAACGGCCACGGCGTCCTCTCGGCCGTCCAACGCGCGCTACTGATACCATGCTTTGTCCTTAGCGGCGCGGGCGTTGGAGGCCTTATCTGTGCTGTCGCCCTCTCCCGCTACCACGACATCGAGGTAGACCTCTACGAAGCCGCCAACTCCTTCACCGCCCCCGGTGCAGGCATCGGCGTGTGGCCCCGCGCATGGAAGATCCTCAGCGCGCTCGGGCTTGCCGACGCGCTTTCCAAAGTCGCCGTGGTGCCGCCCAACGAACTCCCCAGTGAGCTTCCTCTTCTCCGGGCCACGCCTGCAGCTACCCTGAGCTCATCTCAACCCTCTCGTCCCGCCTCTCCTCCTCTCCGACCCTCGCGCGCACAGAGATCGAGTTCAACCTTCGGAAATCTGACCAGCCAGAGGGCGTGTACTTCCAGAACCTCACCACCCCAGGTTCGTTCCTCCCGTTCACTCTTCTCGCTCACCCTTGCACCCCGCCGCCGCTCACCGCCGCGCCCCACACGCCCGCCGCGCTGCCCCTCCGCAACTCCTCCCTGACCCCGCCCCTACTCCCGGAAGCAGGCCTGCTCGCCATCCAGCGCCCCGACTTCGCCACCGTCCTCCTCCAACACCTCTCCCCCCGCGCACGCGCGCACGCGGGCAAGCGCCTCACGGGGTACCGCCAGGTGCGCTCGCACGCGCTCGTGCTCGAGTTCGCGGACGGCGCGCGCGCGGCCGCGGACGTGCTCGTCGGCGCGGATGGGGTGCGGAGCGTCGTGCGGGCCGCTCTTTGCGCGGAGCTCGCGGCGGAGCGCGGCGCGGGTGTCGATGGGCTGGACGCAGACGACGCCGGGCGCGCGGCGGAGCGCGTCGGCGCGCTGGGCGACGCGAGCTTCTCGGGCACGGTAGCGTACCGCGCGATGGTGCCCGCGGAGGCAGTGGGGGCGACGATGCCGGGGCACCCGGCGCTCGAGAACGCGATCATGGTGCGTGCGTGCGACGGTTGGGCTCGGGGCTGAAAATTGATGGACGTGTCTGGCGGGTTCAGTATATGGGGAAGGACTCGGTGAGTAATTGGCGTTCACGATGTTGTGCGTACGAGGAGCTGACAGTGTAGAGCAGCAAATCACAGTGTATCCCGTTGCGTTTGGGTCGTATATCAGCCTCACGGCGTACCGGTCAAATTATGAGCTAGAAGGGTCACCACCGTTCGAAGACCCGTGGACAGAGGACGTTGCAGCAGCGGACCTTATGGCTGACTACGAGACCTGGGAACCCGAAGTTAGGTCACTAATCCAGGTCAGTAGTCCTCCCGTTCCGCGCCCGTCCTGACGCGCGAGTGGCATCCAAAGGGCCTCCAACACGCGCACGTGAACAAGTGGGCGATCCACACAACGCAACCGCTCCCCTCGATGGTCTCCGGACACGTCGTTCTCCTCGGCGACGCCGTACGTCCCTCCTCTCCCCCTCCCCCTTTCCCGCTCTTCGCGTGCTCAGAGTCACCGGCGGCGCAGGCGCACGCGATGCTGCCGCACACGGGTGCGGGCGCGGGCGTCGCGATCGAGGACGCGTACGTGCTCGCGACGCTGCTCGGCGACCGGCGCACGACGCGGGGCACCGTCGCGCGGGCGCTGCGGGCGTACGACGCCGTGCGCCGCCCGTTCGCGGCGCGCGTGCAGGACGGCGCGCGCGAGAACGGGCTGCTCTGCTCGCTCTGCTACCCCGGGCTCACGTTCGACCGGCCCGTGGCGGCCGCGGCGTCGGGCACAGACGCGGATGGGGGCGAGGACGAGGACGAGGACGAGGACGGGGAGAAGCTGGCGGAGATCCGGGCGCGGGTGAGGATGAACTGGGAGTGGGCGTGGAAGGCGACGGTGGACGTGGACCTGGTGAAGGCGCTGCGGATGCTGGAAGATCGCTAGCGCTGGGGTGGAGGTGTGTATCCGTTTCTTGTTGTGTTGGTGAGTCTCCGTGCCGTGCGTATGGGGTTCGAGCTGATGCACTGACTGTCCCGCTCATGCAGTTATCGTCATTGTCGTCGGATCACCGTCTGCTACTACTCACATCGCTACTACCACTGTTTTCCTCGGTTGCGCAACTCGGAACCTTTTTGTTTCTCTGCACGTAGTTCCAGAAGGCGCTCTTCGCGTGCTCGACGGTTCCAACGTTCGGTCCTCCAGACCCGCGGACACTCGAACAGCTCCATCGAAAACGCGCGCTCCAGAGCGACTGCCACCCACATGCGCCCACATCGAGCCCTTCGCCTCCGTCGCGCTCGCAGCCTCGCACGCGAACGGCAAGGAAACGACTCGCCGCACCCGAGTGAGCTCCTTCGCCCCGTGCAGTACGGATATGCGCGAATGGACGACAGTGATGCCACGCACGCACAGAACTGGGAGACCGGGCTCCCCCGTGGCTAGTGGCACCCGCCCATGCCGCGCCGAGATATCCCTCCGAGCTTCCATCCCGGCCCCGATCTCGTCCACCACGACCCCCCGCCGCCGTCCACCGCCGCCACCACCTCCTTTGGAACCTCGTTCTCCCTCGTCGCCTGGATCGCCCTCCGCTACTCTTGCAGCTTGAACGACCGTGACCGGAGCCGGGCTCCGGCTCAAGCCCTGGCGCCTCCTCGTCCCGTCCGCGCGACGCCCCACGAGAAGCGAGAAGCGCAGGGCGACCGCGCACCGGCGCGTCTATCCGTCCCCCGAGGACAGGCGTGCACGCGTGTCGGGGCGCGAGGTTCGCGGTGCGGTGCGACAAGCACGCAAGAAAGCTGGTTGGTGGAAAGCAGCACGGACGGTGGTTCAAAGCTAGATGATCAGGGCAAAACTAGTTACAACGACTACGTAGCACCTTCCGTCTCCTCAGTAGCCTCTCATTCCGCACTGGGCTCCCCAGTAGCGGGCTCGCCGTCATCCACAGCGACGTTCTAACGACGTTCCTCCTCCTTCGTGAATCACTCGTATGACAGAGCGGTGCTCAACAAGAGTGGACCGAGCTGGGATCCGGTCCAGCTACTTCTACTTCTCCCAGAGTCCGTCCTCACCTTGGTCGTCGGCTTGAAAAAGTTAACGCGCCGGCGCGTATGGATACTTCAAACATCTCCTGCTACTGTGGTTCCTGGACTGCAACGATCATCGGTCCGGGTAAAGAGGCAAAAAGGGCCCAACCGGGAATTGAACCCGGGACCCCGTGCAACTATGATCCTGAGAGGACCGGATCGAAAAGACCCGAAGCACGTATCATACTACTAGACCATTGGGCCGTGATATCCTTTAATCGACGCTACAGTATGTCGTGGTTGAAACACGTGCAAAACAATCCTCGCTTAAGGTTGGGCTCAGTCACAGCCCGCCCCTATGCTGAGCACGTGAGATCGGCGCTCAAATCAGTTATCTTTGCGCTAGACGCCAGATAAGTCCAAGATAAGTCCCCAGCAAAGACGCCAGAATGCGCGCACACCATCCCGAACACACAGCAGGATAGTGACTGGGTGCGCGAGTAGATAAAAGCATGCAAATGAACGTTATGTATGCTATACAGGTGTCGTGATGTCCGCGCGCTCAAGTATCGCCCTAGGGGGAAGCCCACGATGGCTAGCATACTTCTTTGTTGCCCAAGCCGCCTCCGCTCCGTTGAGACCGTCGCGATAATGCTGCATGAAGCGCAGAGACCTACCATAGAATCTGGGTAGTAGTGTATGAGATGGATGACAACATTGTACGATCCAGTCACAAATACCTGCGCATTGAGACAAGCGGGACGGAGTTGAGAGACACAACTGTGTTCTTCTCCAAGTCTGCTTCAGTTGAACTCAGCACGAGCTTCCGGTACTCCCGTTTTGCATAGCACCAGCATTGCTCAATGGGGTTGAGTTCAGGGTGAAACTTGGGAAGAAACACAACCCGGAAGCCGCGGGCCTCGCAGTGTGCCTGAAGAAGTGTCTCCTCGTCGCGGAAGTCAGGTTCATTGAACAAAAGCCGTCGGCAGCAACAATTGAGGGCAGGAGGAGCGCATGCAAACTTAATGCACTGTGCCTTCAGGTCTTTCACCCCATTGTATCCACGCTCTGTCAAGATCTGCACCATCCCCTTGAAGACACCGGCTTGCGGGTGCCCTGTCTCGAAATAGAGGGGCTGCGGCTGGCCGTTCGGGAGGCGCCCATCGCGCATTGGAATCGTGGTCTTCAGTGGCTTCCCATCGCTGCCGTAGATGACCTTCCCATCGGGTCCTGTCTTGTTGACCTTCACGCCGAATGGTGGGTGCTCTTCTCTGGTATGAAACTTTGACATCTTCCGTGCAGAGAGCGCATCATCTGCGCGTTTCACGTGAGTGGGCGCGTTATCGAAGATAAAGACATGTTCCTCCTCAGGAAAGTGCTTTTCCAGGATGTCCATAGCGGTGGTGGCGTGTGCGAGGATCTCTTCGTGGGTAAAGTATCCATCTCTATTCTTTCCGGCTTTGAAGAGAACACGAGCTGATTCCCTTCCGTCAGGTGAACGGAGCCACCCATGATCGGCCGACATGAAATCAGCAACCATAAGTGACATCCCTTCCCCTTTCGGCCGTGGTACTGCCGTTTCTTGCTCACGAACCCAGCGCAGGGTCCGCCGATCATGGGCATAGAAGGTTGATTCATCGTGGAACCAGTGCACAACTTGGTGTTCTGCCAGATCACTGAACTGAGTGAGTTATCTTATCAGCTTGACCAGAAGTTGATGATCTCATACCTGTGATTAGATAGCGACTCGGCTGTGGCTGCGGCCGTAGTTGCGCGCGGCACCTCCACCCCGTCCACATCCCATGTGCGCGTCCGCGATAGAGCATCTGCAAAGACAGGTAGGAATATCTTCTGTCTATAATTGACCACATCTTCGCGCTCGTGCCCGTCGACGTACTGCCCAGTTGGCTCATGCTTCCAGAAGCGGCCCAGCTTGCGCATCCATCTCTTCGCAGTCGTGCGAGAGACAAGCTTGGTGAGCCCGAATTTCACAAGGTTACCGGGGAAGGCCATGAATGAGACGATGTCTTGTGCTTGAACATACATGCCGACACCTTGTAAGTGCAGCTCGAGTGCGAGCTTGAGCTCAAGATTGGTTTTCAGTGCTGATCGTGACCACGTATGCTGAGGAGCAGCTGGGAGTGTGGGCTTTGCGCCTGACAGAAACTTCCGACACCACCTGCGAAGCGTTCGCGCATGATTTGGCGCGCAACCGAGCTTCTGTGCAGTCGACACGGAGGTCTTCTTCCATCCACGCACAGGAGCGCTGTCGTCCAGATAGATGGCTAGAAACTCTCGCATCTCCACGAGACGGCGGTGAAGCTGCGGGTTTCCCGCTTTGAAAGGCAAATATCTCCTCTTCTTCGTCTTTGAGCGCGGCCACAGTAGCGCATCCAGCAGCTTCAGCCCCGCTTCTGTAGCCTCACGCGTGGGCGCTGATTGAAAGTGTCCTCCGGGTCGCGTGTGTGGCCCCGGAATGATGCTTCGGATCTGATTGGAAGAGGCCTTCGCCGGCATCGTTTGGGATCGCGGGGACGACAACACAGTGGAGGATTCCGCTGGAAGGTCCGCAACCGGCAGTCTGGATGCCGTGTTCCCGGGCGGCAGCTGAGGTGCTGCCTGAAGTTGGGACATCTCCACAAGCATGCGGCGACTTCTCTCCTGCAGCACTTGCACGTCGTGGTTCAGCCCTGTGATGCGTGCTTGAAGTGCACGCTCCACTGGCACCGGGGGCTGCATAGCGAGCTCAATAAGAGGTTTTGAAGAGATGGTATGATATCCATACCAGGTTTTCCTTGTTTACACTCGCTTTCAAGACCTTCTTCTTCATACACCTGCCTAGGTTCTTCAACCTGGACGCTTTTGCGGTGCTAACTCGACCCATGGTTGTATGCCAATGCCATTCTGACAGGCTTACTCAATAAACTCCATTTCCTGGCGCTTTTATTGACGCCTGAACTGCGCTCGTCTGCGATGGCACCGCTCACGATGCCACTTCCTTTCCCGCCTTCTCTCGCCAAAAGGAGCTCCAGGGAGTTGTAGCCAAATACTATTAGTACAATCCTCCGGAAACAAACCAGGAGAAAATGCTTCATTCAGAAAAGTACATGGTTTACAATGAATCCTCCACCCAGACGGACGCATTTTGATCACGTGATGGGGCGGGCTGTGACTGAGCCCAACCTTATCTGTGGAACACATCCGAACAAACGAGACACCGCGACATAGAAACTAGCACCCTATTTCAATGCCATCGTAAGGCCCGTCGTGATCAGACACGTTGAAATGGAGAACATTCGCGGACGCGAAGGCGCATTCGGGGCTGGGATTGTCTTGGCCTGGGAAGCGCATAGTCAAGTATAGAGAGCGGGAGACACGAAAGTCAACATACCCGGGCAGGACACCCACTGGCCGTTGTCCATGATGTGGATTTCTCCCGTGGGCTGGTGGAAGCCGAAGGCAATTGGTGGGATGACAGGCACGATGTCCTCCATGTTGCCGATGTGCGTGACTGACTCCCCCAAGCCATCCACGAGGTTCGCGAAAGCCTTGTTGCCGACCTGCATTGTGGGGTTGATAAGGTATGGAGAAGACGTTGACATTGTTGCGCACGCGTGGCAGCCCGTACCCAACGAAACGTGTCGTCACGTTGCTCGGGAGGTGCAGCGGGAGGAAGACCGTGTCGAGCAGCGAAATCGCGGCGCCTGCAAGGTGACATCAGCTTCGGTCTTCACTCGCATGTGAATGCTCTCCGGAAAGCTTACGTACCGAGCGAATGCCCGACCACGGTTACCTTCGTGGCACCGAACTGCTGGAGCGCAGAGGTTACCGCCTTGAGCACAAGGGGTGCAGACCTGCGAACGCGCGTCAGATGACGGTGCACGGGACCGATGGGCAATATAGTGTGGTACGCGTGTGCGAACCTAGCATGCGTGCCCTCAAAGCCGTTGTGCACGAGCACATCGAGGCCCACACCCGGGAAGAGGGTCGGGCTGAGCGGCGTGAGCACGATATCGGCGTCTGTCAGGACAGGGATGCTGCGCGAGAGGATGAGCGTCGCGCGATTCAGTGTTCCCAGCGCAAGTGGACTAACATGGCTTCGATGTCGGTGCCCTGATGCCCAACGATGACCTCACCGAGCGCAGGATCGAAGCCAACGTACCCTGTGGGAATGCAAGCATCAGTGGGGAGTACGACGGACGCGAAGTCCACTGTGCGCGGCGGAGCGCAGGCAGCTCCGAACGCAAGACACGGAACAGCTGCGGAGCACGTGAGACAATGAGCAACGCGAAGGACGTACAAAACTGTGTGATGGCGCCGTCACCGCCGGACGCGACGGGCTCGAACGTCGGGTTCGCGTCGCAGTTCGCTCCGCACGTCCAGGTGCGTGTCGTGTCCGGGCTGCAGTACGCGGTGCTGGCGAAGTGCGTGTAAGGCGCGAAGGCGGCGACCTCCGCGGAGGTCAGAGGAGTGATGGGCGCGTCCCCTCGTGGGAGGGGTCGGACGGCTGCGCCGAGAGCTGGTGGGGCCGCCGCCGCCGCCGCAAAGAGCAGAGCGAGGAGCGTGGCCACGCGGCGAACTCGAGGAGGGAAGAGCATGGCGGGGTACGTGCAACGCTGGAGCGCGGTCTGTGTTGGGGCAGGGAGGCGAAGACGGCAGGATCACCGTGCGCGGCATTTATACCATCAGCCCTGCGAGTCGCCAGTGCGGAAAGAAGGCCCTTGTGACGCAAGCGGCCTCATGAACGCGAGCGTGCTGATCACAATGTCGGCAATGTGGAAGCTGGAGCGAACATGTCAAAGTCCTCGCTTGTCGCGTTATGTCGGTCAGATTGCATGCATCTCCGAAGTGTTGGAACATGCACTGACCGACATGATGAAGCCTTGTGCTTGTGCCCTCCGACGTCGAGAATGCTGTCGCACCATTGCTGTCTCTACAACGGAGTGGGAAAAGATGGACAGCACATATGCATGGAACGCCGTGCGAGAATGTCGGTGGCGCACCATACTTGGCGATGATGCTAGTGCCAATGCATGCAGCTGGGAAATAAAAGGTGGACGCAAAAGGGCCTGGCCGGGAATTGAACCCGGGACCTCCTCCAAATGCCTCGACAAGCCCTAAGAAGGAATCATACTACTAGACCACCAGGCCGTTGATAGTTATGCAGCAGTATTTATTAATATAATGCACATTGTGCATGGGGACATGGTTAGCTCCTTGGGTCACCCAACCTCCCAAAAAAACTAGTCTATTAGCTTATATCCGAAGGACACTGATGCGCCGTGTATGTTATAGGGTGCGGCGGACATCACAGCCCCTGCAGTCGTCTGGCCAAGTTCGCACATAGCGCATCTTCCTTCGGCATCGACAGTTTCAAGAACATCGAGTCGATCGCACTCTGATCCACTCGGTACGTACTTGCATGTCCTGCTGCATGTGCTAAATACGCTGTATATCTAGTGCCTAGAGTAATAAAACATGCATTACCTTTTATTTCCACTAGTTCCCGACTCCCCATTCGGACATGAAGTCCTTGTATTTTGTCACAAAGATATAAAGCGATCCAGTACTAACATTCTGTGCACAGTCCCCAACTTCCACTGTATACATCGGCGGCAGGCACCCTGACGGCAAAAAGAGGAGGAGACCCGACAAGAACTTGCACGTCACACACAGCTATGAACTCACGGGCAAGACTGAGGACAACCCGAAAGGTTAATTCCTTCTATTTCGGTCGGCGGCCGCACTCACGTTGTGGTAATAGTTTGATCCCGGTAAGCTCATCGTCTCATGGCCCAGCCTGTAGGGCTTGGACTCGACGAGGGCCGTGGCCGGGCGTGCGGGCCTGGGCGCGCGAGGCTGCTGACGTCTATGTCGAGGCCGCTGAAGGTGCAACAGCCCTGACGCTAAGGGCGGTCGGAGACGGTGAAAAACGAGGCGAGGTCATCGCGGGAGATGTGGTTATTGACGAGGACGGTGTCACCTTTGCAAGCGTACCTGGTGAGTGTGCGAGTCGCGGAGAGGTATTTGGTGCGGCTTCTCACGTCGGCGTCGTGGACTAGGATGGTACACGGAGCCTTGTTGGAGGTGCTTCACAGTACCGCAGAAGACGAAGGGTTAGTGAACGCGGCTGAATGCCCATGGGGGAATGTGCAGTTTTCCCTCCTTGTAGTAACAGCCATCTTTCTTGAGGGCCAACAGGACCACTAGCTGTACATATTCTAGTGTAAGCCCGGGGTATGTTCCGAAGATCCAAACACTCACAGGCATGTCGGACAGTTTTGCGTTGAATCTGCGACGGCAAGAGTGAGTGAGCGCGATGGGCAAACACCGGGACATGGCTTTGTTCTCACCAGGCAAGACAGCCGGTTATCCACGAGGGGCAGAGCTGGGCAGAGCCACCGTGAACAATATCCAAGTCTTCTCGTATCACCGGGTTTGACGTCGCACAGACTCATGGCGAAGGGGGAATATAGTGTAATAATGACGATAGCTGGACTGTACACTCAACTTCGAGCCTGCCTCCTCAGCCCTCCATGTCGGCCAGCTCCTCCTTATTCAGCGACACCTTTCCCTCGTCATCGTCAGCCTCGTCCTTCTCCAGCGGCAGCTGGCCGTCTTTGGGGAACAGAGTGAGGTCGAAGCGCTTCTTCCCTCGGTAAGGATTGAGTCGACGTTCAGTCGACTTGATGACCGCGGTGGAGGGGATGACGCCCTTGGGGTTCAGCCAGTCGAAGTCGCGTCCGGCGTAAGCGTCGATACACCGGACCCAGTCGTCGAAGCTGTGGAAGCAGACGTGGTCAGCACGCGGGTTGGAAAACTGGAGGTGGAGCTGGAGGGGAACGTACATGCCGAACTGGTCCTCGATTGAGCGCATCCGGGGGTAGATGAACTCCTCTTTGAAGCCGTCAAGCCGCTCGCGATGCGCTTCCAGGTCAATCGGGAGGCGATATTCGGGATCCGTCGGCTTCGCCTTGGCGTTGACGGTCTCCGCTATCTTTCGGGCGTAGGTATCAAAGATGGGATACTCGAGCAAAAGACCGAGCGCGGGCATCTTTGGTACCGAGACCTGCCGGGGGCCGTACATCTGAAGTGTGAAGGAGACGTTGAGTATACCGACCTGCCCAGAGAGGCTAAGATAGGTACCTCTTCAATGATTTGAGAGGGAGTCCCAGTTCTGCAAGCGAGGGTGAGGACAGCGATCATTTTACGCTGTAGGACGATGCCGGTGAGTAGGGCCATTACCAACAGTCGCTTGTGTTCTCACAATCTGAAGGGGGTCCGTTTAGCGCGGGAAAGGGTAATTCAAGCAAACGAGATGAAGTTACCTGGTGGAGCATGAAGCTCTGTCCGTGCAGCATGACTGCGATCCATTCAGTGTCGCCGTACACGGCAGGGTCGAGAATCTACCGGCGTCGAGCATCAACTCAAGTTCAGAGATGTGCGAATGGACTCACTTCAATGGACTTCATGTTCCTCTGACAGCTCCTGTCCTTGAAGTCGCGTTGGACAGTGAAGTTGTGGAAGTTGTGGGATCCCTCAAACTTCTTTGCTGTCTCCCTCAGCACGGCAATTTGCTCTGGTGTGACGCGATAGGCACGCTTTCGTGCAAGGTCGTCTCTTGGTGTCGAGTCAGAGGGCGCGCTCTCCCAAAATGAGTGGGTTGAGTAATCTGAGTTTTGCTCTATGAGGCTCTTGTGGAGTCCGCTTTTTGGTTTGGGTGGGATCATAAGGTAGGAGGGGAAGAAATAGGTATATTTCCGGCTATCGCAGAATCTGTGATCATTCCTACAGTCAGCAAGGCCGGGCATGGGTCCCAGGATATGAAACACGCGTACGTTCGTGCATTAAATGAAGACTGAACACGAATCTACGGCATGGATCTTCAGAGACATGCAATTCATGGGATGATACGACAGGTACTCACGATGTTCCATAGCCGAATTTCTGGCGGTAGCTCCTCGTTGATCTTCTCGACCAGGTTTGGGACTCCTGGAATCTCGGTGATGAGCTTCATGGACACGACGTTGCCCGCCGCATGTACACCCGCGTCTGTGCGTGCTGCGCGCCCCAGAGCAACCTGTATTCGCGACCTGAATACCCCATATCTCAGTTTTGCACGCATGACATACCTTTGACGGGTTATCCGAATTGTCCTGCGAGACCGCCCCAACCTTGATCAGTGCATTGAAGAGCACTCCTTCAATAGTTCGCACTCCAGAGGCTGCGTCTCCCGTCCCCTGGCTGCGACGCGCGCGTGGGCACACAAATGCTCGGAACGAGGGACGGTACGTACATTTGCATGCCATTGAAACCGTCCCCACAGAACCCAAGCAGGAGAGCCGCAGGTCGTTTGGGCAGCCGCGGTGCTTTGGCCTCCCCGCTCGATGGCTGTCCCTCAGCTTCATCGCGAGTCCCCCGACGCTTCCCCCGACGCGACTCCTTGAAGTCTTTCCGTGATATATTCCGGTTCCTCTTCTTCTTCCCCCCACCTGCCCGGTCTCCCTCCTCGTTCGTTCCCAAGGGTGCAGCACCAGTTGCCTCCACCACCACTGCAGCCCCGGACGGTTCGGGCGCGCATTCGCGCTCTTCCGCTGCATCCTGAACTCCTTCAGGCTCCCCGGCAATGATCTTTGTGCGTTTTGAGGCCGAGTCCACGTCCGTCGCGTTTTCTTGCTGTCGCTTCAAGGACGGACTCGGGGCGGATGGCGGATCTGAGAGGCCGACTTGGTCGACGTCCATGTTGTATGATGCGCGTATCAGTGCGTTGTTTCGCCGAAGTAGAGAGCAGGCAGGAGGCTCGAGGGCATGCGCCCGGTAGTTTAGAAAGGAGGAGGGAGGATGGCGGAACAGTCTGCTGACCGCTCGAAGAGGAAGCATGCCAGTACAGGCGCCCACGCGAGGCTCTCGTTTTCAACGGCCCAGACGTCTAAACAAACCGAAGTATACATACACAAAATCTCAAGCACCCTCTTATACCAAACAGGCAGTATCACGACTGATTGACCGCTGCTACATACACATTCTCATATAACGCGTCGCAGATAGAACTACATTATAATCTTCCTGATGCAGCCCGTGCGCAGTACCAGTGTGTATCGGTGAGGTGCAGAAGAAGCCACAGATATTACTTACAGATGTTGCCCACTGTCACATCAAACGTATCCACAGGTCTCTGGAACGAATGACCGTGAATATGTCCACTCTTGAGACGTAGCATCTCTAGTATGAGGAGTTTCTGGGATGGGATGCCGGTGCGGCGGATCATGTGAAGTGCTGGACGAAGCGCACCGTCAAGACAGAATCGTTCATTGCTATTCGCCAATGCCAACAGCCCGCGATATTCGCATATCGTGAAGGGGTCTGGACCCCGGGTGACCTGCCATCACTCACCATCGCGTCCTTGTGCACAACGAGGTGGCCCGGCAAGAACCCCTTAGTCGGTGCTGATTTCCACGAGATTCTGAACGTACGCCGTTAGTCGGGGACTCGGTGGCACATACCTGAGGCCTGAGGCCTGAGACCTGAAGTTGGATGTAAACCCAAGACAGTATGTAGCTGGCCGATGCCTGGCACACACGTTCCACGCGCCATCTCTGGAAAGACGAGGCCCGAGGCAGCTGCAGCAAGCGAGAGATCTGTGCCGACCACATTGCACAAGCGAAGACGCATGCCAGGCTCGAGGCAGTCTGCCGGGCGAGGCTGGTTGTGTGGGGAAGAGGCATCGAAGCGAAAGGTCGACGGTGGGGAAGACCCGGATGAGCGCCTGGGGAAGTGGCCTATAAATGTGATCGAGGAAACTGGCACGATTCTGCAAAGTGGCCCCTCGTGCTCTCTGTCCCCACCCCCATCCCCCTTCGCTGGCTGTCCTCCTCCCGAATACATAGATCCTATAATTCCTCTCCTTAGACATCACGACTAGTCATGAAAATCAGCCAGAAGATCGAAAAGGCCAACAAGGAGGACCGCATCTGGTGGTCCTTCGAATATTTCCCACCCAGGACGGCGCAGGTAGGCCCCCGGCCGCCGCTAGACGCTTTTGCAACTTTGTTCACGCCATGCTTGCCCTAGGGCCTGCAAAACCTTCTCGATCGCATCGAGCGCATGCGCGCAATGGGCCCCGAGTTCGTCGACATCACATGGTAGGTCTTCGATATTCGAATCAAGCGGCGGATATGCAGACAACGCCCACCAGGAACGCCGGAGGACGGACGTCAGAGCTCACCTCGGAGCTCGTCAAAACGTGTCAGAAGCTCATCGGGATCGAGACATGCATGCATCTGACGTGCACGGCCATGCCAAAAGAGAAGGTGGACATCGCGCTCCGGGTGAGTCTTTCATTCAACTTCGTGCGATCAATCCCCTTGCGCATGAGCGGCACACATGGGTATGTGCATAGTGTACGTACAGGGGGCACGAGGTGGGCACGGATGCTTGAAGTTCATCATCATGTTACCATCCTTGCCCGTTTGCATGGAAGCCATACTGGAACCAACTTCTCGAGAGCTCGGTCTAGAGCATACTTCAGTCGAGAGGCCTGACGCCGCCGTCATCGTGACGCAGACGTTAAGCCTCTATGGACGCTGTATTCGCAAGTGTGGGCGAGGGTCGGACACGTTGTCGCGCAATGGGACCCGTCCCTGCGCGCGAGCCGCATGCTTTGGCTGAATAAGAGGGTCGTGTTCTCCGCTCGTCTGGGTTTCTGATTACGTTCGCTACAGGAAGCAAAGCTACACGGCTGCCGCAACGTCCTCGCGCTCCGTGGTGATGCCCCGGTGGGCAAGGAGTGGGAACCCGTTGAAGGTGGCTTCGCGTACGGAATCGACCTCGTGCGATACATTCGCAAGCACCATGACGACTATTTCGATATCGCAGTCGCAGGCTACCCGCAAACTCACCAGCTCCCGCCCGAAGAGGCCGCGCAAGAGATGCAGTGGTTGAAGGAGAAAGTCGATGCTGGCGCGAACTTCATCTTCACACAGATGTTCTACGACGTCGACATGTTTGTGAGCTGGGTTCGTGCCGCACGGGCCGCCGGAATCACTGTGCCCATCGTGCCCGGAATTATGCCTATCCAAACATGGAATGGTTTCCAGAAGGCGACCGCCATGGCCAACATCACTGTCCCACAGTTTTTACTGGACGAGCTGGAGCCCCATAAAAACAACGACGAGAAGGTCCGGGACCTGGGCACCAAGCTCGTCGCAGACCTCTGCAGGCAGATCCTCGCCGCGGACATCGGCATCAAAGGCCTCCACTTCTACACCATGAACCTCGAGAAGGGCTGCAGGATGTTGCTCGAAGAGCTCAACCTCGTTCCTCGCATCGATGTCGTGAAGCCCCTCCCCTGGAGACAGGTGTGCATTATATTCCATATGCGCTGAGCACACCTCTGACTGATCATATACAGTCGCTCACGCCCAACCGCCGCACGGAGACCACTCGACCTATCTTCTGGGCCAACCGTACTCGGTCTTATCTCTCGCGCACTGAGAACTGGGATGAGTATCCGAACGGTCGATTCGGAGACTCCCGTTCACCCGCTTACGGAGAGATCGATGGTTACGGTATCATGCTCAAGCACTCGAAGGACGACGCCCTCTCCCTCTGGGGATCGCCAGCCTCTGTCGAGGAGATCCGGGCGCTGTTCTCCCAGTTCTGTATGGGCAAGCTGAAAGCGCTCCCCTGGTCCGATGTGGCACCATCCAGCGAGACCACCGTCATCGCAACCCAGCTTGCGAGGCTGAACGAGTTCGGTTTCCTCACCATCAACTCGCAGCCTGCTGTCGACGGTGCCAAGAGCAGCGACAAGATCCACGGTTGGGGTCCTGCAAACGGATACGTGTACCAGAAGGCACGTATATCCCATTGGCTGTTTGTGTGGTCTCATTGCTCACCATTTGCCCCTTCAGGCGTACCTGGAGTTCTTCGTCTCCCCGGAGCTGTTGGACATGCTCATCCCTCACATCGAGCGTGATATCAACATTACCTACTACGTCATCAACAACCGTGGCGACCTCCGCACCAACACTCACTCGGATGGTCCCAACGCTGTGACTTGGGGTGTCTTCCCAGGCAAGGAGATCGTTCAGCCCACCATCGTCGAGGCCATCAGCTTCATGGCCTGGAAGGTGAATTTAACACGTCTGCTAGTCATCATATTATAGTGACTGACGATCTGATACTTAGGACGAAGCCTTTGAACTCGGCCGTCAGTGGGCAAAGCTCTACGAGCCGGACTCCTCGTCGCGCAAGCTGATCGACGCTATCACGGACACTTATTGTCTCGTGAACGTGGTCCACAACGACTACAAGAAGCCCGACGCGATCTTTGAGCCGTTCTTCAAGGCCGGTGCCGAGTTCTCCGCCAAGTACCCATCCACCAACGATTTCGCGAACGGTCACACCAACTAGACTTGCGGATCCATTCCACCTCCTTCGCGACATCTAGCGCCGATTGCCTGCTTTACGTTCCTCCTCATGCTCTCATGCTCTTCCTCTCTCTCTCTCGCATCTTCTCAAACATAATTGGCAGTTCAACAAACTGCCAGCCCACGGTTGGCTTGCTCTATCGTTTCCAAGCATCGTCACCGGGTTCAACCCCCACCCTCCTTATCCCCGCTCGCCGCCGAATGAGTAACACACACTCCCCCGCTCCTGCTCTCTACTCATCTAGTACGCCCCGCCATTAGTATCTCCCGTCTTTGTTCGCTTGTATGTCATAGCTTTCCGCATCATCGCTCACACACGCATCCTTCCAGCATGTACCAACCTCACATCATCCCTGCATCAACTGCATCTACTCATCGTCTGGACTCCACCCTGCCCTTTTCCACGCCGCAGGGACTTTGCATCCAACTGCATGTATATTATTGCTCTCGACCCTGACTATGCTGTAGAGGTCACCGATGTATCTTCGTATTTGCGCGTCACGTCCTCTCATGTCAGCTCGATGTTTTCGCCCAAGAACCCTGACTCCGAGCCCGCCCGGGACGTCATCCGTCTTTCATCAGGCGAGGAGAAGACGAGACGTGTATTCCTGTATTCCTACGGGAGTGGTATATCTGGACAGGGCGGGAATATTACGCGGTACGATACTACAACATATGCACACCTTCGGCGAGGGCGCTTTGTCCCTCGGTCATGCGCGGCCCGCATGCGGGCGGCGCGAACATCCATTTACACGAAAACGACCAAGATCACGGCAGGGAACCCATATGTCGCAGCGGGATACATGAAGCATTGCCAACCAGCGGGCGGAAGGGGGAAGGTAGGGTGGGCACCAGGGAGGAATAGAAGGGGTAGGGGCTACTGCGCGGTGGGGTCGTAGGAAAGGTCCGAGAAGAAGAAATCGCTGTTCATCGGTGGCGGGCCGGCAACGAGTCCGCTGGGGATCTCGACCTTCTCTCCTGAGAGATCTGGAAACCAGAAAGATGGTCAGCGCCCGCGGCCCGGACGGGGAAGAAAGAGGAGGATGAGGGTGACGCACCAAGCAACTTGATCTTGAGCCCGATCTCGGTCAACGCTTGCACGAAGAGCTCCGTCTCCTGCGAGGCTACGTGGCCGCCGTCACGGCGGAGCATGTTCAGGCCGTCGGTCCAGTCGGCCCACTGCGCTTGGTCGGAGGCGATCTGGTCGGCGAGAGAGCCCCCGCTGGTGGTGCTGAGGAGCGAGAAGGAAAGCGCGGAGGCCATCGGCGCCCCGGGGCCGACAGGGAGATCAACCTGCATCTCGCTGCGGATGTGCGGGAAAGGCGCGGAGGTGCCGGTCGCGACTTCGGAGATCATCGCGATCTCGATGCGCTCGGGGAGGTCTTCTAGGCCCTTGCGGACGGGGAACTTCACGGCGCTGTCAACGAAGTGGAGATATTTGAGTCCCGCGTCCTGCACACGACCGTTAACCAGGGTTACGACCATTAAAATCAGAGCAACGTACCAGCCGAAGGAAACGGAAAGGTCGTGTTGGTCGCCTCATTGTTTCTCTTGAGACTCCAGACGCGATGGGGATACCGTTCATAAACCAGGCTCCGTCAAGTAGACAGTGGATGCGCTGCTGGCGCACGAACTCGAAAGACTCCTTGTACAACTTGGCGCGCAAGTTTCTGTTGCGACGTGAGACCATGTCCTCCGGCAACGAACGTATGCGCTCACCGAATGGGAACCTTGCTCATAATGTCGTCTTCCATCTCGAGTTCCTTCATCTGCCTATCGCGAACTAAGCGATACTCGCATTCCAGGAACTCCTGTTCGACTTCATGCCATGGTCGGATATTCTCCCGCTTCAAAGCGACCTTGACTCTGGGAAAAGGGTGTTAAAGGTGTTAAATGAGCATCGACCAAGAGAACGCACTGGCTACGGGTCAACGCCACGAGACGGGGGAAGTCGCCGGTGGAGGATGCGCTCTCATTCCACATGCGCAAGAAGAAGTGCAACGCAAGGGAGTGTACTTTGGGGAAGTTGAGGAAGAACGGCTGGAATGTTGTCGATGTGGAGTCTAAGGCGCTCGCTTAGAACAGCAATGAGGAGTAACGGACAACACGTACATCCCGGCGCATAGATTGCCCAGTGTTCCGACAAGAGGTCGGTGACTTCATTCGACGCTTTCGCAATCGGACATCGTCGCTCCTCTGGTCGACTGAGCTGCTCTTGAACAACCTTGGCCCAGTAATCGGGATCCTTCTCCACAAAGTATTTCTGCGTACAAATGTAAATTGGCTGCGTACAGAGGTTTAAAAGGACAACATACCAGGCAATCAAGACCAAGCACACCAACTTCGCGGAACTCTATTCCAATGTCCTCCGAATCGAAACCAATCTGTCTCCACTTGATGAAAGTGTTGGCATCCTCACGTTCTTCATTTAACCGACTCTTCTCCCAGATGAGCTGCAGGGCCGAGCTGTGCAGCGGTTCGAAGTCGGGTTCGACAAGGGTAGTCTTCTTGCGGAACGTAACACGGACCATGTTGGCCTGGAAGTCCAGGATACATGAGGTCAAGTCTTCTATGGTATGTGAAGACATGAGCCGCTGGGGGGCAGATGAATTAGAACTAAGCGTGTGCCGGATCGCAAGTACCTACAATAACAGCCTTCCGGACATTCAATCGTTCTATTTCGGCGATGAACTCGTCCCATCGTGGATCACTCGCGTGGGCCATTAATGAGTTGATCAACATCATACTGAAACACCATGAATGAATGTTTCGACCATGGCGAACTGCGAGACGCACCTGTACAGAGCCATTGTCGTGTCCGCACTACCCAACCGACTCACAACCGTCTCCAAAAGCCTCCGTTCCTTCCGCATCTGCTCAAAGACGACATCGAAGCCATACCTGTATACGGATCCAGGGGGCGGACTTGGTGGACCCCTGCTTGAGCCGGGGTTGTTGAGGTTTCCCGAAGCGGCCCCAGGATCAGCCTCCACGAGTTTCTTGAGAATCGCAGTTGCAGGTCGGCAAACATTGATGAGGGATTGCTCCGACGACAGAATCTGGACCACCTTCAATATGAAGTTGTTGTCAAGGTTCGCCCAACCGTAGTCTAACTCCATCAGGTTCTGCATGGCAGTTAGCGCATACTGCGGCGATAGTGTCAACAGAGCCCATCGCACAGGTTTAAAGAAAAACATACAGCAAGTGTGTTCCCGTAGGATGTATTGATGACGTCTATGAGTTCATGCAGACCGTCTCGTTGCAGGAACTCGTTTGCAAATGGCTCTTCCTGAGAACGCGCAAGGGCTGAGAGGGGTGGAAAGCAGACAGTTTGAACGAGCTTACGCGAATCAACTTGCGCAACGACATTAATGCTAGACCAACTTTCGCATCCTTGGTCTGGTCCCTCGAGCTTAGCTTCTCCACGATCTCTGCGGCTTCAATTGCAGGAGCATTGACAAGCCTGTAGCAACAAGCCGTCTATGAGTAAATGCTAACGCTAGGAAGCACATACTAACTTGAGATTCATCTTCGACTTTATCTTCTTCCGCAAGTTGTCATTCGTTACTAGCTCGTCGCTTTCATCCCGTAACGCGTACATGACAGGAGGGTCCTTGAGCTTCAAGCTGATACACAATTGTCGTATGACGTCCTCGACAGCGAGACTGGGCTCGATTCGCGTCCGGACCGTGATGCCATCCTTGGTGGTAACGTTGTTGGTGGGGACCAATCCACCCTTCGTTGCCGCTTGTGACGTCTTGCCGTTCGACGGGCCATTGGCAACGGGGGTGGTGGAGGTCGCAGGAGGGGGATTCGGGAGGGCGCGCTCCTCTGGTGGGAAGGACATGTAGGGAGTTGGGATGGATTAGGATGTCTGGAAACGACGCGTTAATGACCTCTATGCAGCGCCATGAAACACGGAACCAGCGGGGGGATTGGTAGGAAAGAAAAGGCAGGGTTGGAAGTGGTGCACAAAACGACGTGCTCTGAACGACTCACATTGGACGCAAATTATTGCCAACTGATTCCGTATTGAAAGCGCACTGCATTTCAACCCTCGTTAGCATGTCGTCAACAGGAAGAAGGAAGAGTGTGTGTCAGATATGCGAAGTTGGCATCTAGTGTACCGCGAGGTGCTCAGACTGACGTGCAAATATGATAGAAAGACTCATCCTATAAGGTAACTGCAGCTCGAATACTCACCGACAGCAATGCGAATGGAGATGTATAACTTAGCGCAACTCGGCAGGGAAGGAGAGCATAGCCCGTTGTCGTTAGAGAGCAAGGGAGAGCAGTGGTTGAAGGCCAAGAGGGGGCGTTGAGAAGGACTGTAACAGAGGGTATTGGGGAGTAGTGTTGAAGGCGGTGCGTCCGGTGACAATTTTCCAAAGATAAGTTACAGAGCACAGGACAGCGCAAGGGATGCCGACAAGCAGGGAAGACGGAGAGAGGGCTGTCCTGAGAAGTAGAGTTGGCGACAAGCAAAGGGCGGCGAGGGAAGGCTAAGGGGAAAGGCGGGAAGGGAACTGTTTGCCAGATTGCCTGGGCCTTTGGCCTCGGGCGTCACAACGCCACAACGCCTCCGCTCATCGACATCATCGACATCCATCATCGACATCTCTCTCCCGTCGTCTTAGCTATTCCTCCGTGCGCCCTTGTTCAGTCTCTCATTGAGAGAGTGCTTGTTCCTGCAACAACTCTTGCTGCCCACTTCTTTGGTCGATAATTTGGAGTTCAGTGGATCCCACCCAGTAAGATCATTCTGGATGTATTCTCATCTCCCGTCTCCCGTCTCCAGCACGATGGTGTCTGCAAGCTGGAAGCAGTGGGGATACTGGAAACTTGAGTATGCCGTTGCTCACGCGGCCCACTGTTAGCCTCGGGTTCGGCAGTGTCAGCCTCTGGGGTGACTGTATGCCTGTAAGCTGCCCCCGACGACCATCGCCTCAACCCACTTCATGCGCCCCTCCATGAAGGCCATGGCAGTAGAGACTCAAGACCGCCTCGCCTCCACCGGCTCTACGGCAACGCTGGACCTTCAAGAAGTCCTTTCTACCGTCATAGGCGAGCCCCTCTTGTCAACTCACCTCAGTCTCCCCAGCGTCGTGGAACTCGCCCATCCCGTATGCGAAGTCCCACCATTTCCCTCGATACGCGATGTGACGATGTCCGTCCACGACCGGTCAACATCCGATGCACAACGTGTCTCTCGTTCGCCGGTGGTTCCAATCGCGGACAACGTTTCTCGGTCTCTCATTACTTTGCCCACCGGACCTCGCCTCAAAGTGATGATGGTCGAGAAGATCTCTATACGGGCTTGGACTGTGAGTAAGTTAGTCCTTGGATACATGCGCGTGCTGAACGCTTGATTGTCAGGAATCCGTATGCACGAGCTTCGTCTGCGACACAATGCCGAAGGACATCGCAACGCGTGTCTTCTTCCCCGCCCCGACTGACGAAGACCCCGCTCGCCTTGCGACCCACTTCTCTGCTGGATGCGACACCCTTCTGCCCGAATCTGGATGTATCGCTTCTGCCAAGCGAATTCCCATCATCATCGACATGCCGCTCTCATCTTCTTCTCAATCAACGTCGACATCTTCCGTCACCTGTTCTTCGCGGGATTCTTTCACTCTACCTAGCTCTCAGCAAATGGACTCACGTTCTCCTACGGCCTTGCCCTCAATTACCCTCTCGACCTCGACCGCCGCCCTTCCCCTCACTCTCGACTCACCACCCAACAACGGACAGAGTGTCTCGCTCGCTGTCCGTCGGGGAAAGAAATCGCTTCCTGCGCTCTCTCTTGACTCACCAATCTCGTCAAGTGCTCACGAGGTTGACTCGTACCCAGACATTCCTTCTGCGTTCTTAGGCTCCCCGACCCTGCACTCGCCGTCTTTCCCGTTCTCATCTGGCGATCCTTCAAAGTTCAACATGGGTCTATCTGCGATGTGCAACAATCTTAAGTCTCTCGTACCACCTCCGCCGTTCTCGCCTACGGAGCCCTCCTTCCCTCTATGCCCTACTACGGAGCCCAAAACGCGATGGGGGACAGTCAATTGCGCCCAGCTCTCAGACGAAGACGATGAATGGGCATTCGCTCAGGACCTAGTCGCTGAATGGCATGCAAGTCGGGCCCAATATGCCGAGGTCTCCCCCCCACCGTCCCCTATTGGCACACTTGCGTATTCTTCATCCTCTTCTTCAGCTCTCGAAGATGGATCTGTTCTGGCGACATCTATCTCTGTTGGGTGCTCCGACGGCCTCGCGAAGAAGCATGCTACATCAAGTGCGAAGCAGATGCGGCGCAAGACTGTGATCATCCAGGCACCTGACAACGAATGCAGAGCTCTCGCACCTACCACGACCCTCAAGAGGGCAGAACTAGCTCGCTCTAGGGCCGCCGACTGGGGCACAGAACTCTTTCCGGACTACTTCGACGACCCAGTTCCATTCGTCATCCCTGCTAGAACTGCAGTCTCCTCCACACCCGCGTTGAATCTGAACCCAACGAACGAACTCATCTCGCCCGGTTGTCCGCTTGGCTCTGTAACCGCGAGGGTGCCTGTTCGGGGGATTCTCAAGGAGAGGAAGAATGTCCGCTTCTCCGTCGTGCCTAGCTTGCACGAGTACGTCGACGAGAAGTGCCTCGATTCCCGTCCATCTTCTCCTGTGGCTTGTCGCCCTTCTGCCCCCTCAGACACCCCTCGTCCCCCTCCCTTGCGCCCCCGTCTCGACTCCGTTGCGTCGCACACAAAGCGTCATGTCTCCCTCACTGCAGCGCCACGCGTAAGGTCACCCCTCCGCTTCTCCCACTTCCCGGACACCACGAGCGACCCTCCGTCGGGCGCATTCGATCAAGACCAGACCTCTCAACCGCCCCCATCTCCACCCTGGCCCTCAAGCGGCTCTGCCCGTCCGTCCATACACCCAGGGACGGCCCCCAGCGCGCCGGTGCAACGCAACACACGCCTCGAGTCGAGCAAGGGCGGTGTCGTCGCGACCGCGCCCGGCCAGCATCCCCCCCGCCGAAGGGCCCATCACTGCCGGTGCGCGCCCCTCCGCTCACGAAGCCCCCGCGCATGGCGACGCTGCCCCCGCCGGCGCGCGCGCCAGGATCCTCCATCAGCGCGCGGCTCAGCTTGAAGCTGCCCCGGGACGCGAAGAAACCCAGGTCCCAGCCACATCCCGTGCTCTCGCCAGAGTCGCGCGCGCGCGGCGGCCCGATGCCGATCTCTGCGACGCGTCTCGGTGACATGCGCAACGGCCCTGTGGAGACCACATTGACATTCGGGTGCCCCACGACGACTTGCGCGAAGATGGGCGGCAAAGGCAAGGCGCCCGTGGCGAACCGCCCTGGACAACGTACGGCGGGCCTTGCGGTCCATGCTGGCACCCGTGGGGCGAGCACTGCAGCACGCGAGCGGGGGGAGCGGGGGGTTTCAGCGAGCGCGAATCCGGCCCCCAAGCAACCCGGGAACCGGATGTCTACGCCGTTGCGGACCATCTGGACCAAGTTCCGCGCCTAGCGAGCGATGCGCTCACCTCAGTGCGGTGGATGCTGGCGCAATGGGTCGGCGTGATGCACGCGCGAGCGACCCGGGAGCATGGGACGGACAGCTTCGTTGGGTACGATATGACCGTATGTACCGCACTTCAGGCACAGATGTTTCCCTTGTTGTGGTGGATTAATTCATCGTCTAATGAATGTGGCACGCTTTCTACCTTGGAGCTTCTCGGTCGAGCGCGCCGCATGTGTGCAGCTTAGCAGCACGCGATAGGGTCGCAGTTCCCGGTCGTCGATAGCGTGTACGTTTGAGTACACGCAGTATCATGCTACGAACGAAGATAAAGGCGCAATCATGAACAGCCTTCTGGCCTGGATGTACGTTGGTGACGAGCCCAGTACACAATTAAGTACTGTACCTTCGGGATGCGCTGAACCGCGCGGGTTCGTGTCGGCCACCGCTTCGAGTGATGGTCCGTTCCCGCATGACGTCGCCACCGGGCCTGGCAGGTGCGGTGTGCGGGGCGGTACGCGCACCGACTCGAGCCAAGAGGATGTGTGATGTGGATCACCATGGCTCCAATGTTAGGAATGAGATCGCGCGACGCTCGAGTGCGGGACATCGTGCTGTGCTGATTCTCGAGCTTGTGTGCGCGGGTAATGATGATGCAGCGTGGGAGGGCCGCTACAGCCGTGGATTGGCAATAGATAGGTACGTAGGATGCATCATGAAGGGCATGAGACATGGAGGTTCTGTCCGAAGAGCAGATGAACCATAGCTGTCGGAGACAAGAAGGAGACAGGAAGGGGAAGTCTAGAAGAAGAAGGAAGGAAGCTACGGGATCGAGGTGTATGCAGTATAGCTACATGGGGGTTGTAAGGTACAGTGAGCCTGCACCGTCCGTGCGAAATAATATTATAGACAAGAAATAAGGAACCAAATGAGACCGAGACGCAGATCAGACGCCGAGGAAGAAGACAGCAGTGTGAATGGAAAGTCTAGTATTCTGAGAAGCCGCGGTCGCCTCAGGCGCGGCCCCAGTGGGGTTCCTTGATGCACCCTCATGGGGAACACATTCCCTGGCGTGCACACTGCAGGCCCCTGCTCAGCCATGCCGCGGGGAGCGGAGGGTTGCGAGTTGTGCGCCTGCGGGGACCGGTGGAACAGATGAGCGGTCAGCGTTCTTCCGCGACGTATCACGCGAAGCGCGCCAGCGGTATGTAGGCAGGGACACTTACCCATCAGAGGCGAGTAGGTGGTGACCTGCTCCATCGTGGCGAGCACCCGAACGTATTCGTCCTTGAGGGTCTGCTCGTCCGTGGGTATGTCGCGCGCTGAGGCGTGTGTGCCCGAGGCGCGCAGCCGGTGACCGGTCGAGATCGCTTGGGAGATCACTTTGGCGACAGAGCCCCAGAGGATCTGCGATAAAGTGCGGGTGAGATGAGTTATCAGAGGGGAAAAGATAAATGGGTCGTCGAATTGGGCAGAGGAAGGCAGAGAAGCGGGAGAGGATCTCGGAACGGAGAGATCTCGCCGCATGTCGCCGCGTGAGACCAGCGGCGACCACGTGATGGGACCAGCAAGAAATTCGAGAGCAGCGGCTGACTCACCCCCATGAACGGGTTGACGCAGAGCAAGGAGGCGTTGATTCGCTTCATGTTCTCTACCGCTGCGTGGGCCGCGTGGTAGGTGCGGCTGTTTGCAGTAACACGGTCCTGGACGAACGGCGTGTGGAGCTGGATGCTTGCACACTGCGCAAGGGTGTGCGCTAGCAGCACAGTCCTTATGGTGTCCGAGCGGGAAAGATCCAAACGCGGCAGCGCCTCACGGAACCGTTCGATCCGGTTGTCCAGCGACAAGAATGCAGCCTGAGAAGCTAAGTCGTCTCGGCCGAGCGGCCGCCGAATGTCAGAGGTTTGCCCGGATGAGAGCGTCGGGAAGGACTCACAGGGCTGGTAGCAGGACGCGAGTCGCGTAGCATTTCATACAGAATCACCGCCTTCGCGTGCATGGCAAGGACGCTGTATCCAGGCGATGCCGCGCCGGCGTCGGTACCCGAGGTGAAGACCTTGACGGTGTGAGAGGTACGATAATCACCGGGGAACGGGTGCTAAGGGAATCAGGCAATTCAATCAGTCGAAGAACAGATGGAAGACGCGCCACGGTCGCCTTACGCTGTGGTACATCGCGAGGTCCATAGGCCACGGTGTGTCGATCTGAGTTCCTAGTGCGTCGTCGTCCGTAATGGCTGGTGCCAACCCGGTGGCAACAGCCCAGCAGCGGTCCAAGATGAAGACGGTCCAGAAGCCGTTGATCCGCTCGCCCTCTTCCAGAGTGTCGGCGGGGGGAGGAAGTCGATAGGCGTTCGCCTCCGCGGAGGAACGACTTCGTCGTGAGCTTCGAATCATGTGGAGCTTCGAAGCCATCGCAATCGAGACGGCCGCGTTGGTGTGGTATACGCCTTCTAGCTGACGGTGGCCATTGAAGAAGTAATTGGCAAGGAGCACTTCTGCCTGCATCACGTATATGGCGCCGCGTGGGTCTTCCGGTAGCGCCTTCGGGAGGTGCTGGAGCGCGAGCGCGAGGTACGCCTGTTCTTGAGAGTGCACCTGGGGGTTGTTGGAAAACTTCGCCCCGAGTAAGTAGATCACGTTGAGGAGGATGGTGAGGCTGTGACTCGGTGTCGACTGAGCATAAACCTTATCCAGGAACCGGTGGATATGCAGGAAGAAGCCGAACTCGTTCGCATGCAAAGCGAACTCCCTGACCCTGAAATCACCAGAAGGCTTTAGTGCGACAGCTTCTCGCATGGAAAATGAAACGACACTAACAGAGTCCGCTTGGGATCATTTGCCGTGCGCTGCGCATTCCGCTGGTGCCATGCCGCATACGGATCGTGGAGGGTGAGAGGTGCGGCGGCGGCAGTGATATCCGCGATACGAGACTGCAAATGCGCGATCTGCTCTTCTAGAAGTTGGTTTTGCGTGGGCCCGAACCCGTCGAGATATTCGCATTCGTCGCTGTGGGCGACACACTGGGAACAAGATGGGCGATGGCCGTCGCAGCGCTGGACTGTGGTGTCAGAAAAATTCATTGACAAGGGGAAAGCAGCTCGCACCATCTTGCGACGCCTACGCAGTACCGATGTCAGAACGGCCCTGCACTTGGGAGAAGAGAGAGACTTACTTGCAACGCTGACAAGCCTTGCCACGCTCAAGAGGTGCCTGCATCGTATATGGTCGAGGAGTAGAAGAGTGGTAGAGGAGTGGATTGGTGTCTCTCTGGGATGACAGGCCCTCATCCTATATACCAAACGGCATTCTGGCTGTGTCGGGAGGTCATCAGTAGTGGAGGTAAACGATACGCATGCGCCTAATTCGGATACACTGAGATAAATGACTCCCGGCAACTTTTTTTCCGGTCAACCTACATTGTGAATGGGGTCGCCAGGCATCCGATGCGGTTCGGCTGTGAGCGCGAGCGGTGACATGGATGGCTGAGTGAAGCCATGGCAGCTTGGCGGGTTCCTTGGGAGCCAGGCGTCGCAGTAGGGCCGTGTCCCGGCGCAGTGGGAAACATCCGTATGTGCATGCTTTGGTGGATGATCTTGTGTGTGAGGGGCAGCTCACCAGCGGCGGGGGCGCCGAGCGTCAAACTCAGATCATGATGGCGCTTGCCGTCTAGGGCAGGGCCGCTGGCCACATTCCGCGGCGGTGAGCGGATGACGGTCGGACCCGCTTGCGCTCAGGGCCGAGTGTGAACAGGGTTGAGATTCGCTGTGCAATCCATGCCACGTGGGAGGCCAGTGGCTACGCTCATGGACGTCCTCCGTTGGGGCCGGTGGGCTGAGTACACGACCAGGTACACCGGCCCGTTCTTGCTTGGTACTTACAGACACCGATTCCAACACGGGAACAAGGTCTTTTGAGAACCTTATCGCGAATGTGGGAGTGGGGTGAAAAGTAAGCGGGCGAGAAATCCAGATCGTTTGCATTAGTCAGAGGTTCCGACGCTTCGGGTTAGCCATCTAACGACAGCGGGGTATTGTGCAACGACGACCAAAACGTTGTTCGACGTCGACTGCAGTATGTCGACTCCGCCGGTACATACACCTATAGGACCCGGCGTATGAAGAAAACAAATTAGATGTCGAGGGCCGTGCGAAGTTTGCCAGATCATTTGTGGCGATGATGAGAGCACTCGCCATTCCAGGCGCCGTGCCGCACAGCAGCCTTCCTGGCACAGTTCCGTATTTCCCACAGGATATGTTCCCATTGACGCACACGAGAGAAGGCAGGCGATCTGTGACGCGAATTAAGAGCACCGGACGGCAGCGCGACACGGCGAGGAGCCAAGTCGCGCTGAGTGTGACAACACTGGTACTGCGGCGAAGACTCCCCGAGCTATGAGAGAGCGCACCGATGGGTGATCATTTCGTATTCGTCTGGAGCAAACCGTTGGTGTCCGCGACGCCTGAGACCGGATGCCGGGAAGCGTTTGAAGATCTGAGGAGGAGTCGCGCCGCTGAAAAGCCTGACAGAGCCACGTGCCGGCAGGAAATGACCGGTGTTTCGGTTGCGTGGCTCGCTTCGCCCCCTCCGCGCCTTGCCTCCCACCAACCATCTCGCGCCTTCCCACTGGTCGATCCACTCACGTCTGTGGCCCCTTTCTGTCAGCTCCACGTGCTACCAAGCGTAGTAGATCCGCGCTGGTGAAGTTGGTGCCTTACAGGAGGGCCAGAACGACGAGGCATTCTCGCATCATTCCTCCTGACCATGACCAGAGGCAACATAAAAGCGTTTTTTTCCCGCAATCCTCGTTTCATTGGGCTCGGCTGGCCAAAGATGACCAACTGATCCGCTTTTTTCTATGTAATCAGCGCTACTCATGTCGAGTCCGAACGACATGTTTGCAATTTCGACACTGCATTGCGCCCCGGAGCCGAACATAGTGCCGGTGTATCTCGAGGAACTCAGTCATAAAGAGCCTCTTTCCCCCTTGATACCGTATCTCGGCCCTTCGGACAGCACGGGCGTTCGGCGATTTCAAAGTACTCGAAAAAAAACGAGAAGGTGGGCATCCTCGGATCCACGTTACCTTTCTTTCCCACCAGATCGAAGCCGCCGCTAGATCCCGACGCTAACGGCTGAGTCGATTCCCCGGCCAGTAATCTCCGCGACAACAATTGGTACAGTCACTCCGATTCCAAATTGCAGTGGGGGTCCCCTCGATTTCATTTTGGCGATGTACAGGTGGCAACCACCGCGGAGGTTAGATACTGACGCTTCTAGTCGCAGACACTCACGAAGTGTTGGCTCCGGGACAATTTGGATCCCACTCTTCCAGGTTTGCAAAACTCGCCAATTCTCGCAACGGGAAGCCTGTTCAATTTCCGTAATGTTTCTAGTACGGGCTGGGGGAAACTCGCCGGCTGGTACACGACGAAAACTCTCGTGCGGGCTCACGCGAGAACAGATTGTATGTGCGCATAAAGCTGTCCGTGTGACATCTTATTGACGAAACACACCCAGTTCAATGCCACCTTTTCACAAGGTTGCGGTCTCGTTTCGCCTCTAGTTGAGCTCGTGCTACGACTCATTTCGCGCAAATTGAGTGCTACATGCTTGCAGAGCGTACGCCAAGGTTCTCGGCATGTTTGATGCTCACTACGGCTTTTCTGTGGTAGTGATGTGGTTGTCTCAAAGTGAATGAGACACCCTCTCGTACTTTCGCCAGTTCCTCCGCGGTCTGTGACTAAGATTCGTGCATCTCGGAAGCGTTTTGTCAACGAAAGGTCACACACGGTCATCGGCGCCTCTGTCCGAGTAGTTTCAGCATTTCGCCTCGCCCTGCGAATGTTGCTCGTTTTGATGCAGCGGTGGTAATGTGGAGAAGGACGATGTAGGACAATGACGTTAGTACAGCCACGCAACCATCTTACTCAGCCTTGGGCCTGATCGCCCGAAGCTGAGGAACGCGGTGCTCAGTAGAGCGCTGTATAGAGACTCGTATGTGGCCATGAGTTACAATGTGGACGGCTCATGCGCAGAGTCACATCTTCGCTTTACTGGTCCGCACGTCCTCGGAGGCCTACTGTGAATGGGTCGGTGGCGGCCGTGCATGCATCCTGGGACGTTGCTGTCAAAGGTTCACATGCGCAAGGCCTGCCAGGACAAGAAGAAGAAAAAGTAAGATGGGATCTCCGTCGAGCTCGAACATGCAACACGCTGATGGGACGCATCGCTCTCGGGTAGGGCGCTCTGGCCGGAGCCTGCTTTGTTTAATCGTCGCACTGTCCAGAGTCTCAGTTGAGACATTCCGACACTGGTGACCATCTCTCAGCGGGATAACAGTTGCGACAATTTGACGGTCTCTCTGTGAACGATCTCCGTCCCAAGAATGGAGTTTGTTGTTTGGTGGGTGCTTTCTCCACATGTACCCTGACGTCGTCAAGCATGAATCACTCTGGCGATCCCCCATTTTTTGTATCCTCGTTTACAGCTCTCGAGCGCAAAGCCTTACGGTAGGCGTACCGAAATCTCTAATCCAAGCATACGCCGCACTTCCCCGGTGACTGTGACCAGTTCACCACTGGTGCCCTTGATTGGACAGTGCGTCGCCTCTTACTGCTACGCTGCGGCTCCAAACATCACCAACGATGCGGAAGTTTTATGGACCCATTTCATCCTGTCTTGCTTGAGGTGCTAGCTGACGCAAGGTTACTAGCTGCATGCACAGGTCCTTCGCCCGACCCCACTTCCGATCGGAACACTCATGGTGTCAGTTTGCCATAGAGACGCCGATGACGGCATAGCCTTGAGCCTGGGTATCTTGTGGATAGCCGACAGTGTGGATGGCCGACTCGCATACGCGTCCTTCAGGTTCGCATGCATTTGACGACGTCGATGCGGTCACGATCGGACTTGGCTGAGTCTGCACACTATCCACGCGCACTCCGACTCAATGTTTCAGCCTTGGCGAAGTCAATTTTTTCTATGAATGCCTTGAACTCGGGAGTGAGCGCGTGGGGAGTCGCGGGTGTTGTAGATTTCGTAGAGGTTCGGCTTTTACAATAATCTCGACCCACAATTATTTGCTTGCGAACGGCGCGAGACCTGGGTTCTCAATGGTTCTGGATCGTTACATAGTATATTAGTCTGGTATCTCATAATTCTACAAGATGCAGACTTCACCGTTTTCTTTCGAGGGACTTCAATTCCAGTCATGCAGCAATGTGAGGCGGATCAAAAAGGGCCTGGCCGGGAATTGAACCCGGGACCTCCTCCAATGGTGACACGATATCAGGAAACCCTAAGAAGGAATCATACTACTAGACCACCAGGCCGTAAAAACCGTGGTGCTGTTAAGTTATATATGTCGTTTAAAGTCCCACATTCAATTCGAACCCCAACTGTTCCCGAAGGTTGTGGCCAGACTTGAGCAGCGGCTGAGATCATGTACGCGTTCTACCTCCGACACGCTCTTGCACCAATGCCACCACCTTTCACTTAGGCACTCATCCCCACATCCCGTTCAGCATCATGCCCCGCGGGATTCCCAACGCAAAACGCGACGAATCCGCCCTACGATATACTTCATTTCATGTGCCTCTCGCGTACGTTCTCGGCTCTGCTTTGCATGCACATTTTCTTATTCACGCCACGACGGCAGACCCAATCCCAAGCATGTGGGCTCAACGTATCTCAAGTCTGAATCTCAGACGTGGTGGAATAGGAATGCAGTACGGACACAGAAGTCGAAGAATGTGGCGGAGGACGCTGGGCAGGCTACACCGACAGAGGTATGTGGTTTATTGTTGTTACACGTTCTCATTTCACGCATCTTCCAGGCTCGGAGGGGGTCAAAAGTCATTGTCATCCACCCGGGCTCGCGTTTCCTCCGAATGGGCGCGCTTCAGATGTTTCCCCCCTCGTTGTACCCAATGTTATTGCTCGCAAGCACACCGCTCCGGTCCCGTCTCCAACCTACGTTGAAGGCATTTCCCGTCCTCGAGATGACCGTAAGCGTTCCGCCCCGTCTACCTTGGCCCCCAGTGGCGATGAATACGGCATCACCATTGCCTCAGATGACCCGGTACGTCCCCTTCATCCTTTTTCATGAATTCCGGAGACCTGAACATACGTGGCAGTTTGACGCCAAAGTTGCTGCTATTACTGTGTCTCTTCGTGACCGCATGCGCTTCTACAAGCTACGAGTCACAACCAACTCAGCCAGCATCGCGACGAGCTTCAATGAGCAGTTCAAGCCGGAAATCATCCCCGAGATGAATGACCCATATCACATCGACTGGACGACGTCAACGGATGAGCCGTATCTGGTGGGCGAGAACGCTTTGCGTCTTGCCGACCCGGAGAAGTTGGGCTATTTCGTTCGTTGGCCCATCTACGGAGGCAACCTCAACACTCGCGACTATCCGTCTACACAACTAGTGTTAAATGATATAGAGGCTATCTTCCGAGAAGCTCTTAAGATGAAGGAGATAGAACCTAGCGCATACAAGGTGCGTCATGCATGATAATACATCTTATGGTCATGCATTGATATTGTGAGTGCAGGACTACTCCGTTGTCCTGGTCATCCCTGACTACTACGACCGACTCTATGTCGAGAGCCTCGTCAGGATCCTGCTCATTGATATGGGCTTCAAGCAGATCTGCGCTCAGCAAGTACTACAGCCTTCCTCTGTGCTCTGCGTGGCAACTAAACCATTTCCCACTCTACAGGAGGCGTTAGCTGCAACTTATGGCGCTGGCATCTCGAACGCCTGCGTGGTCGATATGGGCGCAGTCCAAACCAGCATCGCATGTGTCGACGATGGCCTGGTTATCGCAGATACCAGGTGAGTCAATGGTCACCAGACATTGCAACGTATCTAAGACATTGTCAGGATCATCCTGAGTATGGGAGGGAATGACATCACTGAGTTCCTTTACGTTTTGCTGGATAAGATTGGTTTCCCATACCGCGACATCAACCTCGCCAAATCCTACGACTGGGCTGTCATGGAGGATCTTAAATCGCGGCTTTGTACTCTGGCAGAGGTCAGTCGTAATAGTTTACAGATTTCAATCGCTGACTTGTCCAGGGCGATGTTGCACTGAACCTCTACGATTTCTCTGTTCGACGGCCTGGCAAAGCCACTGAGAAGTACGGCCTTCGAGCATACGACGAGATCATCCTGGCCCCCATGGTACATTTGTTTCTTTGGAGTCAACCGACTACTGCTGACAGACTCTAGTGTCTGTTCGAGCCTCGGGTGATCAAGTTCGACCGGAAGCGGGCAGGCATGCGCTTCCTCATGCGTGCCCCAGACATGACTGAGGAGATGGTGGAACAAAGTACAGGAGCAGACAAGTTCTCTCTGGAGCGATATGTACGTATCGATGTCACACATGGTTTCTCGTCGCTGATATTCTATTCTAGACACAAGCCATGATGATTTCCACTCAGCACTTGTTCCCGGTCCCAGTCCTTGTGCCTGCACCTTCGACAGAGCCTCCACCAGGTTCAATCTCGGTATCCCAGACTCCAGTCGGAGACGGGCAGTCGCTGGCCGTGACACCCCAGCCTGCTGCTAGTGGTATGTCTCCGCAAGATACATGCAACATCAATACTCATCTGCTATCTAGCCGCAGGAACTGCGCCCGCTACCCCTGCTCCCGACGGTGATGCCGCCAGGCTTCCTAAGGAGGAAGACGTCGATATGGGCGATGTCATGGTAGGGAAGAACGGCAAGAACGACGGTAAGGACGACAAGAAGGACGCAACCAAGGGCAAGCAGAAAGCAACGAACGGCACCGACGAGGCTCCTGTCGAGGTCATTGATGTGGACGAGCTTGACACCAAGCCTCTCGCTCCGACCCCGATGGCTCAGGCCGTCCCGGTATCGGTCGCGCTCCCATTCAATCCCTACAACAACATCGATGTGAGCTTCGAGGCCAGCAAGCTCCCCCTCGATGTAGCGATCTTCAATGCTGCCCGGGCTGCAGGCGGGGACGAGAAGATCCGGAAATATCTTCAAGCTGTCCTCGTCATTGGCGGGACCGCGCTGGTGCCTGGTATGGCCCATGCTCTGGAGAGCAGGTACGAGCCTTCGCTTTTCACCCAGTGACCCTGACTCATCTTTCGTGCCTTACTCTTTGTACTCCCTGTGCCACCTCACGTCTGATTGTGCGGCCGGGCTTTCAAGACTGCAAGCGATTGCGACGCCGCTCGTCCCGAACATGGAGAAAGTGCAGATCATCCCTCCGCCCAAAGACGTCGACCCGCGAGTGCTCGCTTGGAAGGGCGCCGCGGTGCTGGGCAAGATGGAAGGCGTCGCGGACCTGTGGGTGACAGGCGCAGACTGGGTGAGTACCTGGCGCCGTGGTTCCTGGCTCGTCTCCTCTCCCCCGGACGTCCATACACGTCCATCTGTTTCGACACTTGGACCCTGCATGGGACGGCTCCCGCGCCTGTCCTGCGCCCCCCTATTGTTCCCTCCTGATCCCCCCGCCGCCCCTCTTGCCTATCTGCCCCAAATCCCGCACCTCGGGCCCGTTCGCCGTCTCCGGGGTCCGGGCAAGGGGCAGCGTACCCTCATCCCATCTCACAGCTTGGCGTCCGCACACGTGTTCTGCTCCAGCTCGTACTGACGCCGTCTGCCACTTCACCCCACAGGAAATGTTTGGGATACGCGCCCTGAAAGAACGCTGCTTCTACCTTTGAACCTGCCGCTCTGGGTCGCCCACGGAGCGTCTGCACCCCGCACAACATCAGCCTGTGACCTGCGACGAGCGCGTCGTCGCGGCCTGGTGACCACTCGGCGGGGGCAGTACTGAGCCTGGAACCCGGGGCTGGAGCTGGAGGGTGCGCCAGCGCAACCGCTGCGGCTGGGTGACGGTCGCGCAGTGCTGTATTTCACGTTCACGCCGTGCAGCTCGGCGACGCGACGCCGCTCCAATTTTAATGTACAGGAACCCCCCTGCAATGCGAGCTCTTTCGCTTCCCTTTCCCTCGCCGGCGCCGGCTTGCGGCAAAACCATCGCGACCGCCTCCTCGTCTGTGCCTCGAGGCTCGCGTTCTGCTGTCCTGCGTCACCGACCTGTCCGCCGCGTCCGTCCGGTGACCTCGCGCGGGTGCCTGACAAATACACAACCTTGATTTGTAGGTGCGTCCTCCCGCCGTCGCCGCCGTCTGGGGTGAACAGGCCGGCTCGGCACGCGCGCGCGAGAAATGCCAGTCGCTGGTAAGACAAGACAAGCGGAACGCATGTTGGGGGGAACGGACGCGGACGCACGCACGCCGACGTCCACTGCGCATTGCGACCGTCGGCGCGCGTGGGCGTCGGGCGCGCGCCGTTGCCGCGCACGCGCCCCGGGCGGTGCGACGTATGTGGGGCTCGTTCTCCGGAGCGCGCGCTGCAGATAACGCCCCGGAGCCTGTGGGACGGGGCAGAGAGTCGGCACGGAGATTCAGGTCTCAGGATTCAGAGGGACGTCCGTCGCGGCCGTCCTGCCCGCCGCCGCTCGCTCCGGCTGGCGTCAGCGGACGGGCTCGCGCCCGCAGAACGCACATGAACAGGCCGACGTCCGACGTCCGACGTTCTGCTCGTCCCCGCACTCCCCGCGGGTGGGCGGGGCGCGCGTCGCGACGTCGCGGTTCTTGTCGTCCGCCTTCTGCTCGGTGCGGCGCGTGTAGGATACGGCGAAGGGGGGACAGAGTTCGAAGGTACGGGCACGGGGGGTGTCGACGAACCTTCACGGCAGGGTTCCTCGACGCGACCCACCGTGCTGGTCATTCAAACGCCCTTGTGGGAGCTGGCAGAACCCTGCGTCTGCGAACTGTAAAAGTGCGTGTGCGTGCGAGTCCGAAGGCGCGCTCGCGCACGCCGGCTGCGGTCGACGTCCATTTCTTCCGAAATTCAGAGATAATCATCTGTGTGCACGCCCGCTCGATCGTCTTGTACATCCGCTCTCTCGGGATGCAGGAGCACCGGCCAGCGACCGTCGAGCTGCGTCCCTCAAATTCACATCGCCGGGGAACCCGGTGCGAGGTCCGGGGCTCGGGCGCGTCCTGATACTGGAGCTGGAGTTTGAACGCAATCGCACCGGAGCAACGCCGCTGCGGCGGCGTCGGCTGATATCGATTCGGGCTGTGGTGGCAACGGGCTGCGGGCCTGAACGTGAACGTTGCATGACCTGCACGTCGAGCTCGAGAAGCGCTCAGAGTACTTCCGCTGCGTCAACTCGTCGATCGGAGGGCCATCACGGGCTCACAGTCGGCAGCAAGGCATCGCTAAACTTGTATTGCTTTGGTCGCGATATCAGCCTCCTTTGAGTATTTTTATTCTCGGAGACCCTCCTTACGGAGTTGACTTGGGTGTTCCGTCTCCGGAAGAGCTCCGTTGTACGAATATTTTGTGCCCGTCGCCTCCGGCTCGCTTGTGTGATCTGAGATGAGCTCTCCTCACGGTACATAGATCAAGCCCGTATCCGACCCCTGGGACCCGGCTGGGTAGGAGCCCGTAGGCAGCGAGGGGCTACAGCCTGACCATCGATCGCTGGGCCCGTGCGGGACGGGTTCTACCACAGAGATTACGTGCGATCGTCCAGGGGCCAGGGCACCGAGACGTCCACCGTTGCCTGGCGACGCGCGTGAGCAAACACCGCAAACGTACTTATTCAGTCGCCTGGGCGGAGAGCGGACTTCACGGAGCCCGATGGGGTAGGTAGGCACAGCGAAGCTGCAGGCGTCCAAGGGTTACACGAGACGTATCACGAGGGAAGGACCCGGCACGGCATGGCGTCGTCCAAGACGGAGAGAAGGAGAGAGAGAAGGAGATGGGGATCTGTAATCGAGGAGTGGTTCGAAAGCGACGGCGTGGGCAAGGTGCTGAGGGTGCATACAGTAACAGTAGGTCGGTCTGGGATCTCCTACTACCCGACTTCCAGTCGCTCCTTGAGATCACGGAACTGCTGTCCGTCCCAACTCGTCCAATTGGTGATCAGGTTCGTCATCTCTTTCTTGCCACGGCTGCAAAGAGTGTAGTAAGCACTGTGCACAAAAAGCGAATGCCTTGACTCTCACCTGTACCGTGCATCCCACTCTGTCTTAACGCACCTCGCTCCCCCCAATCCTGCCCGTGCTCATCCTGTGCTCCGTTGCCGCACACACCCGCCGGTTTGGGGTTGCTACTCCTCGACTCGGCGGCATCTTTCAAAATATCCAGGTATGATCGGATCGTGTTGTCCGCGAGACGATTTGGAACGAATGGAAAGCTAGACATTAGCCGGGGGAGTTGGTCGGGGACGAACGGCATTTCCGCGCGACACAGGGGACACTCCAGGGTATCGTGCCAGTAGCCACAATCCCAGTGCACGGCGGCGAAGCACCACTTGAGCGCGCAAAGCGCGCAGAAGGCGTGCCCGCACCGTCCGTGATTCAACTCGTACGGTAGGGCCCTGTGAAGCGACTTCATTGAAAGATCAGAGAACCGATTCGGAAGAAGACGCACATGACCTCAAAACACCTGGCAACGAACGTAACGAGTGAGCAAAAACCGCAAAAAGCTGGAGGGCCACTCACAAAGAACACGTGTACTGCTCCTCCAGCTGTTCGAGCACCCATCGCACGCTCACGCCACCTGGCGCACCGGGCACGAGCGCCACGTCCTTCTCCTTCAGCAGCACCTCGAGCTGTTCATTCTTCTCCTCGGCGCGCTGCAGATCGAGCTTCGCGGCCACAGTCTCCTTCTCGAAGCTCGCGCGTATGTCGTGAAGGGCCTTCTCCTTGCGCTTCACCGAGGACTTGAGCCGCTTCTCCTCCTTGCGCCAGTCCTGCGTCCGTCGCTTGAGCTCGCGCTCGAGCGACCGGACCTCTCCTTCCTTCGTCTTCAACTTTGCTTTGCACGCCGAGAGCGCGTCGTCTTCTTTGTCCACCTTCTCTTGCTCTCCCTTTACCTCGTCCCCTCCCCATCTGCTTCGTCCTCCCCCTCGCTCCTCTTGTCCTCCTCCTCGGTCCTACTTCGTTTCGCCGCTCGCGCGTTTCCTTCATGAATCGATGATGCCCTGCGCTTTCTAGACGTCGTCGCCGCGGGCGCTGGGACGACCGAGACCCGAGGCGGTCTCATAGACACCACAACCTCTGGGATCATCGCCCGCGCCCGCGTTCGAACGGGCGCCAGTGCCCGTGTCTGCGAGGCCGACCTCACCGGGCTCGTTGCGATGCTCGTGCGGGTGGAGTGGAGCGTCGGCGGGAGGAAGCTGGCCGTGGGGTCGCGGTGGTTCTGGCGCTCGAGCGGTCCTCACCCAGCAGCTTGCGCTCGCTCGGCCGCAAGGTGCGGCCTACACCGACGGAGAAATGCGACCCGATGTGAGCGCATACAACTGGCAGTGTGCGCGGACTACCTCGCAGGGACGTGGTAGGGGTCTCCGTGCTGCGTGCGGAGGAGACAAGGGGCGGCGTGGTCGTCACGGTGGCCTTCTTGGGCTGCTTTCCGGTCGGTCGAGGGCGTCGGGAAGTTGATGTGCGTTTCCCCATGGCCACAGGCGGTCGAAGGGGGCGAGAGGCGTGGCGGGGGATGGAGGAGGAACGGGACGAACGACGAGCTCCTCTTCGGATTCGTTGCTCGCGGGCGGCTCGCCCGATACGGTTATCACATGACCGTAGCCGCGTGCAGTTGGCGAGGCTGCTTTCTTTGAGTGTTGTTGCTTGTTCTCTTTCTCTCGTTGACTTTGGCTCCTTACTTTGATGACAATGGACGCTCTCGACGCCTTTGTGTTCTACCTGGGACACCTGAATACCAGAGTTTTGGTTAGTATGCCTACAAGAGAACGTTCTGTTGGCGAACTATTTAGCCTTCAACAAAGTACCACGCGATGTGAGAAAGTCCCTTTATCAGCACTCGGCGAACTTATGTGTTCCTGGCTCCTCAGCACTTCAGTTTTAGTGCCCGCTCATGGTCAGGCCCATGTGCTTTTTTGCAACCCCCTCCGTCACATATCCGGGACGCAGCACAAGATTTATTCATTTCATTACTCAGCGGTGAGCCACCCTGTCTCGCGACAGCGTACGCCGCGGAGTCCCTTGATGACCATGCGCACGCCCGTCTATTCTCCACTCGTCTTCCCTAGGGTATAAAGTGCACCGCCCGTATGTCCCCGATCCGCATCGCTGCACACGGCTGATTCCGCTCTTCCCTGCGGTCCTCGCAGATGTCACGACGCCCGGTCCGCCGCGGTGCTCGAAGTGTCAACGATCCTTCCGCCTCGGCGCGGCTGCGTTAATGCGATTCGGTGCCGGGCTCGGTCCCCGCGACAGGGAGGTAAATCAAGCCCGCAACGCGCAGCCCTGCATTTGCTCCCGGAGTCGCCTCCAAACGTCCCGCGGCGGACGCATGCCCTCCCGCGCGGGCACTGTCCCCGCACAGGAATCCAGCGAGTGGCTAACTCCCTTGCCCCCGCAGATTCCCGGGAACATTCGTGTGGAACGCATCGCGCCCGCCTGCGCAGGCGGCAGCGCCTTGGCGTTCCGTAAGAAGGGCTTCCGTTGGCAGCAGCATGGGCGGGGCTTCCGGGCGCCAGGGGCCCTCGTACGTACGTTCTGGAATCCATCCGGGTCTCGAGCGTGCGCTGACGGTGCGTTCGCTCCCGTCGGACGACCTTCGCCTGTGCTCTCAGGCCCAGGGCTGCCTGCGAGCACCAGGTCTCGTTTGCCACGCTTGTTTCTCCGCTGACGGCTCGACGCCGTGTGGTCGCAGTCGTCCTGGAGTCCGGGATTCATGCCCTCGTCTTCGCGGGTGACCCTGAACGTGGCCGTCTACAAATTCCTCGCGGGAGCTTCCCTGCGTGGATCGTTTGTCAGATGGCCGATACTTTCCACTGCGCCTACCAAATCCCGTGCGCGGCGGATTTTCCCCTGAACGCGCTCTGTGCCTTCCACCCCGCCGTCGCCCCCCACGGCTGGATTTAAGACGGCAATAGCCCTGGGCGACGTGCGGCGTCGTACAGATGGTCCGACATAGGCCGCGATACATGTGCATGTGCACGCCGCTGCTCCCCCTTCCCTTCCGGTTTCAACTTGGAAGCGACGTCCGGCCACGGCGTCGCTGAGTTTACCTGCTCATCGCAGAGCAGGATTCATCAATTTCCGTGGCATTCATGTGACAGTCCTGGGCTCGGTACTCCGCACGGGCGTCGACCCCGGGCTGCTCCCCCTCTCCCACCTTCCAGGACCCCGGCCGACCTCCCCAGTCTTCCCAACGAGCCAGCCCCACACGACTCTGTCCAAGAAGCCCGCCGCGTGCAGGCGGGATACGGGTCCGCGTTCGCGCCCCCACCGCTGGTCCCGCCAAGAGCGCGTCCGACCCGCAGCCGACTCCGAATCGGCGACGACGTGTTCCCCGCATCGCGTCCCCCCCGGCCGTCCACGACTGGCGAACAACGAAGACGAATGGCCTCTGCCCGCCAGCCCGCCGCGATAGGCACCCGCGGCCCGCCGCGTCGGCGGGGCGGGCGCCCCCAACGCTCACGTTTCGCTATCATCCCATCACGCCGCCGCACGTCGCGCCTGGATCCGGAGTCCGAACCTGCCTCGCCCGTCGGCGGCCTAGCCCCCTGCTGGTGTCCCTGACATACATATACGGTGCGCTGCACATGTGACCGCGCCGCTGGCGTTCTCTCAGCAGAGTATTGACTTTCGTGCCCCCTCCGATGAACATCGGAACAGAAGGCCAGACCCCGCTTTCGCGATTGATGGGGCCCCGAGACCGCGAAAGTCGAACCTGCAAGAGTGCCCCGCACGCAGTGCGCACGCGGCGCTCCAGCCGAGGCCGTGGACGCCTGCTGACGCCCTGGGCGCAGGCGCTCGTTTGAACTTCCTCTGAGCTGCAACGTCGTCTCGCACACGCGGTCCCGCGTGCGTCACGAGACCACTGCACCCTCGTGCGCGCCGCACCTGGTGATGGGAGTCCCACACATGTGCAGTCGACGCCGCAAGGTGAGTATGTAACACCAGAGTCTTTCAATATCATTGATATCGCGCGGCGATCTTCTTCCCCTCAGCTGCGTTCTCGACGAAGCCGGCCTCGCGCCCAACTCAATCAGTGATCCATCCGAACTTCCGAGGCCCAAGCCGTTGCTTCGCGCTTGACCAGCACCCAGACGTCGCGCCCGGCGATTGGAGTCGCCCACCCGCCCCGGACAGGCTATATTGCGCAGCAGCGCACACGCACGACGGTCGATGATCTCGACGCCGTCGTCGACAGCGACATGTTCTCTGTCGAGACGCTGGGACGCTGGGACGCCCGGATGCCGGCAGCAGATCGCCGCGACGTCCACCAGCCGCTTGGTCACAGCGAGCAGAGCCACGCAAATGCAGACGTCGTCGCGAAGGGGGCCAGAGCCTTTCCGGGCTCGGCGACGCTGCTGCTCGCGATCGCGGCGGTCGAATGGGTCGCTACCAGGCTCAAGCTCAAGCTCTGTGCCTTTTGGATCCCAGCCGCCCGGGCTCGGGCTTCGGTCCTTCGCACCGCTCCCGCGACGGCGCGCGGGTGATCGAGGGGGGTTGCGACAGGAACGGAATGGTGCGACGCAGGTGAGCGGGGGCACACGCCGCGGAGTCGGGCTGGATGTACCTCCTCAGCTCCGCGCGTACGGCGGTGGATCAACCTTAGCTTGACCACCACTCGGCTGTGTCTTTGTCCTCGGCTTCGACGCCGGTCTTTCGTCGATACCGAGCTTATTCGGCACCTCGACACCTCGACACCTCGACAGCCTGCGGCGGGCATAGGACGGAAAGCGCGGGCGCCGGGTGCTCCATAGCGGGGTGGTCGGGTTCATTGGTCCAAAAAGGTCAGCGGCTTGCGAGCTCGGCATCGATGCGCATCGAATTGCACTCTAACTTGATTTGCTCGTAGCGCATCGTGCGGCCGTGTCAGGGACACGAATTTTAGCGTGCAATAGGTATCGCTAGGAGTTTCCGTTCGAATTGCGGGCTCGAGGACTGCAGGGCTGGAGTTCCGAATCCGAATTCCATTGCGTCTGGGGCTCCGACGCTCGACGCTTGAGGCGTCCCGTTCTGGTCTGGGAGCAGGCAGCCGTGCACGCCAGCTTGACGGCGGCGAGGCCCAGCTCGATCGGGGTGGACGATGCCAATGACGTCTCCGTGTGCTTTCCGGTGCTCGTCCGAGGCACAATGTTACCGTGCGATATCACATCGCGCCCAACACAGCCGTCGAAAGCCGCGGCTCCTGCTCGACATACCCGTGCAGCAACGGGCGAGGTGGCAGCAGTCCGTCGCCATGTCGAACGTGAAGCCCATGCTCGGTGATCGTCGGCGGTCGCAGCAATTAATCTCGAGCCTGCTTGAATGTCGCGAACCCGCTGGCGCCACCGACGTACTCGGGTGCGCTCTGCGCAGGCACCGAGGGGAGATCCGCCCGAGTCCGTCGCCGTGCACATGGAGAGCTCTCGTCGTCGTTCTGCGCGCGAACTTCGAAGTCACCGGCCGTCATCTTGTCCCACTGTGCACGTGCCGTTGAGCGCTCACCGCGATCGCGTGTCCGGCCCGGGCGACTTCTATCGCGGCCCGCCGGCGCAATCGGAATCGGGCCTGTCGTGGAGGCAGCTGCAGCGTGAATCGGGCACGGTTGAGGCCGTCGGCCTGCTGCAGTCGGGCTCGGACCCAAGGCAAGCGATCCGTTCGCCGTTCGCGGTGGACGCACGCGCGAGACAGCAAGAAAAAGTCCGCCGTATGTACGCACGCCAAGAGCCCCGCACAACGCACGCGGCGACGTTCTCGAACGCGAACCGCCCTCCACGTGCGGGCGGGCGCAGCTAGCGGCCGCCTACGTCCGTCGTCCGTGCGATGTACCTCTTCTTTACATAAGCGATCGCGAGCCAACAGGCCTGCCCCGTGCGCGGGTCGATGGAGTGGTGCTCACCGATTCGTCAAGGAGGCATGCCTCCTGCCGCGAGCGGGGCTCACTTCGGTTTTCGTTTTTCGATGCTCCAGCGCAGCGCTTCGACCGGCCGCTTCCTCGCTCCTGGCGTCTGCGCGGCCCTTGCGGTGCCCCATTCCCGCGACTCCCGCCCGCCCTCCGCTCGTTCCACCGTCGTGATCGAGAGAACGATCGTTGGCTTAACTGGCTGGGGAACGCGAACGCGGAACAGGGGCGCGACGGGACGCTGGGACCGACGCGAACGTCTTTCCGCGGGGTCCGCGCGCCCGCGCATCGAGGTGCCCCGCCAGCCGCGCGAAAGCCGCCTTGGAATTCGGACTCGAGTGTGACGGGCCCGGGCGGCGTGAGCTCGCGTCGTCTGAACCCGCGACGGCTCGATCGGTTTACGGTGGAGAACTCAGAAAGCCCTGCACATGCGCGCGGCCGCGTCGGTCAGGGCGCGTCCGCCAACACTCAAATCAGCAGCGTCCGCGCACGACACGCGTGCTGCGCGCAGCGTCATCGGCCCCTCCAATCGAACCTCCTGCCGCACACCCTCCGTCCCGCCGGGCCCGCCGCCCCGCGCAAGGCCAAATGCGCG